ACGGAACTCCGTCAAATCTCCACCGATTGGGACGTTCTTGGTATCGTCAGAATCGTACGAATTAGGACTATTTTTAGATACCAAATTTGTACCGAGTCATCGCGTGAATGAAAGTCGTTTCCTAATCGTAGAATCGGGTATCCGAGCCGAGTCTGTGCGTGGGCGATTATCCCGCCTACAGCGCCAAGTCCCCGTTAGCAGACAGCCAGGTGGCTCCCTCAAGGAGCCCACATCATACTCGCTACCAGTGTAGGAGAAATAATATTCAAAGAATAAAACAATGATCTATCAGAATAGTCAACGAACAGGTGACAAGTTCAGATGTTTAACAGATCTCATGATCTTTATGAGACTGGACAGACATTAGAAGATCATTATAAATTATCTACACCCATGTAGCATGAGATTTAATCTACTACAAGCATGCCTAGAACCTGGCATAGGTGTAATATTCAAAGAATATATCCCTACAACAAGAAAATAACACATAGATGGCAGAATAAGAAGCAACATTGGGAAAGAAATGTGAATATCTCGGGAACCAGTAAACCTTTGACTGTAATCCTTTTACCATCTAAAAGGACTGTTTCTTAACTTTATCCACGGTTTTGTTTCATTCTAAAAGCTTCAATACTGACGGGGATATTGCTCAAACGGCAAAACACCTTATAATTCATATATATTTATTTGCTAATTCTTACAAAAAGTAATGTGACTCAAGGGAAATATATTGGCGCCCGGAAGTCTGGCGGACCGAATACCATATGATAGAGTATTTCCCGGCGCGGGTGGACAGTTTTTGACCGCATCAGAAGAGGATAAAATGCTAAAAAACCGGATCTTGTATATTTTCCCATGATTCATCAAAACCTTTTGATTTTAAGCTCAAATAAATCGGAACAAAGGAATGATTGATGATCTGGATCTCGGATCATAAGCATAAAGTGATTCAGAAGTCTGCGGATCAGTTAATTTATTGGGAAAGCTCTAGAACATTAGTAATGATGTGGCTTCACAAAAAGGGGTCAATTAGAGAACAGTCTAGAAAGTTCCTTTATAGCTGAGTCATTTCTAAACATAACCGTTCGTAATTAAGGCAGTGTAGAGCATAGCTTCAGCGCTACAGGACCCCGCTAAGATCGGCCCAAAAGACAAAGAACTGAATTACCTATTGCTGAGTCATGTCCTAAGTCCATTATTAAGCTTACACAGCCCAAGCCCCTATATCATTCTAGAACTATCTATAATACAAATGTAGCACATGTAACTAGTGCGAGGCGTGGGAGTAGAGAGGCCTCTGAAAAGCATAAAAGGCCGCCGCTTCTGCCCCCTCTCAAACCTCAGGTAGAAATATAAGTTTAATTCTCACCAGTGGTTGGTTTGTTTGCTCCAAAAGATAAAAGCAAATATTAGTTGTTAGCTAATATAAAACTAACACGTCACTCTAAGCGTGAGTTAGGGTCAGTTAGACACAGCTGAACAAAAGTGTCATAGTGAGAATTAGTGAGAATTTGGTGGAGGGACTTCTTAATTGAATAATCTCTCAGCAATACTTGGTTATCACACCACAGGAGAAAAGTGAGCGATCCTGAACCTGCTAGATAACTAGCATGCACTCTAAGCGATAGAAAGAGCAGTTTGGTCACTCCTGTATTGAGTAACATTTATTGCGGAATTATTTTATTAGTAGTTTTCCTTCAGTAAATTATCAGGAAAATCACGTCCTACTGAAAAGTGGTATATCTAGGTGTAATATTGACTAGAAATCATAGTAAAGTCAATATAGAATTTTTATCCATAGACGATCTATACATCAGGTGAGATCGTTGGGGGGTGTTTATTGTTGTTTAGACAGTGAACAATTATATATTTGGCAACCAAAACACGGTCAGTACGCAAATCAGCACAAACTCTAATATCGTTATTGGACATAGGAAACTGGTTACATAAGGTGATCCAGCTCCGCTCCTTCACCGGTACGCTCCCAGGAGCGCCAAGTTACCATTGGCCGACACACAGGTTGTACTTCCATACACTCATCCTATTCCACTCTCCCTCTGATGGCTACGCAGCCACCTCCATTAGTGAGCCGAACGGCTCAGGTTGGGTTCCCCAGAACCCATTCCTGTAACATTCTCTGCCTGCCAGAGTGAGCCTTTCCAAAGGTTTTGAAGATCCCATAGCTGGAGGTGAATTCTCCAGATTTTGACGATAATTATTGGGATGCAAAAAGTGCCAATCTCAACTGAGGTGAGAGGGCTCTTGTCAGGGAATGTGCATGCTTGTGCAGGTTGCTCTGATAACCTAGTTGTGATTAAAGCTGGGGGAAAGGAATGTCCCCATCTTATATACATGTAGAGTCTGGCAATAAGGAAACCAAACAGATCACTGATAGAATCACATGATCATAGAATGTTCCAGAACAATGCCGGAGATGATCTGGGCCACCGGGGCTTAGGTAAGCGGAGTAGATGGGAATTGCTGGCATACTTCCCACATGCATATGCACAGCTGGCATAGGGTTCCAGGGTCATTGCTGATCCCTGACAGCTCTCATCACTTGCATCAAACTTCATAATGAGCTTCTTCATATCACATACATAGGTTAGGATGATCCACCAAGTGGACATCATGTTCTGAGAGGAGGTCCATAGATGGTGGTTTGCTACTGAGGTATGCAGTTGGGCTTCTTAAGTGTGAATGAAATGAATTCTCTGATTGTCAGGGTTTCATGGGGGAAGTAGGGTCCAATGAGAAATAGAGGGATGTTCTTGTATGTTATAGTTTCCTCAGCACAGATGGAAATGTGGCTGGCAAGTGTAAATCCATCCATCAGTAGTATGACAGTGTCAGGGTGTAAGTGTCAGGGCACATACCCTGACTTAGCCTGGACCCACGTCCGGACCCGCTCCACTTCCCCCACGCTACCTTCATGTGACTTCCGGGTATCCCCGGAAGTTTTCGCCATATTGGGCCACTGTGGGAAAGTGAGAAGTTAACCTTCTTCTCACTTTCTTACCCACAGTAGCATTGTGCCCTGAGATGGGCTGTTACAGGTCAGGCTCTGGGTTATAGAGAGAGGGGTCATGGGGACCTGGGTTTGTCCCCTGACAGTAAGGCTGGTTGGGGTGCCGGCCTTGGTGACTCCTCAATCCTCAGGGTGTCGATAACGTAGACTGTATGGAGCTAGTATTCAACAGGGGGGGAGGAGAAGAGCAAAGCTCCTTTTCCTGACCCCGGATGCTATATATGTACATACAGGTGTTTTACATTGTTTATTACAAGAAATAATAAAGAATAAGAAATGCGTGCAAAGCACACAAGATCCAGTCCCTGTCCATCCCTTACACAGGGCCCAGGCAGGGACCCGGAGTGTAGGGAATGGATGTGTGGTGATGCGTGCTGTGCACGCTTTCTTTATTCATTGTTTATTACTCTTTATTTCTCGATGTAAACAATGTATATAAATTGTGGGGAAGGGTGAAACAGGTTTTCACTCTTCTCCTCCCTGTCAGGGCCCGGCCTCGGACTCGGAGGCTCCCTGACCTCAACCCCCATCTAACCTGTCCTCACACTATGCAGGGCATGAGATGTATAGTAAAAGGAAGGGAATATATACACTTGCCTATGCGGGGCATGAGATGAGAAGAAGGGTAAAGGTCTCATCTCCCTGCATGGTTGCTATATAAAGGAATGGGTCACATGCCCACAACTATACAGCTCCTATGTGTAGTGTGACCTGGAGGGAACATCCAGGTGGCAGTGCCCAGTAAGCGTGGGAACATTCTGGGCGAGTTGCTCGCCCAGAACTGTGGCTGTGACCCGTGGGAACATTCTGGGCAAGCTGCTCACTCAGAAAGTTCCCACGCTATCCCGTGCGCGCGGATACACAACACAGAAAGGCAACAACAAGGCAACAATGAAGGAATGGAAGGAAGGGATTGGTTGGGGAGCCTGGGGCACCCTAGGGCAGGGTGCTGAACCCTGACACTCCCCTGTCGAAATAAAGCTCTATACTGCCTAACTTCTGACAGCTTGAGGATAGCAAGAGTCAACACCAAGGTCGGAACCTCAACCGACCTTACATGGAGGTAGGCACTATGCAGGCACTAAGTTGGATGATATTGTAAAAGGTAAGTACAACTTGCCTATGTGGGCACTAAGTTGAGAAGAAGGGTAACCTTCTCAACTCCCCGCATAAAAGGAAAGGCTGTACAGTTCCCCAGTTGAGCAGTGTGACCATAGGGTCCGGGTTGTTGGCCCAACGCCACTTGCGGTCAGGGCTGAAGGTTGCCTGGTACAAAGGTTGCCAAGGCAAGGTACCCAGGCCCACACACTTGCTTTGGGAGGCAGGAGCGCTTTGAGGCATGATCGACACCCAACCTTTCTCTTTCCCTTTGTGTTGTTACTCGCCATTGTTTTCGCGCTTTGACACTCTCGGTTTCACTTCAGTGGCATAGAGCCCGCGTTTATGTATATAAGGATGGGACTTGCTCTGGCAGCCGATACTTTACTAATACAAGTATCGCGTTGCACAGTTATTACATGGGTGGCAGTACTATTGAAATTATGAACTAGTCGCGAATTAGCGCTCAGTTCCAAAGATGTGAACTTGTATTATTAGTCATTACCTAGTCGCGAATTAGCGCTAGGAAATATGTACAAGATTAGACAATATTCCAAGTGATGAAAAGGGAGTCTCACCTCAGTTCCAAAGATGTGAACTGAGGAGAGAGGAAAGAGAAAAATCGCGCGAGGTGGCTTTTGAGCCATCCTCGACTGCGTTCATCAACATGGATGCCAAAAGTAGAAGCATCGGGCAATCCTTCATGGAAATGCCCGTGCGCAAGATGTATAGTCCGACGGACTCAATGGACGGTCCACAGCGTACCAAGAAAACAAGGATTTCAACAAGTACTTAGAAGCCATGGGCACATGAGTTTCCCATGCTCGGTATGCTACTGTTACGTAAGCGGCCTCACTCAATTAGTGCTGTGACCGTTTGTCACGCGCGTAACGTTAACGTTCCTTTTGCAATAACCGCTGAAGAGACGCCCTCGCGGTTGCGTCAGCGTTAGATGCAGTCGCCCTTCAGCGTATACGCATCCGCGTTTCTTAACAGGGCAAGCACGGCTATAGATCCTGCGTCTTCGACATCATCACATCCACTATTCTACTCAGCAACGGGCGGCTCCGACTTTGAAGAGGACGGGAGCCCATTTAGGAGAGACAGTGGTGACGACACTCCAGGAAATCGTAGTTTGCTCGATGAAGAGGATGGCCTCCCCCGTTTGGCTGGGGACGATGCTAAGCTTTCAGCGACACTATTTGATGCCGGGGAAGAGGTGTCTCCGTATTTGGACGAATCGCAGATAAATTTGAACCCACGCGCCCCTCCCGAGCAAAACTTGTCACTGTCAATGTCCCATATACCATATAGAGACGAAGCTGATGACCTTCCTGTTGACTTGGATAGCCTTCCTATGATGGATTCGGATGTCGCCAACTCGCTGCTTAAGCCTCCTCGGTCAAATGCACCGGCTCAGGGGTGGCGAACGCATGACTCTGTTTTGCAACCCTCTTTAATTTCTCGCTCTCCTAGCATAGCATTACGGCCCGACACACCATCAGACTCGTCATCAATATCTGATGCCCCACCATCGTATCTTCTCGAATCCCCACATTCACCTCCACCACCGATACCGTCAACGCGCATTGAGTTATCAGCACAATTGACCGAGTCATTGCTACCTCGAGATGGCATTGGGCGTGCTCTATTCCATCTTCCAGATCCAGATAGGCCCATATCCAAGAGCAAATACAATGACATAACATGGATGACCACTTGGCTTTGGGCTGTGACTGCGTGCGTCGTCGGTTGTCTGATTTCTCTGGTATTTACGAAGGCAAGTAATATTTTTCCGCTCTTTTACCAGTTCTTTCTCATCGATCATCGCGTAGTCGAATCCCAAACCCAGTGGCCCCGGTCCTGCCATGCCCCTCCCATATTCTACCTTGACGCACACGATACCGCTGCTCACGATGCTCGTTCTTGCGAGTTCTGGACTTTCATACGGCTTTCTTATGTGCGTTATTTAAAATCCCATTGTCAGACCTTATTCCCTGATGAATGGGTTTCTAGATTATTTCGACTTGCCGTCCGACCCATGCTTGTCCTGGCTGCATTATCAACTCCGTTATTCCTCTTCCTTTCGGCTGCGTACGCATTTTCTGGGTCATTCTTCTACAAACCAGGCGTAGAGCCCACCTGGGGTGAAACCGTCGGGTAAGGATTCCGTCTGTATGTGCCGTCAAGTATTCTAATCGATTTTTTGCTTGACACGCAGTCTTCGGTTGTTCTCCCTTATCCCTCTGGGCTTTGCATACCTTACAGGGAAGTCATTCTATTCTCGCTATGATATCCTGTTGCACACTGCCTCAGTGGTAGAGGTGAGTTCCACGACCAGACAGTCGTGCATGCACTCATTCCACTTTGCAGCTATCTACCTCTCTGCTGATATCCCACCCAAGTGTTCTGCTACTATCCCTTGCGACACTCTTCCTTTCGTTGGTCGCATCGCTGCCCTTTATATCACTCACGCTACGGCTCTTATTGTTGGGCTACTTTGGCAAATCCGCCCCTGAGTCTCCATGGGTATGGCATGTGTATAACTATGCAGGGACCCTCGCTATTTTGGTTGTGAGCATTTGGCTGTGGAGCTGGGGCGTGTCTCGGGGGATTATGCGAGTTGTTGTCGGAGGCGTTGTCGGACACTGGTATTTTACAGCGTGAGTGGAAACATTCCTCTCGGTTGACGACTGAACCACAATTGTTCTGCTCGCCTAATCAGTCAGGACCCTGCATACACGGTGATGTCGCAGCAGCAGGCCACTCGTGCAGCGTTGGCTCGGGCTGCAGGACCATCTCTGGGTTCAGTCTGTGCTGGTGCCTTCACCTTGAACGCCATTCGGGCATCTTTGTCCGTCCTCAGATGGATGCGTAGAGTAAGAGTTATCCTCGTAACACATCCAGAATTTCTAACGTGAAGAAATGGAATAGTTTACCACTCCACCTCAATTACTGTTCTTACTCCCCCTTCACCCTCTTTCCTTCGTTGCAAACTTTATCTCCGTATTAGACTCTTTGAGCTCTTATACTTTGGTGTATATTGGCATTACTGGAAGACCATTTTGGCTCAGTGCGAGGGAGACTAGAGGGTTCGTGGTTAACACTGACAGTGAAGAGGCCAATGAAGAGGAACCAACATCGAGTCGGCGTCGGCGGCGTGGCCGAGGTCATCGTATCAGTGATTGTGAGTTAAGAAAGTCCATCTTCCACCATTGGCTTGCTCTGAACCTTCTCGTTACTTAACATAGATACTCTTGTGTCAAGTCTTTTGACTCTTTCTGCCTTTTCATTGTCCGTGTTCTCAGCCATCGGGGATATATTTTTGCGGCACATACTTTATCTGGTCCTATCAATGCTCCTCTTGCCGCACTTACATGCGCAATTGTGACTTTTTTGACCGTCCGGTTTGGACTATGTCTCTCGGAAGATGCGTAAGTCGCCTTTGCTGTTTGGCACAGATAATGTCTTTGCTGAAATCTTATCGGGTCCTCCCAGTGCTGACGCGATGTTCCTTTGTTACCATATCGATTTGCAAGCTGGTGCAAAGCATCGGGTAGATGTATTCGAAGCTGTGAGTTTTTGTCGATGATGGCTATGTGAAAGAGTTTCCCCTGACAGTTTTCACACTAGTTCGAAGGTCGTCCACGACGAGGTCCAATGGCAGTCTAATTTTCCTTCTACTGTCTTGTTTCTAGTTCTAATATTCATTGATCCAAACTCGTCTGTGATATGAAGACGTGAGGTGACCATCCGCGGAGCTGAAGCTTGTGAAGATCGTGCCCTCCCCGGGTGTCCCCCATCCCCTGAAAGCCAGCTGCCCGAGATATACTGTCCAAGACGGAAACCACTCTACTCCCTACCAAGGAATGCAGAATGCAAATTGACTAAGTTCCACGCCATTGCCTACGAGTATGCAGAGCACCCGGGTTGTTCATCCACACCCTTACTTGTACAATAGATACTCAGACTAGGCCTAGTAGATGCAAGTGCGCGTGAAAGCTAAGCACCTCTGTAGTCGCCTTATTCTGTAACAGCATTGTCATTTGATCCTCGATTTGCTTCCGTCCCTGTTCTCCATCTTCCAATTGTTTGTCAACTTGTAATAATGCCCCGACCCAATCAGACAGTCTCAACCGCCTCGAATGCTCAAGCACAACAAGATGGCGTTATGGTGAGCGAGGGGATCGAGAACTATGAGCTTCCCAAAACCATCGTGACACGCATCGCAAAGAGTCCTGTAAGCGCGCCAAATAGCGTTGTTGTAGTTATGACAAGGCCTACGAACACGTTTGTTGATTCATGACACACACTCTTTTCCATTTATATTAGCTGGCGAACAACGCGAAGTTCAATAAAGACACTATTACTGCAGCGACGAGAGGAGCGACCGTGTTTATCAATTATCTCAGTATGCTCTATTCTGTTAAAATCAAATTTGTTCAAGTCATCTTGGAATTCATGTTACTTGAACAAACCGAATCCGGGAACACGATGGTTTCTTTCAGGTGCTACGTACGTTCATGGTCTCAACTGTACCGGTGGCAATACCAGATTGGCAGCTTTTGCCCTAATATTCTTGTTCACACAGTGCTCAAGATGTATCGCGCACTAAATCGCATAAAGTCATCTCAGCAGCAGACGTTCTGAAGGCAGTGGAGCTCATAGAGATGCCAGATATGGTGCCAATTCTACAGCGCGAGTTGGAAGGTGAGCAAACGAAGTATTTTGGGCCATATTGATTGAGGTCAGTTGACACCTGAGTTTTACTTTCCTATATCAGTTTTTCGGCGTGAGCAGAAGAGTGCGACCGCTAAGGGAAAGGGGAGGGCTTCTCAAGGAAGTGCAGTGAACACTGCAAATGGACATGCGGATGGACTACCTTCTGTGACAGACTCAATGCCAGAAGGCTATCATCCAACTCCGCCCGGTGGAGTGGTTGAATTTCCCAAAGCCAACGATACAGAAGGCCAAGAAGAGATAAACGGGACGGGCTCTGGGGGTCCATCTGACGGTGTCGAAACACACGATCAGGATGGGGTTAACGTGGACAGTGGTCCTATGGAACAGGACGAGCAGTAGTCGAACGTGGCCTGAAGCAAGATGTGAGAGGTTGATGTTTCTTAGTGCATATACTTCTTATCAACTCGGGAGAGGAAAGGCTACAGAGATGAAGGCTGTTGGGGGTGTGGATTCCGCGTGTCGTTAGCACCACATGTGATGAACGTGACCTTTGCGCGGCCACCATTCCGGGCGGTAAGGACCGACGCTCCACACGGGTCTGTCGCTGCAGGGAGAGATCTGGACGGCGCTGGGAGACGCCGAGAGTAATCGTGTGCAACGAGAAAAAGTCCCCGGCGTCTTTAGAATTTATTTGAGTTTTTGGTCGTGGTTGTAAGTTGATGTCAGCAAGGCACGACTTAGTCGTGTGCGAATGAACCATCATACTCAAATTTCCTTCCTGACTTTATCTTGTTCCTCTTCCATCTGCTACCGCATAGTCCCTGCGCGTATTAACACCCTTTGGATTCTTCAACGACTACCAACCATCAACGCACAGTAGGGGAACATCTGCATGAAGAATGGCGACGAGGTCGCCCACATTCACCTCACCAAACGGTCACCACTTCCTGGGATTCGACCTATGTCATGAGCAATTCAGAGCAGCCATCGTAGATGGGCATCTCTCCACCGTCGGCGTCGAGATTGTTGATTTCGATAGCGAACTACCCGAATATCAGTTTAGTTCGAATTTCTTTTCTCCAGAAGACGCGAAATTTTGATCCCGCTCCTTGAACATGCTTTCGCGTTGTAGGACTCGCTCGGGCTTGTTTAACGCGCCTGGAGACATACCTACAGTACCCATCGAGATGTGGATCCGTGGCCTTGGTCAGTTTTGTTTTTCAGCGACTTTTTTAGTTCCTCGATGACGGAGTATCGGCGCAACATCTTTTCTGGGCTTGTGCGTTAAAACAGATCGGCTCTTGGAAAAACTGCGAGCTCGGTTCGATCTCAGCAAAATACGAACGATTGGTGGATGTGCTCAGGTGTGTTTTAGGTGTTGCATCATGGGCTCCCGTGACTGTCTCACTTACCCCAATATCGTAACACGTTGCTTTCAGTCCTGTGTGGTTTGGTGGCGGCACGAGTCTGCCTCACAATTAGTCTCCATTTCTGGCTCAAAACCCCTTCACGAACAAATAAACTCTTCTGCGTTCTCCATCCATTATGTCCCGATACCTCAAGATACATCGACGCAATCCCAATCTCTGACGCTAGAGGCAACCCTGGGCGCACCAGGTGCTAACACTGCTGCCCACCTCACTTTACCTGCTACACAAATAATGAATGTACGTGAAGGACAACCTAATGTTTGGTCGTCGACAGCCCGCATAATGCTTGCAAGTGCATTCTTGGCGACGTTGCTTGCAGGAAAATGGTGTCGGATGAGCGAGTCCGATGTCGTAGGCACGGGGATATGGAATTTCCAAGCCAAGACGTGGGATGAAGCCAGTTTAGACCTTCTGGCCGGAGGGAAAGAGGAAGCATCTCGACTACGCGAAATGCTGGGGGATGTGGAGAGGTCGGGAGGGGCTGAGGTCGGCTTGATATCTCCATATTTTGTAGAGCGATATGGACTGAGGTCGGGTGAGCTGATTTGTTTTCATTGTGAAATTGTTACGCTGACCGAATACCTGTCGTTAGACGTCACTATCAGCCCATTCATTTCTGATAGCCTTTCTGCGTACCTTTCAATTTCCCCTTCTCCAAACGACATCGTCATGTCATTTGGGACAACGGATGTTCTCATGGCCAGCGCTCGTAAATATGTCCCCAGTCGTCTCTATCACCTCCATCCTCATCCAGCACAAACACCTCAGGAGGAACCACGATTCATTGCTACCCTTGTTAGCCGTAACGCCGATACCCCGCGCGCATCTGTGCGCGATCTGTATACCAAAAGTTGGAGTGCTTTTGATCGTTTGGTGTCGGTCATTCCACCCGGAGGGTCTATCGGGTACGTTAATTCCATCACTCTTTTTTCGAACCCTATGGATTCACCTGAATGCGACGCGTACAATCCCCAGGCTCGACGATAAGGTTTTCAGCTTCTGGATACTTCAGGGAGAGAGCTTCCCGTTTGCGCACGTGAAGGGCGTTTACCGGTTCGAGATGGGCGTCAAAGTGAACGAGTTTCGAGATTTAAGAACAAATCCTCGGTCAGTGTGTTCTACCCTACAGGACTGAATGCTGATCATGGTAAATCGCTCAGCACCCTGATGGAATCGCAAATATTATCATTCCGAGTCCGCTATTCAAGAATGGCATCACAAGGGTTATTTTCTGATGTGGAGCCAGCCCAGCCACCTCCCATACAGACAGGATCGTTCGCTAGTCTTGGAGTTTCATTTGACCCTTATGATTATTCCACCCTTCCCCGTCGCGTCATTACCATCGGATCTGCCGCTAATTTCCCGAGTGTTGTCAATCTCATGGGAGATGTCTTCAATGCTCGGGTCTTTGTGCCATTGTCAGATCAAATGGTCGCGAATGCTGGTCCCAAGGCAAAACCTGCCGGATCATCAAGTGGCAGCACAACCCCTGGTGGTGTATTTGGTGCGGCTATTGCCCCGACGGTGACGGCAGCGGCGATGACTGCGGCGATGACTGCTGCTGCAACGGCCACTCATCTCCCTCCTGGTACGGTCCCTGCGCCGTCTAGAGCATCTGCTGCGCTTGGAGCAGCTTACATGGCTCGGTGGGCATGGAGGTGTAAGACCCGACCGGACGAGCAATTTGGCAGCTTTGAGGAAGAAGTTCATTATTTGCTGAGGCGAGGCCGAGGTACGCCGAGCGGCCAATCCAAAACGTCGAGTTCTCATGGGCATTTCTCCCCGTCACGCTCGCCGTCCGGTACTTCGACCCCGATTCCCCATCGTTCGCCGTCAGGCCTTGCTGTTGCATCGTATCCAGATGATGGCGAAATGCCCCAGGGAAATAGCCCCTCCCACGAGCAGAGACCAGGTGCGTGTGTTCCAATTGTTCACGTAATGTCCTCTGTCCTTACTGGTGTTCTGTAGCTCATGGTCTTAATTTGTCTCCTGGGGCTCTAACGTTCCCGGCATCGTCCTTGACAGCCAACAGCCCGGTCCCTGCTCCGACCGCCTTGTCAGCCCCACTATCATCAAACCCCGTCACACTTAGCCTGCCCCCTATGATGACGGATCTGTCTGATATAGAGGTTGGTCTCGTGAAAGTTTCAGAGCCAGACCCAGACACTTTCTTGACATACGCAGCTCTGATTCCGGAGTATTGTCGATTGGAAGGCATGCTCGTTCGGAATCTTGTCTAATCCGTCCGTTGTTTTCCCTCTTCCTCCATGAATCGATCGACCTCTTTCCTTTCTCATTTTCATGCTTTCGGCCCCTGTGCTCCTAGCAAAGCCTCAGCGTCATCAGCTTCTCAATACACCATATCGTCCTGAAGATGTCTAATTTTCGCTCATCCCAAAAACGCGAGCCCCTTGTGTCTTTTGTGCCTCGTAAATGCAGTTCCGCCGACTGATTGCCCTTTTTTGATTGGTATACCTTATCTATCTCAGTAGTACGCATCTGCGTAGATACCGCTCTCGTTCTTAAAGCAAAAATATGTTACGCATACACGACGAGGATTACTTTTGGAATTGATCATGATTCTTTGTTTGGTATTAACTAGACTGTTTGTCCAGAATTTTCATTTGATTTATGTAATGGTCGCATCCCACTAAAACCACCCCCGATCACCGGAATAAGAAGCGACCAAAGAACCAAAGAACCAAAAGGTGGTCATTGATTGCGAGTTGGACCGAACAAGTGGATTTCAAAGCAGAGGAAGATTTCTCCTCCCCAAGATCTCCCGTGTTCAGTGTGAGCATGGGATTATTCAGCACCGTATGATAGAGGAGTTCTGGCACACTGCAGAGGAAGGACACAAATAATATGGAGATGGATGAGAAGGCTTAACTATCGGCACATCCTCGTCTGAGGGCATCGGAGCAATATTTCCCTCTTCTCCGGTGGGGGTCGGGGGTCGGGGCGTGAGACCATGCAACGTTGAGGATAGCGGCATCGTCTTCATTCTTCTGAGCAATCTCCTCGTTAACCTCCCTTCTCTCGTCATTCAGCTCCTGATGGCCCACTATGAACGGAGAAACTCCATACCCTCAAGAATCCAGGTCGCTCAGGCTTGGGACTGCTCGCTGACCGTGGTCTGTTTTGTTGTTCTCGGCCACCGTTGACTCCAGCAAAGCTGAACAATGTCATTGTTCAGTCTACATATTGTTACGAAGTCATAGAGGCTGGAGTCCTGCCTGATTGTTGACCTTCACAGAGATATGAGTGTCGGATAGGATCAGTTTAGATACAACATAGACCTCATTAATATTGCTCTTGACATGAGATCCAAATGAGAACCCGGAGACACAAGGTCTTATCGAAACGGTTGTGAAGGGTGGGAATTTTTTTTAGTGGAACCCCCGCTGTATTTGGGGCTTGTGTCGGGAAACGAATAAACCGGTTTGGTGTTTCCCGTCACGGGGGGTCCGGTACACCCCACTGCTATTCAGCTAGTTATCCGGGAGCTTCTCTTCTTCTTGTAGGTTGCCACTGCTCCAGGTGTGCAGTACGAGTTTCGATTGGCACCTCGCATTTAACGCGCTTGAAATGTGTTTATTTCATGAAAAATAATATTTTGGGGAAACGCATTATTTTTGTCTGAAAGTGGATCTTTCAAGCGCTAATTTGCGCCACTTGATATTGATCAAAATTCCGCGTGTTACGCAATGTTATCGTTGCTGTAGATAATATCGATCATCCTTAAGTTATCACTACCGCTGCAAGGGCCCCAAACCGCGTCACAGTTCAACATACTTTCCCAGGACCGCGTGAACCATGGAAGCGTGAAGTCGTGGTCTTGACTTAATCGTATATAGTCAACGACATGAGTGGGATTAGTGCCCGATATCGATGACGTAGCAATCACTTTGATCAAGGATGAATCTTCGGTCACGAAGCCTCCAAGGAGCCTCTGCAGGTGGCGGGAGGCTTATGCATGGGATATGTCAGGTAGGTGGCGGACGAGCAACTCGCAATCCTGCTCCAAATGGGTTCCGTAGCCAGAATCGTGATTGGCTCATCGTTTGCAATATTGGCCGAGATCATTAATGACAGGAGGAAAATTTAAAAAGAAGAGGCCCATCACAGAGGAAGACAAAATGGAAGACAAAAGTGAAAAGAATCACACAAAATTTCAGTGTCGCAAATTTACAGAATACGAGGCAGTTCCGCAAAGTGTCATCGATTTGGAGGATTGATTGGGTATTTTCAAAACGAATGCTGTGGCAAGCTCTTGGATTTCATGGCCCGACATCCCAAGATGGCAGGGCATTTGGCTTGATGCCCACTAAGATTCAGCTTCCTCTGAACGAGCATCCCGCATGCACTGCAATGGACCCCCCTCCACTTTTCGGCCATGCAGAACCTGTGGAAACGGGCCAACAAATGAGGATATGAGGCCATGGAGGTCACCGGGCCGGTGACAAGAGCCGCGCTGAACAGATCACTCTCACTGGCTTCCTCAGTGGTCCTGTGGCCTCCCATATTGGCGTCCATGTTTGACATCCCGCCACCCACATCCAATTCTAAGACGGTGAACGCCAATGCAAGATCTTGATTATAGTGGTCGTTCTCGATGTATTTCCGGGCGATTCGTTGACGGTGCTGGAAGACGACGTGTTGTTGAAGGTTGCCGGCTCGCGAGCAGACGACATCGCAGAATCGGCAAGTTCCCGAAGGGGTAGGTTTACGCTTGTTAGGACGGCGTTTCGGAAAGAGCACGGACGCGAGCCAGTGAAAATCGTCCAACGTCATATGCCAATCCATTGGTTTATTAACACAAGGGAGTGATTTCCTGCGATAGGCGATGGTGGAAGGTGGTGAGGGTTCCGTGAGCTCGAAAGAAAAGTACGGGGGAGGTAGAGAAGTTGAAGATTGACGAGATACTCCGGAATGATCACAACTAGCCCCTTCCTTGCGCTCCGATAAAGTTGTTGGGACGGAGATTGGGGGTAAGTAGGACCCCCCGTGAGTTTCTCCATTCATGCCTGACGATCGTGGGGAAACTGAAGTCGAAAACGTCGTAGCGAGAGAGTTAGTCATGGGATTCGTCAAATACTGCGCCTCGATTCGAGCCGGTAGGTTGGAATTCATTGGACAGCATGCTGATGCCATCCTTGATTCCACACGCTGGGGATTAAAACAATCGTCAGGCTGACACCAGTGCTCTCCATTGATAAGAGCAGGAGGCATTGAAAACAGTGGACCGGTGCCTGTTTGGTAGGTGGTCATGTTTTTATTGACATTTAGTGGTGCTTGCACAATAGCGTGCCACAGCGGCCGATTCCTGTAGATGTCAGATGCGTAAGGAAGGCTTTGCTTGTGCAGTGTTTCGCCGGCGCCTAAATCGGATAAGCCTGGCAAGTGAGAACAGAAGCTATCAGCGCCCTGCGTTTGACATGACCCGGTACTCCTGGTGATCCTGAGCCGTACCTGGTGGCATTTCGCCTTCATAAAAGGCATGATTATTGCCCCAATACGCTGGGAAGCTCATAGAGTCTGCGCGAACAGCAGAAACGAATCGCAGAGAGAACTGTGGTCAGTGCTACGTAGCAGGCGCTGAAAAGGACAATGCCATTCACCAGTGTAAGGCGATCGGATTTGTTGTGGGACTAGAGGGTGCGGACAGTGGGACAGTCGTTGAGTAAGGATTACGACTACATTTAGACCGAATTTGGACGAGTAAACGCACGACTCAGGATAGGGTTTGGGATATCAATGCATCCGTATCTAACTTCCATTGGGATCTGCTGGCTTGGAAGGGGTGCGGATGAGTGAGAGCAAAGGGGGAACTGAACTTAGGACCCAAAGTCCTAGGCCTTATAAAGATACAGCACGGCAATTATGAACCTTGGGCTAGGAGCAGCACAGAAGTATCACCAAAAAATACTGAAGGATACGCTGCAGTTCGGATGGTTATCTTCGCTACACTCAAGACCGGATCCCTGTCGACACATGTGCTCAGGGTGTGTGCCACGCCATCCAATACTCAATTCGGACTAGGCTACATTTGTTCCATAGCGCATCTGGAGCGATCATCTGGATCCGGTGTACGATAGGACCATTCTCACAAGTTCAGCCATGCGTTTTCCCACAGGAAAAAGAAATCCCCCTTTGCGAACAAATTCCCCGCCAGCTCGGCTAATTATTAGTGCCTATCTAGGGATCCAGCTCAGATCAACCATCCCTGTAGTAGACAATCCTGTAGCTCTGCCGTTACGCTGTTAACGAATAGATCAAGCCGATACGGGTGTAACGGGCTAGTATTCCCATCAGCAAATCTGGAGACTCAGAAAAGAGGCTGGATCCAGGGTGTTATGCGCACAAGGGGTCTCACGACTGCTGGGGAGGAATACGCTCTCCACGATCACAACCTAAACTGACGGACAAAAATTGCGGCGAAACCCCAACGCGCAATCTTAATTCCTTCAGCGGATCGTATTAAAAGTCAAATGGAGGCGCAAACGGAACATGGGAGACAGGGAGAGATGAGAAGGGAGCGAAGAAGCCATGCTTTATATGAACGGAAGGCTCCGTGCGCTCGGGGAAAAAAAATCTGATTTAGGAAGGACGACATGAACGTCACCAGCAACGTCACGTTGCTCATTTTTCCTGACCCCTTCAGGCCCAAACTGTGGTTCGGTTTTAGTTCTCTAAGTCAGGGGGAACCGGTTCTCTAATTGAAAGGGCACAGGCGCTCAGCAAAGAGACAAAAATTGAAATGCATGCTGGCAAACAGTACTTGGTCATACATCTCGAGCCACAGTGGTTGTTGCCCAGGCCAAGAAAAGGGCGCGATTATTAGCTTATTCAGCTCCTTTATCCTCATCACTCGCGTTTTTGCATTTGTCCTTGGCATAGGCCAAAGTTGCATGTGTCACTAAAATGTGGGGTTTAAGAAGGGGCTTACCGGGTAGATAAACTAAGGTCTGCACCCCTATGTCGTTGGTGTAGAGACTAATCGCTAAGATGGGAAGGTAAGTGTAATCGATATCATCCCAAAGGCGAGTGCTCTTAAAGGGTGTGCTGAAGGGGTTCAAGGTCCAGAAGGTCATTCAGAGTTGCCGATCGTACCGGACGACATCGTGATTATCATTGAGAGGAGCCTTGCAATCTTCAAGCGACATTTCTTCCGATGACCCCATTGATTGCTTTTCTGGCACCCAGCGAAAGAGTTGAGATATGTGGTGACCAAATTTTACGCGATTTGAACGGCACCTATAAGGTGCTGTTCTAGGGGGTATGGGCAATTGCCAACTTGCGTCATAGTTCCTGATTCAGTTTCTTGCCGTTTCAACGTCATGGAATTGTGGGTGCACCGGGTCTCATCACTAGTCCCACTTCTAACTCTCCCGTGGATAGGCAGGTGACCAGCCTCTCAATTACGTAAATCATTCACCGGATCTAGATCAAGCCTCCAGTCCTTCATCTTCAGGGAGCACAGACCTGGCCAGAACAACAAGTAAGTTTCCGATTTATGACCAGCTAACTGGACCCAGTATTCACTTGCGTCTTTTAGTACTGTATCTTTATTTTCCACAATTAAATCCCGAGCTTCCGGTGGTAGACAGGTTGCGCGGTAAGGCATATACCATTGGATCGACCTTAGCGGCAAGTGACCTTTGATGGGTGATGTCCAGGTAGCGTTTCCATTCAAAATAGGTCATCCGTTGTCGGTCTCGTTGTTTGGATGGCGATCATCCGGGTCTTCTCCGGCAAGCAGGAGAGCATAATGCTCTTCTTTCCCCCCAACGTGCCTCTCGGCGTCATGGTACCTGAAGGTGCTATTTAACTGCTTCAAACAGGATGCCAAGGAAATCATACCTCCACCGATTGCCGAGTATCTTAATGCACTGGCGACTAAGCTGATAATATCAGCCTGGTCCTTGTATGCACTGTTTCCTACGTCGCTGTCAGGGTCCATATCCAAGATGTCATGCCTGAATTAGCAATTTGAATAAATTGAGAGCGCCCTTTGCGCGGAAAAGGATGTTGTTGAGCTCATCTCTTTGTCGGTCCAGGATTATGAACATCCACGTGATCTCCCGTACAACAAGGATGCGAGCTCTGGGTTGGCTTGGGGATTCGCTAAGGCACAAACTTGCACTGAGTCATAGAGGCGGAATGAAATCCACGGTTTCTCTTGCCGGAGGTGCCCACGATGACACTCCACTAATCGAAGTCTCCTGTACCAATGCTCTCTGAGACTACCATCTGTCTCTAGAGGCTAGTACCCTGCCTAGGACTACCGCGCTTGTCTTCACTGAGGCCGAGGCTGCAAGAGAATCTCCAAGCGTGTATCATTACACTTTCCCGTGGCGCCTAAACGAGATTTGACTTTAAATTGGTCACGTCCGCTTTCCTTCTTTTTGTTCCCCGTGGGATCTGGCTTGATGATCTTTGGAGACACTCGGAGTGACTCCACGAGTTGAGTGGAGGATACGTCTCACTTACCTTGGTTGCTGGTACGTGTACTCTCACCACGGATGGTAAGCGATTAAGGAATGTCGTGGCTTAGCGAGGCGCATCCATTTCTACTTGGTTTTGGTAGTAGAGACCGAGGTCTCTCATCGGGCCTGGCTCAACAAGTAGAGCCTTCCGTAAGGCCCCGTAGGCGTTGGAACGTGGCGCGAAAAAACTGGGCGAGCCATCAACTATGATGGTTCTCGTGAGGTCCCAGTAAAACAGGGGAAGGCCGCTTGAGCATCAAAAGGGTTGGTTTTTGGATATTCATTTTTTTCCCCTGCCATCTCCTCTCGCAGTTGGTTGTGCGTTGGGTGTGCGCCGGTCTCTGGCTGTGGACGTTCACCTATTATCTCGGTCACTTTGTCGATTAGCTGTAGACGGGTGGCATTTAAGGCGACTTTCCCTGAGAGGGGTTTGTAGGGAAAAGTACAGTCGGCTTCTCTGGGGCCATTTCTTCAGTGCGCTCTTGGACGTATCTCTTGTTCACTCACCTTTCTCAGCCACCCCTGTATGTGAGTTGAGGCTGCTCCTCTCCCGGCAGTAGAATATTTGTGCCTCTAATTTCAGCCTTAGTTTCTAACCATATCCCTTGGCTAGCTAGACTATTTCGCTTTACTCCAGTAGAGGCTGGGATCTTGTCTATTGTTTCGCCACAAGTGCACCCCTTCCAAAGGGTTCGGGTTGGGGCTTTTGGCTGACCGTACCCTTCCATTTGGGTGGTGGGGTTGGGTCACAACGAGTTGTGGGATACGCGTAGCTGGTAAGCAACGCACGTGTTCAACGACACCTTACTCGAGACTTCCCCAAAAGCGATTGCTACATTCCAGGGAATTATCGTTGTGACGGAACCAATCTGGAAGTTCTGGTTTGGGACGCTTGTTTGTACCGAAGAACGGAACTGATCGAATCGTGCGCTTTGGGACACTTGCCGCTCATCAAGAACAGTATTTGTGCCGTCATGTCGGACGTTCCGGCCTACCTTCGGTGAGACTGTCTTGGTGGTTGGCGCCACTTCGGCATCTAATTTCAACGTTGTTCTTCAAGTCTTGGGCTGTACTCCTCCTTTACGAAGTACACAAGATACTTGTTCACTCTTCGCTCCGTCTCCCAACCGTCAAAATATCACACCTTGCTTTTGTTTCGGCTTTCTCCCAAGTTAGTGACAGGGTATGTTATCATGGTCATTAACACATCCCAAGGGCAACTGGACACTTATCAGTGGGACTTATACAGGGAATGTCGTTCCGACCTCCAACCACCAGTTTCTCAATCCGACCAATTGTTTGTCATGGAATCGTCTTGCCCTCATCTAGGCGCTGATTTATCCCACGCCGAGATTGAAGAGTGGGGAGACGAATCAATGGTTGCAGGTACGGATGCTTGCTGATATCTCCGCTATTGGGGAATCCTCTTTAATGGGCTCGGTGCATTGCAGTCTGTCCCTGGCATCGATACGACTTCGACCTACGGACCGGAAAGAGTGAAACAGGATTACGCGCTTGCACGTACAGTGTGAAAGTTCTGGACTCGGACACTTCTGGAACAGCCCAGATATGGGTTGAGTCGCCTGGTGAAGGTGGTTGGGACATTGTCGAAATAAGGCCTGTGTCTGAGGGTGCGTATTGCAGATCATATGAGTACAATATCGCCGCTACGTTTGCTGAATGGCGTTGCATGCGCCAGATTTTGCGGATCCTCCTTCGGCCATTTCACGTAACCCGGTGGAAAATTCTAACATCACGAGCTCTAGCAGTGTGGCGATAAGTGAAGAAGCAGAGCCTACCACATTGTTTGAATGGGCAGTGCTGATATTGAACACTCCTAATCCGGAGCTGAAGGTGGTTCCCGGCGCCACTTCGTTCCTATGTGCGTCCTAACCCCGATACTGTTATGCTAGGTCAAGAGAACCCGCGATGCAGTCCTTGCCTTCCGCACGGGAAAACTTCGATCCGTTGGCCGTGGGGTGAAGAACAAACCGGTGCCACCCGATGTTCCCCCTAGAGAGAAAGATTTAAATTTTGTTGCACCCGGAAAAGTCACTAGAAGAGGGAATGGTGGATCTCTGAAAAGTCGAATCATCATACTCCACGCGCTTGCTAACATCGAACAATGGGCGTTAGTGCATTCCATTCCCGATTTACTTGCGCTGGCTAAGTCTTGTAATTTATCATAGGGTCGACCTAGCGTATGCATATGCTGACTTCAAAAAGTCATGCAGTACTAAAATCTATTTTAGGTGGGACATTATTGCTCGGTTTGGGGACGAGAAAGTGGCTGGTCAGGCTCTTCCGCATCAATTCTTCTCTGACTGGGTGAAAGTAGCCGAAGATGAGTCCAAGTACACACACAGATCTTGGAGCCTCTTTGGAATGGAACTAACGGTGATGTTGTCCTTGCCAGACATTTTAGCCTTCTCCGTCGAAGGCTACAGGAACTCGGCTCATTTTATGGCGAGCACACCGTCCACGCGGGGCTTTGGGAGAGTGCTCGGGATACTGCTCATTCTTTGCCTGCCCGCTTGTGCATCATTCACTTGGTGCATGAGGCTCGGGGGCTTGATGTTAATCCCACAACGATTGCTAAATTCCGCGCAGCAGGTGACCAAGAGAGTGTTCGGGTACTAGAAATCATACACCATGATGAGATTACGGTTAGTGGCACCTTACAACCTGATACGGAGCTTCATGCGACTTCAATTTGCAGCACGTCACGGCGGGGCATCGCTGGTTCACGTGGATATGTGAGGCACTGGCACTGGATCCGATACACGAGTTCCGGGAAAACGTACGGAAATACTTCAACGGCCTCATCAGGGGGCCTTTCAACGAATCAGACCGCAGATTAGCTGGAATGACTCCCGATTACTATCTGGACCTCAGGGGCGAGGGAGGAGTTTTAGATCATAAGAAAGAAGGTCCCGTTACGTACAATATATAACCAAAAAGTCCATTCTTATGTGCGAAATCAACAATTGCTCGCTCGACTAGTGACTAGCTACGATTATGTACCACAAAAATAAATGAGATGATATGTTACAATGGAACCAGAAGGAATCGAGTCCCAGGATCCGCAAAATAATCAAGGGTCGCTTACTCGTCTTCGCCCATAATGGCCGCCAAGCCATCATTGGCTTCGTCTGCTACGCCTTCGAATACTTTGAAAGCGGTACGGCTGGCAGCATCGCCGTTCGTAGTAAATTTGGCAGAAGACACATCCTTCTTCCAGCCAACGGCCCGCTCCTCGAATACTTCAGGCCTTCGATCCAAGAGTGCTTCAAGTGCTTCATCACTGATGAGATTCTTCTTGTCGTCCGAGGCTGAGACAACGTGGATCTTCTCACTTTCCAGGCGAAGGAGTGTAGCTGCCATTTCCGCGATACTCTCCTGCCTTGTGGCTTGCTTACTGTGGGGAAGTCTGAACTTGCCTGCAGATGAATTTAATTCCTGGAAAGACTGTGATCCGTGCACCGACACGCACCTTTTGCGATGACCAGTGCCTCCAGCTTTCGCTTCTCCCCAGCTCGCGACATAATCTTCGTTTCGACCGTGTGGTTCGCCACCAATCGGAAGATAAGAACAGGACGGGTCTGGCCAATGCGATGAGCCCGATCCTGTGCTTGCAGATCCATTTGAGGATTCTATATACCCGGCAGGTTCAATGTATGCACGTATATCGCGAGCGCAAGACTCACCCAATCCTGATCATAAAAGATGACGGTGTCCGCTTCCACAAGGTTGATGCCCAATCCACCAGAGCGAGTGCTTAGAAGGAAAAGACGTGGAGCAGAGGGGCCATTACCGCCATTATTGAAAATTTCCATTTGCTCGCGCCGTTCCTGAGGCGCGGTTGACCCATCGATGCGACAAATCTCCCACCCTTTGTACTCACGGGCCCAATCCTATAGTATTGGCTGAATATTAGCTCAAAGGATGAGAGAAGGGGGCCTTGCCTCTATCACGTCCAGCATGGTTACAAACTGGCTAAAAAGGAGGACTTTGTGCGGCCGCGACCCGTCTTGCTTGGCATCCTTACCAATAAGTGCTTCCAGAAGTCGATCCAGGAGGAGCATCTTTCCGCTAGCATTGATAAGGTCATCCCCGAGTATTGGCTGCCTTGTGACGGGATCCGTAGGCCAGGTGAACAAGTACGGATGAGAGCATACTTTTCGAAGCTGCATGATTGTATTCTGAAGCTTCATATTGTTCACGGATTTAGCTACCCATGTAGCGGTCGTGAGTATGAGTTCACGCAACGAGCACACTGCTTACTTGCTTGCTTGAGGGCGTACTCTCGTCCCAGCGACTCTTCAGTCTTTTCTTTGATCTTTCTGCCTCTCGCGGTCAAACTTTTGGTGCGTGGCTTATCACTCTGGAGTTGAGCGAAGTATTCATCGTCATCGTCAAGAACGTCATAGCTAATATCTGCGCGTCGACGAAGTCGCATCTTGCGGGCCCCTTCGTCATCATCTTCCTCTCCAGACGAAGAACCAACGTCCAGCTCAAGCCTGTTGCCGCCAGATGCTCCGAGCCCACGACCGCCATCAAAATTCTCGATCAGCCAGTCTCTGACTCGACCAGATAGAATGGCCTAGCACAGAGGGGTGAGTCGTCGTACGTCAATGGTAGACAATAGTTCACACCTCGTAGATTTCCACTTGCGGTCGAGTGAGCGGAGCAAAAAGAACATATTCCTTTTTAGGAGGCAAATTGAATTCCACGTCTACCTTAACGCGTCGTAGCAAGAAAGGCTTGAGGATTCCGTGAAGTGTAGTGATAAGACGTCCGCTGTGGGCCTCTGTCAGGATCGGATCCCCAGGGGATTCACCACCAAATTCATTTGCAGCACTCGGAGCATTGAACCTGAAGCCCTGAATTCAGATGAAAAGACACTGCACGCCTGCAAAAACCGCACCACTGGCGCAGTCAAAATCAGACCCAAGGACTTCCAACTTTGGAATAATGGCTTACTTCTTGAAAACTATCAAGGTCGTTGAAAATGTCGGGTAGGATGAAATTCAAGAGAGACCAGAGCTCCGCAAGATTGTTCTGTATATGATGTTCGGAGAAGTCGGTTGTGAGTGTGAGTAGTGTTTGCATACCTGTAATGGAGTTCCAGTTAGTATCATCCTATTGGCACTGGAATACTGCTTGATCTCGCGCATAAGTCTAAGTGATTGGTATGATCAATACGGAAATTTTTCAACCGAGAGAGCCGTTCTTACTTGCAATTCATATTCTTCAAACGGTGACCTAAGAAATAAATGAGGAACGAGGTGCTCCTCCGGGATCAAAACTGAAGGTACCTTCATCAACAATGATATAACGCCATTCGTATCTAGACAGGTGCGGCCGATCTCGCATGACAATATCGTAGGTAGTCAGGACAATAGGGAACATATCAATTTTTTTCTCAGGTTTTGACAAGTCATTGAGTTCAGGGAGAGACTTCCGAGGGATGGCACGCTTGAAACTCCGCTTCTTCTTAGACCTGGATGCCGGGCCAGGACTGGCTGGGGAAACCGTGGATTGGTTCGGGTGTTCACTATGCATCACTTCCTCGCGTAAACGCGCACGCTCCTCGGGCGAGCCATGATAAACGCAAGTGGGAATCTAACGGATGGCTCAGGCAGGAGGGTGGATAGCATAATGACCCACATACAGCAGGTGCGAATCGCGTGAATTCGGCTTCCCAGTTGTGCAACACACTGAGCGGGGCGACGACCATTATTGGGCCCTGAATGTAACGCGCCTTCAAGTGAGCAATGAAAGCAATAGTTTGGATTGTCTAAGGTAATTCAATGTGAGCGCGCATCATTCTTGGTTCTCCAAATTATGCATACCTTCCCTAATCCCATTTCATCTGCCAAGATCCCATTGAGACCATTGTCAAATAAAGATAGCATCCACTGTACGCCTTGAAGCTGATACTCCTTCAGAGTTGCGGTCATTAATGGAGGCTGCTCGAGGGTTGTGCTATCTAGGGCGTCATTAGTTTCCGGATTAATTGCATCATTTGTTTCATCAGCGTGGGGACGTTTTGCATCTGGGGTCCCTGGAGCTTCTTCCTCTGCCATGCGTTTGCGTGTCCGGGGCTTGGGAGACGACACTGAAGATGCTGTCACTTTGGGGCCCGCATCTGAAATCACCTTCGCCTCGAGTGCAGGCTTTTTCAGCCCAGCCTTCCTCTGGCGCGCGCTCTCTTGCTGCTCCTTGAGTCGAGACGCGAGAATGGTGGTGTATGCCGTAGACCGGGAAAGAAGCACATCCAGTTTCTCCAGTTTCCGACGTAATTCCTAAGAATGTGGTTACTGCAAATTCAGCAATTCAGTCGAAACGATCAACATGCCTCATCCCTTTCGTTGGTGACTGTTTTGTCTTCTAATGTCGACGCGGTCTTGGAATGGGACACGCTGGGTGCATGAACCGCGGTTGCCTCTGAGGATGGAGTGGACATTGCGCGTTCAATAAAGTTCTAGCGGCAAGAACGCGAGAATAACGCGTCTTCGCTTTGGATCAACGCGACGTTCCTTAGAAGAGAACGGCCCAAAGCGCAAGCGAAATTTGGAGTGGAAATCAGCGCGGAAATGGCCGAACGGCCCTGATAAATTGAGTCAGTCCAAACTTGCCAAGAACGTCAAGACAGTTTCTAAAGAACTGGGAGAAGAAAATGATCTATATATACACTGCAACACATATAGGCAAACACGGTAGTAGGAACAGGGAGGCCACAAACCCGAACCAAGGCGGGATCCAGCCTCCATGAGGAATAAACTGGAGCGACCCAGGGGCAGAGAAAATTGGCGGGGCGGGGGATCTCATGGAATCGGGGATTGAGGGAAACTAGGACTCCCGCAGGTGGCAAGGCGATTTCGCGGACCGCCCATGCTCAACAAACTTTCGAAGTTCATACTATCCGCACGAAAAGAACGTCGGTCAGCCAACACTCGCGGAAAGTAAAAACTTCATACGAACAACATCATCATTCAGAGATCTGGGTATATCACGGCTCGCACCTGTCCCACGATTGTGATGAGAACGGAGGATCTGAGTCGAGGGGCCCGACCGAAAAGTCCTCGACGAGGGACGTATCTATCTCGAATCAGATGAACAAGTCCAGATGGCTCCTAGAACGCCACTAACCTTCGGATTTGCGGCAGTCTCCACCCAATCAGAACCGGAGTGGTCGAGATGCTTAAACCAGTTACCGCGTTGATTGAGCCTCACAGTTTCCAATAAGCGATACAACTAGCACAATTTGTACCAAACACATACGACGCAAGCAGACTGTTGCTATAGATTCTGCATAGAACTGTAAGCCGACTGGGTCAGCCAGGAAATTTCGCAAACGCTAAAGCTTCTGGAGCGCACGGTAGCTGAATCCAAGGGCAGAATCAAATCCGGTCAAAAACTGATGCACCAAGAGTTATCCCCGCCCCCCTTCCGAAAAATGCTAGTGATGATTCGAAACTCACCGCAACGACAATAGTGCAGGCCATCACACTGGCCAAAGTGCCAGTGCCGAAGGTGAATGCAATAAGACGTTTTATGCCCCTATCCGTCCTATAGAAGCTGTTAAAAGTCATTAAATCGGGGTGAAAGTGTGGGGGCATACGATCTGAACCTAGTCTTGGTTCCCATAAGTTCACTGATCACGGAGTATGTGATGAGAACATCGCAAAGCGCGGCAGATACGCCAGCAAGGGTAGGAGGACACTGCTTTAGAGCTAATAGTTAGTAGGAGTTAAAGTTTCTCAAGAGAAATGGGGGAAGACACGTCCGACACATACGTGTTTGGGTCTGATGTACTCTGCGATTGTATTTACCATCACGCTATTGGGGTTAATTCAACGCATACGTCAAGCACCATGCATAGTCTCGGGGACAAAAGCTTACGTTGTAGCCATTGACCCTACTCACAAGATATTGCACCTATCAAACAAACCATGACAAGGTGTGCGGGGGACTCACATAGTCCAAAGCCTAAATGTCGAGTTAATATCAGGAGCGACGGTAGACATGCCATGCAGAATGTACGCACCCAACTGTACATGGGCCCAAAATACCTTACAATCAAACATCAGACGAATTGATAACAAGCGGATGACATGGACAAACGATAAAGCCAGTTAAAACTACCCGTTTCTTATTCACTGTTGGTGTCAGGGGCTGATTAGGCGGCCGCAGGAACTAGCCGGGGGAGGGACTCACAGAGCCAGCATCGTCTTGCATAAAACCTGGGAGGGAAATGACCTGAACAGTGCGACAATCATGAGACAAATGATGCTTACATTTGGACAAGGTAACTGACAAGTGTCTAAATAGAAATTAGATAAAGGCAAGGAAGGAAGATAAGGGATCTATGTACTTCTGTGAACACAGTCGACTGAGGAAAGGACGGATTGCTTCAGAGTATGGGAGCCAACATGGTGAACTGAGGGCATACTGTTATTGACCTGGGGTGCGTAAGTACGTGGTAACGATAGAATAATCGACCTCCAAGCTGGCAGAGGACTCACCATGTGAAGTGCTGCGTAAGTTGGGGTCTGCTAATATATGCAACCTGGACCCCAGAGGCGCTATTGATGAAGGTGGCGAGGGGAGTGAAAAGAGAGAAGACGCACGAGATACATATACAGCGTGTAAACACAGAACATATGGTGCAATGTGTCGATCGCTGTTACTACGATTACCTAGATAATAAAGCTTAAGTATTCCCTAGTGCGCATACAATACTCACATTGTACCGAAAGTATCTGGGGTCTTTTCTCCAAAATCGTTTCAAATAAAGACAAGCCTTAAAGCGCGTGAATTGATTTGTAAGAGTTGAAAGGAGACATGGACACACCTGGTAGTGTTGTACTGCAAGGAGACTATGTTGATATTCAGTTCCCGATCGCATTGAGGACAACTAATCCACGAACAAAGAAGAGAAAATCGTGCAGACGATCAATGCCCCGAACGTTTTCTGCGCAAAACGAGAATGGGACGGAGACATGGTGATATTCGAATGGGGTGCAGATGGGCCGCGAGCTAAGTCCCCCATTCGTACATCCACTAAGGAGTCCTTATATTAGGAGTAGCCATCGGTAGGCAACATGACACTATGTAACACAACATCTTAATCCTATTGCCCCACCCACATAGAACCAAATAACCGAGGCACCGATCACTTTCAGGGTAGCGGATTGTGCCACACAACACCAAGAAAATTCACCGACAACCAACCGGTATTTTACCAATAAATAGGATTAGTACGCATTCGTGCCGCCACTCTGCATGCCAGACAAGTCCGCATTGTACAGTGATGAGGAATGCCCTGTCACTGATGTCTGGAATGTCTAGGATACGTCTCGCAATCTGGGTCATGTTAACTGTTGCGGTAGAACTTTCCGCCAAAAATTCTTTCTACCATCGCGCACTCTGCCACTCTTACTTATTAAGCTGTCGTGGGTGTTGCCACCGTGGAGGATAAGATGAGTCGGAAAGATCCGTCGCGACGGGTCAACCAATTTTCAAAAACTTAATTGTTCCGACGGCGCCCAGGAAATTTTCACCGACGGTCGCAATGACTTCCCCGAAAGATGGGATTATGTAGTAGTACATGTTTGCGTTGCCACTGCTAAGGCTCTACTGAACGAGTTTACATTGTACGGTCATGAGGACTCATGCCTATCAATGCCTATCATTGCAGTACTCCACCCCGAATGTTATAACTTTCTTTCCTATAGGGATGCCATGACCAGGCAGATATCTGCATAGGGTTCGTATGTTTGGCCACCAGGAAGCAGCGACGCTGCTGCTTTCAGCTCAACGTTGCCAACTCCCACATAAGTACACGCACCGGGGATGATGATGATGATAAATACCCCGCAGCCCCGTGATGACGTGGCAGTGCGGCTGTCCTGTCCTGACACCGTAGCGTACATGGGGGGAATGTCAATACATGATGGGTATTCTGCGGGGATGCGTGTGTGTTGCAGACTACAGGTTGGTCTCGAAATAAATACACGAAAATAATGTGAAAAGAAGGGATGCGTTCTGTCTGTAGGCAGGACTCCAGCCTCTATGACTTCGTATTCGGTCTGGGGAGTCTGTCCTATGACTAAGTAGTTCCCTAACCATTTCCTCTGGGGAGTCTCCACTTACATGTGGTCGGTTGTGCTGCCAGTTTTCGAAAAGGGGGGATTCCTCCTTTCGGGGCGGACGTTAACTCTTGGGGTCGAGGGTCTATTCGGTTGGAATTTTCTTCTCATATGCTCCACTCGCGCTAAGGAAACTCGCTACTCTTAAACTACCGTCTTCCTCACCGAGAAGGTCTGCTACGCCTCCCATGACAGTACAAGGGCTAAAATCGGACTGGGAGGAGTTGGCTCTATGATTCTACTCCCACAACATGCAGAAGGTGACGTGGAGCAGCCAGTTGCTGTTGCTGTTCCATCTGGGTGCGAGCGAACAACTAGGAGTCTACACGCTGCCCCAGCACTGGGAAAATTCACCGACGGTTGCCAGGTAACTGAGGCTCTGCTCCGTGAGTTTGTATTCGTAGATTGCTGAGGAATCCCTGATGATTGCTGTAACTTGATTTATTTGTGACACTTTTGTGCTGGCAGTTCTCGCGGAGCTGTCCCCACGACTTAACTGGATCTGGGTCCATCTGAGATCATTTTCGCTTCTAGTGCAGGACTTTAAAGCTCTGGCACGCCCGATAGATCGGGAGAGAAGCATACTTATCCAGCTTCCGGCGTAATTCCCAAGCACCACGTGTTCTCTTCGAGGGAGTCTGGAAAGCGGAGACGCCGGGTGCTTGAAACGGTGGTAGACTTTGAGGATATGTTGGATATACAAGTCATGATGAAGCCCATCGTTATGAGCCCACTCTGTGGCGGACACTTGGTGTGGGGCGAAGGGGATGAGCGTGTAGGGAAGCTGACTATATGATATCAGTATAAAGTATTTCACAGTATTTATAGTAGAATAATCAATAAACAGGATCGAACGACCTGGAGGTGGTTGTTGAGGTTTGTGCGCAGGAACATATGTCGGTACGGCTTGGTTAAGGGCGCCGAGAGTGACCGCTTCTACATTCGGAGTGGAGGTTGACATGGCTGAATTGGCTGGTCAAATTAAACTGCTTATTGCTCGACCCGGACCAGCGCCAAAAATTGAGCAGAGAACAGTTGCTACAGAGCTTGGAGAGAAACGTCTCTTTATCGCGACAAAAAAGCAGCAGAATAGAGGCCCGGCGGGATATCAGCTGCCGTGGAGATTACGCTGGAAAGCAGCTCAGGAACAGAGGGGATTGGTAGGGCGGGGAATCTCGTGTGGGAAAACGAAGGCTGCCAGAGTGACTTGCCGTATCGCTGACCTCAACTTGCGTTCACGGATTCAAGACACATTTCAATCATCAACTCGGATCGAAACGGTCAAACATGCCCCGTCCTCTCGTTGGCAACTCTTAAATTTATCTTCTGATCTCGAGGGCGCCTTGGAAGTGGGCGCGCTAGGTGCCTGAACGGCGATTGCCTCTGAGGATGACTCTATTCTGATAGAGGCTGGTCACCACCAGTTTCCGTGGAGATTAAATTGGAAAGCAGCTCGGGAACAGAGAGAATTGGTAGGGCAGGAAATCTTAAAAGTTGGAAACCGAAGGAAACTTGGGCACCTGCTGGTTGTAAAGTGATTTTCCGGATCATGGCCTCAAATTATGTTGTCTATTCCTTTCTGCTCAACGACGCCGCAGAGTTCTCAGAAACTCTCCGTGCGAAAAGCCAGTCAGGTAGAAAAGTTCCAGGAAAGACTTGGTACGAACACAATCTGAGTCCGAGTCTGAGTGCTGTCTGGCCATACCACCCTTGTTCCAGGATTAGAAGCCAAGTGATGAGAACTGGGAACCTGAGCTGACGAGGGACACTTCTATCTCGAAATCAGGTGAACGTGCAAGGCCGGATGACGCCTGGAACACCACTGACCTTCTCGATTTGGGGGAGTTTCAACCCAATCGGAATCGAAGTGGTCAAGATGCTTAAACCAGTTGCCACGTTGATTGAGCCTTACGGTTTCCAATGAGCGATACAACTGCACAATTTCGACCAAACACATACGAGGCAAGCAAATTGTTGCTGTAGATTCTGCATAGAACCGTAAGTCAATTGGGTTAGCCAGGAAATTTCACAAATGCGAAAGTTTCTAAAGCGTACGGTAGCCGATCCCAAGCGGTTCATAATCAAGCCCGGTCAAACACTGATGCATCAAGGGTTATCCCCGCCGTCCACAAAGAATGCCTTGATTTGAAACTCACCACAACGACGATAGTGCAGGCCACCACGCTGGTCAAAGTGCCAGTGCCGAAGGTGAATGCAATCAGACGCTTTGTTCCTCTATCCGTCCTGTAGAGGCTGTCATTAAATTAAGAGGGATGTTGAGCATATGTGATGAGAACATCGCAAAAAGCAGCAGACCCAGCACAAAGAATGGAAAGATATCGCTTTGTAACTAATAGTTAGTAAGAGTTGGAGTCTCAAGAGGGATGGAGAAAGATGCATCTGACACATACGCGTTTGAGGCTGATATACAATTGTCTTCACCATCACGCTATTAGCATAAATTCAGCTCATACGTCAATCAAGACTAAGGCTTACGTTGCAGCGGTTAATCCTACTCACAAGGTAACGTGTCTATCAAACTAACCACGACAAAATATGCGGGAAACTCACATAGTCCAAAGCCTAAGTATCCGGTCGGTGTCAGATGGGAGTAGGAACAGTGGCACGCGTATCCATGAAGAATGCACACACAAGTGCACATGGGCCCAGAACACTTTACGACCAAACATCAGGCCGAATTCGTAGCAAACGGATGACACGGACGGACGATAAAGCTAGTCAACACTACCCGTTTCTTATTCACTGTTAATGTTAGGGGTTAATTTGGCGGTTGCAGGAATCTAGCCAAAGGAGAATCTCACAGAGCCAGCATCGTCTTGCATAAAACCTGGGACTGAAGCAGTGCGACTATTATGAGATCCAAATGACGCCTACATTTGGACAAGATAACTAAGAACTAGCTAATAGGAAAATCAGATAAAAATTCAGGAAGAAGATAAAGACTCTACGCACCCCTGCGGTCAAAGTCGCCTGAGCAATAGGAATAGGATGGTTTGCGTCAGTATATGGGAGGCAACATGGTGAACTGGGAGCATACTGCTATCGACCTAGAGTACGTAAGTGACTCAAATCAAGCCAGCATGTCATTCTTCCGTTATGAATATGAGGAAACCCTGATTTGGTGATTCTAGTGTCGAACTGAAGACTATCCATTCCAAAACCTGGGCCAACACTCCTCTCCTGGCAATCCCCCACGCCCAGATTCCACGCTATATATAGTAGACGCCATCGGCAAGTGGATATCATTCTGAATCGTACCTTGCGCCGGCGCGGGGGGAATTCTCGTGTGGAGCAATTTGCCAGTGAATTGAATTGTTTTTGGAGGACATACGGACATACGACACAAAAATTCGGATATAACTCAGTACAAGTTATCATTTTTTGTGGATGATCACATGACCACTTGGTGCCCCAACCATGCCTCAAGACGAGGGGATGGAAGATGTGCAATATTCTTCCACATCATTGGGTAAAAGACGCCCCATATTACGTGACGATCAAATAGAAACGGTCTTTCAGTCTAGCGAGGATTCTCGCCCCTTATGGGTAGCTTACCTAGAGAAAGCTGAGGGCAAGGCAGACCATGAGGCGTGGAGTAAACTCATTCGTAGTGTTCTGTCTACTCTTTCTCAGGGTCTGAACGAGGCGGGTGTGAAAGTTGTTTCACGAAGCGAGCGGGCATCGATCATGGAAAACTTCGGCGATGTTGAGCGCAGAAAATGTCAGGATCTGATTACAGACGCACTCAGACAGAGCAAATGGCACCCCTTGATCAGATATGGTGTGTATCAACCAGCGTTCGAGGCACTGATTGTGATTAATTGGTGGTACAGTGGATGTGAAGCTGCGGCTCGCAGAACCTGGGGTGCCTTCTCAGACGGGTGATGAACTACCGCCCTGGGCGTCGCACGTTGACACTGAGATCATCCGTATGTCTCCAATTTCAAGTTGTAGATGCCTAACCCTAATCCCTTTTGAATTTTAGAGGAAGGTCAGAAACGACTGTGAGGTTGTTTAGTTCATTCGCCTGATGAATTGTTTCGGCACATTTAGCAATTCACTCCTCCTGGAATACAAACTATGAGCTTAACTATCACAAACTCCTTCTCAACAACATTCTTGCGATGTCTCGCACTCAGTCATACTCTTCGACAGTATCTATTATCCAAAGTTCCGGTTACGGGAAGTCTCGTATGGTCGATCAACTGGCTACTCTCGTATTTACGTTGCCCTTCAATCTCCGAGATCCCCTCGAGACTCGAGGTATGATTATATCATGAGTAACTGCTGGACTTATTAACTGTCTACATAGTTGGGGCATATCCTCCCCAGATCCGAGTGTTAGACAGTTGTTGACTAAATCATTTAATCCCCCTCAGTCCGATATTTCCGATGCCGAAGAACGAGAATTGACGGTCCGATATTACCTGTTTTTCAGGCATCTCTTCGATTCCGTGGGGAAACGAATCAAGGCTGAGTTGAAGGACACGACCAATCTGCCTTGTGCATGGCGGAGATATTTGGCCAGCAGCACAAGTGAGGGCGTAACCCGTCGGGAGGAGTTGTACAAGGAGGTTGTGAGCCAAGTGGAAATGGATTCTAGCCTTGCTGAGATCAGAGCGGTTTGTTTCAGTGTTGCTCGCCAGTGGAGTGATTATTAATTGGCTTCTTTAATTAGGACCCGAAGTCCGGGGTGGGAGCCAAACTCCTGAAATCTGTTAAAGTGGCATGCGATAAGTTGGTTCGCCTTTTTCCCCTGGAAGATCAAGGCAGTGTACCCGATTCCGAAGCTGTCGACGAGAAACCTGGCATTCGGGTGTTCCTCTACTTCGATGAGGCTCATTCCCTCACGGACCCGTGGATACCGCACCGAAGCCGTTACGACAAGATGTTGTCATGCCTTGAAGACTTGAGGACTAGGGAGATTCCTGTTTTCACCATCTTCCTCACTACGAGCTCCCATTTCGAGAACCTTGCTCCAGCTCCGGGTCCCAGAAGATCCGCTCGCATGACAAGTGAGGACTCCCTCCTTCAGGCACCTATTATGGAGCTGCCTTTCGACTGCTTCCGTAAGGCTCCTGTGATCAAGGATTTCGACAGTCTGTCATCTGCAGAAGTTCTCTCCTGCTGTGGACGCCCGCTGTATGAATCCCCTCTGCAAAGCTGTTTCGTGGAAACTAACTGACGGTTTAGATGGTGGACCATGTATGATGCTTTCAAGCAAAATGACAAGCTTCATAACAACATATTCGCCAAGAAGCTCATGGATTTGGCACGTGCGAAGCTTGCGGGTCTAGAAGGTGCCACTGGAGACCTCACGAAATACACCCAAGAAGCAAAGCTAGCCGTCATTGACATGCGGCTACAACTCGATTATGAACCAGCACGCCAAGTAGCGGCAACTGCATTGGCCCAAATGGTAGCGTCGCATATGCGCACAGTATTCTCTATTCCAACGCATCGTGATTACATGCGGTCTGGATATCCCTCTGAACCATGGCTTGCGGAAGCTGCGGCGCAAGAAATGGAAAATTTGCACTCGCTCCAACCCGATTTCATCTTCAAAACGCTGGAGGAAGTAATGAACCAAGGTATAATTGACATTGGAGAGAGAGGCGAGGTCATAGCGCGTGCTATGATTATGCGGGCATATGACCGTGCCGTTGGAAAGTCCAGGCTTCCACCCTATACAAGTGATGACAAGTTTATCAAGTTCAGTCGAGGCTGCCGTTTGATCGACTTCATCGGGTGTCTGTTCTCAGCAGGTGCGGCGCAGGACGTCCTTGCTAGCCTACCCATTACTGGTGGGACCGTCAATCTCGGCGAGCAATTTGAGAACGCCCGAATTCGGTTTACGCACTTTGCTAGGCTGCATAGTGAGGATGTCGTATCTACCGCCGGCTGTATAGCGGGGATAGTGCGATGCGCCGCTTTCGTTACCCAGCGTGGACAGCCGAGCATCGACATGATGATTCCAATCGTGCTAAATCCACACAAAACCCAGCCGGACCTGCTTCGAAGGGAAAATGTAACAGCAATGTTCATCCAGATCAAAAACCGTCGTACAGCAGGAAACACCGCGGGCTACAATATCGATGCTCGCAATCTATCATTCTTCTCTGGCGGTGATCAACCTTATATAACTCTTGTAATGGAGTTAGGAGTATTGCCGACGGAGCTCATTCAGCAAGAAAAGAAGATGAAAAAAGGAGCCCCTAGCTTCCGGCCGGCAGAACCTCCTACTCCTTCACGGCTGATGACGACCAAAGAACAGTTGCGAAAGAGCCCCCGTGCAAAGCCCGTGGAGCATGAATGCTACAATATCTTTGCCTATGGGTGCTCCGCGACTGTGTACAATATGCAGCCGGGTGAAGTACAATGCTATTCCACCTTATTGAGGAAAGGTGGTCTCTTTGTAGAACATCCCCGGTGGGACGATAAATCCCTGGACGCCCTGCGCTGTCTGGTTCCGTTCTTGTCTATCCGAAATTGCGAAGAGTGGTTAGAAAAGCTTGGTGTTATGATTGATGGAGATGGGGTGACGGAGAGAGGATTCACCATCGATGAGATGGCCAGAACTGTATTGTTAGGCGTGAATGATATGTAGGCTCATGCATCTGGGAAGAGGGTTCCCCTTTCAATCGCGTCCACTCGAAGAATTGTTTCTTTTTTTGCAGCTCATTTCTTACCTATAATTTTGACATGGCACAGCTGTACGTATACAGTCCAGTGTTTCTCTGCACGTATAAACCGCTGCTTGAGCTATCTTCAACGTAGGCAGCGTTGAGTTGGGCCACCTGCTCGATCCAGGCACCTGCTACTCGTTCTTGCCACACTTTCCCGTCCCAAAGCACTCGACTCGAAGCAACGTCTTTTCCCGCTACTCATTCACGCTGTAACTTGATTGATCTGCCGCAGTTCCAATAGGAGGCGCATGTGATGGCTAGCATTTGGTTGCTCAGCTGATAGCCCAATGATGGGCGCGATCTTCGCACCCATCCTGCTTGTTGTCACAGCATCAGAGCCTTCCGATCTGGCCGACAAGCAGATACATTAGGTTGGATGCCTGCGGCTCTCTATAGTTTTGTTTTTTCTCTTACCTTGTGTGTCGTGGCCTTTGCACGCCTACCGATCACACTGCTTTGCTGTCGAAATAATATTACGAAGTCATAGAGGCTGGAGTCCTGCCTAGTTGAAGCGCTGCGCGCTGGAGGCTAATTAAGTTCTAAAGATGGAATTCCGCTACTCCGTAGCGGTCCTACGTTTTTTTCTCCCAAACTCAATTGTCCTATGCACAGGTCTGTATGACCCCAAACCCAGGTCCTTTCTCTGCCCATACAGTTCTATCCGCTCGCTGCATGGCTGCAGTGTAAATTACGTGGTCCTGAAATCAGAGTATGCGCAGAGCGAGAGCGAATCTCGGCTTCGCCTCAGCCAATAGCAATGTTGAGAGTGAACATGCATGCGAGGTAAGAGTAGCGGGATCTGCCGCTTCAGGCGGCGTTCCACAGTTATTATTGATACAAACAGACCTTTCCATGAAGGATGTTTCCCAGCGCTCGAATGTTTTTATTAATGAGTGTATAGGATCTTTTCCCCAAAATCGCTTCAAACAAACATATGCAATCTACCTTAGTGGCTGGGATCCTGCCTACATGTGCAGGCCTTTTGGGATGAATCGGCCTTACAAGAATTGAAGGTAAAGTGGGCACGCCTGACAGTGTGTTGTACTGCAAGGAGACCGAGGCAGATACTTATTCAGCACCCAATCGACACAATCCTAAACGCCGGGAGCAATTAAAGCACGTACAAAGAAGAGAAACTTGCACATATGATCAACACTTTAGTAGAGGCTGGAATCCTGCCTATAATCAACACCCTGCACATGCGATGTAGAACTGGACCGGGACGAGGGTATGATAACGTTCGAAAATAGGAGTGAGTGGGGTGAGTCACGTCATAGATGAACTACAGGTCCCCCACCCACGCATCCATCAACAACTCCGAGTGGTTGGTGGCAAAGTCCCATGGTAGCTGGCGCTTGCGAATGTCAGTCAGAGTTCGAAATCGGTCATCTAGCGCAATATGGCGCCCTCATTACTCTCCGCTATCACTTTCTTGGGCATTCAGGGACGTCTTGATCAGGCAGATGTCTGTATAGAAACCCTATCTTTGGCCGCCGGGAAGCAGAGACGCGATTGATTTCAACTCGACGTTGCCCACATCCACATTCATACATGCATTCGAGATGCCTATTTGCTGCATCTCCCATGACAGTGCAAGGCCTGCAACATTTGCGGCGTGTGGGAGGACTCAGATGGTGATGTGGAACAGCGATTGATCTCTTCCACGTGGTCATGCGAGAACCAGACTGAACAACCGGAAGATCTGTCCGACGAATCAAGAACTCTACATTCATGTTACCACAGCTCGGGCTTTACCAGACGAATTTTCATCGTGTAGTGATGCGGAATACCCGATCACTGATGACGGGCAACGTAGATCACGCCGCCCAAGTGCCAGGGAATTCCATTGATAGTAGCCGAGCAGCCGAGGCTCTGCTATGCAGACGAGTTTTTATTCTACTAGAATGCTGGGAATCCGGCCCCAATCACTGCTATTTGGGGTGGTAATTTACAAACTAGATTCGTTTGATGTTTGTCACGCTTTTGTGCTAACAGTTCCCTGTGGGGCTGTCTCCACACCCAACTGGATGCCATTATTTCTTTTCGGGGCTCGCACCATTACTAGTGCTGGATTTTCGAACGCGACTGCTTCTTTGGCACGCCTCCCCATTAAATCGCGAAGCGAGATGATGGCGGTGTAATGCCCATAGGCCGGAAAGAAGCCATACAGCCTCTCCAGGTTTCCGACGTAATTCGGCTGGTCAAATTGAATCACTTAGTGACAGGACTCATTCCTCGACCCAAGTCAATGCCAAAAATCGAGCAGAACGATTGCTACAGAACTTAGGCAGAAGAGGTCTATTTGTACTTCACACCACATAATCGGAGCATGCCAAACACAGCACTAGTGATACAAAGTCGATAAATAGGCGGCAGAAACCGAGGCAGGATATTCTATTCTAGTAGAAGCTGGTCACTAGCTAGGCGGGATACCAGCTTCCGTGGAGAACAAACAGAAAAGCAGCTCAGGAACAGAGAGCATTGACAGGGCAGGGAATCTTAGAGTTAGAATCGAAGAAAACTGGGGCTCCTGCTGGCCGTTGAGGTGATTTCTCAGATCACTGGCCACTGTCCATTCGCTTCTGCTCAACGAACTTGTGAAAATTTCAGAACACTACCCCTCACGAAAAGTCAGTCACGTAAAAATTCGAGGAAAGGTTCGAGGCACCAACTTGATGTGAACGTAGTCACCACTCTGAGTCTGAGTGGGTCTGGGCATACCGGTGCCTGCGCTTGTTCGACTATTAGAGGCTAGGTGGCGAGGACTGGGGTTCAGAGTGGGGAAACCTGACCGAGAGGTCCCTGATGAGGGACACATCTATCTCGCATTAGATGGACAAGTTCGGATGGCACCTGAAATGGCACTGACCTTCTCCGGATTTGCAGCAGCCCCAGTCCAGTCAGAATCGAACTGATCGTGATGCTTAAACCAGCTACCGCGTTGATTGAGCCTTACAGTATTTAGTCAGCGGTGCAACTAGCGTAATTTCTGTGAAGACACATACGATGCAAGCAAACTGTTGCTATAGATTCTGCATAGAACTGTAAGTCGATTGAGTCAGCTGGAGAATTGAATAAAACGCGAAAGCTTCTAGAGCATACGGTAGCTGAATCCAAGTGTCTCGGAACCGAGTCCAGTCAAAAACTGATGCATTGAGGGTTATCCCTCTCCATGAGAAAAGTCAGCGACGATCTGAAACTCACTGTAACGATGATGGTGCAGGCTGCAATGCTGCTCAAAGCACCGGTGCTGAAGGTGAAAGTGATCAGACGCATTATGCCCCTATCCGTTCTGTACAGTCCCTTAGATGTTATATTAAGGTGGAGTACGAAGGACATACGATCTGAACCCGGTCTTATTTCCTATAAGTTGACTGATCACCGAATATGCGATGAGGATATCGCAAACAACACCGGATCCAGCGCAAAGGGTAGGAAGATATAACTTTGTAGACAATGTTAGTAAGATTCGAAGCTTCTCTGTAAGACGGTAAAAGATGTATCCGACACATACACGTGTGGGCTTGATGAACTCTGCGATCATCTTCACTGTCACCCTGTCAGAGTAAATTCAGCGCAATTCAATCAAGCATCATGTATAGACGAAGGCTTACGTCGAGGCTGTTGACCCTACCCACAAGATAGTATATCAACTAAAATAGAGCATGATAGAGTATGGGGAAACTCACATAGTCCGAAGCCTAAATATCCGGTCCGGATCAGAGGGGGTAAATGAACAGTACTAGTGACAGGTCGTTCCATGCAGGATATACGCACCCAACTGCACATGAGCCCAAAACACCTGTGCGACAAAACCTCAGACCGATTTAATAACAAGCGGAGGACATAGACGGACGATAAGGCCAGTTAAAACCACCCGTTTCTTATTTACTGTTAATGCCAAAGATGAACTAGGTGGCGGCAGGAAACTAGTTGAGGAAGGTGCTTACAGAACCAGCATCGTCGTGCATAAAACCTGGCAGAGAAATGGCGGAAGCAGCGCAAATATTACGGGGACAAGTGATACCTACATTTGGACAAGGTAACTGACAAGCGTCTAACGAGAAAATTAGATGAAAGTTGGGGGAGCAGGGACTCTACGCACCCCTGTGAACACGGTCGCCTGAGAAATAGGGTGGTTTGCTTCAGCATATGGGAGACAACATGGTAAAACTTAGGGCATACTGTCACAGGCCTGGAGTGCATATGCGAGTAGCAACGAATCAGCGATAGAATAATCGATCCCCCGGTCTGACAGATCGCTCACCATAAACAGCGCTGAATTCTTCGGAGTTTAGCAGCCTGGACGCTGGAGGCGCTACTACTGGAGGGACTGAGATGCACGAGATACAAATAGAGCGTGTAAAGACAAAATATTTGATGCAATGTGTCAATCGCTGTTACTGCGATCACCTAAATAATAAAGTTTCAGTGTAGTCAAATGTTTGACACGCATAGATAATGTTCACATTGTACCGAAAGTATCTGGGATCTCTTCTCCAAAATCTTTTCAAATAAAGATTGGCCTTATAAGGCGTAAATTGACCTTGCAAGGACTGAAGCGTAAATAGACACACTTGATAATGCTGTACTGCAAGGAGGCTATGGATAGATATTTAGTCCACGATCGTCCCAGCTCTAAGCACCGGTGTTTAGGCCACATACAAAGAAGAACCAATTGTACATATAACTAACACCCCGAACGTATCATGCAGAGCCGGACTAGGAGCCATGAAATGAAGATACGGCGATGTTCGATGTTAGGAATGGGGGTGAGGAGTACGGGTCCCTCATCCATAGTGAATTCTTATGTTGGAGCTAACCATTCGACAGGACGGGGCCCGGAAGGGCAAGATCATATGTCACACGTCAACCGCCACAAGAGAGCTGGGTTATTCAATCCGATTCGCGTGAACCGAACAGCCACATTGCCTCCGAATCATTCCGACGGTGGATCATACCGCGCAAACATATTCAGTCCGATGGTAGCTGCCGCAAACTTTCTGGCCACGTGTTCGATCGCGAAATGGTCATCTCGCGCAATTGTAGCGGAGTTGGCCGAATATATTTGTCTATTTGTCTATTCGCGCTTGGGGCTTTCCTCCTAGACGCTCAGGGACGTCATGAACATGTAGGAATTCGCATAGAATGCCTGTGCTTAGACATGGAGGGGCAGGGACGCTGCTGTTGCTTTAGCTCAATGTTGCCAACGAGACTCGTGGCTTGCGGCTTAAGCCAGCCAGTTCTGGTGCTATGTAGGAACCAAGTTTGCGTTGCGCAATACCCGATCACTGATGTCTGCAACATGCTTTTCAATCCGGGTGGGCAGCTTGATTGTTCGTTCGAGTCCGAACAGGTGGATTACAACGCCACCGGAGGCATTCACCGACGGTCGCCAAGGCGTCAAAAAATATTTGTCGATGGATAGGATTAGTTACGCGAGTTGCCTTTCCACAGCTGAGGCTCTGCTATGACTTTACTAGACGGGTTCTATGGGCATACCGCCGAGTGCCCAATCACGAACGTCTATATAGGGTAAACTCGATCCAGTTGTGGCGCTTGTCACACTTGGTCCACAATTCTCCCGTGGAGCTGTTTTTCATATATCAATATCGATTCGTCTGATCAAATGCATTTCACCGCACTGACGTTGTCTGAGTATAGGACGACGTTTGAAGGGCCATTCGGGTTGCTCTCTAGGTAGCGTTTGGTCAGTTCAGCTGCTGTGCGTAGGCCCGCATTTTCGGTGTCGAAGGTGTCGATGTTGCCTCCCATAGTACCGTTCCCTTCAAAGACAATATCACCCGCCAAGTACCCTACTGCGCTGTAGCCTGTGACTCTCTGGCCGTCCTCATCTGTCTTGGACCCACCGGAATCGACGAAGAGGAAGTCCGGGCCGTCTTCGTATTCTGTGACGAACTCCAAGTGATTATCTTTCCAGGATTCTTTGGGGGATGAACCTGGGATGTTCTCCGGACGTAGACTCGAATCCTTTCTTCTAGGTCGTGCCTCTAGGTGGGGCCCTCGGTCGTATGCTGGATGTTTTGGCATGGATGCGCGGAGCGGATCATCACAGCGGAGGTATGTACCGAACTTTGCTGGTGAGGGGAATGCTCACTGTAAGGCCTGAGAAGGCCATGCACGCTTTCTCCCTTCATTTATATTGTATACATGTATTAGATTACTATCTTGTTATTACGCGCGAAAACACTTATTTACAAAAGCTCGCCAACTCCGGCACAAATTGTACATAAGTATTTGTAGCGATGCGGGTGGGTAGATTGGCTCCCTGGCCTGTCTATACTCCATGTTAAAATGTGCCGATAATTATATCTGAAGCACAATGCTCAGTCTCAGCTGAATAGTGAATAGCGTGGAGATCTGAGTAATATTACCTGAAGCACAAAGCTTAAAAGCAATGTACATTATTGTGAAACGTTTTCAACATCATGTGACGTCCTCGATTTCTTCATTGCTTGGATTGTCTCATTGCCTTCATATTTAAGTCGCCAAACGCGAGAGCAACACCTTGCATCTTGCTTGCCGAAAACGTGTCTCACACCGAATACAAAAGGGCCGTCGCGAGTATGTCATCCGAAGGCCACAAGCGCAAGAGAAGCATCGATGACACTCCCGCCAACTTGAGCAAGATTCGCGTGGCGGACGAAGCTTCTGAATCGTCCAAGTGGGAGTTGGAAAGTATCGAGGGCACGGAGGGTGAGCCAGGGAAAGTGGAGACACGCCTGCAGAGGAGTGGCCGCCCTCCTGCCGCCATTTCGGAGGAAGAGGCCATATTCCGGCGCCTTCATAAAGAGTACCGGGATCCAGACCCCGGAAATTCTAAGGTTTTTGCCGCCTTCTCGAAGATTCTCCGGGAATATTATCCCATGATTGGGTTGGCAGACGCAGACTACGATCTACTCGTAGAGGCCATCCAGAAATGTTCCTTAGCTCGGATTGTGGAGTGCTGTATGGTGCCTGTGGTAATAAAATGGCTGGATACTCAACATTTCTTGCAGATGGCCCACTTCGGTTCCCTCAAGCTCAGACGGGTGATGAACTACCACCCCCGGCGCCGCACGTTGACACTGAGATCATCCGTGTGTCTCCAATTTTAAGTTGTAGGTGCCTAACCCTAATCCCTTTTGAACTTTAGAGGAAGGTCAGAAACGACTATGAGGCTGTTTATTTCATTCGCTGACTCGCCTGATGAATTGTTTCGACATGTTCAGCAATTCACTCCTCCTGGAATACAAACTATGAGCTTAACTATCACAAACTCCTTCTCAACAACATTCTTGCGATGTCCCGCACTCAGCCATACTCTTCAACAGTATCTATTATCCAAAGTTCCGGTTACGGGAAGTCTCGTATGGTCGATCAACTGGCTACTCTCGTATTTACGTTGCCCTTCAATCTCCGAGATCCCCTCGAGACTCGAGGTATGATTATATCATGAGTAACTGCTGGACTTATTAACTGTCTACATAGTTGGGGCATATCCTCCCCCAGATCCGAGTGTTAGACAGCTGTTGACTAAATCATTTAATCCCCCTCAGTCCGGTATTTCCGATGCCGAAGAACGAGAATTGACGGTCCGATATTACCTGTTTTTCAGGCATCTCTTCGATTCCGTGGGGAAACGAATCAAGGCTGAGTTCAAGGACACGACCAATCTGCCTTGTGCATGGCGGAGATATTTAGCCAGCAGCACACGTGAGGGCGTAACCCGTCGGGAGGAGTTGTACAAGGAGGTTGTGAGCCAAGTGGAAATGGATTCTAGCCTTGCTGAGATCAGAGCGGTTTGTTTCGGTGTTGCTCGCCAGTGGAATGATTATTAATTGGCTTCTTTAACTAGGACCCGAAGTCCGGGGTGGGAGCCAAACTCCTGAAATCTGTCAAAGTGGCATGCGATGAGTTGGTTCGCCTTTTTCCCCTGGATAATCAAGGCAGTGTGCTCGATTCCGAGGCTGTCGACGAGAAACCTAGCATTCGGGTGTTCCTCTACTTCGATGAGGCTCATTCCCTCAAGGACCCGTGGGTACCACACCGAAGCCGTTACGACAAGATGTTGTCATGCCTTGAAGACTTGAGGACTAGGGAGATTCCTGTTTTCACCATCTTCCTCACTACGAGCTCGCATTTTGAGAACCTTGCTCCAGCTCCAGGCCACAGAAGATCCGCTCGCATGACAAGTGAGGACTCCCTCCTTCAGGCACCTATTACGGAGCTGCCTTTCGACTGCTTCCGTAATGCTCCAATGATTAAGGGTTTCGACAGTCTGTCATCTGCAGAAGTTCTCTCCTGCTGTGGACGCCCGCTGTATGAATCCCCTCTGCAACGCTGTTTCGTGGAAACTAACTGACGGTTTAGATGGTGGACCATGTATGATGCTTTCAAGCAAAATGACAAGCTTCATAACAACATATTCGCCAGGAAGCTCTTGGATTTGGCACGTGCAAAGCTCGCGGGTCTAGAAGGTGCCACTGGAGACCTCACGAAATACACCCAAGAAGCAAAGCTAGCCGTCATTGACATGCGGCTACAACTCGATTATGAACCAGCACGCCAAGTAGCGGCAACTGCATTGGCCCAAATGGTAGCGTCGCATATGCGCACAGTATTCTCTATTCCAACGCATCGCGATTACATGCGGTCTGGATATCCCTCTGAACCATGGCTTGCGGAAGCTGCGGCGCAGGGGATGGAAAATTTGCAGTCGCTCCAACCCGATTTCATCTTCAAAACGCTGGAGGAAGTGATGAACCAAGGTATAATTGACATTGGAGAGAGAGGCGAGGTCATAGCGCGTGCTATGATTATGCGGGCATATGACCGTGCCGTTGGAAAGTCCAGGCTTCCGCCCTATACAAAGGATGACAAGTTTATCAAGTTCAGTCGAGGCTGCCGTTTGATCGACTTCATCGAGTGTCTGTTCTCAGCAGATGCGGCGCAGGACGTCCTTGCTAGCCTACCCATTACTGGTGGGACCGTCAATCTCGGCGAGCAATTTAAGAACGCCCAAATTCGATTCACGCACTTTGCTAGGCTGCATAGTGAGGATGTCGTATCTACCGCCGGCTGTATAGCGGGGATAGTGCGATGCGCTGCTTCCGTTACCCAGCGTGGACAGCCGAGCATCGACATGATGATTCCAATCGTGCTAAATCCACACAAAACCCAGCCGGACCTGCTTCGGAGGGAAAATGTAACAGCAATGTTCATCCAGATCAAAAACCGTCGTACAGTAGGAAACACCGCAGCCTACAATATCGATGCTCGCAATCTATCATTCTTCTCTGGCGGTGATCAACCTTATATAACTCTTGTAATGGAGTTAGGAGTATTGCCGACGGAGCTTATTCAGCAAGAAAAGATGATGAAAAAGGGAACCCCTAGCTTCCGGCCGGCAGAACCTCCTACTCCTTCACGGCTGATGACGACCAAAGAACAGTTGCGAAAGAGCCCCGTGCAAAGCCCGTGGAGCATGAATGCTACAATATCTTTGCCTATGGGTGCTCCGCGACTGTGTACAATATGCAGCCGGGTGAAGTACAACACTATTCCACCTTATTGAGGAAAGGTGGTCTCTTTGTAGAACATCCCCGGTGGGACGATAAATCCCTGGACGCCCTGAGCTGTCTGGTTCCGTTCTTGTCTATCCGAAATTGCGAAGAGTGGTTAGAAAAGCTTGGTGTTATGATTGATGGAGCTGGGGTGACGGAGAGAGGATTCACCATCGATGAGATGGTTAGAACTGTATTGTTAGGCGTGAATGATATGTAGGCTCATGCGTCTGGGAAGAGGGTTCCCCTTTCAATCGCGTTCACTCGAAGAATTGCATCTTTTTTGGCAGCTCATTTCTTAACTATAATCCCGAGTCGAGATAGTACGGCCTGTACGTATACAGTTGGGGCCACCAGCTCCAGGCACCTGCCACAAGTGCCTCCGCAAAGCTCCTTCCGCCACACTTCCCCGCCCCAAAGCACTCGACTCGAAGCAACCGTCATTCACTCTTGGTCTGCCGCAGTTCCAATAGGAGGAGAATGCGATGGCTAGCATTTAGTTGCCTCAGCTGATAGCCCAATGATGGGCGAAGATCGCGCTCATCTTACTTGTTGCCATAGTATCAGAACCCTCCGATCTGGCCGACGTGATTCTCTGACCTCAAGCAGCTGCAGATACACTAGGTTGGATCTTTGGCCTGAATGTTTTTTTTCTCTCTCTCTCTCTTACATCATGGCGCTTGTGTGTCGTGACCTTTGCACTGCTTTGCCGTTGAAGCGCCGAGCGCTGGAGGCTAATTAAGTTCTAAAGATAGAATTATTGATACTGATATAGATCAATGGCATTCCAACACGAAAGAAAGCCTCTGCACTGTTACGACTTGTCCAACGTTTACCGCACGCAATTAATGACTCCTTGAGGGGAGTTTGATCGCTCACTTCATGTTGTGAGTCGTTTGTGGATTGGTTGAATTTGGCCGGACATGGAGGTGGAGGCGGGACGAATACATAGCATTGTGAGCTGGAACCATCATCGACGCGAGGGCCCAGAGCGAATGTGATGGCATAGATAGATCAGGCAGAAGATCACGGGAATGTCGACTTTAGTCACTTGCACCTGGTTTCTTGGCCATCCACAATGATGCCATTTATCGCCTCCGGGGTGCGGTCCCTGAATCTGCTTTGGCCCGTTCTCCAGCTGCATTGTTTAGTGAAAAGAGGACATTGGTTACTCTGTCCCAGTATCTGGTACGTTGACGCTCCCCGTTCAAACAATCTGAAGAAATTCAACACTGCTAGCGCTATAGACTTATGTCATGAATTCAACTGAGGTAAACCAGGTGACTGGACAAATGACATAAAATGGACAAGCCTGGTATCGAACCCAGGACCTCTAGCGTGCATCCATACACTACTCGCCCGTTATGCCAGGGAGGTTACTCCATCCCTGATGGTTATTCCAACACAATCTTCAACACTGAATCTCATTCAAGGGGCAAGTGCATCTGCGTCAGTGTAAACCCTTGAGAACACTCAATGAGGATTTCTTGAGTTCACTCCGATAGTGTGGTAACACCTGCCCCAGCACGAGGGCGAACAGTAACAGTGGATACTGTCGGTGAAACTGGAGTTTTCCATGATAATCATTGAAGCCGTTCTATGCTCAGAATTGGGTGAAGATGTAACAAAGGTATATCTCGTTAGCATCAGCAATGCATTCCTCACTACTGTACAATACAAATCTGTCCAGTAGAGCCCCAGCCGCGACAACGTAAGCGCGTACCGATCCCATCCTTTGGGGAGGCCTTTGACTTTTTGGCGACCGTTGGGAGATTTCCCCGTCCCTGGGCGGCATGTTCCACTGTCGAAACGTTAACCCAGCTGTTTGGCATATATTTCCTAGCCGACAGTGATAGCGTGTTTCTTGCAATGCAAGCTGTTGTCCAGTAGAGGCTCGGCCAGTGTGGTAGCACGAGTGCTCCATCGGTAAAAATTTGACACCTCGTTGGTAAATTTTCCCGGCCCTGGGCGGTATGATCCACTCCGGAATATTGATCAAGTTACCCTCGGCGGCTTGGTGAATTGTGGTTCCATGTGGGTGTGGCAGTCGTGTGTGTCATTGGATTGCATGTTGCCTTCCCTAGCGGTCAGCATAAGAACTCATCAGTCATTCCCAATTTCAAATATCCCCATATCTTTGCGCCATGGCTCCTCTTCCGCACAGCACGTTCGGGGCATTGATTATATGCACAACTTTCTCTGCTTTGTACGTGGTCTAATTGTCCCAGCGCTTAGAACTGAGATCGGGGGCTAAATATCAACACACAGTCTCCTTGCAATCCAACATTACCAGGTGTGCCCACTTTGCCTTCAACCCCGAGTCCTGCAAGGTCGATTCACGTCATATCAGGTTTACCTTTATTTGAAAAGATTTTGGGGAAGAGATTCCCGATACTTTCGGTACAATGTGAGTATCGTATGCACCCACCGAACATTCGACTCCCAAGGAATACTTAGGTTTTATCTAGGTGATCGTAGTGACAGTGATCGATACATTGCACCAAATATTCTGTCTTTATACGCTGTATTTGTACCTCGTACGCCTTCTTGCTCTCCTTACCCTCCTCGCCGTCTCCATCAACAGCGCCTCCGGCGTAGGTTGCATACATCAGCAGACCCCGACTTTTGCAGCGCTTTACATGGTGAGTGCTCTGTCAGCTTGGGTGGTCATTCTACCGTTGCTACTCACTTACGCACTCTAGCTCGATAGCAGTATGCTCCCAGTTCACCATGTTGCCTCCATATACTAACGCAAACCATCCTTTTCCTACTGCTCAGGCGACTTTGACCGCAGGGGTGCGTAGAGTCTTTATCTTCTTCCTGAACCTTTATCTGATTTTCCTATTAGCTAGTTCTTAGTTATCTTGTCCAAATGTAGGCGTCATTTGGGTCTCACAATAGTCGCACTGCTTCAGGCCATTTCCCTCCCAGGTTTTATGCAAGACGATGCTGGCTCTGTGAGACTCCCTTGGCTAGATTCCTGCAACCGCCTAATTAACCCCTAACATTAACAGTGAATAAGAAACGGGTAATGTTGACTGGCTTTATTGTCCGTCCGTGTCATCCGCTTGTTACGAATTCAGCCTAATGTTTGATCGTAAGGTGTTCTGGGCCCATGTACACTTAGGTGCGTGCATTCTTCATGGACATGCCTGCCACTGTTCCTACTCCCCTCTGATACCGACCGGATATTTAGGCTTTGGACTATGTGAGTTTCCCGCGTACTTTGTCGTGGTTCATTTGATAGACACGTTGCCTTGTGAGTAGGGTTCACCGCTGCAACGTAAGCCTTAGTCTTCGAGACTATTTATGGCGCTTGATTGACGTATGAGCTGAATTTACGCTAATAGCGTGATGGTGAAGACAATTGCAGAGTACATCAACCTCAAACGCGTATGTGTCGGACGCAACTTCCTCCATCCCTCTTGGAAACTCTCAACTCTTATTAACTATTAATTACGAAGAGATATCTTTCCATTCTTTGTGCTGAGTCTGCTGCTGTTTGCGATGTTCTTGTCACATATGCTGTGATCAGTCAACTTGCGGGAACCAAGACTGGGTTTAGATCGTATGCCCTTTTCACTTCACCTTAATTTAATGGCTTTCAATAACAGTCTCTACAGGACGGATAGGGGAATAAAGCGTCTGATTGCATTCACCTTTGGCACTGGCACTTTGACCAGCGTGGTGGCCTGCACTGTCGTCGTTGTGGTGGGTTTCGGATCATGGCATTCTTTGTGGGACGGGGGGGTGACTCTTAGTGCATCAGTTTTTGACCGGACTTGATTATGAAACACTTGGAATCGGCTTCCGTACGCTCTAGAAACTTTCGCATTTGTGAAATTTCCTGGCTAACCCAATTGACTTACAGTTCTATGCAGATCTATAGCAACAGTTTGCTTGCCTCGTATGTGTTTGGTCGAAATTGCGCAGTTGTATCGCTCATTGGAAACCGTAAGGCTCAATCAACGTGGCAACTGGTTTAAGCATCTTGACCACTTCGATTCTGATTGGGTTGAAACTCCCCCAAATCGAGAAGGTCAGTGGCGTTCCAGGTGCCATCCGAACTTGCACGTCAATCTGATTTCGAGATAGAAGTGTCCCCCGTCAGCTCAGGTCCCCAGTTCACATCGCCCAGCTTCTAATCCTGGAACAAGGGTGGTATGACCAGACAGCACCTGGTGCTTGTACCAAGTTTTTCCTGAAACTTTCCTACTTGACCGGCTTTTCGCACGGAGAGTGCCCTGAGAACTCTACGGGTCGTTGAGTAGACAATGCAATTTGAGGTCGTGATCCGGGAAATCACTTTATAGCCAGCAGGAGCCCAAGTTTCTTTCGGCTTCCAACTATAAGATTCCCTGCCCTACCAACTCTCTCTGTTCCCGAGCTGCTTTCCAAAATCCCCACGGAAGCTGGTGGTGACCAGCCCTATCATCTTCAGAGGCAACCGGCTGCCGTTCAGGCACCCAGCGCGTCCACTTCCAAGACACCCTCGAGATCAGAGGATAAGTTTTAAGAGTCGCCAACGAGAGGACAAGGCATGTTTGATCGCTCGACCGAGTTGATGATTGAATTGTGTACTGAATCCGTGAATGCAGGTTGAGGCCAGTGATACAAAGTCGACAGCAGAATATAATAGAGGCTGGTCACCGGCCTGGCGGGATACTAGCTACCGTGGAGGTTACACTGGAAAGCAGCGCAGGAACAGAGGGAATTGGTAGTTCTCTGCTCAATTTCTGGCTCTGGTCCAGGTCGAGCAATGAGTAAACAGTTTAATTTGACCAGCCAATTCGGTCATGTCCTCCACTCCGAATGTGGAAGCAGTCACTCTCGGCGCCCTTAACCAAGCGGTACCGGCATATGTTCCTGCGCACGGACCTCAACAACCCACCTCTATATCGTCTGATCCCGTTTATTTATTATTCCGCTATAAATATATACTGTACAATACTTTTATACTAATATTATATAGTTAGCTTCCCTGTGCATTCACCCCCTTTGCTCGACACCAAGTGTCCGCCGCTCTCATAGCAATGGGCTTCGTCATGATTTGTATGTCCAACACATCCTCAGAGGCTACTACCATTTCAGGCGGCTGGCGTGTCTGCTTCCAAAAAACGCGGTGCTTGGGAATTACCTAGACACGTATGCTTCTTTCCCGATCTATCGGGCGTGCCCGTGCCCGAGAAGAGGTTCACTTGAGACAGCTCCGCGGGAACTGCCGCACAAAGTGTGCATTCGACACTCACCGGTTAAGCCGTAACACCGACGGACTTGTATGGAGCTTGCGGACTCAAGCATATTTATTTGGTCTAGTTTGCATTTGGCCTAGTCCGCATTTTGTATATAAATCCGTTGATCAGCGAAGAATGAATCTTCAACTGACCAACACAGGTCGCTTGCTTGTCTTGTCTTGACTTCTTCACTGCTCGAGTTCTTGCCCGCGTCACGTCTTATAGCTATGGCACTTATCCTGCCTTTGCCACCTCCCCATATCTTTGATTTGCCTATAGGTCACTATCGCATCTCATACGACGTCTCGTTCCACGATACTGAGGACGATCTTCCCAATGGGTGGCATCCCCAAGGTGAGGAAAGACCTCATTACTTAAAAACAAGTACGTCTGATGACAGAGTTATATTACATAGGGGGCACATACAGACGCATCATCCGCCGCTTGCGCGAAGCTGGCTTCACTCGTCATCAGTCCGGCGACTATTCTCGAATAAACTCGCACCCAATAAGAGTCTGGATGGACATGCAAACATTGTTTTGCATATCACCACCAAGCAAGTTTCAATCGATGCTGCTTAACCTCAAGGCGTATCGCATTCAAACACTTGAGGTGGACGTCACCGATTACCTGCGCCTTGGAGGAACGTTTTCTACCACAGTTACTGGGCCAATTCCAGCAGGACTCGTTGCCCGGGTGCCGCCTGGTGTCTTACACCCTCCCCCAGTTGTTCCCGGTCCAGACTTTGTCAGGCCGGTTGACACTAGGCCGTCTGCCATGGCGGATGACCGAAATAACTATAGGATGTAGTTGTGGAAAATAGGATGTATCTGCTGACAAGTGATGTGAAAGGCCCATTGCACTACAACGTTTTTTCTCTCGTTCTCCAACCCATTATCTGTTGTCGAGCTCAGTCTTCCCTACCACCTTCTCGCCTGTAGCCTCTTCTCTCCTGTTTCCTTCTTGCGCATCCGCTGTATTCCCGGAATCTGCCGAAACCACCTCGAAATGACTATCGCTGACCTGAAACACGTCATACTGATCTTATCAAGGTCGCGCTTCTTCTACAAGGGGGAAGCCTATTGACTACGCTTATTTCCGCCCGGTTCGGTTAAACCGGCCCGCCAAGTGAAAAAATGGATGAAACTCCTCGAGCACTGTGGTGTGGAGTCCAATGTTCGGAGTTGACAATCGAAGGATTATTCCTCAGGATTGGGAAGCCCAAGTCTTACGTGCTATTGGCGAGGCCAACATTCGTCGGAGCCACTGCGTCAGCGGTTCTTTTACGTTTGTACTGCTCTGTCCCATCGGAAAGAAAGTCTTCGGTGTAAAATCTAAAGCGCACGTTCAGCCCCTATAGCCATAGCGGGGGCTGTTGTCAGTTTGGCCCGATATTTGGCACAACAACTCGCGGGACTATATAGTGAAGACCCATTACCCCACCCAATTCCTCGCTTGCACAATGGAGCAAGGAAACAATGTGTTGAGGTCTTACGTGAAGGACTGGGATACCATTCACGAGGTTCCCAATAATGGTTCTTCATTGAGTACCTGAACTCTCGCTACCCAAGCTCCTCTACCAACTCAATAAGGGGTTCTTCATTCCCAGGTCTACTGCAGCGGCGATCAATAGCCTTTCCGACTCCCATGAGGTGAATATGTCGAGGGTGTACGATCAGTTAGCCCAACACCGCTTTCAGGTTGAGACGATGACTCCAAGTGTTGACCGCGGTTTGTCGGAGCAGACCAATGAGATTAGTCTTCTATTGTGCAGGTTCAGAGCCAGGCCATTGCTTCGCTTAACAAATCACTGGTTGGTGTGGTTCATACTATTGGGGGTCAGATGCAGATTTTGGGCTTTCGCGAAGGAATTGGTCTCCTCATGGCTGAGCGTGACCACGCGAAGTCTGACGCGGAGAAGGATGCGATTGCCACCAAAATAATGGCCCTTCAACACCAACGAATCCAGTCTGCTTCCGTAACGCTCTGTTCGAGAACCTTATGAATCCTCAAATTGGCACCGGCATGACCATTGACTCCTTGGCCCCACGTCAGGCGATCGGATCCAGTCTTCGTCCTCGCAGGCGGAGGACCCCGACATGTCCGAAGAGACTGTAGATTCACCAGAGGACCCTGGTCCCGGTGCCCAGACGCCATCACAAGGTGCTGTATTTGAAGCATTCCATGTCCTTCCACACTTCCATCACTCGGCTCTGCCAATCTTTCGATGCCCTTATTGTCAGTATTATTCTGTGATCGTCTCTTCTGCTGCGATCATCTCATGTTCTTTCCTGTAGGTATTTGTGATCCCATTGCTTGATTCTCGTCAAAATGTATCCTCAAGGCAATAAGGGTAGCGGGTTCTGCCGCGTCGGGCGGCTCTACCAGCTTCCCCGTACAAAACATTTAATTCCCTGGCAAATTACTCTACACAAGAATTCCTCCCCTGATGCAGAGTACGATTCAGAATGACATCCACTTGCCGATGGCATGTACCATAGCGTGGAATCTGGGCATGGGGGATTATCAGGAGAGGAGTGTTGGGTGGGGAGTGGGGCGTAGTGTAGTCATAAACCCGTGAGGGACATCGACAAGAGGGAGTCAACATACGACGTCTGCTCACCCTCTATCATCCAACACGCCGCTTCAAATACTCCTCTTTGGTAACAGCACACGGCGCCAATGCACTTTCTATCCCTGCTGAACTCATTTGGAGCCCAAAGACTACCACCCGGTGGTACGATAAAATGATGTCCCGGTCAGGCTACATGAGAACGGTTTGCGAGGATATTTGGCTTCAGGTGTATGATTAAGTAGCCCTCCAGAACTGTCTCGTCTAGTGGTTGTGTGATGATCGATGTCTCGGGTACTTATTCATAGCTGCCGCTCTCACTTTGACGAGAACTGCTTCATTGTGAGCGTCGCAGTTGAGAGGGATCAAGCGATAGATCTTATTTTGGCCCGGGTTTTGGAATGGATACTCTTCACTTCGACAGCATCCTCGGGCTTCCAGAATCACCAAATCAGGGTTTCGTCATATTCATAGTAGACCATTGTTGCGTCTGAGGCAATCTAAAGAAGATACTCCCCCTGTCGAAGGAAATCGGAAGAATGACATGATTCTACATAAGTAGCTGCTATGTATTGCTCTGTTTGCGGCATGGTGGAGGGGATCAAATGCCGAGGGTTCCCACGCCAGCCTCAGCCACGTTGGAGGTCACAGAAAAGGCAGCTCAACGTCAACGGTGACCTCCCCCTGGAACCATCATGCTCAGCCACGCGGAAGTTAATGGCAGTATCGATATAGTCGTGGATGAGAGATACCCTACGTCTGTCCGGCATTTGTACGAACTTATGTTCGACAGGTGAGTATGACGTGACATCTCTAGCAGGAATTGTACTGCCATGGAGAGCGATGTAAGATCATTACTGACGTTTCTGTTCATGGTCCTTTTGATAACTAGTGACTGGTTTATCTCGTTCTTAGAGCAGAACCAGGGAGTACATGGTATGTTAGCGTGTGGGTTCACATACACTTCGTTCTCACATCTGGGGACTAGACTTGAACGTTGGTGACTGGGAACCTGTTGGTCAAGATAGTGGCTTGTTGAGGCGTGAATTACGTTACGTAAAGCCAGTGAGCGGTCCAGGACCAAGGGAGGTTTACTGTGAAGGTGGGTCTACCTTTATATCACTACGCTTATGCTATTGTTGTTTCAGTTCAACTAAATTTCTCATGCAGATACCGAGGAGAACCTTCACCGAGACGATAACGACTTCATATTAACGAGAACTATCACGAAAACCCCGAACGTCACGTATGGGGGCGCGTTTCATGTGGAGACAACGACGCGTGTTGCGTGGGCAGCAGATAGGAAAGACGGCTGTGCCCTGAACGTTACGTCTGAGGTGATATGGACGAGCTGGTGTCCAATTAAAGGTATGTTGCATTTTTGGATGTTCGCCCCTATTCTTACCTGCCTCCTGGTAGGCTTGATTGAAGGCCGCGTCCTCAATGGCCAACGAAGCTATCAACGCGACCTTGACGCTGCCCTTCGTGATTATCTCGGCTCACCCAAGCGTTCTCTTCATACCCTGCCCCTCATCGCTAATAAACCTCCATCAGCTGAACAGCTCTCCCTTTACTCCCCCATCAATCCAAAAGCGGTCACAAAGTCTGTCAAACTGGATCTAGAACAACCATCGATTCTGTTCACTTCGATGACGAGTCAAATTGATAAAGCTGAGCGAGAACTAGGCACACCGGGCGCAGTCCCATTCGTGGACGTGTCCCCACAGATGATGACGAAAAGGAGGGTTACGCATTTCATGGCAGTTTTCTTGTTTTCGGCGTTGATCACGTTATTAATCGTAAGGCTTACGGTGAATTAATGCCCTTCACCCACGGGATGACCGTGTTTTCCTCCGCGGCGGATCTTCCCTCCCCCTCGTATTCCATTTCATTTGACCTTGCATAGTTCTCATCGCATTGAAATTCTACATTCTTTAGTGATGCTGTCTCTGCCGGGAGGTATCGCTGGATCCTACGATTACCGCTAGTTAAGTACACGAATGTGCTCAGTCGCATATGGTGTAGTATATACTACTAGTGAAGTACACGGGAGACCCACAGATCAAGGTTTGAACTCCGTGCGTGCGCTCCGTGTGTGGTATAGCGCTTGGTTGTAGTCAGCATTTGGAGGCCTCCACCAATGCATGCATGCAAATGGGAAAGAACGCAAAAAATGCGTGGCACGTATCCGCTATGGATTGACAAGTGACCCAGGGTTACCACCGCAACCCTTATACCCGGAGTGGGAGATTGATTTGGCATGTGGATGGCCGAATTAGCTGGTCAAGTTAAACCATTTGCTGACAACAGCACTCATTGCTCGAACTCAAACCAACCCCAAAAACTTGAGCAGAGGACAGTTTGCTTACGGGACTTGGGAAGGAGAAGAGGTCTATTTGTACAGCACAGTAGATAACTGGGGCATGATAAACATAAACACTATGAATACAGAGTCGACGAACAGTTAGCAGGAACCAAGGCAGGATACCGATCTCCGTGCAGAATAACTGAATAGCAGTGCAGGAACATAGGAACGAAGAGATTGGTAGGCCGGGGGTTGGTTTATTACACAGTTGGAAAATCGGGGAAAACTGAGGGGCGGCAAAGTGTTTTCGCGGATCACCAACCCCAACTTGTATCGTTGTTTCGTTCTGGCCGACATGGAAAAAATAAAGATAAAATGTCAGTCTCAGCCAAAAAAAAAAAAAAAAGGATGTTCACACCGACTACGAACATATTAATCACTCGAACTCTGAGAAGATCTGGGCACACCAGCGCTAACGCTTGATCCAAGATTAGAAGTCGACGGTTGGTGGCAACTAGGGTTCAGAGTTGGGGAACACAACTGAGAAGACCCTAACGAGGGACGCATCTATTTTTACAAATCAAACAAGTGAGTTTCGGACAGGCCAATATCTGGATCACCTACTAACCTTCTCCGGATCTGGGATATTCTCAAACCAATCGGAATCTAAATGGTTGTGATGTTGAACCCAATTACCGCGTTGATTGAGCCTTATGTGTTCTGATCAGCGACACAACGAGCGTAATTTCTGCAAAGCTACATACGATGCAAGCAAACTGTTGCTATAGGCCCTGCACAGGACTACGAGTCGATATGGGTCAGCCTAGAAAATAAGCGCAAACCCTCTGGAACGTACGGTAGCTGAATCCAAGCGTTTCGGAACCAAGTCCGGTTAAAAACTGATGCACCGAGATTATCCCTCCCTCCAGTGAAAGATGCCAGTGATGACCCAAAACTCACTGTAACGATGATACTGCAGGCCAAAATGCTGTTCAAAGCGCCAGTGCTGAAGGTGAAGGCGATTAGACGTTTGATGCCCCTATCCGTCCTGCGGAGTCCGTTAGATGGGTCATATTAAGGTGGGATGCAAAAGACACACGTTCTGAACCCAGTCTTACTTCCCATCAGTTGACTAACCACAGAATACGTGATGAGGATATCGCAAATCGCGGCCGATCCAACCCAAAGGGTAGGAAGATACCACTTTTTAGGTTTAATGTATTCTCTAAACGTCTTTAGCATCACGCTGTTGACGTGGTAAGCTACTCAAGCACTACGTATAGTTTGGAGAACTAAAGCTCACGTTGTGGCAGTTGACCCTAGTCACAAAATATTATTGGGCCGATCAAATACGCTATGACAAAGTATGTGCAAAACTCACATAGTCCGAAGCCTGAAACACCCAGTCGGAATCAGAGGTTGCAATGAACAGTGGCAGGCCTTTCCACGAGGAATATACGCACCCAGCTGCACATGGGCCCAAAAAACCTGTATGATCAAACGTCAGTCTGTCTTGATAATGAGCAAATGACATGGACGGACGATAAGGCCAGTTAAAAACACCCGTTTCTTATTCACTGTTCATGTTTCAAATTAATTAGGTGGCGCCAGGAATTTGGTTGTGAGAGACGCTTACAGAACCAGCATCGCCTCGCATAAAACCTGGCAGGGAAATAGCTGAATGGCGCGAAGGTCATGAGGCATGAATGACACCTACGTTTGGACAAGATAACTAACAAGGGTCTAGCAAGAATTATATGAGAGTTTGGAAGGAAAATAAGGACCCTGTGTACCTCTGTTATCACGGTCGCCTGGGTTATAGAAGAACTCATGTTAGCGTGTGGAGAGGAAGGTGGTGGAACTCGGAGACATACTGTTATTGGCCTAGGGTGCGTGTAAGTGAGGAGTGATATGGTTATCGGCAATAAATAACTAACCATGTGCTGCGCCGGATGAATCGGGGTGTGCTAAAATGAGAAACCTAGACGCCGGTGATGTTATTGTTGGAGACGGGCGAGGGATACAGAGGGCTAGAAAAACGTACGAGGTACAAGTAGAGCGTACAAAGACAAAATATTTGGTGCAATGTGTCGATCGCTGTTACTGCGACCACCTAAGAATAAAGCTTCTTGAGCATTTCTCTAGTAGCCGAGTGATTAATGGATGTGTGTTGTCCCCACATTGTACCGAAGATATCTCGAATCTTTCCTCCAAAATCGCTTCAAATAAACATATGCCTTGGGTGGCGTGAATCGACCTCGCAAGAACTGAAGGCAAATTGGGCACACCTGGTAGTGTTGCACAGCAAGGAGACTGTATGTAGATGGTTAGTCCCCAATCCCTCTATCTCTGAGCATTGAGCACGTACAATGAAGAGAAAATCGAGCATATGACCAGCACGCCGAACGTGTCATGCAAACCAGGAATAGGGGCCATAGGAAGAGGTATTAGGGGACGAGGGGATGAGACGTAGATGAGGCCGCGCGCCGAGTCTCCCATCCTCGTTAATGGGTTTTATGTTGTTGGAGTGACAGACATCGGAATAGCACAACCCCCACGGTCTTTCACCCCCTGCCTGCGCCATCCAAGCTGTGCTGCGATCACGATCGCTGCACCTCATTCCTGATTGATGCAATGTCACAAGGGCAACTTGATGCGTCATCGGCGATCGCAACTCTGTTGCACAGCCGATCATACATTCACTCTGCGGAGGCAAACACTCTTGGCGGAGCGTACTGGGGAAGCTCATGCAGCCACAGCTTCGTGTCGAGGAAGCAGTCATCCATTCGACTCGCAGTACTTTTAGTTCTTCGGATCCTCCCCTTCTTTCAGCTGCGCTCAGCATCCAGGAATAGGGGCACCACAACCAGTTGCATTTTGCTTTGATCGAGACTAAGTACTTCGATGATCAGGTGATGAGGGGTGATCCAGAACTGCTGATGTATCGCGAAAGCTACTGGGGTTCCACCAAAAACAGAAAGAACTGCTGATGCTTCCGGTGACGATTCATATAGTCATCACCATAGGTCCCCAACAGACTAAGCTCGACGGTTCCACAATACGGCAGTGACAGCAGGTTCGGAAAATGTGGGCTTCATATCGTGTTCTGAGCGAGTTCGATGGCCTGCGGCGATAACATCCCGGAGGGGTACAGGGGATCTTTGATCGCTGGCTCGATACGCAGAGGTTATCTTTGCGTGATCATCATCCACCGATAAGCTCTGTTGTCAATCTATTCTATCTTCTATATTCCACTATAGAGGCTGGGGTCCTGCCTATCAATCTATAACATGTGGACGCCGCCTGTCGCGGCAAGTGCCCGCTACTCCGTAACGGGTCTAGGCCCCGCACTGTGCACAGGGTCCAGCTCAGGCTCGCAAATGGGTATCAGCACTTACATACCGTTGTGCATTGCTTTCAAAGTCTTTATACTCACCATATCTTGCGCTGCATATGGTGGGTGATAGCCTTAGGGCCAATCATTCTATCGTTGCAACTCAACTTGCGCACTCAGGCGTTACGTGATTAACAGTATGCTACCAGTTTCGCCATGTTTCCTCCTATGTGCTAACGCAAACCATCCTACTTCTCAGGCGACTGTGTTCATAGGGTTCATAGTGTTGAGTTACAACGAGCGTGACTCACTAACCAATCACATATCTTACTTTTCGTTTCGTTGTATTGATACCTGACTGCATTGTATATAGTAATTGTTTGGTCTACTTTCCTTTTCTCTCAGTTCTTCATTAACGGAGACTGAGTTAGCATCATTGTTTTTAGCTAGTTGTTACATTACTTACTCTGTACTCTTCTGTACTATAGCTCCGCTTAGGTTAGTATTAACCGTAGTAATTCAGTTCTTCATTAACGGAGACTGAGCTCCGCTTTAGCCTCCTATTACATAGAGTCCTTATTTCCTTTCTGATATATATTCGCGTTGCTTCAGCCACTTCTCAGCCGTGTTTATGGAAGGCGCTTAACTAGACTCCTGTGGCCGCCTAGTTAATACCGTACATTAACAGCAAATAAGAAACGAGCAGTTTTGACTGCACTCATCATCCGTCCGTGCCGCTATGCAGTCCGCTTGATGTTATGTTGGAAAACACCGAGGATATTCCAGAGTAATTTCCAATTTTTTTGGAAACACGTGATTTTCTGCGCTTGTCATAATTGGCAGTCTGTTTACTGTCGCGTTACTCGTTGGCCAGGGCTATGAATTTCGTGTTTCTTTCCAATCACTCGAGTAATCCACTTCAGGTACCATCAGACGACCCAATAAACGCGTCTTTCGTTGAGCGCATACGACCTGCAGTTGAAGCGGAGAAATTACGTGCTGTCCAGGGGTTGCCGCCCATCACGAGCTCTGACCCAACAAAAACTCTGACAGAAGAGAGATGCATTTCAGATGACAATCTGTTTGCCCCCCACGAGGGAATGCGTGCGGACCCTTGTGATCATGGTCTTGTTCTCGCTAATGGTCAGTTCGGTGGAATAGACTTCGGCTTGTCCGTAACGTTTTATTCGTCGTTGTCAGAGATCGAAGAAGACGTGGATGACGTGCAGATACAGATACCTTCCGATGGAGAGGAGGGGGAGCCGGTTATCCTTCCGCGACAGGCTGTTTTGGCCGATTCGGATTCTGACGAGGACCCTTTGCTTCATAGACACCCTAAGGATCGGAAACTCGTACAGGAAGAGATTGGCGAGCTTGAAACCCTCATGCCACAGATCAGGGCGAATACGTTCTGATAGATCGGCTTGGTGAAGGTTGGCACGTCATCTGTTTAGATTGGAAGTGCGTTATGGGTTCACAATTTAGCTCTACGACAGGCACATTCTCTTCTGTATACAAAGCTATCGATCTTAATCATGCCCGGTATGCCGAAGTGCCTTGGCTACGTGATCTACAACCCCTATTGCCTCCGAGGTCCAAGCGTTATGTTGCTATGAAACGTATCTATGTTACTTCGAGTCCTGCTCGCATTGCGAACGAACTATCAATTCTGGAGGATTGCAGGGGTTGCCGGAACGTTTCTCAACTGATAACTGCCTTTCGAGCTAGGGACCAAGTGGTGGTCATCATGCCATATGTTAAGAATGTTGATTTCCGAGTGAGTGAACCGGGAAGTAAGCGCTATCTTGGAGTTCATCACATATGCCGAAGGATTTTTACACCAGGATAACAATACCTGGAATACAATCATATTTCCGTTGTCTTTTCCGAGCGTTGCGTGACATTCATGCGAGAGGAATTGTTCATCGGGACGTGAAACCCGCGAACTTCCTCTTTGATCCTGACACAGGGCACGGGACACTCTGCGATTTCGGACTGGCACAGGTTCGTCCTCATGTGTGTGAGCGCGTGCGTTGACCATACCATCAACTCTTTAGCGCCTCGAATCCGAAGTATCATCGTCTTGCCTTCATACATCTCCAAAGCCTTCGGACCCGCATGGAACCCATAAGCACCTCAGAAGCATTCAGGTTGATCGTATTAAGGCTAAGGCAATGGAAGCACGGAAACGTTCACAACACCCCAGCGAACGTGTTGGAATACCAATGGACGACACAAGGTTAGACAGTGTCCCTGAGGGCTGGCCGCACGGGTTTTGATGGGTCTTCAAATAGGCCAAGTGTCAAGGCTAATCGTGCAGGTACCAGGGGGTTTCGTGCACCAGAAGTTCTTCTCAAATGCCCGGATCAGTCACCAGGTCGGTCCGTTTTGACTGCCGCTGATGCACACTCACTGGGATAATAAAGCTTTGGATATTTGGTCTGCTGGAACAATTCTTCTCTCAATCTTGGCCTGCAAGTTTCCAGTGTTCCAAGCCAGCGATGACATCGAAGCACTCATGGAATTAGCTGCAATTTTTGGGCGTAAAACGATGGAGAAATGCGCACGATTGCACAGTACGTCTTGGTTTCCATATCTAGGATATCTGCATGACAGTAATTGTTCAAGATCGAATATTTTCGACCAATGTACCATCAATAGACCACGCAGGGGTGTCTTGGGAAGATTTGGTCACGAAGATCAACCCATATTTGTTGCAAACTCCATCCTCTCAGACCGTCCCCGAGACTGTCGCGAAGCACAATCATTTCATGAAGCAGGCTATCGACCTGCTGTCAAAGTGCTTACATTGGGACGCAACGGCGCGTACAACTGCTCGAGAGGCTTTATATGAGCCGTTCTTACACTCTAATAGCAAGGATGACCTTGATGATGATCAGCAATTCCCACATCCCCCTGGCGAAGGCACATGCAGCCGCCTTCATTACCTTGACGAGCATAATCAACATGTTGTAATGATCCCTGTGGATGATACGAAATATATAACGAAGGTCCTCCGGTCGGGAGAGGGTATCGCCATTGGGGAAACAAAGTGTGAGTTCCATCGGGACCCACATGCGGTGGCGTTTGGAGAGGATGCGTAGGTAAATTGTCGTACGGGTTCCGGATGACTTGCTGTATGGTAGATGACGTTAATTGAATGATGGGTAAAAATTGGAGGCAGGACAGATTGAAGTATGAAGGACGAGAGGCTTTTCAGTAAGGCTTGAACCTCCGCGATTTCTTGAGACCCTCGACTCTACGTTTCTCGTTTTCAAACTTCTGCTTCATCTGCACGAATTCTGCAGAAGAGTAAATTGCAAGCATGCGCCCAAGTGTAAGATGACTTGCCTGTTTGCTTCCTTTCGCGTCTTTGGTGTCTGTAGAATTCCGAAATCCTCTTCGGACCAACGCCCCCTTTCCTCTGGGCGTCCCTTATGAAAGCTCCTTTGGCGATACCAAGGCTACCACCCAAGGCTCTTCCAAATGTGCCTCCACGTTTAACCAAAGTCCAGCCATCCTCATCAACGATGGCGTCTCCCGCTTTGTATTTAGACTGCTGCTTCTGGGCAGCTTGTTTCGCGTCGAAATAGTCCATAAACGAATCTGCGTGCCTGCGAGCCTCATCAAGAGTCAGGCGTGAGGAGTTGTATTGGGAGATATAGCGAGCCAATCCCGTGAGTTGTTTCTCGTGGGTTGAAGGCGGCCATTTGAGCTGTGTATCAGACTTGGCCAGTGAGAGTACTTTGTCAATGGAACTTGGATCCTGAAAGACTACATGAGCAACGTCTCCCGATTGACACCAGGGAAGAATATGAGCGGGGAGAGGTGGAATCAGGGAATGCGGGGATGACGAGTCATCTTTGTCTTCTATGGATTCGTTCGCGGTATCGGCTCCTGAAGTTTTGTAGCTACTGAATTCGATACTTTCAATTGAACTGCAGCCATGTTCCGAGAAGAAAACTTCAAGCCAGCTATGGCTACTATCCACAGGGACGTTGGCCAAGAACAAGGTGCGATCTTCCGGAAGTGAGCTACTGGAGCTTGCTTGATGCTTGCGCAGAAAGAGATAATGGGTCGCAGTTGGCGAAACTGTAAGCTTCAAGAAGTTCATCTGGAAGTGGGCTGCAAAAAGGAATCAATAAGATTCGGCTAACTCCGCTAACCAGGATGGCCACGGTAAATGGTGTGGATCAAACTCTGGCCCGGATACGAATCCACTGACTACGCTCGGCCAACTTCCTCCAAGGCTTCATAGTGGACATTGATAAAATTCGGTAGCGTTATCCAAACGATGACCCAGACACATGGGTCGACCCCATCCTCCGATGCCTACCGTGAGACGCGTTTAGCTACGTCGCTGTGGCTGACATCAATGGTGAAATGACACTTGTGCTCGTTCCAATGCTGGAGACGATGAAGAATCCCTGCGGAGAACTTTGAAAATTCCTGACAATGAATCTTTTCGTCAAGCAGTTCAACTTTTCCTGATACCTGGTGTCTGGCCAACCCATGAGTAATGTTTCTGTCTCATTCGTTATCAGTAGTTCAACATACTGATTACACCCATGATGTAGATGGTCCAAACCATGATCTCCGGCCTCCTGATAGTGTGGGGCGACCAGTGTACGGGGTGACACTTTATACATCGTCCTCTTATGCATCCTTTCTTTTTAATCACCGATGCATAATTCTTGACTGGCATGTATAACATCTCGTGCACCAACCATCATGCTCAGTTATGTGGCCTTTGACACATGTAAACGACCTTTATGAACGATGTGACGTTTTCCTTCCTTCCCAATTTACTATCAACCTAATCCACTACATAGGACACTATCTTCATGCACCAGCATATACGATGTGAACCCCCTCGTCTCCCACCATTTTTGATAAGATAAAAACACAAATAAAGACAAGCCTTACATGGCGTAAATTGATCAAGCAAGAATTGAAGGCTAAGGCACTGCAAGGAGGCGATGGAGAGATATTCAGCGTACGCTCCAAGTACCGAAGACAATTAAACCACGCACAAAGAAGAGAAATTTGTGAATATAACCAACATTCAAGGGCTAAATACCAATCCTTCAACGTAAGCGCATCTGGAAAGTCTTTTGACCCGTTAGTGAATTTCTGTAGTAGGGGCTGGGATCCTGCTTAACACATCATAGCCATTAGTGGTAGGATATTCCCCATCAATGTCGCGTGGTATTAATGGTAAATTTCAATCCGTCGTCAGTGCTTGCGCAGCGTGATCCACCTTGGGAATGGTTATGTCACCCCGAAGGTGATAATCAGTTGATTCCCTGTGGGCGTGGAAATCGGATTGAACCATTCATTGGGTCCTTGCCTTCTATGGTGACCGACACTAGTGTGCCGCCGTCTACCACTGTTCCACGTGGCTTCAGTCCGCCTGGCCCTTACACATAAGAACAACGACGCGATGCAAGATAACAGAGGGGGGCTTACCTGCCCTTCTCCTCAGTGCCCTTAACGACGTAGAGCGCCGCGCGATCTTTCACTCTTCAGTTCTATCTAGTGTACAATCTGGGTGTCGCAACGGCCCTTATAAATGATGTGTTTCCTACATTGCACCAATAAAGCCATCTACATGCATGGCTGTTGGTAGCAAATCCTCTCCAAAGAACAGCAACTTTCGTTGAGACTATCCAGTTTACAAGAGCGTCCCCAGCAGCGCCCTTCAACTGTCGATGTCGAATCATTTATGTCGCTGTGGCCCATTACCGCCACCATTCCCTGTCTCCACCTCAGTGTATCTTACCACAGGCCGTCGCTTGAAAATTCAGAGACTTGGGTGGTTGTCGGGGCTGTCACCACGCTGCCTCTCTCGGTGCCTATCCGATCGCACACAAGACGCACCCCCGTCGATCTCGCAACAAGCTAGCAGGAGGGAAGTCGGCTAGTTTAGACTATGCCATATTGTCAGACGCTAAAGCCCTTTAGATCTCACTTGGAGTGATTCTTCGAATTCTCGAATTCGCTCGGCATCTCGCTTCTCCATACAACCCAGTATATAGAATGAGACGTGTCTACCACCATATTACTTGTCGTCATATACATCTGTGCATCGTGCCGAAGACAAACTCGCAGATGAATTGGATGCCTCCATTCTTAACCAACAAAGGTCTCGATTCTTCTGATGTTTGTGTCATCGTATCGTATCAAGCACAACGCACACATTCCCTAAGATATCAAGACTCTCCGCCTTCAAGAAAGCAAGTGTACTTGGGATCTTGTCCCTGTTTGCATATACGGTTTCTGTATCCTTCCCACTGTCCACATCAACTGATCGAGGGTTTTTCTCAATCGTTGCACAAAGCACGAGCCAGACCATGTCAGGATTGTGCTGCGCTAGCCCAATGTAGAGCTCTCTTGCGATGGATTGGATTTCAGGATGGGCGTGGACACTCAAGAAGCGTCGGCATAGCTTGGTCATATCCCAAGCCAAAGCATCACCGAGTTCAGTGCCTTCCACCACCGCCCTTAACGCTGATAACAAAGATCGATACGTCCGATGGGACGACGAATAGGGGGTCCGTGTCCCGATGTTGCCGCCTCGGCGACGAGTCAAAGCATTCGTGGAGTCCGCCACTTCGAGCTGTAAAAGCATCCTCTGGAACCGTGGCCAGACGTCATCCAATACCCGGCGATACATGAAATCGCCAACGTTCAGCACCAAGGACTCTACAAGACCCGCGGCTTCTGTTACTACGAAGGGTTCGGTGTCACTAAGCCGATTAATGACAAACGGCCACGCCTTGTGTATCGAAGGGAGGACCGAAGATTCTGTCGTTCTGAGGATTGGAACCGAAGAAGCCAGAAGAGAGAGTATGCGAGCCCGTATCATGGATGAAGGGTGTGTAAGGAAATATAAGGATCGAGAGATAATTTGTTGTGTAAGAGCTTGAAGGGGGGTCAATGGCGAATCGTCCTCAGCAGCAGTTGGAGGAATATGTTCTTCCTCTGCTTCATCCTCAGAAAGACCTTTAGCCCCTTTCTTCCTCTCATCTTCGACATCACCCCACATCGTCTGAGGAACAGGCCCAAAATCATCTTCATCCGGTGCCAGGGGATCGGGGTCATGCCGATGAGCAAACCATCGAAAGAATCCTTCTAATCGCTGCTCTCCTCGATCGAATGCTTCGATCGCTTGATTTCTCTTCGCAGTGCTGTCCGGGTGCTTGTCGTCGACACGTTCGGTACGAACGGCTCGCACAACCTCTCCGAGGACGTCGACCAGGCCTGCCACGATTGCATTATATCCATGGTACTCGTCCAGTCTGTCAAAGCATTCCTCAACAACATCACCAGCATGCTCAACCACTTCGCTTCCCACCAGCCGTACCAGTAAGGCTAAAACCTTCGTCGCGTCAATATCGAGGCGCGCACGAGTAAGATGTAAGGAACATGAATTCAGGGCGTAGTCGAAGTTGGCTACGAGGATGTGTGCGGGAGATGTGTATGCAGTCGCAGAAGTTATAACGCGCAACGTAGACTGAGCAGTGGAGGCGACGAAGGGATGGGGGGATACAAGGGAATGAAGAGCCGGGTACAGAGACTCCAGCAAGAGGGGCCGGAATTTCTGTGTGAGTACTGATGAAGTGATGGCAAGGAGGTGAAGCAAAAGCGCAGAGTGGACCTGTAACATAATAGATTTCGAAGGGCCAGAGGCGCTCGGGCCACTTCGTTTTTTGTCTGAATCGAGCAAGGTTTGAAGCTCATTCATCCCTTTCTTGTATTCAATGATCGTATTGCTTCCTTGGTGTTCCTCAATCTCGTGATTGTCTGTTGGGGCCGTCGAAGCCGTATCATGAAATGTATCTAAGTTTTCCGTAACCGCCCGCACGATCCATCGACACGCTTTAGAAAACTTCTTCCCTTGCTTCTGGAGCACATTTTGCTCCAAGCCCTTCTCGTTGCCGCCGAGAGTGACGCCTCCAATACCCTCTAACAAACGACCTGCGACCCAAAGCGCCGCGTTAGCTTCTTGCAGTTTACGAGTGCCTGTTCCCCGTTCCACAAACCACTCAAGGGTATACAAGGCAGTCTCACCCCCTGCACGTGCTAATTCGCGAAGCATTTGTTCAAGAGACTTAAAAGCCTCGAGCTCGCTGCTGCTGTTGGTCGATCTTAGCTGCGTAAGCTCTAAGCTTGGAAACGGGATAGGAGAGGGCTCGAGTGTATCGTTTGAGCTATCCCCTAGGAATTGGCTTGTGGCAGTAGTCATCGGCATGATCGATGGTATAGAGAAGTCTAGCACATAGAGTAGACTGAATCCCCATTTCTCGACGTGACCGGTAGGACCCAGTAGAGTTTGAATAGAAGAACGTAGGGCTTTCGCGGAGGATGAGCCAGAGGAAGCGATCATGCAGACTGCTTCTACCTGGGAGGCAAGGTATTGCACCTTGGCATCGGAATGAGTGGGGATGAGTCGGGGGAGAGAGTTCATGTTCGTTTGCGTCATATCAAGTATGAGCCGCACGATGCTGCTATCCTTGTCGTTTGCCAATTGATCAATTAAACCGTTCCTTGCTAGTAATGACACCTCGGAATATGAAGAGACAGAAAGTGTCAAGCTATAGGACAATAGGAGGGCATGGCTGGGCACCAGAGTGAGTCGGGTCTTCCCTAATATCATATTGGAGAAATTCGCGAGGGCCAGGAGAACCTGTGCGTTTGGATGCCTTAATAATGGTGCGAGAGTGTTAAGAGCGATGTGGAGCTGAGATGCCATAGCAGTTAACCAAGACGTCGACCGTACAAAGCCTGGAGACTTTGGATCGGGGCCAGGTGTCTCCCGCGAAGATGACATATCGTCACCCAGGTACGACGATGTGGTAATACTGTCATTCGGACCGACGATATTCGATAACTCTTCAATACCACTGGCCATGCCTCGAACCAAACCCTGTGCGACACAGACGTCATCTCCCAAGCTATGCAGTATTTCATTTTTCATAACGAGAAGAGCTGCCTCGCAGATTTCACTGTTCTGCCACCCACTCACGCCCGCCTGTTTGCCAAGGATGACTTTGCACATCGAGCTGACGACACCAGGCAAAATAATGGGAGCATAATTCGCACCAAAGTACTCTGATACGAGAATGTTCAGTAGTTGAAGTGATACCAGCTGTAGAGGCCGATGTGAACTGGTGACTGAGTCGAGCACATTGTGCACAAGTTGACCCAGTATTGGGAAGAACTTGGGGCTTTGGGCGTGGCTTTTGAACCGCCCAAAAATCTCCTCCGGGGGATGCGAGGGTGGAGTTTTGCGCATAACGGAGGCTTCAGCTTGACTTCTTGGCCGCATCAGTTGGAGAATACACCGAGCGGCAGCCTCTTTCGTATGATCATCGCGCTTCCGAAATTTTGGACCAGCTTGAAAGAGGTTCGAACCCGACAGCATAACGAGCTGCTCCCATGTTTGTACATCACATGTCCACCACCATGTTTTGGACAGAACTTCGAGGACTGAAGAAATACGCTCGAGCACTTGATCTGGTACAGTTTGCAGGTCATTTCTTTGCAGAATGCTGGAGATAGGAAAAAACACGTATTGAATCAGGGCTTGATTCAGTAGCGATTGGGGCTCGGACAACGACTTGAGACGTGTCACAAGTGCATCCAGCAATGCAAGAAGCTGCCGTTCATTCGCTCGCGTGAGTCTTGAGCATCCTAGAAGCGGTACGCATATTTCCTTAAGCTAAGCATGGAATAAATAAAGCGACCTGACACCAAAGGAATTTCCGCATACCTTTTGAAAAGCATCGCTCGCTTGGGCATCGTGAGAGGGAGAATGTGACATCACATGATTGAGATTCTCCCTCAGAGTGGCTGTGCCCTTCTGTCAAGTTTGCACCATGTCGGGTTTTGATGCGAACACTGTCCATGCCGTGCCCGTTCTTCGCCCCGATCCTTCATCATCATCGGGCCTGTCGGGCGGCCTCTCCTCCTCTGAATTTAATTCCCTGCTTCGTGATTTCATAATGGCGTTCCGCGTTGGAGGTGATTTCATCTATCGGCACGTTCCTCTCAGCATGTGCGACGCGTTATTTGAGTGCTTGACGCGTTTTTCCTTCTAGGGATCAACTCCGCGCAAATGTGATTCTCAAGCAATATCTTTTGGACGTTGATCTCCGTCACGTCGGCTTATTTCACGAGGAGCTCGGGCATGCAATTCAGGTTCACCCTGGAGTCTTAGTGCCTTTGGTAGGCCCTGTCATTTAGTACAGTCTACTAAGGGACTGAACTTTTCGTTAGTTTGAAAAAGAAGCCACCAGATGTGCGAAACGCATTCTTGAACCCGGCCGGCACCTCAGCGACTCAAGAAGGGACGGCCAGCGCAGTGACGACGAGGAGGACACCGCCCAAATTATCGGTGGAGTGGCCTCAGAGATCCCCCTCATTCAAGTAATGATACATACCGGGATGAACATGCAGAGCCTTCGCAACCTCACCTCTGAATCAATGAACAAGCTCATCAGAACCCCCGGTATTGTCATCCAGACGGCCACTCTCCAAGCCCGGGCCACCAAGCTCGCTCTCCGATGTCGTGTCTGTGGCTCTACAAAACGTATTTATCCAACTTCTGGCATTGGTGGTATTGGGACTGGGGGTGGGCGGGGCGAGCAGGGGCTCCCGCGAATCTGTGACGCGTAAGGATTGAGACCCGATCTTTGTGGGAGTAAGCTTACATTCCTTAAAGTCCCCCCTTAGAGTCTGGGCAGAAGAAGGATTGTGGGCTCGATCCTTACCAGATCATGCATGACAAATGCGAGTTCATGGACAGCCAGACTTTGAAACTGCAAGAAGCTCCAGATATGGTCCCAGTAGGAGAGCTTCCGCGCCACCTGATACTATTCGCTGACAGGTACTCCATCCAACCGTACGGGTTCCATGGCGTTGATTGTTTGTTCGATTTTTCAAGGTACCTAACTTCCAGAGTGGCACCCGGCTCAAGAGTGATCGTGACGGGGATCTACTCCACTTTCAATGTTGGGAAGAATGTGGGTATTTTTGCTCTCCCGCATGACCTGACTCTAGAATGGTAGCAGAAAAACTCTTCAGGAGCAGTAGCTGTCCGCCAGCCGTACCTGCGACTCTTGCACATCGAACAAGATACATCGTTTTCTGGTTCTCATGGGGCTTTCGGTTCCCGCTTTACCCCTCAAGAAGAGGAGGAATTCGCTCAGATGGCCAGAAGTCCTGCATTCTATGAGCGATTTGCCAACAGCGTTGCCCCTAGTATTTTTGGTAGTTTGGGTATGATCCTCCGAGTTCCTCGGGCCCATTCATCCCGCTCATGCTACTCCTATCCCCACAGACATTAAAAAGGCTATCGCCTGCCTATTGTTCGGTGGCTCCAAAAAGTTGCTACCAGATGGGATGCGGCTTCGCGGAGACATCAACGTGTTGCTTCTTGGGGATCCCGGGACGGCCAAGTCGCAGTTGCTGAAATTTGTTGAGAAGGTCCCTCTTAGTTACGCTAAGGCAAATGCAAGTCACTGACCGTTGTTGCAGGTAGCACCAATTGCTGTATATACGTCAGGAAAAGGCAGTAGCGCAGCTGGTTTGACCGCAAGTGTTCAGCGCGATAGCACCTCAGTGAGCGTTGGTGCCTATGCTTCCATACACACGCTCACTGCCAGTCGTTACACAGCGCGAGTTTTACCTCGAGGGAGGCGCGATGGTCTTGGCGGATGGCGGAGTTGTATGTATTGACGAGTTTGATAAAATGCGAGACGAAGATAGGGTGGCGATTCATGAAGCTATGGAACAGCAGACTATCTCAATAGCTAAAGCCGGGATCACAACCGTCCTCAACTCGAGAGCAAGCGTCCTAGCCGCTGCTAATCCTGTGTTCGGGCGGTATGACGAAGCTAGAAGTGCCGGGGATAACATCGATTTCCAAGTCACCATTTTGTCTCGTTTTGATATGATCTTTATCGTCAAAGATACTCATGATGAGGCGCGAGATAAGGTTCGTCGGCCCTGGCTTGACAAATCCCCCAACTGATCCTTTTACGCAGGCTATAGCAGAGCATGTCGTTGGTTTGCATATGAACCGGGTTATGGAAGTTGAAACGAACGTTGAAGGGGAACTTAGTCTGGAAAAGATGAAACGATACATTGCTTTTTGCAAAGCGTGAGTTTGCTGATTGCCACGTTCGAGATCATTGTAACCTGACTCCCAAACTGAAGGAAATGCGCCCCTCGCTTGACGCCTGAAGCAGCAACGCTTCTGAGCAGTCACTTTGTAGCATTCCGGAAGGAAGTTCAACAGCTTGAGGCTGAGAACAGGGAAAGGAATTCTATTCCTATGACCGCACGGTATGTCACAAATTCCATGCATTAGCCCCGCATCAGCCCTGACAATGCCCACAGTCAACTAGAAGCCATCATTCGTATCTCTGAGGCACTCGCCAAAATGACATTATCGCCGACGGTGCACGAGCACCACGTCAACGAGGCAATTCGCTTGTTCAAAACTTCGACCATGGACGCTGTCACAGCCAGTGGGGTGGAGGGCATTTCTCGCGGCGAGCTGAATGAGGAGGTGCAGGCCATAGAGAAAGAAATAAGGAAGCGGCTTCCTATTGGTTGGAGCACAAGTTACCAGGCTTTGGTGAAGGAGTTTGTGCAGAATCAAGGTTTTACTCAACATGCTCTCGATCGTTCTCTGTACATTCTAGAAAAACGGGAAGTGATACGATTCTCAAACCAAAAGAAGGTCGTTCATAGGTATGCCCTTTGACCTCATACATCTCACCAAGAGCTGAACCACCTCGTTACTCAGATCTGGCGTTTAGTTAGCAAATACATGACTGTATCGATGCACCCCTTATACTCAGCATGGCTATTTCTAATGTAACCTACTGGCATATCTAGCTAGCACCTGGAATCAATCCTTTTTCTTATTTGACAGCTATACAATAAGAAGGCGCAAATATGACTGGTAACCACCTCGGCTCGACGCTGGACACATCGCCCCCGGGGCTAGCTGGCTTCTTGCCTGATGGTCTACTGACTTAGACCACCGGGGGCTGGGGAACTTGCTATGAAAAGCTGACGTGTTCAGGGTACTCAAGTGTGCTCGGTGTCGGTGGTTCTGCTGCGAGACGCGAGAAACGCCGGTTCCTTTAATATCCATGAGTCGTTTCTGAGAAAAGCGTTTATTTATCATTTTTCTCAAGACTCTCATGATTCTGAATGATTGAAATCGATGGCCAATCCGTGGCAGGTCTCATGTCTCACCGTGCGGTCGTGCTTCTAGTGTGGATTCCTGGGCGAAGCGCAGAGCACGCGGACTACAGGCAGTTATTAATTGTCTAGTGACATGGACTGCGTTAGGTATCGATTCCGAGCCTTTATCAGAAGAAGGAAAGGGACGCAACTACTAGGCAGGAGCTCCGGAGCGGCACAGAGATATAATGAACCAACCGTTTGATCCTGAATGCCCGTCCCGGATGTACATAGATTATAAGGCCCCGGGGCCTCACTCCCGCCCACGCTAACGATCATATTCCGCCGTAGTGAAGAGGGAATACACATTAAGTATATAGAACGAAATGTGCGAGTAGATTTTCTATCCTGACAACTGCTTGCCAGACGGAAAACTAATATGAAATCGAGTACAGCTGTATATGGACGGCTCATATACCCTAGATTACTGCGGCAGGTTGTTGTTGACCATGCCACCAAAACAAAATTCGAAACCACCCCATACTGTGAGCCGAATGAGAGAGCCATACATGATACCGGGCATGGATAAGTGCTGGAATGTTCCCTGACGGAACTGACGGAACCGACGGGCTTTGACAGTCAATATTGCTAAGGGTCCACAACTGATGGCCAGAAAAAAAATGATCCATTTTTTGTTTCCGCCCACAACCTCTTCTGAAGCATTACTAGAACGACTCGATACCCCATGAACGCGGAGAACGAAGAGCTTTGGAGCGATCCAGAGGAAACGGACCATGGATCGATGGTATCCATGGCCGTCCCAGAATCACTACATAACGCCTCTGTCCTCAGCGACGAGGCTGAATCGGAGGACGGAGGGAGTGAGGACTCCGTCCTTTCCTACAACTTTGAGAGGGACGGCGAGAGATTTTTCGTCCAGGAGGAAGGGAGGAGGTACAACAAGCTTAATCGCTTGTACCCCCTTCCAGCCGGTACGTCGCCCCCCACAGTCCACAGCAGGCAAGTTTACATTCATCCTGATAATTTTTTTGCGTGGTAGATGGCGAGGAATGGCAAAGACTGTACGTTCATGTTTCTCGGCGACTATTCATGGCGAATCTCACATTCACGACATCCAGGTCGGACCTGCACGAGGTCCTCAAACTCTGTGTAGGCGGGCTGTATCAGGCCCCAATTACTGTGGACCGTCTGCTTGCCCACGCAGAAGGGGAGGAGAAGCACATTTTGGATTGTGGTACGTCGATTTTGCTGTGTTATTATATCTCCGTCACACCAAGAACAGTGCTGAGAAATCTCTCAGGATGTGGAGGCGGAGAATGGTTAGTGCATATATACTGGTGGCGGCTGGAAGATTTATTCTGACCGGTGCGATTAAGGATGATCGAAATGGCGAGGGTATGTTTGCACGATTCATATTCATTGATTCCTAGCGAATGCTCGAGTCTTGTCACACCACCTGACATTCGTTCTTGCAACTGCAGAAATTCCCTCATGCAAAGGTTGGTGTTCAGATCATCTTCTCGTGCGATCATAATTACGTGAGATTGATATAAGTATACATGCTGTCCATCATCAGGTTGTCGGCGTTGATCTCGCGCCAGGGCTCATCTGGTAAGGTCTTTGCCAATTTTTGGATGAGCACTTTCAGGAGCCGATATGTATTCATATTTCAGGGAAATGATGCCCCCCAATTGCCGGTTCGTGTGCCAGTGGATAACTCAAGTTTAGTCGGTGCAAGAGCGCTAAAACTTCGCAGAGTGGAATTTGATGACATCAACAAACCATTGAGACATTTCCGTGGTGCGTTGGTTATTTCAGCTTGTTAACTGCACTTGGAGTCATATGTACATTGACATTTTGTACTTTAGGAAAGTTCGATGTGGTTCACGCTAGATCGTGTTTCCTCGGTGTGCGTCAGCCATGACTCCTACTAACTGGTTCATCTTCATCGAGTCCATCAATAGGTCGATAATTACGAACAATTCCTGGACAGGATGGTACAATGCCTGAAACCAGGTGTGTTCAGGCCGAACCCGCACATGCAGTTAGTTCTAATGTGAAACTTGCGGTCCCAAATTTTAGGTGGTATAGTATTAGTCGTCGAAAGCCCGCTTCGGTTGACAGTACCGGAAGATCTGGCAATAAACGGCGGAAATCTCGAGGCCCAGGTAATCCAAATGTTCCAGTGTATGTTTCCTGACGTGGTTTTGCTTTTTGTCCTCGCTGACATACTACCCAGGGGCGGAAGATGCCATAGAAGGCAATGGATCAGATGTCAGGGCCATCGACAACCTACAAGGGTTGGTAGAAGAACATCCCCTGCTGGAGAATAAGGAGTCCTTTGTTGCTACCGTCCCAGTCGGCCGATGGGGAGGTGAGCACATTGGTGGACTTATGCAAGAAAATTTTGTGGTAAGTTACACCATCGGTCCCAGGCCCCTCATTGATATGGATGCTCTTCTCAGAAATTGGTGCATGCGTTGGGACCCGTCCTCCTCAGGGCAGGGTATCCTGCACCAATGGTGGATCAGTGGATGGCATCGGTTGAAGGGGGTGAGTCGTCCATATATAACAGACCAGAAGAGCCTCTGACTACGTTATTTTCAGCCCTCCGTTCCCCTTGGGCGAGGTTTACCTCGCGATGGACATACTGCTGTGCATCACGGGTGCTGGATGCAGAAGCAGACGAGGATGACGGAGAGGAAGGAGAATAACGTCGATCCCTTTGTGCCCCGTGGTGATAAATAACTACATACGGTGTCTGGAACCTAGAGACCTGCTAATGCGGAGCTATCCATTGAGGATGTAGGGTTGACTCCCTGTGGGAGTGCCAGCGTGCTGTATTTCGATGTCGCAACGAAGTGTAACGTCGACGGATAGAGTCATGGCTAGTCCAGCTACGGATACTAGTAGATGTGCTGATCCCAAACGTACCAAATCCATGCCTGATTCCTGCGTATTAATATTACTAGTACAATGAACGCACAAAGGATAAACCGCAATCATTACCAATATTCGGTGGTACAGCGATATCGATAGTGGGCAGTCTGCTCCAATTGAGGATCATGGCTAACCGATAGCCAGATCAACTGTTTGCGGTAAAGATGGATGTCGTCAATCGCATCGATCAGCCTACATCATCGGACCTAGATCGTTCATAGGAAAATTGTCTCGCTGCCCCGATATTCCTACTATACTAGCTGTTGTTTGAGCCGCGTGCATGTTGCCGGCAAAATGTTTCACGATATCTCGGATCTGATCTCAAATCAAATGGAGAGACAACCAATTGACCTAGACAAAGCTCGGCACATTTACCGCAGTAGATTGGATTAGGATTCTGCTTTCTTGAAGACTTCACAGCTGATTGCCACGCAGATTAAAATTTCTTTTTTCCGGCTGGAAGCAGATACCCCAAGAACAGTTATAATTAATGAGGAACAACGAGGAGCTGGAGTGATCCTGATATCCAAATGATTATTGTGGATTGATTATGGTTTCCTCAGCCACCAGAGCCATAACTTAGCACCCCTGTCCGTAGCGACGAGGCAAGATCGGGAGATGGAGAGCGAGGACCCAGTCCTCTTCCAGGTATCCGGGAGAGAAATTCCGTGGCTAGCCTGCTGAATTGGAGACCGCTCAGTAATATATCGATATTGACCTTGGATTATCATTTGTACGTCCATCTTTGTATCCAGCCATGAATTACCTTGCTTGCAAGGTCATTGCCAGGTCATAATTGCCGTGGGAAATATGTAACTATTGCAAATTCCTATGAACACATCACATGGTTCCTCTGAATCAATTACTATTTGCAAACACATCACATGGTGCTCCATCACATGGTCCTCGTGGTCGCAATCTCTGCCTCATGTGTGTGCCATTGTTCCAGCAACGCAACGCTGTTCCCAGTGTTCCTTTGTCTTCTTGTTCAACTCTTCAAACCGTGAGTCCGCCCGCTTTAGAGCCTCGCACACAGGCCGTGTGAAAAGGGTTTCATCGAAATCTCTCAATAAGCGGATGGTTTCTCTCCCCGAGCTCCGCGACAATGCAACGTATGCACTGAATGGTGTCAGTGCTCCAGTAGGAGGACTTGCTAGGTCGATTATTACATGTCCGATCGTTTGGCCTTGCGCGCGATAGTCCGTGAAACCATATGCTCCCGTTATAGGGAGTTGTTTCCGCTTCACACTTTTGGCTTTCCCTCCTCCAATCTTCAGTTGGTATGTTTGTTCCTTAGGGAAAATTGGCACCACTCCATCGGGTAAGTCTCCCACCCGGCTTGGATTGCCATATTCCAGCCTAATAAGAATGCACGATGGTGGGTAAACCAGCGATACTCTAGGCCCCCAGTTGGATGTCGTAGCCTCCCTCGGATCAGGGATTATTTCCACAACCTCGCCGCGAGTACCATTGGCAATATTCATATCCGTGTTTATGTTTGACGTCACCATAACCTTTGCGCCGATGGCAAAATGAACGATATCAGGGAGTCTTGCGCCTTCAAGGACCGCCTTGCTGTTGTTTTTGGAGAGCTTTCCTTGTGCAGCGCGGATCCACCTCTCGCGTAAGTTGAGTGGCCTCCCTTTGATGGTATCCTCTGCTCCACATGAAAACAATCGCTGATGCGCTCCTTTGCAGTGACTCTCCAGAGCCGCTGCATTCCATTGCTCGCGGACCCCATGTCGAGGTGTGACCAGCCTCGCGTTGCGCCACGGTGAGTTCACAAAATCTGGTGTGGATCCGTCTCTGGATAACAGAACCAGATTCTTCAGCAAAGTCAGATGTTGGGGATTGCAGGTTCCATCGCGGCAGTGCCGAAGTAACTCGACCCACTCCGGATCTGTGACTCTCATCTGTTCCTTCAGAATAACAACTGTGTTGAATTTCTCGAACAGGCTGCTTCCCAAAGCTGCCTCTGGAGAATCCGAGAGGGATGATGGCCAGTATAAGGGTGCAGCGGTGCCCTCGCTGACTGGAGGGAACTGGTGGAAATCGCCGCAGAGAATGAGGTTTAAACCTCCGAATGGTTCGTCTTGCCTAGTTCCATGCACCTGCGTCATGATGATGCAAAGAACTGATGAAAGTTTTGCCAAGAATGATCGCGAAATCATTGAGCACTCATCAATGATGAGATATCGCCGCATTCGCCATTCCTTAGCCAAATCTGCAATCTGTTGCATTGTCGGCATTTTTTTCCCCAATGGGATACCGGCCAGGGTGTGCAGTGTCCTACCTCCAATGTGGCACGCCGCAATTCCGGTGTAAGCTCCTTTGGCAAGCATACCAGATGAGTTGTTTGCTTCGAACAGACGGGTAATAGCTTGAATTACCACAGACTTCCCAGTGCCCCCTTCGCCCAAAAGAAGCATGGAGAGTTGATCCTGGTGAATCCCTCTTATTGTATTGAGGACGTGAACTGAAATGAGGTCATACGCTCGTATTTGGTCAACTCCAAGCTGAAGCGCAGAATCCGCTTGCTGCGTTGCAACTTGAGTGCTGCCGCCTAGGGATTCTACACCACCTTGCGAGATCGCTGGCTCTGCAGTCCCAGAAACGACTTCTACGGTGCCAACGGCTCCCATCGGTGATCCGCCAGGTTCTGCACACCCTCCACGCTCGTTCTTGATCGCTGATTTCCATACTGCCTGTCTTTCATCGTTGTAGATTCCAATGCCGGAATGGCCGGGCTCAATTCCCCAAGCCTCAACCCATGACCCGAAGACATGTGCCGCCTTTGCGTGTTCAACTGCCTGTAAGCCATGAATGATCTCTCGTGTAGGTTCCTGCTTGCTAACAAAAGCTTCCAAATTTGCTTCGCTTAGGTCATGGTCGAAGCCTTGGCTGGACTCGTCCTTTTCGTGACCATCGTCTGATTCATCTCCTGCATCGATCGAATCATTCACCACCGTATCTTGTGTGCGTGACCGTTCAGCAGCATCCTTGCAATCGTAGTAGAACTGTGCATTGCCAATCATGGCGACTTTGTCATTGCCTGCTGCCCGCAAGAACGAGTCGTAAGAATCTTTCCATGTTTCCTCGGACATTTTTAGTGAGCTCATCTTGCGCCATGGTTTGAGAAGGCAAAGGATAGAGGCTCTATGTACGTCTGCTTCATCAGCATCATCTGACCGAGGGAGCCATTTTCCGACGATGTTGGCAATGGTGCGGTGATTCTTGGGGCGCACAACACGGATTCGAGATGCATGCCATGGATGCTGTGTGTGGTATTTGACACGCATGTTTGTAGGTCTGCCCGCATGTCTAGCGACGTCATTTCGGACTTTATCCCCCTGTTCAGATATGGGCCCTTTCTTGTGGGAAACCTGCTCCTCGTAAGTGTCCGAGATAAACTCAAGGAGTGACATGTCTTCCAGCTCATCGCCTCTGAAAACATAGTCATCCACCTGCGACTTTGTGACCAAGGCCCCTTCTGGGCTCAGACCCAATGTCAGAAGCTCGACGTCACAATTTAAGCCCTGAGAAGCTTGAACAGCATCTGGTGGGGTGGACTTGCAGCCGTCCTCGTCCACGTCTGTGGGGATGTCCATATGGCCGCTTACATCTTTGCCATTATCATCCATATCCTCAGTTCTTTGCTGGTCTTGATCGGGCCCAGGTTTCCTAACGAGAGGTCAGTCAATTATGAAAACATCTTTTAATATTTCTCCTTACCATGTCGTACGTTGGAGTGTTGGCCATTGACGCAGTAACAGGCGAGAAAACGATGTCCAATATAACGGTACATAGTAGTGAGATTTGAATGTATCTCCCCAACCCATCAGGTATGAAATCACCTGGGGTCCTGATTGCTCCATATCCCTATTAAGGGTATTTATGCAATGAAACACCAGCTTACGGTTACGGTCACGGATACCATTTGTACGCTCATCTTCAGCAAAGTGGTAAGCAAGCTTCTGAGCCAGCAGTGCTGACGCATTGGCTAACTTTGTCTGCGCTTTGGTCGCATACTTAGTGATGTACCAACAGATATTTTTGGTATCCTCGCCATTCGTGAGAAGTTTAATATCATGGTTGCAGCGCAGGAACACAAGGAGGTGAGGGTTGTAGTTATTCACATAGCCATATGAGCGTTGAGGTTTCCAGTTTCCATTCTCATCCACGACAGCACTGTCAGATAAGGGGAATGGTGCTCCTCGCTTGCATTTCAGCTTGTGAGTATTCCAGTCTTCTCGAAGGCACAGGTTGGCCTTGCATGTGTGGATTTGGCAGGAACGCATAAGACGTCTCTCGAGTGCAGCAGCTTGATTATGGAAATCAGCATTATTGGGATGGGGCGGACGACAGAACCCGACATCGTTTTCACGTTGCATCGCCTTCAACGTCTGTTCGTCCATACCAGGGAGGTGGGCCCGGATATTTGCCTCTATATACGCCTTCATCTTGTCACGGAAAACCACCGAACGGAAGCTGGATCGCAGCTTCTCTGCATCTGGGGCGTTTTGTAGCCAGATGATCATGTGGAGATGCAGGGTTCCACGGTTCTGTGCCTCGACAACACCGACATATGCTTGGATATAACCCAAAATGCCACATTTCCGTTTGATGCGGTGCCCTTCAACCGAAATCCCCAACAGTGTGCTCAACATCGCTTGAATTGTGAAATGGAAAAACTTCGCAGCCGCGTAGGGATCTTTTGCAATTGCCTGCTCACGATCGATCGAGTTGCTAATTACTTTATCTAGAGCATCCAAATCAATCTCCTTCCCCACAAGGACTTGTGCCAGTGGATCATGTATATCGCTTGGATTGACAGTCAGCCAGATACTAGGTGGGCCATATTTTAGTGTCGTGCTCCAGACTTGGCTGCGAATCGCTGCACGGGATGGATCTGTCCCCATCACCCGGCTCGCTGTCGCTCGAATATGCTTCATTAGTCGCTGCACTCCCGGATTTGAGATCGGAAGTCCCCGTGCCTCTTCATGGCTTGCCGCTTTCAAGTCGTCGATGGTTACTTTGGACAGCAGGGATGCATCGAAGTCAAAATCCTTTCTTCCCATTTGAACCTTTGCAGAGGATAGGGCCTGGCGTCTTTGCTCGATACCAAATGCAACAAATGGAAAGGAGTGGTGAGTGCGGAATCGTCTTGAATGATGCTCAAGACAGTAACGAACATGTTCCGTAAAGGACACATTCACCGGCCGACTATCTTCAATCCCACCTTCTCCATACGGAAATAGAACTGGAAAGGCCAATGCCCAAAAATTAAATTTGGGTATGTGATAGCGAGGGTCCAAAGATGCTTCGTTGGTTCGTAGTTTGCCAAAATCTCTTACTAATTTCCATCCGTGTCGAACAGCGTATGGGGGTTCTGCCTCAGATTCCTTGACCAGGTTAGTTACTCCCTGGGCTAGTAACTCTGATGTGGAGACTGCAGTGAGCTCCGTTTGGCTGCTGCCAAGATATTGCAATGGGATGACATCCCCCTCGTCTAACATTCCGCCGTAAGTGTAATATTCAAGTATTCAATATGACCGGACTCACCACAAGAGGTACTAGGTTTGTCAACCCCTTCCTCGCTACATGATTCGTCACCGTCATCAATGTCTATCATTGCAAGAAGGTAAGTTTAGAGTGCTTGAATGCAGGCAGGAACACACCATTTCCAGGTACGTATGAGTCATGCTCTTTGAGGAGAGCACTTATTTCTGTTTCTTGACGAATGGCGGCCTTTATCTCCAAAGGTACGTCATCTTCTGGCAGGGAGTTCAACACAGCCTCGTCCATCGTATATTCTGAGAAGCATTTATTATGCTTCATCAGCCATTGAAGTGCAGCCAATACTGCCTTTCTCCGAATACGAAATGTCGATTTGAGCATATGCTGCGGCACATTGCCGACACCAACATAAGTTACTGATATGACAGAGGCGAGGATCTCCACAGGACGGGGCAATTTCTGCCCTTAAAGCATACTGAGGATATCTTCTGTGTTCATAGGAAAGCTCGTCACATTCCCCCGTAATCCTGACTGCAAGCGTGTAGGATCATCCCTTGGTCCACCTTTGGGAAACATCTTGACGACGAAGCAGCGCGGGTAAATGGGAGATAGTAGAAGCTGCTCTGGAATAGTGAGGCAGGAGAGTACATCAGGTACGTCGCCTATCCACATGTTGTTTGATAGGGAAAACCGAGGGATTTTATTACGCTGAAGGTCCTGAAGACACGTTCTACAAAGCATCGCATACCGTTTCCCTTCAGTCTCAATTACTCCCTTCCTCTCCAACAACATGCCATCGATAAGGATCTGAGCAGGATGTCGGTCCTGAGCGGCTGGTTTCAAATGACTGGCGTTTGGAATTTTGTTCACATCAACCATCATACACTCGCGTTCCCAGCGCAGGCATGCACATGCAGCGCAAACAGCCTCTCGAACTGATGCAGAGGAGATTCTTTCCAAGAAGGCGGCCTGGCAATCATGAAGTTCTTCTTTAGAGGGTATATGCAGGAACTGGGTGGAAGCGGCATGGTGATTATCATCAACAAGAAGAGTGGATGTTGTGGGGCCTAGTTCATTCATTTCTGTATCCTCGCCGTCAACGCAAGTTGATGTAGGTTGTTGCCTTCGTTTTGGTGCTGGTCCCGGTGTCGGTGAGCCCAATCTTCTCTTATTTCGCGGAGGGGCTGACTGCTTGTTATCACGATGTTGCTCAAAGATGTTTTGCGCATCAGGAGGAAGGGCTAAGATAAGATCGAGCAACTTTTCACGGTTCCGACGAGCACTGGTGGAGACCAAGATGGAGTGCTCTTTGCAAATTGCAATAATATCTGCCATCGTCAACGGTGAAAGCGAGTCCTTCATGGCCTTGCAGCTGTCGTTGCTCCAGTTTGCTACTAAGCGCTGAGTATGAGTATCTCTCAATACACTCTTCGGTTCCGCAGGCATGCGGGAATACTGCCTACCCAGCACGGCATATTGACATTCATTCAAGCCGTTTGAAGTCGTCGAACTATTGCTTTCTGATGGAAAACAGTGCTGATTTCTCCAAATGGGCGACAAGATAAGCATATATTCACTATCCTGACAGTAAATTGACATTTTATGCGAGCTAGTTCCCGTCGTTCAATGATTACTTTCTGATGGAAACGCGTTCGGATTTCTCCAAATGGCTAGTGCTGATGTTTCCAGCTAGATCTTCTTTGCGCTTCGTGATACAGAGGCTCTTACAGGTCCAGGTAAGCATATAGGTTCGGTGTACTCGGGCCTTCGAAGCTCTAACACCAACCCTAATTATTGGTTTCTGATGGAAGGGATGTTCCTACGTAATACAGAGGGGAAGCTCATAATCATGACTCGAAGCGAAACTGTATGTAGACCACTCTATCTCAGGCACTGTCATGGTGCCGAGGACAAATTAGCTAATTTATGGAGAAGCATAGGTCTTTCTCTGACTGTCGGCCAGGCTTTGAATCAGATCTGCCACCGCCACCAAGCTACCTGTCATGGGGAATCCAGGCTTCGCTTCGATCAATTACGACAATTCAACCATTCTCTCTGTCACATATCTGTGCTTGTGATTTTTGAGTAACTGATTTTGCTCTTGTTTTAGTCCGGCCAATCCATATGTCAATGTACTGTTTCACTGCCGCTTCTTTTCAGCTAGAGAAGCTTCAGAAGTGATTCTAGAGTCGGGATCGTAAGTGATTACTTATTGGTTTCTGTCTTTCACCATGAAATGGCCATCTCCTAGCGCTGAACTAGAAGCACCCGTCAGTCTCACATTGACCCCAATATCCATTACGTTGATGCCAATATGTCCATCACTATCCCGGACACCTGAATCCTTTTCCAATAGATATCTCCCATAAACGGGCTAAAGTGACACTCATGAGTTGTTGGGTAAGCATGGATGTTCGACGCTTTCCCGAAAAGGGCCCCTAATATAGTGGCAACATGGGCTGTTAGGTAAGTATAAACTCAAAGCGTTTATAATATTATGACTGACTAACCCTCTTCCTCCTTCATCCCCTTGCTCGTTCAGACCATCTCCAGCTCCCGCTCTCACATCTCACAATGTCCTCTCTGCCTGACAATACCGAACTTCGTCAGCGTCTTGCCGGCTTATACCTTGGTGATGCCAATATTGCGTCTAAGGCTGTCTGGGTTTATGCAAAGGCTCGACGCTGTCACGTCCTCTGCCTTCATGGCGTCAATAAGACCACTCTCAATCCCACACCTGTGGTGCTTCATGGAATCTTCACCTTGGCCCGACACCCATTCAAGCTAGTTCCTGATGGCGGTTTTCTCGAGTCTACTGCCGAACTATACTTTGGTCACACACCCCTTCACGAGGCAATGGCAAGAACAAATGCTTGGGCGCGGCTGGAGAAAGTTCATGACAAGGACCTTCTTGGATACAATGACTTTTCGCAGTACATCAAGAACCTCAAGGGCTTTGAGAGTTTAATGCATGCCGGTGATTCGCTGCAACACTCGTTGGTCAATGACGAAGGTGCAACTGGCCCGCAGGTCAAAGTCATTCATAGGATGTTCGAGGTAAGTGTTATATTTATTCTTTCCGTTTTGCTGTGGGTTGCTGAGAGGGGCACGTTATAGTCCTGCTGGGATACGATTCGTGTGACAACAACACCTCAGCAAGATATTGAAGGTATGTCAATGGGTCTCACACAATTACAACGGACCAACTGATTTTGGTGATAGCCAAGTTGAAGATGCGGTACAAGCTTACCCCTGGGGATCACCCTGTTGCTGTGAGATTGGCTAACAGTAGTAAGCATTTAACGCAAACTCTACACAACATATAACTCAAAACCAAGAACAGAAAGCCCTTCCTGCAGCGGAACAGTAACACCATTAGATGATCCACGTAGTAAGCATCTAACACACTCTCTGCACAATGCACAGCTCAACACCAAGAACAGAGAGCCTTTCCTGCAGCGAAACGGCGAACGCTTTGGGTGAACCACCAAACCTTGAGTCAGTCATGCTACAGACGGAGCGTATGACACCACCAACAGAGCCCAGCACACCAGAAAACAAAGCCAAAGGTAGGAAGTTTCCCACCAACTATCGTGATAATTCATTCAGTTTATGCGCAGCATTACCGGAATTGGGTGGATACGATGATAGCAGCGATGATGAATCGGGTTTGTTCCCTCAGCATCACCTATATCCTGTGCATAAGCTGATGGTGCCAACAGTCCATGGCTTCTTGGGGCCCGAGTTTGGTTTGGAACACTGGCCAGTGGCGCCAGAAAACATTGACCTCCGAGACAAGATGTTCGAGGAGAAAAGATGGCAGACGAATCCTCTTCGCGCATATCGTGAAGGAATTGAAGGAGTTATTGCTCCTTCGGAGTATGCAACTGCGCTTCCAGGGGCCACTGTACAAATGTCTTTTACACTTGCGTGCCACTTGATAGGATCTCGCACCGGGAAGAAAACAACTTTCTCCGCACGTGTTGAAGAGATAATAATCCTCAAAAAACCAGCCACTCTTGTCAGTAATCGTACAGATTCTGGATCGCCATCTAAGCGGCTGTTCTCCGGACCATCCTTCTCTCCCACGAAGCGACGGAAGCTTGAGAAATAGGTATGTCTGTCTCAACCCCGCCAACGAAGGGAACCACTCAGTATTTGCCTACTCTGCCCCAGACCTAGCATCTTATGGCATTGCGTGAACAAACTCATCCACGATTCAACTCAAAAGGGTCACATATGTTCACAAGAAGAGCCTTTTTTATTCAATTCACGATGTTCGCTTGATAGTTCCGCATCCCATCCCTGATTCAACTCAGAATTTGTCTTCGATTCGACCCATATGTTCGTTTGCTAGTATTGCTAATTCTCTTGAACTCACATGAGTAAATGTTGCGACAACCTGTGAAATGTTCACATGATCCACAAGCAAGGTCATGGTTGCGAAGCAACCTTTCTAGTACGCTCTCGCATGAGAGTAATAGTAACATGCGAGAATCAGTTATAAATCAGGTACCTAATCTTGCCAAACACGGATCGCGCATTGGGTAAATCTCAATGATAGCCCACGACCAATATCGATAGTGGCCTCCAAAGATCGACCTGTGGCCCGGTCAACGGCCTGCGCTGATGACTTTCACGATGGAGGCGCGTCTATCAGCCCACATAATCAGGGTGGATTGTTCACGGAAGAATTGTCTCACCGTTCCCTCCAGACAATACGCCTAATTGCTGCAAACGAGAGGGCGTCACCTCCGTTTGGGATGTATAATTCCTTCGAGGCTACAGGTTTCAGGATATCTCAGACTCAGATACTGTTAAAGGGGCGTTGGCTGGAGATGATACACCTCAACGTTTACGGAGTGTGAATTCGAGTATAAACTCTTTTCCAAACAACTAATCTTGTCAGAACGCATGCCCACTAATGTGTTTGTCAGCTGACGTAGCAATTCCGCTTGTCAAAAGTTCTTCCTTCAGACCTTTCGGGAGCGGCGAGAGATACGTCATGGCGCGAACTCCACAAAACTTCACGCCAGGCTCAGGAAAGTCACCCACAGTTACCTTCATAGCGGATTCAAGGCATCCCGCCTTTCCCTCGCCCCTGGCTCTTGTCTCTAAAGCTCCAAAGATTGAAGTGCCTATGTTGTTGTCGTGTTCAAAATCCAATTTAGTAAAATTCGCAATACACACCTACGTCGCCGCAGAACCCCAAACTTGTATTCATGCGTACGAGGACTAATCTCTAGTACGAGGGAACAATTGATGGACCAAATATGGCGGACAGGTGACGGAACCCCCCAAAGCGAGTGGAGGGTCTAAGGGAGTGATGCAGGACGAGCAGATGAGGAGACCCCAAGGGGTAACGTCCACCTTGAGTCCCATTTTCGGCACCGGAAACACAATATGTATCGGAATATCTGTAAGCGGTGGAGTAGAATCTGGGAGTTACGTACTCGGGCGAAAAGTATATTGAACTTATCCTGCCAATTGCTACTCATTATTCCGAGACCTCGACCCGGACAGCCAGAAGCTTGCAGATCAGAATAAAACAAACAGACCATTGTGAAACCGGGACCACCTGGATTTGAAGCGTAGTTGCTATTGGACGAGACTAAGGGGAAAGCCCCCTTCAAGCATAGTTGAATAGAGAGGGGGAGCAAGGAACATCATCAAATGTCAGGCGGCTGTCGTCGAAGCCAGAGCTGAGTGGACCCAAAAGGCGATTTGGCTTGCTCCCGGTGTTTGATACGGATGTAAGATGATGCGCAAACACCTGCCACACACACAGCTCAGTGAGAAAGTAAAGAAGCGTTCGGACATCATCTACGTCAGGTTCCGTATAGGCCACAAAAGTGACCTAAACGTGGCAACCCGACACAAGTCCTTTGATTCACGCTCCTGCGCATTGACTTTAAAGGCCGGCTGGGACGCGATAGCCTGACGCCATAAATGGACAGACAGGCCCAATGGATTGTCAATGTTTGAATTAAACTGATCACATGTCCAATTCAGTCGCCCCTCTCTCAACAGATACCAGCTTCAAACGCCACTTTCCTTCAAGTGAACGTGCTAGGCTGGCCACGTCTCCATGAGCCAAAACGGGCAGTCTCACGTACTAGATCTGCAGAGAGCTAGGGCCCAGATCCAAAAGCTGCTCCCAAAAGATACGGATTTGGCCACACGTGCGGAAGAGATACTTGTCAAGATCATCTCCAAGAATGCTCGCGTATACGAGACAGACAGGGCGTCAATAGGCTTGCCTGCCGTAGCGGCTTATCTGGCCTGTGAAGAGTACGGCTTTTTTGCTACCACACTCCTCTCTTCCACGCGCTTATTCTGAACCTCATTTGTGCCCATTTTTTTTAGAGTCGGATCCCGAAAGATAACTCAGAGGGTTTGTCAGACAGAGTCAAGGCTTGGCCCTAAACTATTCAAGCGAGCTCTGGAGCTCTGTCGTGCTGCCAAGAACCTTGACGAGTCAAAGATCAACTTCACCTATCTTGCTCAAAGATTCAATGGCAGTAAAGCTCTGCATTTCATGCCTAAAACGTACGCGCTCTTTAAGGAAAGTTGCTTCGAGGCTAGGATCGTGGACCAGGCCACATGGGATGCTAACCATATCTTGGTTATATGCGCCATTTTCTGTTGGTGTTGTGATCGGGTGGCGTTAGTACGTGCGGCGTCGATTCTCTTGTCAGATACTTCTAACACATTGCTAGTGGGAGGGTGAGCGCCCATACTATAATGGACAAGAAGTAACATTCGCATGTGGCCTCAGCTGGGAAAACGTTCAAAAATCCATGTACTACAACCTCAATCCTCACTGCTCGGAGAGAATGCAGAACTGGCTGAAGGAACATGATGAATTGCAGGACAGAGGAGGGTCTCCCAATGGTGGAATGCCTCCGCCTTCGGGATCCCAGCATCCCTCGAAGGCCGACCACGTTCTGCCACCCGGTCATCCTCCTCCGCCCCTCGAAGACTCCAGGAAGCAGCGTACTCCTGTGCTTCGTACATACCCCTCATTTATGTCTTCAAAGTCGTGCTACTGATTCCATTTTGATACAGCTCCTCCGGTCACCATCAGTTTCCCCTCACAACCCAAACCCTCTCATAAGTCCCGAGCCAATGAGATAGAACGGATACCCCCACCAAGACTTCCACCCAAAATGGTTATGGAAGATGTACAATCGACAACCCTAAAGCCGACTAATGGGACTGAAGAGCGCAGGGTAATCTATTCATTCATTCTGGGAAATTGCATCTCTGATACAGGAATTGAAGCGAACCAGACGAAAAGACCGCCTCGGATTCACCAAAGACGAATGGGTAGATAGACCAATGTCGGACTTACTATTCGGCACTCCCAACGAAAGCATCCCGGACAATGAGGTTCGCGTTTACTACGCCTGGAAAAGAATGATTCGAGATGGCGAAAAAGGTAACGGGAAGCATTACGCGGAAGGTGTTATGCGAGACTTTGTGATGACTTGATTGATTGAAGTTGGAGAGTTGACTTAGAAGCCTAGTATTGAAATTGTGTATTTAAAGATACGGATGCTGTATTTGTTGTGTTCTTACAATTGTTGTTTGAGCCAGTGTGACTATCATGTTGAACCACGATCAGGTAGAATATAAGTGGCTTCGATGTGCATTTCATATTAGGCCATTACGTAATAAGCCATACTGACACGGGGTAATAAAACAGATCCTCCTCCTGTGTCTCCCCACTATCTTCCGCAATTCAGCCATGAATCGATCGCTATAACACTGGCTTGTTTTCTTCTGGACTGCGTTGTCAGCCAACCATTGACATATGGATAACGCGCCAAACTTATGATAGGCTGACACATGACACCCTCTACATACATGATGCATCATTAATTATTGCTTCCTTCGACCATCCTCCACGAATGCCTTTCCACAATGTCTCCACGTTGAGGCGCATTAGGACACACAAAGGCACAAGTCGGTTCAACTCCAATCTCTTGCCCAACTCATCCGTCTCAATGGAAGGCATGGACGATAAGCGTAGTCTGGAGGGCAAGACGGTCCCCGTTGAGGGCATGAAAGGTTTTTGGGACAGTGCTGTCGGCCCGGCTGGGCAAACTAACACCCGAGGCATGTTCGTCTCTGGGTCATCGGTAGGCCATCAGTGTTGCATATTTCCGCACATGGGTTTCAATTGGTGGATCTTCTGGAACGATATGGAGTTTGGTGATTTGGGTCGTTAATGAGGGGCAGGCGGAAATGGTCTTCTAGCTTCCTATCGAGGGTAGTTTCACCGTTTTGCGGAGGGATATGTGGATGAGTCTCTCGGGATTGCTCTCGAAACATTTCTACCATGCACTCTTCCATATTCTTCCCCAAGGTTATTCGTATTTTGTTGGATGGGTAGCAATTTTTTGCTTTGAATTCGTATCATTTGGGGTCGTTTTGAATTTCTGGACGGGACCACTCGACATGTTGGGGATTGGCACAGTAGTTGCATGTCTCGTGGGTCATTCTCCAGCGATCCTCGACATGACTTATTGATGATTCTACTCGCTTAGCTTGCAACATATGGCATTCTTGATCTATGGAGCGTTAGGCACTTGGGATAATCTGGATTCTGGGCCTCTATCGGCAAAGTGCTATTGATTACTGGTCTCATCCTGATGACCGGAGGGTGGGCCCTCTGTTGACGTTGTACGAGCAGTTCATTGATTCGAGTGCCATTAGCAATCCGCGGCATTGGGCAATGGTTTTCCTTATTGGAAGAGCCCCGGGGATGGCAGAGGCAGGTTCAGTTTGATTGGAAATTAGCTAGCTGATTCGATCTTTCTATCATCCCAATTTCTCCGCGGTGGCGCCCCAGGCCGTTTTGAGGGATTTATAGCCTGTCCGGCCGATCTATGTGAGCTCCGGTGTTTGTTGATATCATCTTATATTGAACCATTAGTCTTTAAGGCGGGCTTCACACTCGTAGGGCCAGATGTTCTCGCTTTAGCTGCGGGTGACGTCATGACTCTTCAAAAGTTTATCAGCAACGCTACCCATGGGCTCTTTTATAGGCCATGCTCCGACCTATATTATGTGTAAAGGTTTCCAATGATGCTCAACCACTTCCATGTCAGATTTCCATATTGGGTTTTCCGGCAGTTGGGATCATCGTTCCTTACAACGAGCGTCTCCTCTGGGTGATTGCTATTGGCCGCTTGGTCTTCGTCATTGGCATGCAATTGCTTAACATCCCAGTTCTACCTCATGTAGTCAATGCAGTTCAGCGCGTCATGGAAGTTGCTCGCAGGTTGTGGTTGCATGGATTGTGTTCTAGGAGTCGTGACATTCATATTCTTAGCAGGAAATGCGCTCGTACGCTGCGCGGGCCGCCGCCTTGCAGCGGACGGCCATGCACACACCATTTTCTTATATAAAAACCGGATCGGCGTTCCCGTACTGAGCGTGGGTTTGGTTTTGGCTCTGGGACTCCTATGCAGTTGCATCACGGAACCTCTACTTGGCTGGGATCCCTGCCTACACGGAACCCACGTGGGTTTGAACTCGTAAGGAATTTGCGTACCCAGGGACAAGACGTAGTTGATACCCCAGCTTGTTGCTTCCGCACAGCTATGACAATATATGGCGGCTCACGTGTAAGCGCTGTTCATTCGCTCAAAGTTATGGATGTTCGACGCAAATTTTTTTTAGTCGTTGGTCCAAAGCTATGGAAGTCCAACGTACTTCTGGGGATTCACAAGTGGGAGTATAAGAATGTTTCAGTTTCCCAATATCCTTCAACGAAAACTAGTAGGTAAAGGTCAGTCAGGTTCCGCGCAGTTCTCTTTGTCTTATACTTGTGTATCCGTCCGCAAGCAAGAGGAAGATGTTTCCCAAGTGGCTGAATGCAAGAGCAAGCGTTGACCTTGCTGGTTTCTTTCAGCATGATATTTTTCTTCGCTACTATCTATATTGCTCACAAGGAATGAACATATAGAGGCCATTGGTCACCCCGATGGAGGTGGCGTCGTCTGGAATTGTCATTGGGGAATCAAATCTTATTGACGCTCAAGAAGATGATGGCGTCTGGCGGAGGGCGCAATAAAATCTCAAGAATCGCCCATGGACTGGGTCGTGTTTGTACTGATGCCACTGTGGGAAAGTAGACAAATAACAATCTAAATTACACCATGTTACAATGCGGTTCAACTCATTTTGTCTGTTCCGCATAGATCTGAGCATCAGGGTCAGCCAGAAGATAACGGCGATTCCTTTGGCAGAACATGCCTTGATTGTTTTATCTGCACCACCAGTAATCAGGCGAGTGCCGGTATGATCGAAGATTGAACAGAACACGCCAGATTCGGCTTGCAGAGAACCTGGCTGTGGGACATCCTCGGCGTGTTGGAATGGAACGCCCGTTTTGTAGTCCCAGAATGTAAGCGTCCCATTATCACCTACGAGGGAAGATGCTGTCAACGGCAACAGAACATCTCTTAACGGATAACACGAACCCCCTGAGAATAAAACACCGTCCGCATTAACACTCAGTGTATTGATGATAGCGTCATGGCCTGAGAAATTGTGCACGAAAATACCCTCCGGGCACTTCCATTTCTTGATGTTGTTTCCCCCAGCGGACCCAGATGCAAAGGAAAACTCCGTTGGATGAACAGCAAGAGATCGGACAGATTTTTTGTGGTGAGTCAAATGAGCCAGGGATTTGCCAGCCGCAAGATCCCATAACCTACGCATACAAATGGTTGGCAAAGTTGAATCAGTAAGGGAAAGAACCTCACCGGATCGTGGAATCCATAGAAGCCGTTATGACTTGAGGATCTGATTCTTGACATTTAACATCCGCTATTGTTCCAGTGTGGCCACCAAGAACGTGGATCATAGCTTTTGTTCTCATATCCCAAACGCGTGCCGACGCGTCACGTCCTGATGTTACAAGGATGTCGAGTGTTGGATGCAAACTATAACAGCAGCTTAGGCGATGCCCACGTTTGATGAAGACAGTGATCACCTTAAAGCATAGACTCCGGAAAGATGACCATGGTAGTGTCGAATGACTTTGTTAGACTCCAAATCCCAGCACTTTACCATCTATTCGGACTACATGAGGTAGCAACTTGGGGGGGGGGGCTCAACTGGACCCACCTTATCTTCTCCACAAGAAAAAAGGTATGGGTGCCGTGGACTGACGGCAAGACCACGCACGGTCGAGATATGACCAGTCAACGACAACTTCAGTTCTCCACTGGCAAGATCCCAGATCTTAACCACCCGATCACCTGCTCCAGTCGCGAACCATTTGTTCCCAGGTTCAACAGCGACACTCCGAACCCAACCAAGATGACCAGAAATAACGCGCACAAGTTTCCACGGGGGATGATAATCAGGTTTGACTTCTCGTTGCTCTTTCCGTCGGATGAGGGCTTGAGAGAGTGTGGAGTTGGGATTTCGCAATGTGCTTGGGGGTGCTTCTTGTGTTGGCGCATTTCTCAAAACAACATCCTGAATTAAATTGTTGCTCGGGGTTGTTGCTGAACTCCATCATAAGTGAAGCCTAATGAAAAATTGAAAAGGACGGGACACACTTCCTGCAGTTATGGCTTTAGGTCTTGCGGGACCGACTGGTCCTTGCTGCTGGGCGAGCAAGGCCGCTGGCAATGCCTTGGAGTCTTGGAATTCGTCTCTAATCCTAACTGATAGACGAAGTTTGGCGCTACAATGGACTTTCTCAGCTGAAGGGATATAAAATGGGTCATACAAGGTTGTTACCTCTTCTCATCTCCCTCAGACCCGAGTGAGGTACCCATGAATACTGAAGCCGTCCGTTTTTGACTTCTTCGGAGCAATGTCTCGAAGGGCGTGGTAAGTGTTGGTTCCTCCATATCTCACAGCAGTAATTCCAGAAACGGAGGCCGGGTCTTGACGTTGAATCTTCAGTTCAGGATTAAGCGCCAGGGAAAGGCAAGGATCTTGGTCAGGTGATCCAGGTCAGCCAGAATTAAATTGACTACAAGTGCAAGGTGATTAAATGGTAGGCGCAATGAGATAAACGCTAAGGAGAACTATTATTGAATAAGGGAGTCAGATAGGAACTAGAAAACATCAACAGCGAACGTTGCCAATCAGCCATTATGAAAAAAAAGAAAAGATATGTGCAAAACGTGAAAGGAGCGTGGGTCATAATTTGAGCTCTGTAAGAACTCGTCGAGCGAGCATCTGATATTGCCATGCGTCACCACCTATTCGCCTGAATTGCAGGCCGTGAAGGGGAAGAAATGGAACCTGGACAAAACCATGAGAGTTACGTCCAAATGACTCATGATAGACATACCTTCACTATACTAATTTCAAAGCGGACGCACAGAACGTTCTTCGCCGTCGACTCGAAAGTAACCTCATTAAATTGTTTTGGTGCCGCTGGATTACTGCTGGGCGTAGGTGTTGCATTGTGATCACGAGGCACTGGAGGTAAGGATTTGGAGTTCTGAGAATGTGGTGAAGGGGTAGGCGGTGAGGCGAAAGTTTCCGCAATAAGCTTTTGGGAATCCAAAGAGTTTGTAGAGCGAGTGGAAGATAGCGGGGCGCCCTGGCCGTTTGTGGAAGCTCCATCAGAGACGTTCCCGGCCTCATTCAGCTTGGACGACGAAGGAGCCCGCTCCTCAAGCGCAGTGACTACCGACTCGGGACGTTCAGGGAGCTCCTTTTCCTTCCCTTTACGACCGAAGGATAAACGCGATACCTTCCGAGCAATCGTCCGTGGACGTGTCGCCTGGGTCTGAACAGTTAAGTCGCTTGTGGCGGCTTCTCCGTTCTGGATTGATGACAGATCGATACTGGGGAGATGAATGCATTCAAATCCACTCTTGATTTCGCGATGCTGAATCTGCATGCGATCCAGGACCCTCTTAATGTCCCCCCTGAGAACTGTCGGAGGCTTCGTGGACGTTGTCGCGACGGAGAACAAACCCTTCAAGTATACGGACTTGACTTCCATAGTAGCCTCGCTGTTGGTGGATCCATCCAACAGTATAGGAGCCTCAGCATGTTCGCCGACACCATTAACCGGTACACGAGTAACGGTATCCGATGGCTTGTCCCCTGAGATGATTTGTGTATTTCCGCCGCTAGCTGTGGGACGAGCACTGGCAGTGTGGGGTCTCGAATCGGCGGGGCCACTAACTTTCCTGTCCTTCGCCGAACGTCCGCCGAGGACACGAGTGACACTCCCAATACTGCCCCTCCGGTGATGACCGCCCACTCCACTCTTGCTTGGACTGTATGTTGGATCCAAGGCCGTGGCTGCACGGCGATGCATCCCCACACTAGCTGGCTGCGATTGACTGGTGCCTGCCTTCGGGACTCTGATTATACCATCTGGCTCATTGATCTTGACATGTGGGATGTCCATCGCCACTGTCTTCAGAGGCGAGACATCCCCCTTCTTTGGTTCTGGGCTTGTGGCTTGATTGAATGAGGATCTTGGAGAGGAAGTAGGAATGATAATGCTGGTTCTTTTGTTCCTCTTGTCGTCACGGCCTAGAATTGAGCCGAATCTCCGGACTAGAGTGGCACCGGCAGATGCGGTGGATTCCGGAGTAGAAGGTCTTGGCTCAGTGTTCGCACCCAATGATCGTGTTTCGCAACTAGGCTTCTTCTCTATCCTCGGTGAAGATGGGAGAACGGGATTCTCAGCAGATGAACTGAACGAATTCTGCTGCTCTTCTTTGAGAGCCTTCCGCTGTGCCCGATCAGCAAAGCCTTGGACTTCAGGCCCCGCAGTCCGAGGAACTTCCTCCTGGGTGGGTAAGCCTCCAAACCCTAACCCGGCCCCCCATGCCCTCAACATTGAAGGACGCTGGCTTAGACTTTGGCTACGGCGATGTGTAGAGGCAGGAGGAGCACGAGGAAGGGTAGCGGATGGAAGAGCTGTCGGAAGGTCAGTGTTTTCCTTGTCCCTCGGGGCGGGATGATGGGGCGACACTGAAGTTCCAACAGCATCTGTCTTCGCTCTCGGCTGAGCGAAAGCGATTTGGGCTGGCGCAGGCGAGGATTGTGGGGACTCGTAAGACATGCCTGAGTAGTGGGATGTCTCTGGAGCAGGCAATCGAGGAAGAGCCATATTGTAATCTGGCTTCCCCCCAAGCGGCAACTTCGTGGACAAGCCACTCAGCGCTGTAACAGGAGGTGTGGGGAGGGTTGAAGGAGCTGAAGCGCTCGCATAAGATGGTATGGCTTCCGCGTCACTGAGCGATATCCCGCTTCCAGCGAAATGGCCTTGCCCATATACACGCTCACGTTCGAGCTTTTCTCGGACTAAATAGTAGATGGAAATAAGCGGATGGAAACCGCGCGTGGGGTCTAGCGGTTCCTTATTTTCGAAAACGGGTTGCTGTGCTGAATCCGAGGAAGAGACACCTTTTGGTTGAGCGGGGGGTGAGGAGGGTGAGAAAAACTTCTTGCGATAGAATTCCAGCCCAGAGAAACGCTTGTTTGACTTCTTGGTAGTAGCACTGGATAAGTCCGTGTCCGCGCGGGTCAAGCTGTCCCCTGAGGCAGAACCAGCGATGGTACCTGACACACTGAATGATTCGGGGTAAACCCACGGCTTCCCACTGCGTTGAGCATCACGCTTACGCTCCCACAGATCTACAGCTCGACGATACTGTTCAGAGAGCAAGATGTCAGTCAGTCGATTCTCAATGTCGTCCTCCGTGCCAAACTCAAAGCCAGTCATTCCACGAATCACATCGCGCTCGAGTTCATCCGCTCGCAAGGGCTCGCGCTGGACCATGTGTACCGCGGGTGACCCTGAAAAGTTCCGCACCATCCAGGGGTGCGACATGACCTCCTGCATTGTGGCTCTTGCATTGGGGTTGGTCACGAGCATCCGCATTAGTAAATGTTTGCACTCTGGTTTGGTAGACAGATAAGCGTTTTGAACGAGCGAAAGTGAAGGATTCTTACCAGCACTGAGCCAGACAGGATATTCAACATTCCCTCGCTTGATTTTAGCATGTAATGCTGGCATGCTCTGGTCGTCGAAAGGAACCTTTCCGCAGACCAGGACATACAGGACTACGCCAAATGACCATACATCGACTTCGGGTCCGGTGTATACTTTAGCGTTGAGGAGTTCAGGGGCTGCGAAGTAAAGAGATCCGCAGAATGTGGATAGATGGTTCAAGGGGTCGTAGAGATTAGAGAGACCAAAGTCTATTATTTTAATGTTCCCTGACTGAGAGATCAGTATGTTTTCTATCTTTAGATCTGGAAAGAAACTCAATACACTTATGCGTTAGTAGTGGAGCCACAGACCTCGGTGAACAACGTTATTAAGATGACAGTATTCCAGGGCAGATCCGATTTGACGTGCGAACTTGCGCGCCACGCGTTCGCGTAACCGACCGTGACTGATGATATAGTCGAGCATCTGCCCCCCGTTGACATATTCGAAAACCATGTAATAGTGGTTTTGGTGGATGATGAATTCCCGCATGCCACATATGTACGGATGGTATAAAAGCATGGACAGCGACGCTTCCCGTACCGTTCGTATTTCTTTGGAAGCCTCCTTGGAAGCGGCTTTGATGAAGGATGCAGTTGGAGGCGGATCATTGGGATCATTATTATTGTTAGCAACCATCGCAGCCTTTCTCGAGACGATCTTGACTGCGAGCTGGAAACAGAATCGTTAGGAGGCAGTTCAGGAGATGACCGAGAACAAGGGTGGGCTTGAGCCTGAGCACACCTGTTCACCGTTGACATTGTTAATCGCTAGCTTCACTTTCCCCATACTCCCCGCGCCGAGAGTCTTCGTAAGTGTATACATGCCTAGAAGTTTTCCACTTGCCCTTGAGCGAATAACGCCGTCATCCTTGTGGAATGCCCGAGCACGATTCTCATTCATCGACTCCGTAGTAGAAGTCCCGTTTGGGAACTTTGCTTGCTGGGGGGGCATTGATATAGGTCGTGAGCGCGGTTGTGTCGGCTGGGGTCGAGGAGCCTGAGGCGTAGTTGGAGTTTCAGGAGGTGGAGGAGACTGCGGAATAGTAGGAAGTGTCGCTTGCTGAGATTGCCTGGCAGCGGCAGATGTATGTGTATTCCCATTTACCACTTCCGATTGTCGAAGTGGGCTTGGATCTCGTGGAACGGTCGAGCGATTGCTTGGTGAGATAGGCAGGTCAAACTCATGGCCCTGAACAAGTCCGCCATGTGAAGGAGTTATCTGCCCTCCATCCTCCTCAGGGGTGTGAAGTTCTCCGTCCGTTTGTGATGAGTGGCGGTCCGCGGATACTAGTGAGGAAGGAAACATGTTCATGCTTTGGAGGAGGGTCAACTTGGATTGGAATCACGGAATAGAAACCACTGAAACGAGTCCCTCGAAAGAGAATCGGCACACCGCCACTGCGATGGTAGTGTCGAGCCTGTTGCACACGCCTGCCTTAGTGGTGGGAAACCTTGTTTATGTCGCCCGTCGGAGGCTCGAACGGCGAGCGTTGGGTTAGGTTCGGGTTTATTGCATTCGGAGAATTCCGTACAATGGCACTGCTTTAATTTGGGTGAGCAGGCTCTCGCTCGTTTTGTAATGTTCTTCCTTGCCCCGCTCATTAGACGTGCTCTCGGCGGCCTCAGTCCTTCTATTGGCTATGTCACCCGACCTGAATAGTTAAGGCAGGGTCGCGGACCCTAGGTCCGCCCATTTCTCATGCCATTAGCGTGACCGGTGAGACGACTTCTTCCAAAATGTGTCTGTGATGAGGGGCGCCGATTAAGCTAATAGACGCTGCCACCCAGCCACAATTGATCCGCGCCTTATTTCATCGAGAGCATTGCAGTTGCGCGACTCTTAACCCGCCCGCGTTTATGCTTCCTCCGGAATTGCTCTATGTCCATACCCCGCTGCCCGCATCACGCGCTAGATCCATCTCCTTTTCAGCGTTTCCACTTCAGCCCATTCCCGGCTCACGTGGATGTATAGGAAGATGTGAATTCAAAGACGCCTGCATATACGTATCCACAGGTAGTTCAAATTAATTTGGCTGCATATCTGTTGTATCTATCATGGCGAATGGCCCGTCGGGCCTCCAAGTTTCCTAGAAGGTGCACTACTGGGCCTGGTTCCTGACCAAGGGCAAGTTGCGTTCCTGCATGTCGTGGGTCTGTAGGCAGGACTCCAGCCTTTATGACTTCGTAACATTAGATAGTGGGTCTGGTTCACCAGCTTCTTGCGTCACTTTCTACTTACAAGTCATATTAATATCGGGAACTTATTAGACACGTGAAAAATGACAGCTTCGGCATCAGTACGTATTGTCAATACAACGGACTCGTGCTATACATGCGTCTTCCAGCTCGGCATTCAGTTTACATCGTGGCCTGACAGTGCACCATTTAGCCATCAACGATTTCTATTTGACGCCAGGCATACTCTATCCCACATTAAATTTGTCCAGGACTATGGGTCTGTTACAGAATGCACAGCACCATACGAAAGCAATTATTGTTGATCGCGGTCAGCGCATCAGGGCGAAGGCAAGGGCGGCCGATCGTTAATCAACCGTGATATTAGTCTGACTGACTAGATTTGCATCTTCAAATATTAAGCGCTCAGTTGAGTAATCTGTTATTCCTCCATGTCCCAGTGAGAGGGTGCTGCTGGGTGCAAAATGATTGTTGAACGCCACTCCGGCTTGGCTAGTCGTCAGCTGATCGGAACCAAAGAGGCGTTTACCCTGCCGTTCTGCAGGAGGCTTCCAAGCACATTTAGAATTTCTGATTACTCTCAAACTTGGACCCAGTTTTTCGTTGTATTCCACCTGTAGCTTGTAGGTCACCGACATCGCTGTCTATACGCCTTGTGTAATACTGCCTGAAGTATCGCACAGAGCATTCCTTGTAACACTAGATGGAGGCGGTTTGTGTGATTCGTCCTGTCACTCCTGCCGATTCCCCTGTATTGAGCACTATTTGTCTCGAAACTGGGGCGGCCGGAGCGTCAGCTGCTTCTCTCCACACCATTCCTACACTACTCGGTCTGGTATATGCAGAGCCATATGCACACTTGAAGAACGCATGGGGATTCGTTCTCGAGGAGCAGACTGGAAGCAGAACGGATGTTGTAGGCTATATTCTTGGTGCTCTCGATACGGAAGCGTATGAGAAAGAGCTGGAAACAAGTTGGTGGCCCTCTGTCCGCGAGGCACATCCAATCTCACTCGTTCATCATGATCCGTCCGTTGACCCTTCAAACCAACCGCTCAGCCCAGCCGACATTCGTTTAATACAGCTCTTCCATATCCCTCCTAAGACGCCAGCACAACTGGCTCGGCTCGTCCCTGCCCATATGCACATTAATCTTCTCCGGCGCTGCCAAGGTAAAGGCTACGGTCGAAAGCTCATCGAGCGCGCAATTGAACACATTCGGGAGCAAGGGCACGCCTACAATTTAAGTGTTCATCCTCCCGAACGGGTTGAGGGTGGACGGGAATTACATTTAGGCATTGATCCTGCTAACACTCTGGCGAGAGAATTCTACTTGCACATGGGGTATAGGAGAGCAACGGAAGAGGAAGTCGGCAGTAAAGATGGAGAATACTACATCTTAGACATCGACGCCCGAAATTCTTAGCTGGCGGAGAAAAACATGACAGAATCGAATCCCAGGAAATGGCAACGGAGAACACCTGGCCTAACACCCCATAGCATGGACGCCCAAGTTTGGTTGACAAGCGTGGAGATATTCACGGGGACATTTGAAGACGGTGGACTGCGTCTACCAGCGATGATGTTGAAGTCGCAGCCAAAAAGAAAAATCAATCTTCTAGCCCGATGCGGGGGTCGAACCCGCAACCTTGAGATGTGTTTCCACATTTCTTTAAGAGTCTCACGCTCTACCGATTGAGCTAACCGGGCAACCGGCGGAAAGATCTCTTTTTGGGTCACTGATGAATTACCATCTACAGCCTGACTAATGAGACTAATTTATGGTCAAATGGAACCCTGCGGAAATCTTTTTTGCTCATTTCCCTTTGTTTTGTACCCTTTCCCTGACGTGTTACCCATTTGCTAAAGTTTTTTCAGTCCTTCTAAAGATTCCTCCGTTGATACTATGATGTCATTGTGATGCACTTTTCTGTGCAGCTCAATCCGGGTGTCTCCAGCTGAGCCACCACTTGCACAAATACAAACACAGGGATAAATAGTTTGATGACCGGATGAGAGGTCCTTATGATTCGAGGACTTCCTAGGTCATGAATTGTCATGTGCAAACTGAAGTACACCCTCGAGTTTAATCTGCGCCTGTCACCAGCCTTTTCACATTATCCACTCCAGAAACTGGTAACTGGCACGTAAAGCCTTCGCAAAGTCTGACATCTTCAGGGATCTCTCTGCCTTCCAATTTCCTCTTCTCCACGTCATCGATCAGACCTTTCAGAACTTCATTCCGTTCGGCGAGTTGCTTCGGCAGGGCATCGGGATCTAAATGGATAAGAATAACATCACTTCCAAGTGAACCATTTTTGTGAATGAGGTCGATGTAAGTTTTGGTCATGCTGGAGCAACGAGGTCCGGAGACGATAAACTGGCGATATCCTGCTTGTCGCCGAATGAATGCTGAAAGGGAATTGGCTAGAGCATGTGGCGCACGCTCCAATAACGATGCAATGCTTGTTATTGTACGATCAATTCGGTCGTTGTAGAACTCATAGCGACTCGTGTCGATATGCGACAAGCGAACGAGGTTAGAAAGTGTGATAGATACCGCTGATGGCTCTGCTCCGTCCTAGATATGAATGTTCGACCTGCACTTGGTTGAACAACTGAAGAGAATTGACTGACCGAGGGTTCCTTTTGGCGCAGTAACAGATGGTCATCCGCTCTGCTGTTGAACCATCCTCCGTACTCATGATCCCAGAACAGTTCATCTTGCTTCTCTTGCAGTTTAATGGCTGTCAGCGCGTAAAACTCTTTATTGGAAGCCTCATATAGGTCCAGAAGAGCTAGAAAAGCTGGATTTCAGGACCTTTGCTGGTTGGGGGGAGATTACTACCTTGGATAAAGAATGCATAGTCATCAGCTTGGCCATTTGGACCCCTTGATCCGTCTCTCCAAGTTCGGCTGAGCTCCATAGTTTGATCGTTCATCACCTCGCGCATGATAAATTTAGCGGCTCCTTCAGCGATTGACAGAGATCGTAGCTGAATCTGATAGGAAGACGGTAACATCATATGGGCTTTCGCAAAGGCAGAGATCTGGAAGCGTGTCAACATACATATACGTCAGGAAGGGAGGTGATGTCGACGCACCATAAGTCCGTTCCATGAGGTGACGATCTTATCGTCTAGGTGGGGCCGTGGACGATTCGCGTCTCTCCACGTCTTGAGAGCTTTCAGAGACTCCTTGATGATGGAATCAAGATTTTCCCTTGGAATCTTCGCGATGTTCACAAGACTGTCCATGCTAATGGCATGGTAAAGGACATTCTAACATCTCGCTCAATATTTGCAAAATATCGGCAGTCTTTCACAAACCTTGCCCCTCAATTCGCCTTGGATATCGCTGGCAGGTTCGATATTGCCGTCGTCTTTCACACCATATCTTGTTTTCACAATATGACTAGCCATTTCGGCGTTGGAAGTACTGGGGGCTGCTCCAAGGACCTGGTCGATCTCCGACGTGGTCCACACATAAAAAGCACCTTCTGATGAACTGGTCACATCCATGAGTTTCAAGTAAGCAGACCCTCCTTACCAAGAGACTTCCCAACAGGTATTTTCTTCCCGCTCTCATCCACTTCGAACTGCTCCCTTGAATCTGCATCTTCTGCGCTCCAAAACGCTCCAGCATTGAGGCCATGGTCCATAAGGTCCCGCTCTACGTATTCCAATATATTCGATACCATATCTTGCAGCATCTGCACTGATCCTCCCGCATAATCGTCAAATCTTGGACGGATGAGAGATAGATTGAGGGCAGAATTTGCGAGTTGAGCTTGGTCGTACAGCATCTTCTCAAAGTGGGGAACGTGCCACTGGAAGCCCAAGTTATGGTAAAAATGGAAGAGAGTTTGATCTTCACACTTACTCGCTCGTCAACACTATATCGTGCTATCCCGCCTCCAACATGATCGCGGATACCACCTTCCCATATACCTTTTAACGTCCCCTCGCACATCTGTACAGCTTTCTTTTGCTGCTCGAAAAGTTCTTCTTTGCTTATTCCAGGGTCTTTGAAAGTCCTAGCGAACGTGATTAGGAAATCAAGGCTCTGAGATGGAGAGGGAAATTTCGGTCCTCGTGGGGAAAACCCTCCATAGCGGGAGTCAAACTTCTGTAAGAAACTATGTAAGAGTGTCTTCGAAGGTTTGAGGATATCTCCCGCGAATCGTGAAGGGTTGTTCCGGTGAGCCTGCGCTGAGCGCAATTGGTCCAAGATATTTTCAGCGGATGCGACTACATCTTGTCTCTTCTCCCTCCAGCTAGCATTCATTGACGAAGCAAGTCTGTGAAAAGCCAATTCTTTCGGGGAAGCATTTTGACGTACAGTGTATCAATCTGATTGAGAAGCTTCACGAAAATTGGTCTGGAGAAATAAGTACCCGCGAAGAAAGGGTGAAGACTAGGGGTTAGGACTAATCACGAGTGTGATTCGCGAATTCGGAAGCCGTAATTGAGCATCAACTGACATACGCTCATAGGCCAACCTCCACCTCCGGTTGTTGCTTGCAAGAAGGTCATGTACAATGCATCAACATCTGGGCGCTCCTCCCTGTCTACCTAGAACAATGACGATGAGTCAGAATGGCGACACTGACTAGCGTCAATGGTAACGTCACCTTGATGTTTACAAAGTGTTCGTTCATGATTTCGGCTACGTCTTCGTTCTCAAAAGACTCATGAGCCAAGACGTGGCACCAGTGGCATGCAGAATAGCTACTGTAGCGATAGGCAGAGGGCAGCGAGGAGTGATGGGATATAACATACCCAACGGATAAGAATATGGGGACGTCTCGCTGTCTGGCGAGCTCGAACGCCTCTTCATGCCATTCGTACCAGTGAACCTAAAACCACGAGCTAAGACACCCCATCCACGGTGTTTCCCCCAGTGCTAACAGGATTGGAGGCGTGTTGCAGCAAGTATGGACTCTTGGCATTAGCCAGTTTGTTGAGTCTGGTGCCGCCAACGGATGTATGCGTCGCCCTGCTCGGTAACCACGAGGCTCGGAATTGAGAAAGGAATGCGGGCCTCATTGAGCGTGCGTACATGTAGTTTAGCGCCCTGATCTTGAACTGTCGCTTAATAAGGTTGCGATGTCGTCGTCGGACACTGATCGGACACCGGCTAGCTCCGTTCATTTTGAACGGGTGGGGATGCAAATGAGTATTCACGTGCCTGCGATCGATACTGATAAGCTGGGTGGAGATTAGGTGCAGTATTAGGACTCCTGGCCACAGCTCACAGCTCTCTCTGAACGATGTCGGGCATAAAGACTATTGCTTTTGAGGTGGGTTGCGAATTTCTGAGCCGCCAACATGTTAATCTTATTCATCAATCAGGTGACCGGGAAGGTTCAGGTGGGTGATCTCAGATGCTGCGTGTTGTCTTGCTGACCCCTGCCTGTTTTCAGGGGGTCTTTTTCCGTCGGTCCTCCAAAAGGGAGGCTGACATTCTAGGTGTTTCGGGATACATCAGGAACCACGATGAAGGGCATGTTGAAGGTGTGGCTGTTGGTACGAATGTCCAACTTGACGCTTTGTGAGTGCACCAGAATGTTATACAGTACGACTAGAGCGGAAAGAATGACAGATCATCTGGTATAGTAAGAAGTTTCTCGCAGAAGGACCCACCCACGCGCGAGTGGAAAGAGTGGACGTATTAAAGGAGGAGGAAGGAAACGCATACGGTCGCGAGGGATTTTCAATCAAGAAATAGACCGCTGGCATAACAGCAGAAATATGAATATATTACATACATGGTTCTGTGCAAATTAGTTTTACTGTCTATTCGGACGGTCCAGCTTTCTGAGTTGTGTACTGTAGTTGACACCGGTGTGTATCGCTTACTTAAGCTGACTCACGCGCGGTCGTCCGGTGTAGCAATCCCGCTCTTCCCATCTGTTGGGACCGAGCAACGTCTCGTCCTGTAGGGCGAGCGGTGAGTCCTTGGAAGAGGGCTCCTCTACATTTTATCCTCCGCAGCCCTTCTCATCTACCGCGATGGGGCAACAAAACCCTCAGACCCGGCTTTTAATCAACCTTCTAAAGGCAACAAAAGAGTACACTTCCTCATTAGCTACTCACCTTGTTGCTTCCCATACGGCTCTCTCTGGTTTACAAGCATATGCTTCTGCTTCTAATCCATCTACTGCTCCAGCGATTTTGGGCCTCGCTGATGCCCTTAAGGCGGCCGATGACGCGTTGGCCCGTTACTCGAACGAAGTCGATCGGTGGAAGGACCGTCTAAATGAGGTCAAAGATGCCGAAGAGGAAGTGGCTAATATACTCCGTGATCGAGAGATTTTGTGAGTTGTTATCCACCTTGGACTCGTCGGGGCCTGCCCTCTTGCGATGAGTGTGAAATTTCTTGGCTCACGCTACGCCTGCTTGCCCTCTTCTGTCAGAGTTACTCGTCTCATTAAAGCGTCAAACAAGAAACCTACCCGCGATTCAGTCATCCATTCTCCATCACCAACCGGTTCTCAAGTTTCTCTAGGCACCATGGGGTCCAATAACAAATCAGCTCAACAAGAACGCCTCAACAGTGCGCAAGTAGAGCTGCGGGCATGCGAAGCGCAGCTTTCTCATAAACAACGCGAGCTCGAGCAACTTCGTTCCCTTGTGATCCGTGACGGTCTGGAGGCACGCTGCATGGCGCTTATTCAACTTGGCTCAGCATTGAGCGAAAGTGGAGGTCAAGGAATACGAGCGCTCAGGGACGACTATCCCGAAGCTGCTGCCGATGGTTACCATCAGAATATAACGGTTACCAGCGAATTGTACCATGATTTTCCACGACCCTCTTCCCCCACGGCAGCATCAGATACCTCACTGGCGCCTTCCCAGTCCGCCTCACAGAGCGGGAGTGGGTTAAGGAATCAGCCCACTTTTTCCCTGGTGCCCTTGGCTGCTGCGCATCGGTGAGTACATGCACACTTCACGCCATATCAGCGATATCCTTAGCGGATTGGTTTCACCAGGCGATCGACTAGAATGGAACATGTCGCAGAAGAAGGTGAGAGCAGCGGAAGCGAAGTCGGCGACCTGCAAGTTGTAGAAAACCCTCCTCGGACATCCGAGGGCCCCCCCATCGAGCAATCATCTCAGCCCGTTCCTTTGGGGCGATTAAGCACCCAGTCAGCTTTCACAACCTCACCTTCTAGCACCAATCGCCCGTACAACTTTTTGATGACTCATGTGCGACTTGGAAGCATGCCACACCGCGATCATTCATCGGACGTTGGGGTCTTGCCGAATGCAGCTCGACGTCGAGACTCAGGCTCCGCCAGTTCGAGAGATGTTGTCGCTTCTGATGGGGGCCGCAGGAGACGTGGGTTTTTCGGTGCTGTGGCCGGTTTGTTTAAAAGCAGGAAGAATGGTCACGGTCATGAAGCCGGCCGGGGTCACCAACAGAATCACACTGGTTCTAGCAACTGGAAAACTAGAACAGACAAGAACGTAGCCGATATGCGTGCGAATGGCGTCGTGGGATCTAACAACCTGGATGACCATTCCTCCGATGAAGAGCATCAGAATCTAGTTGTGGTCTCGAACGGTTTACCCAGTACACGACTGACAGTGCCGGCAAATATGTTGCCTTCCAAAGGTGGGAAAGGCAATGCAAACGATGGCCTGGGGCTGTATCTTACTGCGTCAACCTCAACAAAATCAAAGGGGCCAACCCGATCCAAGTCCACACCGGCTGCACCATCGTGGTCGAAGAGTCTTCCTAGCAAAAAGAAGCGCGGAATGAGTTTTGATCTCGCCGTTGGTGCATCGGAGCCGAATGGCAGCAGGATCTCCTCTCCCGGAAAAATCAGAAAACGGAATCCTTCGCTGTCTGGAAAGCCTACTCCCTCAGAGAGTTCCATTTTGCCTGGTAAAACTGCTGTAATTGGACTTTCCCCTTCAAGTGACGCAGCGATTGCTGCCGAAACTCCTTCTCGAAATGCTTCCATTAAGCCTTCTAGAACAAGGGAACCCACGAAGATGTTGCACCTGACGCCTCCAACAGAAGTTTCCACCGCCTGGCTGAGCAACACTCCATTGAAGCAACAATCAGCGCATCGCAACATTCCTCCACATCACAAACGCACGGCTTCAACCAGAGACGCTCTAGCCGTGACAAAACCAGTCAATCTTATGATGCTAGTGGACAACGTCGCAACCGAGCGAGCCCGAGATGTAGCAATTGGACAATTGCAGCGCTCATCTACCCCCAAAATGATACTACCCTCCGAATACATGAAAGCAGGCGGGGTTCCACTCTTCGAAGTGAACCCCCCAACACCTAACCACTCAAGCTCAAGTCACCCCCAAACGCGTGAACCACCAAAGCAATCGTCCACTCTATCATCCCCTAACGGCCCTTCTCTGGAAGTGAGGCATGAACCGCCTCCAAGATCGACGTCTCCCCTTCGAAGTGCCTTGCGTCACCGACCAATATCCCCGTCCCATTCTCAACCTACCTCGACCCCCCCGTCTCCCTCTGTGCCCTCCTTCATTACTACATCCCCACCACAAATCTCTGTGCATCCCCCCGCTCAACCTCCTGCGCCGGTTCCATTGAGACCTCGATCGTGGGCTCGTGATTTCGAAGATGACGCCTCTGCATACGAGACGGCGTATTCTGAGGATGAAGCACCAGACAACGTGCCAACATCTGAGAAGGGTGACCCACTCGCCGTCGCTGTTGCGAACCTGGAGGCGAAGGTAGCTGTAGACAACGGTAACGGCGTGATTCCCAGCAAAATGACCAATTCGCCTCCATCAACTGAGATATCCGCTGCGGATGGCCTACTGAGAAGAAAGAGCGTGAGACTCGATGTACCCGTGGCTCCGCAAGGTGAGCATCACCTGTACTATCCCGACCACAGCCTATCTCCCGACATGAACCGCGAGCTGCCAAAGCTCCCTTCGCTGAACTCCCCTATCCCCGAGGATAAGCCAAAGAAACACTTGAACCAACAATCCGCAAATGCTCACCCTACAAGCTTTAGCTCAAGATCAAACCAAAGCTGGCACTCACGCATAAAGGACGAAGGCTACGATGTTTGGGCGGACAGCAGTGAGGAAGATGAAAGTTACGCTGCAGCGAGAAGCCTGTTGGACAAAGCAAGGAGGAGGGAGAAAGCAGCCAAGGCTGAGGCTGCTAGGCTATTAGGCGGGACATCAAAGCAAGCGGCGAAATAGCCTTCCCTCACAACTATCCCCTTTTTCTTTCTTACCGTGAGCGCCAACATTTTTCGATTATAAATTATCGCTATGCACCAGCATGGCATTTTGTTTTCTTGGCTGTTCTCATTTTTCGCTGTCCATTGATTCTATTTGTCCTTCACGACTCTAGTATTCCAGTTTCGCCTTAATTCCCTGATCAATAGTTGGCTTTAATGGTAATTTGTGGTATGCACAATCTCTAGCGAGATCATGTCCACAGAAATCAACGACTTTCCGTTTGCTTACGTCAGCACCAGCGGAACACCAGCCGTAAGCCACTGACATGTCCAACCACTAGAGAAGCAGGAATAAATATAAAAGTCTGTTGCCCCCCCTCGCTCCAGCCAGTCGTACCTTTTCAACTACGAGTCAAATCCGATCCTGCTTGCCACTAACACGCGTTTTCAATATTCGATTAACTGACCAGGTCACATTTTCATGAGACTTTCTTCAAGATCAAGCGCAGTCCGAAGTTGGGGAAGCTTCAGGGTGCGTATGCAAATAAAGTCGACAAGAATGTTGGCGAACTCTGGTAAGGATGGTTTGAAGTCTGTTTTTAACTATATTCGCGAGCTCACAAAACCAAATGGCACCTCACTTGACTGTTTCTTACTAGTTTCTTGTATGACTGATGATGAGGATACGTCAACCAGTCTTGGGATGGAGGAACTCGACACGATCGATGTATGGTCGAACGTCTGAGATTTAATCCTTACGTCGAGCGTAAGACGTCCTTGACGATTGCTACTCATTACATAGGCTGGATGCTGCACATATTCTTTGACTGTCTGATCATTTGGTGATTTCGTAGTATGCACCATCTCGTTCCAGCGAGATCGTGTCCACAGAAATCAACGACGTTCCACAAAACTCTTTTGCTTACGTCAGCACGAGAGGAACACTCAACGGAGCGCTGAAAGCCACTAACATGTCCGACCAAGAACAAACACAACCAGAGAAGCTGGAATCAGACGCAATCAATGTGAAGGTCTGTTGCGCCCCTCGCTCAAGCCAGTCGTGCCTTTCTAGCTGCGAGTCAAATCCGATCTAGCCTGCCACTAACGCGCGTTTTCAATATTCGATTTAACTGACCAGGTCACATCTTCAACTGGGGAGGAGATTTTCTTCAAGATCAAGCGCAGTACGAAGTTGGTGAAGCTTCAGAATGCGTATGCAAATAAAGTTGGCAAGGATGTTAGCGGAATCCGGTAAGGATGGCTTGAGGCCTGTTTTTAACTAAATTCGCGGGGCTCACCAAACCAAATGGCGCCTCACTTGGCTGTTTCTTACTATCTACTCTAGTTTCTTGTATGACGGAGTTCGAATCAATGATGGAGATACGCCAACCAGTCTTGGGATGGACGATAACGACAGGATCGATGTGATGGTCGAACGTATGTGACTCAATCTTTATGCCGAGCGTAAGACGCCCTTGACGATTGATACCCATTACAGAGGTTGGAGGCTGCGCATAGCCCCACCCTATTGAGCATCTCATCTTCTTGACTGTCTGATCATTTCTCTACATTCGTTTCGAGATCTCAACGGATCGGTTTCGTCCATTCTCTGCAGACTATCACTATAGCTCCTCTTTGTATTTGTGTGGTTCCGCCAGTTGCATTTCCTACTCTCCCCATCCGAGACATTTCGTGAGATCGAACGCGAATGCCCAGGCCTGATCATTAATCATTCAACTCCACAAACAGATGTCATGCATGAGCGGCTTCGTGAGCAAGTCTCCTGGCAACCTAGCCCTACATGACCCGAGGTGACTCGCGCCAGGCACCCATCTACTCGTGTCAACCTGTTACGAAATTTCCGCCGGGCGTTTAGAGCCACCCAAATTTCGCGACAAATACGATAGTATTCGTACAAACGTTACAGTGGGCAAGAGGATTTGCTTACGTCAGCACGAGAGGAACCTCCAAGTGAAACTGTCGCACGCCCCAAACCAACTGTTTCCAGCCAGGAATCAAATCCGATCACTAACGCGCGCCTTTAATATTCGATCAGACCCACAAGGTCATTTTCTTCAAGCTCAAGTGTAGTGTCGAGTTGGTGAAGCCTGAACGTGAATGTGCACCTTTTGAGCATTTCATCTTCTCTGGCTGCCCGATCTCGTTTCGAGGTTTCACTCGGATGTATATATTTATGTGCCTGCTTTTCGTCCGAGACATCTCGCGAGATCGAACACGTTCGCCCAGGCACAATCACTAATTCCCGGGCCCGCTACTCGGCGCTTGCGATTCTTTTTTCTCCCCAAATGAATTACCCCAATTCAGAGGTTCCTCTCCCCAACCCAGGGTCCTTTTTCTGTATCCTACTTTCTGTACTGCGATGTCGTTCCAATCCACTATAAACTTCTCTGAATATGAAACGCCTGTTGCATGCCACATCCTGCAACCAAGTCTAGGTCATTAGAAGATTACAATCACTGCGTTCCTTCTCTAGCATTTAAGACAACAGCAGATTCTCTGACAGAATGGAATTGTTGGTCGCCTTCTCGCTCATTCTGACCCTGCAGACTTCTGCAGCCCTCGACTGTCATGTGTTGCAGTGGCAGTTCGTCCGTGGATCTCGGGGTCTCTCAAGCTTGTTGAATTTCTTGGAGTCATGGGAGTCAGAGTACGCTGTGGCCAACTCACAACGTGACGTTGAGCTTGCGGCGTCATCTTGGTCCGTCTCCCTTAGTTCAACAACGTTTGATACCGTGCGTAACACGCTAGCGTAAACCGCTGCCATTCTAAAATAGGCCTGGTGGAATCCTCTTTTTGGGCGATTGTTTAGCGGAAGTGTTTCACTGTGGAAACAATAAGTATCCCGCGCCTTTAAATTTGTGGAAGGAGCAGATGTATTTCTTTCGCGTTGTGTTGTATGTTAGAATTCTTGGTATCATGGCGTACGCTTTGACCAACTCACGTTTGTTGATGTTGAGTCGTGTGGCGTCTTAGATTTTCGCCTATTACCTTTCTTGGTGACATCAGTACCAAAGTCAGTGCGCATTCATGGCGTCTGACTATAAAAACCTAATTTTTGGACAACCCAACTTTCCCTCAATTCACGTACAACGGGACTGAGCGTTAAACTCGCTAGTCCTCCATTTCGTCTTATATTATTGTATACTCATTTCAGCTACTAGACAACACTGGGGGATTTCTCGATAATGAGTTTGGATGTCGATGATAATGATACACCGTACGTATTCGAAGTAATGCATGCAGCAATGGTGAAAGAGCCTAAAGAGGATCAGTGTCACTCAAGTGCTCACCAATTGTACCACCTGGGCAGTAAGGAATAATACAATATTGGAAGTACGTACTGCGCGGTCGACCCATGGCCAAAAGATGAATATGCCTTGGAACGAGACGGCGATCGGTTTACACAACGGGATCGACAGCACTGCTCCCATGACCATACATTTGCGTATCCTCAACAGAAACCGAGTCGTACCTCAGACTACGCTTATCGCTCATGCCTCCCGGGATGGACGAGTGGCGCGAGAGGTGAAGGTCAAAAACACATTAGAGCCGAGCTGACTTGTTGCGTACCTTAATGTGGATACACTGTGGAAGGTGTGTCACGGTTCGGTTCGGTTCGGTTTTGGTGCAATGTTTTGAGAATCGGAACTGGAACCGGCCCAGAATTCGGTGACGTGGAACCAGAACTGAACAGTATCTGAACCGCTATTTTGGTTCTCTCGCGGTTCGATCCGGTCCTGGAATGGTTCGAGCCCACTTCGACGAACAATAATCACAATATAGTGCGCTACTTTTTCGACTGATCACTGAGGGCACTAAGAATCAAGCCTGCCCGCTCCCCGCATTGTATTCCCGCGATTCTTAAACCTTTGGTCTTACTTGCTTCCCTCTCCTTAAAGAAGTTTCGCTGCACATCGGCCTCGGCGATTTCAATAGTACCAAGATGCTCGGAGCGGCAGCTCCAACTATCATTGTCGGGGATGGGAGATGCTGGGACTGAATAAGTCCCGAGCGATGGACATTAGTGCCAGATATGTGGAGCCATGTTTTCTAGGCCAGAGCACAGTTGAGATGAAATACCAGCTACGCTTACCATTCAGAGCTTGATCAGTGCCAGCAGTTCTAGTGGATAGTTCAAGTCCCGCACAAAGATCATCGTTTGAGCTCATCAAGCTTGACTGGCTGAAAAAAAAACGTATACTTCATCCGTCGAGGGTGGCAGCTGGTGGCATTCGTTCCAGCCACATTTGAGACAACAGATCGAGTCGCATATGCGGAATGAAACTCAAGGGACCCGTAATAGTCAGCGACATTCAATATTCCAGATAATTGGAGCAATGTACAATGTTGAGCATGGCGGTCAGAACCGAACTGCGGTTCGGTCCACGGCCCAGCCCCACTCGAACCGGCTCTAGGGGCCACGGCACCCCTAGCACTGGAGGATAGCCAGAGCAAGGGATAATGAGGTAGGGCGTCTCAGATAGGTTTAGCGCGTTATCCTCATGCTAGTGATTGCCGACAGCGCAGCCTAGAAGAAACAGAGCCAGAATGATAATGATCAGACCATGATTGAATGGCTGTCCATCTACATGCGAAATAGCACGGAGGCCGCTCCGACCAGAATTTGACCGAGGGAGACAAGAATTCGAACGTTTAATATACTCAGAATTTTGACAACAGTCACATACGAAAGATACCATCTTCGTTAATTCATTTTCCAGCTTCCCCCCGCTCCGCCGGCGTCAGCATAAGGATAATTGATATCACGACGGAGGCGGAACTGTCTTGGTGACACGAGAGCCAAGGTTCTCACAAACACCTGACACGAAGCCACGCGGATTTATTCGTTTATTCGTTTATTCGTCTATTCGTGAATGCATGTCCGAATCAGCTGCCACCAGACATCGTAAAGAATTATGGGGATGGCTGAGCTACGCATTCGCCAGGTGAGCTGTCTTTCTCACCACCCGACACATGACCTAAACATCCATCCGTCCACTTCCAAAGTGAGGTGTTTGCTGTTTGCTCTCTGTCTTTGTTCCTCCCCATCTGCCTGGAACAGTTTGCTCGTGATAATGGATATCTGCTCCCTGATCGTGTCGAGAAATGCTCGCTTGTTGGCCAAGCGGATGATGCTAGATGTGTCGTGAAACTTGGATGGACATGGATGGACACTGCTAGTTTTAGTCTATACGTTTATTCTGCATCTGTAGCTCTTCAGGCCTTGACAGTAATATCCCTCGGAAATTTGGCGGATAATCGTAAGTCCTTGCATCACTGCCTTTCATCTTCTTATGATAACCTCCCATCCCAGCTACTTATCGTCGTTCGCTCCTTCTGCTCTTCGCATTCGCGGGCTCCGCATCGAGTCTCCTCTTCATTTTCCTCCCTTCCACGTCTCTGCTTTGGCCTTTGAGTGCACTGCTTGCGATAATCGCGAATGTTTCGTTTGGGACGAGTATGGTCTCTTTGAATTCTTACCTGCCCTATCTTGCTCGTTCCGACCCTGACCTACAAGCCTTGCAGAGCCAGCGTTACAGTCAAGCGGCCAATCTCGGGTCCGCTGCCGAACAAGTAAATCGTGATTACGATGGAGATGAGGAAGTTTCTCAAGACAATCGTGAAATGCGCCAGGAGCTGGAACCTTTAACGGGCGCACTAAGTATACACACCCCCACCGGTTTGAGGCATGACAAGGAGTATAATGCTGCACTTTCTCTTACAATCTCACGTATATCATCCCGAGGGATTGCCACTGGATATGCTGCAGGAATTGTTTTGCTCTTGATCCTATTGATTCCGATAAATCAACTCAACGGCTCAACATTTTCTCTCGATTGGCGATTGCCCTCACTGGCCTTTGGTGGGGGGTCTTTACATTTCCCGCGATGCTGTGGCTCCCTCGTGGAGGAATGTCGCCCTCAGAAGGAGATGAATTGGACGCCTACATCCAACCTTCGTTCTCGACTCAGGGCATTTTTTCTCAAATCTCGGAGGCTTGGGTTCAGCTTGTACGAACGTTTAGACCCAAGGAAATCGCTAAAGTTAAAAACACTTTCTGGTTCCTCCTTGCTTGGTTCCTGCTCAGTGATGGTATGCAAGTTGCTTGGGATGAAGAGTGCTGATGATTTACAATGTACTCAGGCTTCACAACGATAACATCTACCGCCATTCTCTTTGCTAAAACCACTCTTCACATGGGGGCATCTTCTCTCGTCCTTATAGGGGCTCTTTCACCAGCCGCTGGAATGATCGGAGCAGTAGCGTGGCCGATCGCACAACGTAAATTGAAGTTAAACAATATCCAAACCCTTACCGTGCTTGTCATCATCACTCTTCTGATACCCGCATATGGATGTCTTGGTTTCCTCCCGTACTTTCGAAGCGGGAAGGTATCGGCTCAGGAAATTAACAAAGTGGGTGTGCTCAGATTTGGTGGCCTGACAACACCGGGGGAGATGTATGTTTTAGCTACACTCTTTGGTAAGTCGATTTCTCTTGAATGATCCATAGCTTGAGCAACCGATACTCTAACTTCGATGACAGGATCCATATACGGCGCCTTCCAGGGCTATGCTCGGGCAGTCTTTTCGGAGATCATTCCACCAGGAGAGGAAGCACGATGGTCTGCCCTCCCAGTCCATTTTTGATTGTTGCTGATATGTTAATGAATTCAGGTTTGCACTCTATTCCATCACTGACAAGGTTTGCCGCCAGTATCACGTTGTCTATGATGGTATGTGCTGAATCCTGCACTCTTACCTCAGTCAAGCTCCTTTATTGGCCCAATGGTGGTCGGCCTGATAGCGGACACTACGGGAAATATACGTTATGGATTTTTCTTTCTCCTCATCATGATTGCGATTCCTATTCCAATCCTTATCAAGAAGATCGACATGGCTGCCGGGAGGATGGATGCACAAACATATGTCCGAGGTCGCGCTGGTTCCAGCGCTCATGAATAATTGTCAGCTTCAACTCCCATACACAGCCTGGGAATATCGCAGTTTGAGGCTCTCGATGTCGGCCCCCGACTTGGATGCGTTTCCGGGATAACTTGTGCTCCGCCTTTATGGGATCTCGCCATCAAGCTAAGGAGGGAGATTCTGTGGCATTCTGATCTGGAGGGCGTTGTGCTTGTCAAGTTGTTTTACGTGAACACTATTGTGGGACTCCGACGTTGTATTTAGTGTGTGTGGGTTGGCCTGGGCTGCTCCCTCGAGCGCCAAGGGTATTTTATTAAACAATCGTAACGATGCAGTGGTTGCGGCCACTGAGGGCAGCTTCGCATTGCTGGTAACAACATCATAGAAGAGGGATCCTGCCTAAGGCAGTTGCGGGTTTGTGCGATTTATTCGGGTTCAGCTCGATGGCGCGGATCTGGGAGTGATCGGTGTGAGCTTGAACTTTTCGCACCTCCCGGTTTGACAGCATGATGAGGTGCCTCTATTGGTGCAGCCAAATAGCCGATGTTACCAGAATACGACACGGTGCGAATCAATGTCGGGCTTGGGGCTACGACTAAGTTCGTTGAGATTGGCGGGCGCTAGTTACACGTGTTCATCGGCCTTTTTTGTGTCAACAACAGCTTTTCGTTGACTTCTCATCGACTTCTCGTCTTGATACGCCGGACAAACCAACCAATGGACGTCAAGCCAACCATTGATAGTAAACCGGATATCAAGGGCAGCGATGATCCGCCTGCCACTCAGATACCGCAAGGCAAAGTGCAAGTGCTAGTACAGCTCGGTGAACAACGTACGAAAACATTTGGCGTTAATGTTAATGGAAGTCTGATACGGCGCGTAAACAAGAATTCCGTTATGCAGTTAAGCCTACGACACCGTTCAAGAAAATATTTGACGCGACGGAGGTTAGCGCTGACATGCATAACCACTGTTTTGTCGCTCATCGCGATCTAATGTCCTTACTTGATTGTCCAGAAACAAGTGGGCGCTACTCCAGGAACGTTGCGTTTCCACCATGGCGGCGCTCGTATAAGAAATGACGACACACTTGTATCGGTAGGCGTCCCTCCCAAACATCCCAGCCACAATATCTTCACACTTATCTTTCAAAACTCGTTCAACTCATCTCCACTCATGGTTCTATAATATGTATCATCTGCTCTCCTATCAGATCGACGCTGATTTGGATGATGACATCGAGATATCGGCCAGCGTTGAGCAGGTGCGCGAGTGCTGTGCTGTCATCGTCATCACGCGTTTTACGCCTCTTGCGGGATCCTGACAATCTCTTTGCCAGATTGGTGGCGCTCTGAATGGTTTTGGCGCGTTTGCCCTTTGAGGATAATTGGCCGCTTCCCTGTATCTGTTTCAATACCCACGAACAAATTTGTCTTCCGGGTTTTCATCTATCCCTTACTTCATGGTATCGGTATCCTCGTGGCCAGGAGGCTGATATACAGGCAGAGTGTATTGTAAGGATGTGCAATCAGGGTTGGGTCTTGGGTTTTGTTGTTATCTATTTACAGCGATTGGTTGCGGTCTGCTTCATGCTTTACAAACGGCCCGGGGAAGGGCGTGTACTCGGGTTTCGAGAATGGCATTTGACCACACTCTTGATACCTTTTAGCTTTATTCTAGCCATCTTTTGCTTACTGAAGTTCGCCTCTTCAAGTTCAGCTGTGTTCAACCTGAGTCCACTTGGCGCGACACGTTTCACACCAAATCGCGTTGCTTGTGTTCCAAATGCCTCTCAAATCATTGAAGAGAAATGTTCCCATTCAGTAAGAAGGAACAATGGATTGACAACTGATGTCGAGTGGGATGACACCTCGCTTTTCATTCGAGGCCAGCGGGTCTTCATATGGCGAGTCACAAATAGTCGGATCCGCACCCGTTTGCGTTTTCATTGTGGATAATCCCTAGGTCAGGAGAGTTCCATCCATGGCGTCTTCCAGTACCAGAGATGTGGCGCGACATTCTAGAAAAAATGGTAGCATTGGGTCTGAACACCGTCAGTATTCCCGTCCACTGGTATGTTTGTCTCGTGAATTCCTGTGACCCGAAACCATAAGCACTCCTCTGCGAACCAGGGGGCTTGTGAACCCGGCACCTGGGATATTTGATTTTAATGGCTATCGAGACCTCAAGGCTTTCTGTGAACTAGCACTCGATGTTGGATTATGGGTAATTCTGCGACCCGGTGAGCATGTCAAACACTGAGAATAGCGTCAATCGCCTCATTTTTTACCACTGAAGGCCCTTATATCAATGCAGGTCCGTTCCATTCTATGGTGTTTTCTTCATATGTAAGGAATCAGGCCGTTTATCATAGACACCTCTGCTGGTGGTTTGCCCCACTGGGTCATCTCGACAACTTCGGGCCAGCTTAGAGCTAATACGACAGAATATGCTGAGAAATGGAGGCCATACATACGTGCCGTCTGCCAAATTGCCAAGGTTTATCAAGTCTCATTGGGAGGCCCAATAATCGCCGTCCAAGTTGAAAACAAGTATATGGAAGACGATAGGGCAGGACATGCTGGAAATGCTGATATGATGCTGGATATCGAGAATGAGATGCGAATGAACGGGATCGTTGTACCCTTACCTTTAACGACGCGGGACCCGGTATTAATTTCGCCACAGGAAGAGGGGCAGCTGACATTTATGGTATAGACTCACACCCTCAGGCAGGCCCGTCCACATGAGGTTGTGAAGCACTGGAATGACCCTTTGTGCTTCATAGGGATTCGATTGCTCTCGTCCAGAGATCTGGAAATCAGTTGTTGAGAATTACTACGATTATCACATGAATACTAATCGTAAAAGTTGGATCCATTTTTCCGACGTTCAGTGATTCATCCCCTTGTTGTAGCCTATCAGCCTTGGTTTACACCAGAATTTCAAGCAGGTGCACCCGATGCCTGTGAGTCATTGTAATGGAATACTTGCCTATTGGCACTCACATTGTCACTTAGGGGGACCAGGCTCTGCTGGATATGATGCGTGCGCCGAACTGACTGGGCCAGAGTTTGAATCCGTATTCTACCGAAACTTGCTTGCGGCTAATTTCAAGTTGATCAACTTGTACATGGTGAGTTTCCGTGTGTACACTGTGAGTTTTCGTGGGCTTGGTGCCACTTAAATTTCATCGTTCAGATATATGGGGGCACCTCATGGGGATATCTGTCCTACCCTGGCGTGTACACCTCTTATGACTATGGAGCCGCTATCGCAGAATCCCGCTCTTGCGGCCAGGAAAGGCAGCGGAACTCAAACGACAGACCTTGTTTGTTCGCTCCACTCCTGAATTCTATAACACTGTTGTGGTTGGTAACTCATCCTCGAGCAGTGGTGTAGTTCGCTTTCGTGGAAGACGGAATATGGATATATTCGGGACGCTTTTGAGAAACCCAGACACCGGTGCGCAATTTTATGTTATGAGGCATTTGACTTCAAACGCGACGTAAGGAAGCCTCTGCACGTTCTTGCCCGTCAAGACTGAATGGCCTTACAGAAGGAGCGAACCATTTAAACTCAACATCACCACCACCTCAGGGGAGCTCTTGGTGCCTCAGACTGGCCCTTTATGTTGCTGGCTGGGCGAGAATCGAAAATGGTGATAACTGATCTCACATTTGGCGTCGCTTCAAAGCTTCTGTATTCCACCGCACAGGTTCTTTGGGCAGGGAGGATTGGCGATCGCGATGCTCTTGTCCTCCATGGTGCGACTGGGCAGTTCCATGAAGCGGCTGTTAGGTTCCCGCCCTCACGACACATCACTGCCCAGCATCCGTTAATCCACGTGTTGGAGGATAAGGCAAGGGGTGCGAATCTTATCACTATTCAACCAGGAGTGAAGGGTTTGGTAGTGATCTGGGACTCACTCGAACAGATCATCTTGTACGCTGATACTGAGACCGCTGGAACACTTTGGTTCCCTAGGATAGTGGCACCTAGAAATTTGATGAACAATCCAGGGCCAAATACAAGTCTTCTAGTTAGCGGACCCTATCTTGTACGGGATGCAAAGTTCGCGGATGGGGATGGCACGGCATTGAATCTTCGTGGGGACTTGATCGAAGGTGTCAGACTGGTTCTTGTCGGGTTACCTCCAACTGTTCGAAGATTGACCTGGAATGGCCAGTTAATCGAAGCAGACATAGCTCCCGCTTTTTCAACTGCCAACCAAGCAAGACTTAGCACATCATTCGGCTCCACTTCATTTGTTGAAGCTACTCTGACTTACAGGGCCGGCCATCTTAGCAATGCACATGGTGAAAACAATCCATTCGATCCGCCCAAGCTTCTCGATTGGATGTATACGGATGCTCTGCCCGAGATACTCGCCAACTTCTCAGACGCCGACTGGACTCTGGCGGATCACAGGCTCACGAATTCTCCATACAAACCGTATGGAGGCCCCAATGCGACAAATCTTTATGGATGTGATTATGGATTGTTAGTTAAAGTGGATTTCAGTGCCGATTCCCCTGTGCTCATCCTTTTCGCAGCTGCGAGGAATTACGATATATCGTGGCCATTTCCATGCGACTGGATTGGAGCAAGCCACGAGGCTCAGCCTTGCCGGAGGTCAAGGTAGATAATATGGGGATGCGTAGACCGTAGTGATCTAACTTGTTTCAGGGTTTGCCGCGAGCGTCTGGATCAATGATGTCTTTCTGGGGACTGAGTGCGGCAAGTGAGTGCCGTGTTAATCTGACTGACCAACTGCTGAGCGCTTTAGCTCGACAAATCATGCCAGTGTGATTGCTGAGCAGAATCAAACATTCATATTTCCAAACTCTTCTGTTGTCAAAAATGAAAATGTTTTGACAATTGTCTTGGTATGCTACATCTTTATTGGTAGCAAGACTTTCTCCCTCAACAATTCTCATAGGATAATATGGGTTTTGACGAGTCGGAGGGCTGTTCGTCTACTTCCTGGATTGACGATATTGAGCTGAAGGATGCACTATGACTAGGGAATCCCGATTCGGCCAAATCGGTCCGGGGAATCCGTGATTACGAACTCATTGGAGGGAAGTTCTCTTCATGGCGCCTTCAGGGAAAGCTGGGTGGCTTCATGGGGTGCGTCCTATGGTCTTGTCGGGCGTCTTAAGTTACGTGAGCCATGTTTTTGCTTCAGATATCGAGACAAGTTTAGGGGGGTCTTAAACGAGGGTGGCTCGTATCCTGAGAGGATGGGATGGCACCTTCCCGAGTTTGATACTTCGTCGTGGCTCTTGCGGTCGCTCAGCGAGGGCCTGCCTCGAGGCGGGGCGGGACTTGGTTTATTTGTCACTAATTTCACTCTCAACATTCCCACTGGTTTTGACGTGCCTATGTCTTTCGTCTTCGATCACGTCGACCAGCCGTATCGAGCCCTTCTGTTTGCCAATGGTTGGATGATGGGCAAAAGAGTTGCGAACCTAGGGTGAGTACTCAAACCTTGAAACTGGCGAAGTATATTTCACAAGCTGTCACACCAGCCCTCAGTACAAATTCCCTGTTCACCAGGGTATTATCAATTACCGTGGCGTGAAGTGCGTGATTTATCGAAGCTCCAACGTAATTCTCTTAGCTAATCGATTTCCAGTACGGTGGCAGTCCTCCTGTGGGTTCTTGAGGATGCTATCGTCAATCCATCGCTCAAGCTGGTATATGACGCCGTGATAGACGGAGGTATTAACGAGTGGTAATTTTGGACCAATTGAGTCACCGGTAAAATCCGACTCCCCAACGCTGAAGCTCAAAGTGTGGAATATGCTTACTCATTGGTACATATCGGGCATGTAGCCCTAACTATCCTTCCATACTGCGAGGACAGCTCCCAGCCCCCTCATAGACAGCGAGCGTGAAACTAAGGGGCGCACCCATTATCTTGCTGGTTGAGTTGCGGAAATCTCGTCGTAAATTAGAGTCCCGCAAGGCAAATCATGCATGCTGTTTTCCCTATTCTGGAACCGTGATTCTCGCGAACTTACAGGTGACGCCAAGAATTTGGGGAGTGATGCATTGCTAGAGGGATCGGAACAATCCTGACATGGTCTGGCTCGTGCCTTGTGCAACGGTCGAGAAAGACCCTCGATCAGTTGATGTGGACAGTGGGAAGGATACAAAAACCGTATTGGTTAAGAATGGAAGCATCCAGTCCATCTGCGAGTTCGTCTTCGGCACAATGCACAGATTTATCTGACGACAAGCAATATGGTGGTAGACACGTCTCATTCTATATACTGGGTTGTATGAAGAAGCGAGACACCGAGCGAATTCGAGATTTCACAAGAGCCTGCTCGGCTGATGAAATAGAACCCTCTACCATCCTCTGTCCCAGAGACTCGATGTTTTCATCAAGATCAATACCAGCTGTAGCGATAAGTTCCCCAACACCCCAAATGTCAACCTCTGCCCCATGATCATCCTCGAATACCTGTGGTGCATGAGTTTGAGGATGCAGATTGGGGGCCGCTTTGGTTGGAAGCATGGCAGCATCTTCCCAGTCAATGAGGAACCACCGCTTGCGATCCGTAATATCTTGAATCACATTTGGCCAGCGGATGTCTCGATGGAACACTTGCGGCTCAGTATGTAACACCTACAGATTGCATGAACTCGAATCAATAATCCTATACAATACTTACTTGGAGGGCCTTGAGGACACAGATAACCGCATTTTTGACATCTTCGGAGTCATTGGACCATTGGCCTTACCTCGAGGTCCAAGTTCAAGGAAGTATCCATCTTCAGTGGTTTTGATTTTCTTAAGGAAGTCGACATTTGGCACGCGTTTTCTCTTGAGTTGGTCATAGATAGATTTGAGAAAAGATATTCTGGGTTGCTTTTCTATTGGGTAGAACTTCCGTATCGTCTTTTCCAAGAATTCAATGGATTTGCCATCATCACTAACGCCACAGTTAGGTTCAATGCAAACAAGATACATGAAAGGCACTCACCGAATCAGTGGAAGCATATCAGCATCTACATCTTTTGAAATGGTACCTTCTAATGCCCGGAGAACCTTGACTAGCCGGATCATCCTTGCCGCATTTTTGATACGTCCCTTCACCGTTGATAGATTTCCGGCTAGAATGTCTTCTACAACTACTTGTCCCCTTTGGTGCCCAATAGCTGCAAGCGTAACATCAGCACCAATGGCATAGTAGCCTTGATACACAAGTCAACAACAGGTACCGCTGGGGAAGAATCACATACCAAGCACATACGGAGCAGTACCATAGGCCCATCGAGTCTTGTCAATGAGCTCCTGACGAGGATGCTTCCCGCCATACGGTGGCCTTTTCTCCTCCCCCCGGAATAAACAAGTACGCTGAAAAAGGAGACCTAAATCAGGCCTGAAAGATCCAGTATTCGTGTCGTGGTCGCTGTTGCGTATCCACATGAAATTGTCGAGACACATCGTGAGAAGATCCAGAATGTTGCGGTCCCAGAATGGAAGGAAGGAATTTTCAGTACCCAATGGTGGGGCCCTGGTAATTGCCATATGCACATTGAAAAAGAAGTTCGCCATTTCGTCCTCGCTCTTGATGAAGAGCACCTCAAGGTCTTCTGCAGTGTAAAAATCATTGAAACGTGAATTCAGGTGCAGCAGCATGCGCCATTGGAAATCGGAAATAGGGATTTTCTCTTCGGGATCAAGTGGTGCATCCAGATAGGTGCGCAGATCAATGATGGTCGGAATTTTGGGGAGCGGAACATTCCATTTATGGTACAATTTCGCTGAAATATCGACTGCAGACAAGTGAGAGGTTTGGCCATAAAACAAAAAGGCATAAAGACCTACCTGGGTCCTCACGTTTCCTCTTTCTGTCAGTGGGCGGCGCCGCCACGACAAAATGAAGCCCCTTTTGGGGCAGATTAGGAAAGGCCTCTGATAACAAGTCCATAGCCCCTAGCAATTCCTTATCATTCAGCGAGAGAGTGCGAACTTCCTCCGCAAGATCCCTGTCTGCAGGAATGAAAACCTTAACAGAGTTAGTTGCTAGTAATTTCAGTCAAAAGGGGTAGCTCACTCTCCAGACAACCAGATCACTGGCAAGCCCATCAAGTCCTATCTTCTTCTTGATGGCATCCTTCAGGTCATCAATGGTCTCACTCTTTGCGATGGTGACCGAGAATGGGTTGGAGGATTTGTCTAACACCCAGCCAAATAGCTTGAGTGGGACTGCGCAAATAATTCAGCGAAGAAGGAATTGCAGTACTTATGATACCTCACTTGTCTCTGTTACGGAAGGCATATTTGACTTGAAAAACCACGTTCCAGGTATCGAGACTAGATGAGGCATACGCAAGGAACAGACATCGATGGAACACAGGAATGTGAACTTACGGTCAGGGGACCTGACATCATCTACGACCAACTTGATGGCTGGATAGGGGCTCCTGAGCGACTGAACGTAATTTTGCAGCATAGCGTCATCATTAAAAGTGACTGGCTCCTTGTCTCTATTAAGGTAAGCCACACGGACATGTTCTTGCGGAATACCGAAAAGAGAGGATATTTCGGAGGCGAGATCACGCCAATGCGGCAGACTGGGGAAGGTCGCAAACATAGCCCTGGCACCGGCTCTCTTCAATTTGAACAAAGGCATAGCGTTTGGAGAAGGACGAGGGTTGTCTGTGAAGTTTGTGTGAGGGGGAGGAGAACCTGATTTATTACCCCGCGGCCTCGTTGTCACGTGGCAGTGCGGCTGTCCCATCCGGTACTTAGTGGGTTCATGTCAAAAGAAAGAGTACTAGTATACGGGTGTGTGTGTTATCGGGGGTTTATGATCGTCGGTTGACTCGGATGCAGACGTCGTAATGCGGCTGGGCCCCAGTACAGCCACAAAGCCATGCGATAGGGTGTTGACGGCAACAGCCGTGGACTGGTTGCCTAATTGAGCCCTTGCAACATTCTGCCCGTTGCGTGGCGAGAGCACAGTCGTGCCTTCTCCGTTTGCGGGCTTAACGACTTCGCGACCATCTGGCTACATATATTTTTGCTTCGTTTAACTCTGTGCCAGGCTCATCTTGACTTGAGATGGCTCTATCTGGGCGAGGCCAACATCATGACCTCGCGATTCAGTATTCTCATTTGATCCAAGCGGAAATCACTGCTGTGACTTCTGTCATGCGCAAAAACGCTCGGTGGTCTAATTCTTCGTCCCATTTTTATTCCCGAAACACCGCTCTAGCGGGTAACATGGGTTTGCGACGTGGCACCCATGGAACAAGCGAAAGACCAACGAGAGAAAATCGGGAAGCCGATTTAATGGGAGGTTTCGATGATCTCAGACGGGAGTTACGCCATATTCAAGGTGGAGTGTTAACTTGCACTGCTCCAGCGTCATCTTACGGTGGCTTTTGAAGACATTCGTGAATTGTCATTGACCTCGTTGCTTTCTCCATTCTTATCATTAATACGCTCCCCTCTTTCCACTGGGCCAATAACATCCACTGTCCTTTCATCTCTCCATACTTTTTTTGTCTATGGTTTGATTACGCCCACCTCGGGCGGCATACAGCCAGCCCTCTCATCATTGTGTACTGCGGTATCTCGACTCCGCTTTGAGGGTACCGATCCGACTGCAGATGAAATCGTGTTATTACGCATGCTAGTGGTGTTGGAGGCCTGTTTGACGGGCGACGTTGGGGATTTGTTGGGAGACGTGGAAGTTTGTGAGCTTCTCGAAACGGTCTTGACCATTTGTTGTCAGATGCGGAGAAGTGGTGAGGATAATCAAGGATAGGAGTACTATGTTCGCTCACTAATTTATCCAGAGCTCCTGCGTCGGAAAGCAGAATTGACTATGCATCTCCTTGTCAGGACGCTGTTCTCGCGCCTTGCCACCATCAACCCCTTGGACGCAGAGAAGAACTTGGAAGAAGAGGATGGCTATGAGAAAAGCCGTGTTAAGGCCCAGAAGCCCGCACCTGTATCCTCTGATGTCGCGAAGGGTCAAAGTGAGACGTTGACAGAACCAAATGCAGCGGCTTCTCGAGCACTGACTCCAATATCAATCTGTAAGCTCTTGACTAATTGCTGCTTGATGCCCTCCCCGGCTTATCTCTTCACTTAAGCTTCTGCTCCTTATGGACTGCTTTCCATCAGGGAACTTCTTCGGGTTGTTGTCAATCTTCTTGACCCCACTAATCCGCTCCATACCGACTCTATACGCCTCACTGCACTTGGTATACTCAATTCCTCCCTTGAAGTCTCATCGACTTATCTAGCATCGTTCCCGTCATTGTCCAGTATACTCATCGACAAAGGATGCAAATTCTTGTTCCAACTGGCTGGCTCAGAGAACCTCCAAATTCTCTATCTGTCTTTACGAGTAATAACTATACTCTTTCAGGAAGATTCGTTACTCAAGCAGCTCAAACTACAACAAGAACTGTTTCTTAGCTTTACTTTAGATAGACTCGCCCCTCCTGTCATCCCGAATGGACCCCAAGTTCATTTGAGCGTCGGAGGCAGGGGCCACATGAGCAATGCTTCTCGCTCCTCTCTTTCATCCAGACATGGTGTTGCTTCCCCTGAGCCAAGTATCGTTAATGGGCGCTCTGTTTCGGGGACGGGGCAGACGATGGTGATTCGTCAATTGACGAAATTCCTGCTCCTCTTCCCCGTCTTAGAGTCCAGCCGGCTCGGGGAGAAACTAGGGAATTGTTGTTGGAAGCTTTGGCTAACATGTCTCGGCAACCAAGTTTTTTTGCGAATCTTTGGGTTAATTATGACTGCGACAAGAACTGTGAAGATTTGTTCGAACGTCTGATTAATTACTTGACGAAGGTGAGCCATCAAGCGTATGGAGACTTGCGGAGAATTGACGGTCGTTACACCTTGGAATATCTATCCCCTCCCAGTATCCAATCAATGTTGAAGCCCAACAGTATAGCTCTCAGCTTCTCTGCCTGGATATTTTGTTAAGTCTCATTCACTCCATGGCTGTCCGGGCAGAACATGTGAGCACTCGTTCCGCTAATAATTCCTCGGTTTGCTGATAGTACTTCGTGATGTACAGACCCCTCCGTCTAATCCTCCTGTGAGCGTTTGACCATTTCATGTGCGCTGTAATAACGCTCACACGTCGCCTTCATATAGCTACCGACGCCTGACGAGCTCAAGAAGCAAAAGGCCTACAAGAAATTGTTCCTCGCTGGCACTGCCCGTTTCAATGCCAAACCAAAACTCGGACTTGCTTTCTTGGAAGAAAATGGGCTTCTTTTCAACGATGACCCAGCTGATGTTTTTCGTGCTCGCAGCATCGCAAAGTTCCTGAAAAACGCGGCTCGATTGGATAAGAGGCTGCTCGGAGAATTCATATCAAGGAGCGAGAACGCTGAGATCTTAAAAGAGTTTATCAGTTTGTACGATTTCCAGAACGTAAGGGCTGCATGCTGTCTTTCTGGGGTTCGTCTGAGAGCGCCAATCCAGAAATCTATTGCCGAGGCTCTCCGGGAGCTACTCGAGTCTTTCCGGCTGCCTGGAGAAGCGCAACAAATATCCAGGATAACGGAAACTTTCGCATCGATCTACTTCGCTACGGAACCTGGTATGATTAGTAGTTGATCACATCCAGGACTTGATCCTGAAAAGTAACACTCAGCCGAAATCCAATCTGAGGATGCGGTTTACGTCCTTGCATATGCTGTCATCATGCTAAACACGGACCAACACAGCCCCAATATCAGGGTCAGCACCAATGTGTTCACTCAGAGAATTTGTGCTCATTGTCATGGCTTTGGAATAGAAACGAATGACGGAAGAAGATTTTCAAAGAAATCTCCGGGGTGTGAATTTCGGTTCCGACTTTCCACCTGATTATCTGGTTTGTTCAATGTCGCATTACTTGGGGTTTTAATTGAGGATCGTATAGCATTCCATCTACGAAAATATTCGAGAAAGAGAAATCATCATGCCCGAAGAGCACACCGGGCAAGCTGGATTTGACTATGCCTGGAAAGAGCTCCTCGTTCGAACGGACATTTCTGGTAAGTGGAATTCTTCAGCGTTTACGAACGAGGCTGAGCATTCCACCTCCAGGCTCCTTGTTTTTGTGCAACACGTCTATATACGACAGCTCAATGTTCGCCATGGCATGGAAATTTATCGTTACCTCTATCGCATCGGCTTTCACGACTTTTGATGACGAATTTGTCATTCAGGATGTGATTGCAGGGTTCCGGGAGTGTGCAACATTAGCCAGGAAATTCGAGCTTCCAGAAGTATTTGATTATATTGTGATGTCTTTGTCACATGCGACTGGCCTGCTTGGCGATCCTGGCATTACCTCAGCTGCTAACTTTCCAACTGCCGAGGTTGATGGACAGACTGTCACCGTCTCAACGCTTTCAATACGATTCGGGACCAGTTTCCGTGGTCAGCTCGCTGCTGTGGTTCTCTTTACTATCGCGAACGGGAACGGGAATGCTATTCGCGATGGATGGTCTCAGGTACTTTCTGCACCCAAATTCCTCGTGAATTGAGGTGTTGACCAAATTATCAGATCTTTGAAATGTTCCAAACACTTTTCCTTTATTCCCTGCTCCCCACTCGGATGCTGCAGACGGAAGATTTTCTCGGCGGAGTGTCGATGATTCCGATGCAAGGCAATGCGGCATCACCTGTCCATGGCCCGAACCGTTCAGACGGAGGTCTGCTTTCAGCATTGTCTTCCTATCTCCTAACTCCCTATGGCACCGCTGTCGAAGCTGCAGTGCCTAGTGTCACTGAACGAGATATTGAAAACACATGAGCGCGATTGATTGCATTGGTGCATGCCGCATTGATGAGCTGTACAACGAAATCATGTAAGTCTGTCTTGGGTAATAGGTTCCTCTGTAGATAATCTCTGTTATAGGCAGCTTGACCTCGATGCCTTAGTTGCTGCAGTGCGCGCGCTCGCCGAGTTAGCCGATCGTCGCACCACTATCCGATTATCAGAAACAGATGATCTTACCCTTCGATTGCATGAAGTTGCAGATTTCAGGGCCCTTCCTTACGACCCTGCGTCTGTTTTTCTCCTTGAGACTCTAGTGAGCATTACTGTACAAACATCCAGCAAAATTGAAGAAATATGGTGCGCTGTGAACTTATTTGCTGAGCACACTCTAAACTTCCTTATAGGCCAATTGCCTTCTCTCATATAGCCGGAATCCTAGCATCACCTAAACGATTTAGCATACTGCTTGTCGAGCGTGCGGTAGTAGGTCTCCTCCGCATTGCCTTGATATTAGCCAGTCAGGTATGACTTCACATTTGCAATGAAATTCGTCTGATATGCCCGATAAGAAATCGCTGCGAGATCAACTCTACATTGCATTAGACTTGCTAGGTGGTTTACCGCTTCCCATTGTGAATGCGGTTGCCGAACAACTTATCTCTGGAGTTGCTCTGATTGTCCGCAAGCACCGCGAGGTCATTAGGTAAGTTGGGAAATCTTGTTTTGCGAATAGAATGCCTGACTCTGCCCAAGTTCCGCGACAGAATGGAGCTTGGTTTTTGCGCTGCTTCGCGGAGCTGTATCACACCATGAAGCTGGAAAGCTTGCATTTGATGTCGTTTCAGAGCTTGCGGAATCTCTTGGAGTGGAAGGGAATCGCAGAGTTGAGAGTTTACCCGCTTTGATAGCAATCCTTGAGGAATTTGCCTCAGTTCCTGGGCGTGCTGTGGAATTGCGAGTTAGTAAACGCCCCCAGCCTAATGTGACAGTCACATCGTGAGTGTCCTCGTTCTCATATACCTGCCCAGTTTGACGGTTCCTCCAGTCCCAATCTTGAGCGGGCCATTAAAGCCATTGAGCTCGTTTATCGTCTTCGTAGTGCCGTTCCAGCGTGGATAGAACAATCGACCCTGTCTGTTGATCAAGGTACTCGTCCATGTTCACAGCAACTACCTAGACCCTGTCCTCTGATGTCGAGTCGTAAATAGCGTGGAAGGTGGGCTGGACTCCGCTTTTGGTAGTCTTGGGCCGACAGTCAGCGGATCTTAGTGCTGAAGTGCGGAATCTGGCACTGAACTGCCTGCAGAGACTTTTGCTCGGACAGCAAATTTCTGAACATGGCCTTGATGTGCTTCACCTATTTGATCGAGTCATTTTCCCCATGGTAGCTGATCTCTTGCGAAGCGATCTGGATAATAAGTCCCTCAAAGGAGTCTCCGAATCTCGGCTACGAGCATCCAATTTACTCTGCAAGGCTTTCTTGCACTTCCAACTTGGCCCAAATTCAGAGCTCAACTCCACATTCCGGGAGTCGTGGTTAATCGTTTTGGACTTACTGGACCGTCTCATGCATAGTGCAGGTCGTCAAAGCCAGCTGGTGCGTTTCACCGTATTCTTGGGATGTTTGACGGTCCTCATTGATCATTCACAGATAGAGGCCATTCCCGAGTCTCTCAAGAACGTACTTCTCGTAATGCATTCATCAGGAATACTCATTCCCCCTTCGAATCCCGACGGCCGCAGCGATCAGCAGCTGTTATTGTGGAATGAGACGAACCACCGTCTCTCACGTTTCCTCCCAGGTCTCCTTGATGAGTTAATACCCGCTTCACCGCTTCCATCTCTCCCGCGGGAGGCAACCTCAGAACCTGTGAATGAAAATACGGAAGCCCCTTCTGAGGTCGCCTTATAGCATCGGACCTGTAGTTTTAATTTAAAATACAAAATAATATCGTTCAATCAGGCTCAGACAGATGACTAGGATAAAATGCCCGGGGGCCGGAATTCGCATATTATCGCTCTCTTAAAGGAAAGATTACTGAGTGTAGGTACAACCTGGACGAGAAGAGCACAAAGTTTCTTGGTGCAAGGCGGGTCCTGAACGTCTTGGTGGCGGTGGTGGAAAACGGGACGTCTTCACAGCCGAGGCGACAACCCAGCGTCCGATTGCAGATCACGACAATCCTAGGTTTCCCGGAGTAGCGAAAATACCAAACCGCCAGAAGGCTAAGGGAGGCTAGGTGGACGTCTTCAAAAGCAATTGTAATTATGGGTTCGCAATAAGGATATTGAGATGCAACCATCGGCGGCGATGGAGACCTGAAGATGTTATGTCTTGAGGTAGACGTCAAGCGGCGGGACATTGGTTGGGATTGGACACACTTTCTTCCTTTGAACTACGAAATCATTACGATCTGTATTGACACTAAACCTTTATGCTGCAACAACACATAAGGGCCTTCGTAGTCCAAGCAAAAAACATTTGAGGCTAGATCAATAGAGACATGAAGTTGCCGAAGCCACAAGAGTCATACACACAAATGAAGGTGCCTGTATACAAGGTAAACTGCACCAACCGATAAACCAGAGGCGACGAAATCCAAGACGACACAAGCAAGCGAACAAAAATGAGGCACATTGGAACCCAATGGAAAGAGTTCTAGGTTTCCACTTTGATTTCGTGAACTATTCCACCGTTTTCAATGTGGGCTCCGTTAAGAATGTTTACACCATTGGGAACGATAGGAGGGGCCACGAAGCGCTAAAATATCACAAACGTTAGACGAGGGCTCGGAAGCTGTGTATAATCAGCCACGTACGCGAGTTTTGATACCACCAGCGGCGGGCAAGCGAGTGTTTCCTTCACTGAAGTAAGCATCTACTTCAGCAGCGGCACCACGGCCCTCACTATTTTACAAGTAATAAGTGGAAGCGAATACTCAATTCACCAGGGACATACTTGATACCCCAAACAATCAACGATTGGCCACGACGGCAATCACCCGCGGCGAAGACACCTGGTTGGTTAGTAGAATATTTCTGGGATATGGGCGAGGGTCAGTGGGGGTTTCGGGTGGGCATCGCGCGAACGGACCTTCGCTGGGGTCTGGATGTTGGAACGACCGTCGGTTTTCACGTCGAGAGATTTGAGCAGTTCCTGCTCGGGGCCGAGGAATCCGAGGGCAAGGAAGACTAGCTGTGCGGCAAAGAACTTCTCGGAGCCTGGTATCTCCTCCATCTTCCATCGTCCTGCACTATCCTTCGTCCATTCAACTCGAACTGTTGTACATGAGCTATCAGATACTAGAAAGACAGATGGGAAAAACAGGGGCATACTAGTGGTGAGACCTTTCAATTTCCCTTCTTCGTCGACAATAAACTCCTTGGTTGAAATGCAAAACTCACGGGGATCTGTCAAGTGTAAGGTTTTCGGTCATCAGGCCCTTATGATAGCGGTTCACACGTTACCTTGGCCGAAGTGGGCCATGACCTCGGTATGTCCGTAGTCGGTGCGGAAAATACGAGGCCATTGGGGCCAGGGATTGTCACGGCCTCTGAAGGCGGGAGGCTGAGGAAGAAGCTCAAAGTTGACTACGGAATTAGCACCGTGCCGCATGGCGGTTCCAATACAATCATTGCCTGTATCACCACCACCAATGACAATGACATCTTTGCCCCGCGCGTTGATATAGTTGGAATCCTCAAGGTTGGAATCAAGAAGTGAGGTAGTATTCAGCTGTACAACCAATCAGTGGCTAGTTGGTTCAAAACGAATTTAATTACGAACCTGAAGATATTCCATTGCGAAGTGGATTCCATGTGCACCCCTCCCAGGAATCCTTAGGTCCCTTGGCCAAGTCGCTCCAGTTGCAATCACCAAAGCATCGTTTTGTGCCCTGACGTCTTGAGCAGAGATATCAGCCCCAACATGGGCGTTCGGAATGAACGTCTAGACGAATAACCAGGTGAACAAGTGATTTGTTTCAGAAAGAGGGAATGGGCGTACCACTCCTTCGGATTCCATCAACTCCAACCGGCGTTGCACAACGGCCTTGTCCAACTTCATGCTGCACGCAGTTCATTACTAGAGTCCTTTTTGCTCACTTGCTGCCTGGTACTCACTTTGGAATGCCGTACATAAGAAGTCCACCCATCCTATCATTCCGGTCGTAGACTGTGACAGTATGACCCGCCTTGTTCAGCTGGTCGGCGCAAGCCAGGCCTGCCGGACCTGACCCAATGATAGCAACGCGTTTTCCAGTTCTGAAGTCGGGTATTTGGGGCGTCATCCACCCCTCTTCGAATCCCTAAAGCACTCGGTCAGCACGCCAAAGGTGGAAGATTGGCAAACCAAATATACCTTGTCGATGATTGCGCATTCAATGCTCTTGATACCCACTGGTTGTTCATTGATACCGAGGACACAGGCACCCTCGCAAGGAGCCGGGCACACGCGGCCAGTGAACTCGGGGAAGTTGTTTGTCAATAGCAGTCTGTTAAGAGCATCACGCCATTGACCCTTGAACACGAGATCGTTCCATTTGGGAATGACGTTCGAGATGGGACATCCGGCATCAGATTGACAGAATGGTACCCCACAGTCCATGCAGCGAGCGGTCTGGTACTTGAGCTCACTCTCTGACAGACGAGTAGAAATCTCCCTCCAGTCCCTAACCCGTTTGCGCGGGGCTCGGTAGTTTTCGTGGAGCCGCTTGTATTTCATGAAGCCACGAGTTTTGTCGAGCTTCTTTAGACGCTCACGGGTGGTTTTCTCATCGACGGCGGAGTCTTCGATATCCTCGACAGGGACCTCGGGCTTCTTGGCGGGGGGATGGAGATGAGAAGAAGATAGTGTGGCAGCGAGGGACGCCTTTGGACCAAGAACGTCTTCCAGGGTCTCAGAAGCGAGATCGACTTGGCTAGCAGTGTGAGAAGGAACGAGATCGATCGTGCTCATTCGCTTTTTGTCCTCCTGGGCGCGAGCAGCCTCTTGCTCCAAAACACGCTTGTAATCGTGCGGGATTACCCGGACGAACATAAGGAGAAGATGGTGGAAATCGTCGAGAACACGATGAGCAATTTCTGAGCCAGTGTAGTGGCGGTGATCCTCGATAAGACTGCGAAGCTGCGCAATCTCGTGAGGATCAGTCACCTTTCCGAGCTCTACCATGCGCTGGTCCACCTTGGAGGCGAACGTATGTGCCATATCAAGGACATAGGCAATACCTCCACTCATTCCCGCCGCAAAGTTACGGCCTGTCGTACCAAGGACAACCACCCGACCTCCTGTCATGTACTCGCACCCGTGATCACCAGTGCCTTCGACCACAGCGTTCGCACCAGAGTTGCGGACTGCGAACCGTTCCGCAGCGATACCACGGATGAAAGCCTCACCGGAAGTGGCTCCGTACAAACATACATTGCCAACGATGACGTTCTCCTCCGCTTTAAAGTTGGACCCCTTTGGTGGATAGACGATGATGCGGCCACCCGAAAGACCCTTGCCAACATAATCATTTGAATCGCCTTCGAGTTCGATGGTAATTCCCGGCGCGAGGAAGGCACCGCAAGACTGGCCAGCGGATCCCTGCATGCTAATGTGGATTGTGTCCTTTGGAAGGCCCTCTTCTCCATAGAGCTTGGATACTCGATATGAAAGAGAAGTGCCCAGGGCACGGTCGGTGTTGACGACGTTGCAATCAATGCGAACAGGAAGACCCTTAGTCAAGGCTGGCTCCGACTCGTCAATGAACTTATTGTCAAGACGGATGTACAACTTGTGATCTTGTTGACGAATCTTGTACGTGGCCGCACCAGGACGCATCTGCCAGGCGGGTTTCAAAACTGCAGAAAGGTCGAGATGAGCGGTCTTGGGTATCCGAAGCGACTCGTCAACCTTTAGCAACTCCGCCCGGCCTACCATCTCGTTGATTGTGCGGATACCGAGCTTGGCCATAATTGAACGAAGTTCCTCGGCGACGTAATAGAAGAAATTAATAACTTGCTCAGGCTGACCGGCGAATTTGGCACGGAGGTGAGGATCTTGGGTGGCGATCCCGACGGGGCAGGTGTTTACTATGTGGCGAAGAATGCATTTTTCAGCCGCGTAAGTTCGGCGGCGGAGATGGGTAAAACAATACTTACGATGACATTTGCGCATCATGATGCAGCCCATTGCGATGAGTGGAGTAGTGGCGAAGCCCCATTCCTCAGCTCCGAGCAAACAAGCAATTGCGACATCACGTCCACTACGAATTTGACCATCAGTCTGCACGATGACACGTCCACGCAGGTCGTTAAGTACGAGAGTCTGGTGGGTTTCTGCGAGGCCTAACTCCCAAGGTAGACCGGCATACTTGATACCAGTCCATTTCGAAGCTCCCGTGCCACCATCGTGGCCAGAAATGAGGATATGGTCCGCCTTCGCCTTGGCGACACCGCTAGCCACGATACCAACACCCACCTCAGACACAAGCTTGACTGAGACACGGGAACGAGGATTTGCGCATTTCAGATCATAGATCAACTGCTTGAGATCCTCGATTGAGTAGATGTCGTGGTGTGGAGGGGGAGAGATAAGCCCAACTCCGGCGGTAGAGTGACGAGTGCGGGCAATGGAGGTGGACACTTTGTGACCAGGAAGCTCACCACCTTCACCAGGCTTGGCGCCCTGAGCCATCTTGATTTGCAGTTCGTCAGCATCGGAGAGGTAGTTAGACGTGACACCGAAGCGACCGGAGGCGACTTGTTTGATGGCGCTGCGCATTGTGTCGCCATTAGGAAGAATCTGAGATCTTTCAGCATCTTCACCCCCCTCGCCAGTGTTAGACTTCCCCCCAAGCCGGTTCATAGCGACAGCAAGAGTTGAATGTGCTTCCATGGAGATGGAGCCGTACGACATTGCACCAGTGACGAAGCGGCGCACGACCTCATTCCAGGGTTCGACTTGCTCAATGGGAATAGGGGTAGCATCCTCGAATCTGAAATCAAGGAGTCCTCGAAGTGTCGTGCGCTTAACCTGTTCTCGGGCATTGCGGGAGTAGGCGTCATAAGCGGATTGGTTCTTCTCGCGAACCGCATCTTGGAGGTGAGCGATACCGACCGGGTCGTTGACGTGTGCCTCACCACCGTCTCGCCAATGATACTCTCCAGACTCCGGCATTCCGGCAGGCAAAATTGTCTCTTTGCTCGGCCACGCCCGCTCGTGAAACTCGAATACATCCATAGCGAGCAACTCAAAGTTGGCACCTTGAACACGACTGGCGGTGCCGATAAAGCATTTATCCACTACTTCCCGATGCAATCCCAGAATTTCGAAGATCTGAGCACCTTTGTACGATTGGAGAGTCGATATTCCCATCTTCGACATGACCTTCAGAATGCCCGCATTTGTGGCCTCGCAGTAGTTCTTGATCAATTGCTGCGCCGTCTGGTCCTTTGAACTAAATTCGGAGAAAGGTCATTAAGTTTGATACTCCAGAATAAACATGCGCCAAATCACTCACAGTCCTTCACGGGCAACCTTGTACACTACTTCCATTATCAAATACGGGCAAATCGCATCCGCACCGTACCCGACCAAGACGCAAATATGGTGAACTTCTCTCGCCTCGCCAGTCTCAATCATAAGAGCAACCTTCGCCCGTTTCTTGAGCGATACTAGGTGGTGATGGACACCTCCACAAGCGGCGACAGCGCTGAGCGGAACTCGCTTAGGGCCCGTGGCACGATCAGAGAGAATGATGACTTTCACGCCATCATCGACAGCCTCATTCGCCTCCGCGAAAACACGGTCGAGGGCACGCTGGTACCCTGGAAGACCTTCCCCCTTAGGGAAAGTGATATCGATGGTGCGAGACTCCCAGCGTTTGTAAGCGGCCTTCAAATGTTTCATCGCGTTCATCTCATGAATGGTAAGAACGGGGCTTGGAAGAACGATACGGTGGCATTGCTCGGCCTTCTGCTCAAGGATATTACCCTCGGGTCCAACGTACGATTCAAGGGACATGACAATGTCTTCACGAATAGGGTCGATAGGTGGGTTCGTCACTTGAGCGAAGAGCTGGCGGAAATAGTCATGGATGATCCGCGGCTGCGTCGCCACCGCCGCGAGCGGCGCATCGTTACCCATGGATCCGAGTGCTTCCTTGCCCTCATTGATCATAGGTAGCAGGAGGAGGCTTAGCTGTTCGACTGTGTAGCCAAACGCAAGAAGAACCGGATCAGTGCTGAGCGAGTGCTCATCAATGACTGGGTCGATGCTAGTTGTGCGTTGAACGCGCTTGATGATTTTGGGTACAGTGATATTCTGCCCCTCGACCCACGAGGCGAAGTTTTGCTTGAGAGACGTCGTCCTTTTCAATTCTTTATCATCGACGATACGCTTCTCGACAGTGTCAACAAGAAGCATGCGGCCAGGCTTAAGACGTCCTTTCTGAATGACCTTCTCTGGCTCAATGTACAGTACGCCAACTTCCGAAGCACAGATGATAATGTTGTCAGAGGTGACGACATATCGGCAAGGGCGCAATCCATTTCGGTCCAAGTTCGCGCCGCAGTACCTACCATCACTGAACGCGAAAAGCGCAGGACCGTCCCACGGTTCCTGCAAGCACGCCGCCCACTGGTAGAATGCTTTTTTCTCAGCGTCCATAAGATCGTTGTCCTGCCACGCCTCAGGAATGAGCATCATGACAGCCTCTGGGAGAGTGACAACGCCATTCACAACAAGGAGCTCAAGGACGTTATCGAAGGCGGCTGAATCGGAGCCCCCACCCTCAATGATAGGGTAAAGGAGGTCCAAGTCATCGCCGAAAAGTTCCGAACGCAAATTGCCCTCACGAGCACGCATCCAGTTCTTGTTTCCTCGCACGGTATTAATCTCACCGTTGTGAGCTGCCCAGCGCATAGGTTGCGCACGGTCCCAGCTAGGGAAAGTGTTGGTCGAGAAACGCGAGTGGACGAGCGCAAAATGACTCTTGTACAGTACATGGTTGAGATCGTGGTAGTAGTCGTAAACTTGGCGCGGGCTGAGTTGACCCTTGTAGACAATGTTCTTGGATGAAAGTGAGCAGACGTAGAACCACTTGGCGAGCGTACTAAAAATAGCAAACCAAAAATGGACATTTCACTTAACTATGGCTCCTGATGAATTGAAAGCAAAAGAAACTGGACAAACATGGTGTGCGTTGCGTGCTTTCGAAGGACATATAGTTGTTTCTCAAAACGTATCTCATCGAAGGGACCGTTCTCAGGTTTGTTACCTTGTCCGTAGTGAGCCTTCAAGACGACGAAAGGCTGGAAGATTATTGGTTCCTTGCTAAGAGCGGCTGGTCCAAGAATAGTACGGTCAGTAGGAACCTCTCTCCAACCCAGGACGCGTAGGCCAAGGTCAGAAGCAATATGTTCGAAGATTTGCTGCTGTTTCTTACGCTCCGTCACATCGTTAGGATTCATAAAAACGTTCCCAACGGCGTACTTTCCAACATCAGGGAGCTGGCAGTCAATGTCCCGCTCAACCTCACGCTTGAAAAGTTCATGCGGAATGCCAGTCATGACACCAGCACCATCACCGTCGCGGGTATCGGCACCCACTGCACCTCGGTGAGTCATGGCGCAGAGCAAGCTTCTCGCATCAGATACAATCAAGTGACTAGCTTCTCCGGTGATTTTGCATATAAAGCCTACCCCACAAGAATCGCGTTCATTTTCGTTGGAGTACAAACCCTGGTCAGCGGGCAAGTTACTTGCCCAAGTGCTAGGGTCCATCTTAATCTTACTGTAGCCAGGGAGGGGGTCTTCCTCCTCAAGCTCAGTCTCATCAGGGACGAAGGGATCCTGTAAAGACGACGGAGTGGAGCACGACGACATGACGGAGTTGGAGAGGCTCCGTTGGTCAGAGCTAGAGGCGGAGAATGAACTGTCATGGTCGAGGTGTACATGGTGTGCCTCTCGGCGTTGTGGTAGGACATCGTTGGGGTAATGGACAGAGCTATGGTGAAGAGGTGCAGCGTTATCTAGAGGACGCTGAGAATGATAGACATTGTGGAGAGTGGAGTTCAAGTCTACGACACTAGCCATAGACGAAGTTTTTTTTCCGCGTTGTTGTGGTGGACGTTAAGAGGGGGAAGAGGAGATGGAAAAAATTTCCAACGTGGGAGGTTAAGGAAAAGAGTCAGGAGGATGGAAAAGAAATGTCTCTTCCCCAATGACCTCTCTTTCAATTTAATTACAGGATCGCTTGAGAAACTCAATTTAATTCAGTTAGAATTGTCCCACGGTTTTGACCGGCTGATAAAGAACTCGATTGAGTTGCTAGCGAATTTCTCCGCCATACGGTCAGCTAATCACGCGGTCTGCAATAGGGTCCTTGCTCGTGGTCACGTCCAGAAGAAAGGAAACATGGAATGAAATTATTATTCATCGCTACCAAAACTCCAAAAAAACAGCGGAAATCCAAATCCCCCACGCTCAGAATGCCTGGAAAAGAAGTCGAAGTCAATCCCCACCGACAACGCGAGAATAGTCTATTCAAATGATAAGGGAACAAGATTAAAAAGGGGTCTTCATAAAATAAGCTCTGCCGTTTTAGGCATATGAATGAGAGCTTACCGCTCGTTCTTCCAATGTCAAACGTCGGTACACTCGAGCTTCATCGAGACCGACGACTGACGAAGGTGCTTCGGGATTCGGCCGGAACGTCACAAAATATTGCCCTGTTGGAAGATGATTCTCAGCAAACACGAGGTGCAAGCAACTAACTCAATTGAACTGGTCGAGTCACCGGTGTGCCTGAGAGCGGCAAAAGGATATCTTTGCGCAGAGAACGGCAGCTCACCTGTATCAGTAAAAATCTCTCGGCCCCACCCTGCGAAGCGACGGCTAATACTCGCAATGTTCCACCCATCTGCATCTTGCAAATAAAACTCCCACGATAAGAATGGTGCATTGATGCGGGCAAACTGGACAAAGTTATTGTCATGTCTAATGAAAGCGCCCGGTCCCGAGTGTCAACTTAAAGCAGTCAAGCGCTCGGCACCCTAATAGGCATATCTCAGCAAACGCACCCGGTAAACAAATTGTACCGCCTGCGCCATGCGTGCCATTCCTGTTGTGCTTCTCCGAGGACCATGAGGTCGCCATCTTTTGATAAAGCATTCGGGCCAGCCGTTTTTCGTTGGGCATATATTCGAGAATTTATCCATGAAAATGGACGATGTATCTTGACACCGATGCACGGTTATGATATCGTAAATATTAATATCGGGGGCGCGGTTAAGCTACTCACCCATAAGACGGGACTTCCACTGCTATCCATAATTACAGCACGAAATGGTCGGTGGGTACGAAGAATTTGGCGCGAAAATGTCCCCAAGAAACCCCTCTCCTCTTCGGCCATACTTCAGTCGTTACGTAAAAGCCAAATACTGGTTAGCACACGTTCGTGTCGATGATAGAAACGGCTCCGTCAACTTACTACCCCACATGGTTCCCAGCTGGATCCAGGATCGCATATCGGTTAGCTTGTTCAAATCCAATGAATACATTGAGCATCTCAAGCTGCCTAAACCCCCCCATCAAAGCGTCAGAAGCTGCAGAGATACGCATTGACACAAAATTTTTGAGCACTCACCGCACAACAACAAGAGTGTCATTCTGCAACAATCGTTGTAATCCAACTTCTGCATCCTCCGAGCCAGCAAGGGGTATTTCCTTCACAGCCTCATTATACCCGACATCTGAAACGCTCTCAACTGGGATTGGTTTGATTTCCTCACGTCCGTTTCTGGCTGAAGCAGGGCGGCGAGTACTACGGTCTCGCCAACTAGGTTGCCGGGACCACGCGTACGCCCTCAAATGAGAAAAGCTTTTAGGAAGTCTAGCACTAGTTGTTGGGGAGCATCCCAGGAAATCTGACGATAGATATCGTTGCGCTTGACGTGTAAATCGCAAAAGCATGGACAACTGAAGCGTGGGATACCGCGTCACATCGGCACGTCTCGATACAAACACACCCCAACAAGGTACCACTGACCAGTGATTTAGCATTGACGGCCTTGTGAAACTACGGTACAATAACAAGAAAATAGAATAATGACAAAGTAAGATCAAGGTTAAATAACTTGGGTTTATAGCTTCAAGTCCGTTGAACTCAAGCTTTGGTCTCCCCTCTCTCTTTTTGACACCTTCCCAACCTTCTCTTTTCCAATCACCGTCACACCCCTTCCCTGTTTCACAAGACCATCGAGAGCGACCTCCTTCGCCTCCTTTATATTCTTGGGCCTCTTTCCAAGATCCGCGAGAGCACCAGCAAACTTCTCCTTTTGATGTTTCTTCTTCCTGAGAATCTTCCTGTGTACAGTCCGTTTCTCTTGCGGGGTCAGTTCCTCTCTGGAGCGCATTTCGGATTCAGGAAGGGGTTTATGGATTTCTTGTGGCGCCAGGAGTGATGTGGCGGACATAGCCGCCGGCAGGGCAGACTCCATGGTGACACTGGATACGTTGGATATTGTTTCGATGGTCCCTTTGGGCTAGATATAAAGAGTAGTTTAATTTCTTTTTTCACAAGAACGTAAACATTCAATATTGAACTGACCTGTTTCGGTGTGAAATGAGCATTGCTAAGGGCATCGAGTTTGTAGCATATAGTCGACCACATCTCATCAATCGCTTCTCGCTCCTTGGCCAATTTGCCATCACGATCATCCTCCGGCGCAAGATTGTCTCCCCGTGCAGCCTTGTACTCATCTTCATAGATCTGAGCGAGCGAGCGTGATGACTGTTTGTCTTGAAGTTCGAAGTACTTGGACGGAAGAAAAGGTTTGTCGTCCACTGGCCGCTTGCGAGCGACATCGTCAAACCGCCCCTTGAAAAGGAACATTGTGAGCACAATAACACAACCTAGAGAGGAAAGGCCGATGCACCTCAAGGATACGATCTTTGATGAGATCCTCTAAAGACCTTGTCCTTTCTTCAGTAATCTCAGGAGCGCCACCTCTCCCACCAATAGCATTGTGTTCGAAATCGAGAGTTTCTTCAAGCAAAGAATTTTTTGGCCGGGAACGGGCCGTTGCTTCTCCCATGAGCTGCCAATCCTTTTCGGCCACATTCTCGGCTTCAAGAGCTGCGATCTGAGAAGACAGATCGGTCATGCGCTTCTCGTGCATTGACAAGCGCTCAGCTACGAGCCAGAGCTTAGCGTAACATGCAAATTGGGGATGGTTGCGACATACCAGGGTCAACTTCCTTTTCCTCCCCGTCATCGAAAAGATCACTCTTCAACCTCTGAATCGTTTCAGTCTGCCGTTCAGTCTCGTCGGCATGGTCCTCCTCCTCCTCCTCACCGTAATCATCATAATCATCTTCACCATCATCTTCACTCCCTCCCTCCCCCTCTTCCTCTTCCTCCTCCCCTTCCTCCCCTTCTCCAAAATCATTGTATATTTCTTCGTCCTCACCTTCATCACCGAACTCCTCCATGTCCCAATCCATCTCTTCCCCCTCCCCTTCTTCACTTTCCAGCTCTTCCACTAGTCCGCCCAACGATTCAAGTCGAGCGAAGAGGGCAGATGCTTTTGCACTCTTTCCCTTCCGCGCCTCAATAGTCTTCACACGAACGTCCTCACTAAACTTGACCCCACGAGCGCTTTTCTTTTTGGTGCCTTCAGATGGTGCATCTCCAGACCCGCGTTTCTTCGTTGACCGTGGAGGTACAAAGAAGTCGGCGTACGTTATGTCTGTGCATAGCGGTTAGATGAAATGGGTCGCTGAGACGAGGGATAACATACGGGCGAAACGGTCCACGAAACCCCCCTTTTCCTCATCTTCCTCGTCGAAGATCTCGTTGTTACCAGGATCATCGAACTTCTGGAAGAGATCTATTTCGTCCTCGTCCTCGTCCTCGTCATCCTCATCATCTCCTGCGAGTTGCCCTCTTGAACGAAACAGAGATTCCATTGCTTCCGACTGCATATTGAAGTCATCTATGGAGAAGAAATCATCGTCGAGAGTAGGGTGTCGGCTAGAAGAAGCATGTCGGTTATCAGCACATGGTCAAGCACGAAAATACCACGTACGGTCTCATTTCTGACGAGCGCTTGGTACCAGGTCGGTCAAGGTCAAGGTCGGGTATCTCATCCTCTTCATCCGACCCTCTCCGTATTTTCATAATAGACTCCTCATTCAACCCTGCAGTTTCGAGATCATCGTCCTCGGAACCACTATCTTCTCCATCCTCGTCTTCGAGATTTTCCCCCAAACCAGAAGCCTCTTCACCGAAGCCGTCAACCTCCATCTCGTCACTTGGAAGCCAATCTTCGTCCTCATCATCGTCACTCTCATCCTCATCCTCATCCTCCACCCCCAACTCAGGACCTGGTTCCTGATCTGGATCATCTATTTGCACAACCTCATCCAGGACCTTGGCCAGATTTTTTGTCCGAAGTTCCAATTGCTCCCAAATCTGGTCAGCGTTCATACCAACAATATAGAGTTGGTCAATTGAAGTCCGGTCAAGCACTGTAGATACAGGCTCCACGCTCTTAGGCACTTCAACATGACCATCCTGCACCTTTGACTTCGAGCGAGTTGTGGGTCCCGAGCTTGGTGGCTCTAAGTTAAGGGTAGCAATATGCTTCGCGGCAATGGCCTCGGTTGAAATAGCTTCACAGTGGGACCATGAGGGATGCAAATTTAGAAACCACCCGAGCGAAGAACGTACCGAGGTCGAAGAGAAACTTCGTAGCTCTTAGTGCAGCATCCTGAGTGTCAAGATTGCCCGTCGCCAGTACCTCAGGCTTTTCAGCCAGAATAGCCACCAATGGCTTAAGCTCATCGTAGTGTTCGGCTGTTTCCTGAGAAGTAGCCATTTCGACCACCGCTACTTCGAAGGGGAGGTTGAGGCCAAGCCAGACTGAGGCTTGGAAGGGGTAATGCCAATTGACAATTTTTGCCCGGACAGCCACTGAATTCCCACGATTGCTGGGCAACACCCTATCTTCCAGGCCACTGCACTCTATCTATAGAGGCTGCTTCAGCCTACCACTGCACATGAATTATCTTGAATGCCCAGGGAACCAGGCTCGAACGTGAAGGGATGCGGGGATGCGAAGACATCAGAAGGTTCAATAAATACACAGTCCGCCCCTGCCATCAGCCAAAACGACCTCTATGCAGCCGTCACTCGTTCTCTCCTGAGAGGATTAGCCCTATACTTCAGCCGACCTGTTAGGCTCTTCCGTCCAGTGAAAAACAGCGGGTGGACTTCATTGAAACAAGCGGCAGCCCGCGATGGCGTGTCCCTCTCACCGAGTTATGTGGTGAACCTTGTGCAGCAACACGGTGTGAGCTTTCCTCATTCACTTGTGTATTCAAGTAAACGTTTATGATTTTTACCCCATTATCATGAACAGATATCAGTTATACCGCGTCATTTTATTCCCCCTTTAATCATTAATTCTGCTCTCGGGACCATTCTCTTCGCCACGTACTCCGCGACGAATTCCATTCTGACCGACCTGTATCCTTCTGCTTCTACCATTGGTAGGTGATAATTTATTTTATTATATGCATTATTGACTTGTTCCTAGCTACCTCGGCTGTTTCTGGATCTGTCGCAGGATTCGCGCAAGCCCTCGCCGGTGCCCCCGCGGACAACGTTCGTTCCTTGATAGAACGTGGGGTTTACCACCCAGAGACAAGCGTGAGTGGATGGAGGCATGCGTGGAAAGAGGTCTTTCGGGGCACCAAGCCTCTTCAGTCAGCAGAGGCTAGCTCAAATGTGAGAGCAAAAGAGCAAGCTCGCCAAACACACCAAGAGATCCGGGAAGTCAGAAGCTGGGTCAAAGATGTCAGAGAGATGGCCGGAAGAGGTATGATCAGCCTGCCCATCCTCATTTGCTGCTTAGCCTTTCTTACACAGGGTGGGAGGGCTGGGGTTGGGGTTGCGCGAAAGATGTTCTCGGTACGCTTCATGAAATGAGTCCACTTTGAAGGTTGGCTTGATTTCTTGGCGCCACAGGATTTGGACTGTTCTTTGCCACTTTTGACGTTTTCCGACGTCTTGCCTTACAAGCGTCCACGCTCGTTGACCGGCGACACACAATAGACGACACGAATGATAGGAACAAGTTTTCAACCTCTGCACGCGTCGCTCAGGGGAGTGTCCTGGTTTTGGGCGGGGGTACGTGTGCAAAATTATTTTCTACCCTCGCTGACGCTCTTGCCTTAGCGCTCGCGGGAATTGGCTACGAAGTGATTTGCCGTCCAATTGACAATGTTCGACGAGAATTGCATACACAACAACTTACACGAAACAGCTACCTAAAGAAATCATCCGTACTTCGAACTCACTACATTCCGCCCTTGATATTGTTGACTAAACACATTCTCAAAACACAAGGGCTGCGAGGTCTGTTCTCACCGCCCCAGGCTTTTCATGTAGCGGAAACATCCTCTAGCGTCGAAAAATCGTTGAGCAACCCCAAGTCTTGGAGTTCACGGTTGTATTTTGTGCTGCGCACGTTCGCTCGGGTGGGTCCATGGGGTGTAGGCTTCCTTGTGTGGCAAGGCATCAGTAGAGAGATCCAGTAACACAAGTTCTCGGATGGTCCCAATCCGTCCCTTTCCAGCCATCATAATGCCTCTCCCCTTAGATGATAGAATATGACATACTAGCTGCTATCTATAGCTACAGCTACATTGAGAATGACCAATAAGGTGTCTTGCGATAATACTACAAGATGTACAAGATGATTGAAACATTCGAAACGAGCAATTGTGTTACAGAGAATAGTAAACAAGAAATGGGTAACATGCAAGACTGCATCACACTAGACAAGGGGGCCGACTAGTTGGGATGTCTTCCGGCAGAGGAACGATTGAATGTCGATAGGAACGAACATCGCAAAGAGGTTTTGGATGTGCACATCCAATCCGAAGAGATACACAGAGCGAGCATGTCTAGGAATCATAAATAATGAATGAGGAAGGTGGTAAGGTCAAAAAGTTGAAGCCACACTTACGAACTCTGAACGATTCGTTGGATTAGCTCGAAACACGTTTGTTCGTCCACTGCCCATAGCAGTGATAGTAAAGCGAGCCTCTGACGGAGAGTCCCTATGTCACCAGAGTATAAGAATACATGCACTGTCATCAGCCACAAGAGTACATGCCATCAGACTCCAGCTTCACCACGGAAATAGTCCGTTTCCTCCAAGGGCCTAGTCCAAGGTGGATTGGATGTTACACGACCACCCGATAATTACCAACACGAACCAAAGATGGCTGATGACACTTGAATGCCTAGGTGCCGAATCTCCGCCGCCAGAGTACGAGCGCTGCTTTGTCTAGCAGAGTCAACTATGCTGCTGAGGCCATGCGTCGCTGTGAAGGATTTCGGATTCAATTACGTTCCAACGCCTTAATCCCCTGGCTTACGCTGAAAACCTGACTCGTCACAGCCCGAAATGAAGATGACATGCGAATGTGCATCCCGAAGCATTCGTGTCAGAGCCTGTATCACCGCAAGAGGTTGAAATACACAACGCGCCATGGCGTCTTGTAAAACAATCTGGCTCGTCTGTATAAGGCGGCTTGGTGGGGTGAGACTTCGTTTTCCTCTCCATCGTACACCCCCTTGATGATCAGATGGAGACGCGCCTCCCGGGTCACTCTCGGGCATTGGGGAAATTGGGGGAACAATAACGGCGCCAAGACGTAGCGTGTGCCGATCGCAATAAGCACGGATTGTGTCAATGGCTCTCTCGCATTCGTCTGGGACAGCTGCATCGAACACAAGGGGGACAATGGTGCCCACCATCTGAGGGCTTGATTGTTGGCTCCTCGCTCTCCTGCTCTGCCAGATAAACAACAAAGGCGAAACTGATGAGCTAGACGACGTTCCTCGAGGCGTCTGTACGTCTGCAACGTGCATCAATAAATGAGCCAGGAGAACGATATGTGGCCTAGTCATATGCGGCACTCACCATGCGGGAGGCAAGCGAAAACCGTGTACCCCGCAGAAGCGAACTTCAAGCTAAGCTTTCGCCCAATTCCTGGAATTCCCACCGAAGAGTTTCAGACTAGCAGGGTGCGAACACACGGCTTCACAAACCTTCCCCCCCACTCATAATAACAACCGCTGTCCGTTGTGGGGGAGTGGCAGGGGAATACCTTTGAAACAATATGAAACTCATCATGTTGAAAATGAGAGAATGAACGAATTCGAGTTGCCACGCGAACCACAGATGCAAGGCCGAAACCGTTCGGGTGATAATATTGCCCACATATTGAGGAACGGTAGGTCGAGAATTACCGAATGGTGACCGAGAACGCGAGGTTGGACCGGAGATATCACTGGATGCGTACATTCTAGACGATCTGAGCCACTTGGTTGAGACTTGGAGCACCACGGACGGCGAAGGCCTTCCGGCTAATTAAGATCCCGAATGAATTGTTCGCGACTGACATCCTGGCAGACAATATTCGCTCTATGACCTGACCGCCCGCCTCAACACCGGCAGAGCCTGCGTCGTATCTTCCAACATCCTTGTTCTCCTGAGCCATGCTTTTCTGTCCGACATGCGCAAACATGCTCATAATATCCATCGACGGAGGGAGCACGAACCATTGGGCGTGTCAAACTTGCCCTTATAAATTTCCAATAAAGAACCGAGTGTGTACTAAGGATTATGAGTTTTAGATTCCTATGACGGTACCTTCTGAACAGATGAGCAGTCGCTCGAAACTGAAACGGAAAGCTGTTGACGATGTTCTCGGGACGGCAGAATTTGGCACAGATGAAACAGATGGTGTGTATACTTTATTTCCACTCTCATGCTTTGGTCTTTTGCATCAGAACGCTGAGCATTCGGACGACAGCTGTTTGCCCTAAGTGTGAGAACGATCGTGCATTCTTCAAACAGATCCAGATTCGTTCTGCGGATGAGCCTATGACTCGGTGTGAGTCCATTGTCCTTGCCCCATTCACTGCGCTCATCACTTTATAGTCTATCGGTATATGTTTCCCGGTATATGCCTTACGTGCCATAATCTCACTCCTCAATTCGGGAATCAGGTGCACGAATAGCGCATGTGGAAATGTTTGGAAAGAAGACTGACCAGCCAAGTCGATCATGCCAACTATCTTGTACATCATCAAGGAGGCTGCGATCTATTGTTCTATACCCCAACCTAACTTTACTCCGGTTCCCTGTTTTCCAGTAATGCGATCATTTCCTCTTCGTCCCCGCCCAAAGGAACGCCGTGTGGCTCCTCCAACAAAAAACACATCCCGACACTCACAAAAGTAAGAATAACCAATATAAGCCATACCAACCCCCCGCCGAGTATATGATGTCTCTCCACAGAGAACGCAAAAAGGCTGGTCGATCCCGCCGGCCCGATGGCACGCACAAGAGACGCACCAGTCTGGGCAAATCCATTTATTCCCCCCAGATGTGCCTTAGGTGCCGCTTCTGTGATGAGAACAAAAATTGATCCTGTATAATGTATTTCAGCATGAGCGGTAAACCTTCTAATTCTTACCGACAACATACCGAACCCAGCGTTAATCAGTCCCACACACAAAATCTGAGCCGCCAACACTACCCAGACCGTCCATGGCAGGTGGGAAGCTGTTCCGGAGATTTCTGGAGTTGAGATGGCGGAGGTCATCATGGTCATAATCGGAAAGGCCGAGAATACCACAAAGTAACCAGCTATGGCAATAGTGAAACTCATCGCAACTCCAAAATGTTTCTGCATTTTGGCGGCAAGGAGTATGATCAGGATGATGGAGACTGCACCTTGGATACAAAGTACAATTCCTATTCGCCTTGGATCAAATCCTAACCCCCCATGTCCGAGAGGTGTGGAAAGGTACAGAGGAAGGAGGACTGAGTGAACAATGTATAACAGGCAGAGACACCAATAGTTCACCCCTGCAACAACCACACGTCGTGTGAGTATGGTGCGAATGCTGATAAAGGATGGATGAGCCGACGTGGAGTGCTCAGAGCATGAGTGAGGGGGCGATCCATGTCTTATCGCCTTTACATTGGTCTATCAATATGCAGCTCAATGAAATGCCAGTTCACAAGGGAAAACGAGGTGAGACAAACCTCCCTAAAAGCCACTGTTGACAAGATGACCCCTGTTAGGGGAAACATCGCAGCAGTGGCGCAAGGCAACAGATAGGGAAAGCTTTCAAAAAAAGGACTTGATTTGAAAACTCGGGGGAAATGTTTGTTCGGATTCGAAAGGTACCCTCCAATCAACCCGCTGGAAAGGTTGAGTGGTCCTGAAATGATGTAAGCAATGTTCGATCACCTACCCGATCGCTTCGCCCAGCGGCCAGCAAAGCGGCATATATCGGAACGCATCTTGGACATTCGTGCTGTCCGAGAGTTCACCGATGCTGCTCTTGATAACACCTATGTTCCCATTCAACAGTCCCGCAAGGCAACGACTGATCACGACTGTTGCAAAAGTACGAGAGAACCCAAAGGAGAGGATCGAAAGAGACACCCCAAAAAGGCCAATGGTGATAATGGGTTTCCTTCCATATTTATCTGATAACCTCCCCCACTGAAAGATAACAAGGAATTCTGTGAAGAAAAAGGATGACTCCTTGAGGGGGGGAGATTAATTTCATCCAGCTGCGAGAGATAGGGTATAGTACTGACGATCAAGCCGGCATAATATCCAACTCTCTTAGGATCTCCATTGGTGATACCTAAGCCAAGGACGAGCTGAATCGGGCGATATCAGAGACGTCAGGATATTGTTTGTCACAAATAACCGACCTCATTTACGAATGGATAAATGACGGAACCAACAATTGGCCTGCAAAGATAAGGGCGTCAGAGCAGTCCCAAAGCACGGGGCTGACATTCCACTTTCTCGCATAGCTGAAGAAACAATAGTATGGCAATCTGACCGCTATGGGGGCATCAATCGGTGGAGGAAAGTGGATGAAGAGGCACAAACGTTGGCAACGGCGTTTTTTGACCCGGTGGAAAATCGAGATCCTTGGGTTGGCTGGGGTCTTCGAGGGCTTTGGAAGGCACTCCCGTCTCTTTCTCAGGTCCCTGTTCCAAAGGATGACAGCCGATCGGGGTGTCCATCGGTCACCGCGTTAACGTTCACTGGAGAGCAAGAGATAAAAAAAAAAGATAGCCCCTTAAAGCTGTAGGTCGTCCAGAAACAGAAACTCCCATTGTACCAGTTATGGGGTATCACAGAGAAACAGAAAATGGTCAGAAAAAATGAATTATCCTGAAAGCAACATAGGCAGGTGACCAGCCTCTCTTTAACGGGAAGAGAAAAGCAGCAGGGATCGTGGATGAAATCAGGGCTCCGAACTGGACCGAACAATGTAAGGGCACGCCTAATTTTGGGGCTCCGCACATTCCGGTCGAAATCATCTAAGGCTAAGTACGGACGCTTTACGATGGGCCAGCTTTGCGATTGGTTCGGAGCACCTAGCTGTCACACCTTTAGTACTGAGAGGCGGCGCTTATGCCGAGAGCCTAGGGGAATCATAAGGGCTCCGAAATCGGAATGAACATAATAATTAGTCATGAAAAAGAAATGATGTTATGAGTTACTCACCGGTGTAATAAGGGAATGTACGTCGAATGTCAAAGGATGGACGAATGATGAACGGATCCGCAGTATGACGTCACGGGGCGCGCAGCGTTATGGCTGGGCACCGACTTGTCCGTCCAACAAGAAATTTCATTAACAATTCGACGTTGCCGAGGCCCTGAGTTTCGGCACTTTTCCAAATTCTGGAGCGGGATTAGCCTTGCAATCTTTCTTGTCCGCATGCCTTATCTGATAATTATTGCCATCAGCTAGGCTCCGACTGCAGGCGTCGCCGCAAAGTTCAAGTTTGTACCATAGAAATGCTGATACCATCCCATCAGCAGTTGTTTTACAAGACAGTCATCATTTAGAGAGTGCACAAAGTATACGCCTCACTTTCACTCTATTGGATTAGAAACATCCTGGATCACGAAGGCCAAATTCCACGCTCCTCCGCCAGAGTTCGTATGTGTGGACTAACGTAGCCACGTGTCTCTAGCTCCTCTCGGGGGAGGAACGCGGCTCCTTTGATCTGACCAAGACAGGCCTATGCCAAAATCAGGTACATGCTGCTCATGAGCGTTGGACTAGCGATTATGCAAGTGGGCTTGATACTCACACCAGATCCGCACCAACATTCGAAGGGTTGGTCCATCTCCCATTCTGTGCTTGGGTAGAAAAACGACAAAGCGTCCCCCTTCGATATTGTCTTCAAAGCCCTAGAATACCAATCTTCTCGATTCGCAGAACTAAGATCAAACGCAATGTTTGGGTCGCAGGAGTGGTTGACTGCGCGTTTAATGTTAATGGATCTCCTGACGATTTACCGCACAAACATGTTTACCGTAAACCAAATCTGAATTGAGTCGGATGTGCTGATTTTTTCCATACTGGATGGTATCCCATGCGTTCTCGGCATTCGTTACTCCTTCTAGCCTGCAAATTTCTTCACCTGCAACAAAATCCTAGTGGGACCGATGAGCGCACTGATTGGATGGCATCAGTTCCCTCGGTCAGTGTCCGCACCCGGGTCGCTTTGAGACTTGAACTATGGAACCCAGGAGCAAAATGCACTCGAAAGAGATGCGGGTGAGAGGGTATGTAGGTGACGTTGTCCTGGTGTTCTAGACCCATGATGTGAGGGATCGACAGGATCCTGATCTTCGGCTCCGGGTTTTTAAATCTATCCGGTGGTCGATTCGGCATTGAGCGGATCAGCGTGGGTCCTAAACGCGCATCGCGGCGTGCGGAGTGAAGGAGACGCAGAGCAGCTCGACATTCATTAGATCTTGGCGATAGACAGGACCTTAGCGAAACCTTTGCCAGTGATCAGTGCTCGGAATGCCCCTGCTTTCTACCAGCCCTTGCGCCCAGCGATCTAGGCCGGACCCAGCCTCTATATACCAGCGATCACCATACATCCCAGGCACCCTTCTATATAGTCCTTCCTGTTCGACTAACGCATTTGTCACACTCCACCCGAAGGTAAGCACAAACAGTTCTGGAAAAGGCCTTCGTGCCAAGATTATTCGTAGAGTCTGCCGGTGGAACTCTTCTCTCATATCCTGTCATTCCTCGATAACCATACCCTCGCGTCGATATCGCCCACAAACTCTTTCTTTCGCTACGAAGTAGATTTTCACATCTACACAGCTGCCACTTTGAAATCCCAAACCCAGTTTAGTCAGTTTGTGTCTGCTGTCGCCACGAATGAATGGCGCTGCTCCCGCGTGCGAAGCCTTACGATGAAGAACATCACTATCGATAGAATCAATGAACTCTTGTTGCGCCTCCCTAGCCTGATCGATCTCGAAATTTCATCCAGCCGTAATATAAAGGGGTTCCGTCCTTTCACCCCCACGAAATTTCCATTCAAACTTCAACGTCTCTGCTGCGACATCGACCCCACATTGCATGATGCCTTTCTCGAATTTCTTTCAACTCAACCCCACATTACCGAACTTGACATTGTTATCACAAAGCCCCTCAATTTTCATTTGCCTTCAAATGCGCTGCCCAATCTACGGGCCCTCCGCTGCCCTATTTCTCACATCCAAATATTTGTCCCTGGCCGCCCAGTCACACACATCGAGATTCAAGGGTTTCTGTGTGATTCCTGGAGTTTGCGACGCTGTAGTGTTACTGCCTTGAAATTGTCCTCAGGGCCCTTGATTTCTTTCAAAGGCAGTTTGACTAGTCGATGCAAAAATATTATTGCTACGGAACTACCTCGGGTCAAGTGCATCAACGAGGTAGTCCGTTAGTTCCAGCATGGACCTTTATTAACATGTCGGTCTCCACCTTGCAATGGCTGATGGTGGGCCCCAAAACATTCGGAATATGCGGGCTTGTATAGGATTGTAGGATTGATTGGTCTGACTGTTCTCGGCGAGAGGAGCACTGTGACACGAATCTGCATTATCCAACTCTGATCTGCGGCGCATCGGGACGGGGGCCTGATCGGAACCGGTATGCTGGGGTTCTCGTGTCGACTTTCACTGTTTGCTCCCCTCGAATCTCGATATTTGTAATCTATTCATCAGAGAGCCGGCAGTAAACAAAAATTTATGGCTATGGACCACCGGCTTGATGGGCACCGGATTGAACGTCCTTCCCAATCAAGGGGGAGGCGCGTCACAGGCACCTGTGTTCGTTGCCAGAAGACCGTCGCACTTATTAGCTTGGTTCTCACTGAGTTGGTTTTTCCTCTTGCGGATTTTTGCAAATCTTGTGCGAATCCACTACATCTCGTTTCATCGCCTTGACACTGTGGGTGTCTTCATGTTTAATTTTGTTCAGGACGGGGCCAGTACCATGCCTTGTGGCCAGGTGTTCAGCACAGCGATTGACTCAGTCAGGCAACATGGCCATGTCAAGGGAATTGGGTCGATTTGTTCATAGTGCCATAGTGGGGCCGGGCAATCACTGAGATACGCTCGGTGGTCAGGATCAACTCTGATGAGCGCAGTGACATCAAGTGGTGCAGTCGGGGATCATCCTGTGAATGTGTTATTCAAAAAGGACCAGCGTGCTTCTAGGGACGCTGTGCTTGAAGGCTGAAAGTTCTTTCCGGCACGCATCCCTTTCATTGCTTGATACGTACGTGAGAACGACACTCTTTGACATTGGAAAGCCAACGCCAATCCTCTCTAATGTTGCGAGACTTGCGATACGGCTGCACCTTCTCACTGCAAGATGCCTCCAACGCACACAACATCAAAACTATTATCAAAATAAACCGAGGCACCAAACGACTTGGCTGATATCAACAATGGGGCTTTCATACCATCCATCTAGTCATGTCTTTTCTAGCTTGGAGGGAGTAAGACGAGGGATAAGATCCTTCTGAATCCCACCGATCGCCGTACCAGAGTCGTCCATGACGGAGTTACTTGGTGAAGACGGTACTCATTGAGGGCTGGAACCCTAAGCTCTCTCAGAATCTCGTGCATGAGTTGCGTTCCCCTTCGAGGTCAAAGGGACAACGAGATCGGGGAGTTCAGGCTCGGGACGAGATACGAGCAAGGAGGCTCGGCATCGTTATCGAGAATCCAAGCGGATCCCATGCATGCACGCGCCCGTAACGAATTCCTTTACATGGACTCCGCTGACAAAGCACGTTCACTTGCAACAATCATTCCAACAACTTCACGATAATTGTCGTAATTTGGGGTCGGATACGTATGGAATCGGCCATATAGGCTCGCCGCAGTATGCGCAGGTACTCCAAGTTGAGATCACTCAGTGCCTCTCTGGATTTACGAACACCGATTCACAGAACTCGTTGAACCTGAAAGCAAACTTCGCAGATTCAGATCGGGCCGAAGCGGAAGCGTCGAGGTCTCCGGTTCACATCGTGAATCCTATGTCGGAACCCTTCATCGATCATACGACGAATGGTGAAAACAGTCCCAACCCAAAGCCCCAAGCCAAAACAACTCGCATTTCAGGACGACAACAGACTGATATCGCGAACGCCGAAGGGAGCTCCTCGAGCAAGCGTCGTTCTTCTGGACCCCCGCACTTGTCGATGACAAAACGGTCCTTCTCCGAGGACGATATCCTCAAGTTCGCGCATGGGGTTGATGATTCAAGCTTCCATCTGCCTCCCCGGAAGAGCCCCGAGCGCTCCTCAAAGATTCTGAGTTTCGTACTTGTCGGACAAGCATGCACTTGTTGTCGTTAAGTGTAGAGGCGACACACATATATATCGCGGTTTTCCCTGTACACAACCAGACAAAAATCATTCTTGGTTCCTTCGAATGATCTGGTAGTTTCGAGAGCTCGTCTAAAAGTACTCCTGAACGAAAAAGTCAAGAATAAAGCACATGGGACAAACAATCCACTGCTTGTTTGGGTCGGGTGTTGACTTGAATTGTATGGAGATTTAAGGTCATTGCTATCGTCTGCAGTGGACACTTTAATTAGTCATGGCCTAACGGCGTGAATACAAAACTCACGAACCGCGAAGCGGGAGAGCATTTTTACATCATTTATGCTTTGAATTAAAGAGCCAGATGAGAATATCCTCAAGGGCCCGCAACTCCCAAGTGAAAGTCTTTGAGTGGAAGGATTACATCAGGCGGAGCTTGTCTCGTCCACAGTTGGAGTGGCCGCAGCATGGTAGTATATACATTATTACTTAGGTAAAGATTGTTTGATGATGATGTGAATCTCTCTTATTATCCCGCGGCCAAGGTTGATTGACCGAGAAAGTATGAGACATCAAGTATCGGATGGTATGGAAGAGAATGAAGTTGTGCAGCCCCCCAGGTTGCATGATTTGCTGCTGTGTACCCATGGTTGTGTTGGTGTTCGATTACACGGTTCTTGCGGGTGGATTGAGGCAAGCGGTGCTTTCGCGGATGTGTGTCACAGTTAGCTGATGGATGGATAAAGTGGCCGCGCTGACTGTTGGTATCCTGCTCATGCATAGAGGCATGTGGCAGAGAGGCCATTGGTAGAAGGGGCAGTGGAGAGAAATGAAATTGTTGGGGTGACGGCAGGACATTCCTTTCGGCCCGGGCTCACGGGGCTACCGTTGGCGGTGCCACTATCGCGCTTCGTCACGGTAAGGGGTAGTGGAGAAGACGAGTAGAAGAGGGTTGGAGTGATAGCGGGACTTGGACCCGCACTCCTCCGGCCAGTGCTCTCTGGGCTTACGGGGGGCACCATTGGCGCCACCACCGTCGCACCTCACAATCCCAAGAAGTAGTGGAGGAGAGAGAAAGAAGGGCTAGGGCAATGGCAGGACTCGGACCCGCGCTCCTCTGCCAGCCCCCTCTGGACTTACGGAGGCCACACTATCGCGCCTCATCGTCCCAAAAGGTAGTGGCGCAAAGAAAAGGAGGGTTGGGTTCACAGCGGGATAATAACCCACAGTTTTCGCATTAGTTTAAACAGGGGCACCGCATGAAGGTTAGGTTCGTGCCGGGGTTTGCTGTAATAGCAGAACTCCCCCTCAACTTACATGCATCATCGAGGCTCGTATGTATCGCAAGCGAAAGCATCAGTTCCTGATCTCAAGGCGGTCATAGAGAAAAGCAACGCATAGACAACGAACAAGCAATAAGGCCGTCCTACTATTTGGGAATTAGTGGTGTCTCTGTTCCTGGAACAGCGGTTCTCAGCACCAGATATTCACTAAATCCTGATGATCATTATCGCAGGACCCCACCGCAATAGCGTCAGTACCTGAACTTTTGCGTGCCATCATTGGATGATAAGGATCGCGGACACGACCTCAAGATTTGTTTGACAAGGCCCGCAGTTGGAATTACCATTCGATTATTGGTAATACCATACCGGTGGTAACAATGATACCCATCTGAGATGGAGGATTAGACGGCGCCGCATACAGCGCGAGTCAGGTGCGAGAATTACGTTGTGGGTGCCAAGGGATAGGAAAAGTGAGAAGGATGAGCGTATCCCAGTGACGCCCGAATCGAGAATGGCTGCTTCTTGCTCGTGTGCATCTGTTCTGGCGTGGTGGGGGGTCTGGACTTTGAGGGAATGCTTTTTGTCCAAGTCCTCGAGTACCACGAATCAGATGAAACGAGAGGTACAGAAGGGGAGAACGAGGAGGAACAGGAACAAGCTGGATCTCAACAAAGGGCAAGGCAGGATGATTGATGATAGCGTGATAAGCGGTGGGGTAAGGTCCAGAGGGTGTTTTCGTGTCCGATCATCGTGGCATTCGTATGGGAGGCCCAATGGTACGTATGACCAAAATGTTAACCCGAGCACTTTCCCCATTTTATTGTCACCGTAGGTTGTCTGGTCATGGCGCGGGACGAGTTAGAGCGGGTAGATTAGTATAACGACATCTGTTCCAAGGCGACATTCAGCTCTGCGAGATTTCTGGATGGATTTGTCCACTGTGGGAATACATACAGAGCGACTGTACCGCGTGATTCTGGTTATTATTGCACCAGGTTGTCTAAATTGCGGCTCGGGATAAATTTCCGTCGGGATGATGATATCTTTCCCAAGACGACGTCCGACTTGTAAGACAGTTTCCAGTTCAACTTTCCACTTCGCCATCGCCGTCCTCGAGGTATGCTGTAGCTCGATAAGCTTCAGATTTCGACTCGATGGAGAGTGCAGGAAGCGCATGAATTCACGCGGCCCAAAATAACTCCGCCAAATTAGGGTGCGCAATATGCGAAGTGTTTCAGGCGGTTTGGAGAATGAAGAGAGTGGAATTGGACTGAGGAGCGAGAGCTCTTCTAAATGTGGGGAGCTTTGGAAAAGTGCACAAGGGAGTTCGGAAAAATCATGCCATTCCCATATTTTGGTGATAGGGAACTGGTCTGAGCCGACCGGACGACAGGTGAGAATCAACGTCCTGAGATTGGAAAACGCTTTGGTCGTTTGTATCATCCATAAGAAATCCTTGGGCGTTAAATAGTATGGCCGCTGCACTTCTAGCACACGTAAATGGGAAGTAACACTCTCATCTTCCCCAACACATTCTGTACTTTTAAGAAGCTCAAGCATATGGGGTAATTTGGGGCCTGACGTTTTCTTAAGACGGATTTCTGAAAGTCGTGGAAGAGAAGGGAGGCGCGAGATGGGAGTAAAAGGCCGGCGGAATGTGGACATAGGAGTGATTGGATCCCATTCATAAATAATCAAGGTTTCTAATGTCCGAGAAAGGTGCTGGAGAGCACAGCGCAGCCCGTGTGAATAACACCCACTCGTCCACATAAAACGTTTTATGGAGGTTGAAGAAGCGACGACAGTCTCAAAGTTGTCATTAAACTGGGCGAGTTCGGCAAAGGCATCATCGCACCAGCCAAAACTCTCCAAGCCCATCAGGTGCGAACATGATGCGATAATTTCGTTTATCAGTATAGCCCTCTGATTGAACCGAGTCAGCTGATCGGGGAACTTGTCAATGAGAGATGGTCGGTTCTTTAAGTGACGGATTCGAGAATCGAGGATGATGGTTCGAACGAGGTTCCCATGGGACTTTAGTGATTCGCGGAGAGAATATACGGATGCTTCGGTGCAGATGAATATTGCGATTTTACGATAGAGGCCACGCATCACAGGGTTGACCCAATTACAGGAGACGAGAGCGAGAGATGCCAAAGCGGCACGTTCCTGGATGTGACTCGTCACAAATTGACGGAAAGAAGATGTGTAGCCATCATCCCCGGGATACAAATGACACGGGATGAGATAGTGAACAATTTCGTGTATAATATCCGAAGGGAGTGTGTTCCAGGATCTGGATGCACGCAATGGACCCCTCGCGTGGGCGTGATGTTCTAATCCTCGTCGCAGCTCCTTGGCCATGACGCGCCAAACCCTTAACGCCGACGCTTGGAACTGGATCAGGCCAAGTAGGACTCCAGCTTCTGTGACTACGTAAATATGATGCAGAAAGGCCAACTGTGCTGTTGGTCTCTCGTCAATTGCCGTACGGGAAGGGCAAGTGCCGACTTAATCATACCAACGCTGTTGATATTATATTCGGTTGTAACTTCGATCGCCCGTGCTGTCTTCAGAGGACATATATGGTTTGCTGCCAGTTTGACACAACGGGCCTTGTTTAGGTCAAGACGACGGGGGCCATTGCATTGATAATCATTCCTCCAACCTGAGGATTTCCGTGTATTCCTCAACCTCAAATAAGGGAGTACTTATATGATCAGGCTGACCATTGTTAACATGTCTTCTACTTGTACATGATTTTGCATGAAAGAAAAGGACCGTCAATAATGCCGGCAATACTACAGAGCCAACTTCTGAAAGCTGCCGCATACTATATACTCCATGAAAGAAATTTTCTCTTCCGTATGATGTGCTTCTGATTTGATGATCGAACATGAGCCCGGGTGCATACGGGCACTTCATGATCGGAACCCAACCCCTGCAACATTTCTTGCTGCCATCTTCCCTATCTGCCATGTCGTCCCAAGCACAGCCCTCATCTCTTAATAGCCCAACTCAAATATTTCAGACTCGATTACCCGCTGTGGACCAAGGTCGCCTTGCAGGCGTCCTGGAGAGACAAAGGAAACAGCATTCTAGGTATTTCGGCATCGGGAGGCCTGCCAACGAGACAATACTTTATGGCCCTGTCAACGCCATTGTGAATGCTGTATTCCCAGAAAATAGTTTATACAGGCCTATGCAGCAGTATACACTAGAAGATGGGAAGCGGGATCAACGCGAACTGCTGCGACCTGACATTACCGTAGTAACTGACACAGAACTTTTCGATCAAGACTCGGATTCCCTCACTTGTTTGGTGATAGAGGTGAAGAATAAGCCACTTTCTGCTAAAGATAGGAAGGAGGACACAAGGAAAGCGGTGGATCAACTCTATCGATACATGATCGATGCCTATCAAAAGAGACGTTGTCCGGATGTGCTATACGGCATTGCCATCGTAGGCTTTCGAATGTACCTGTACCAGATGATGGGCATAGGTGCACCGATGATTCATGTCGAGTTGGGATTTGCCCCAAATTTCCTAGACAACAGCGCAACCGGGCGTTGGATGGAAATTCGCAGATTGGTTGACAATGAAGTGCGTACGAAGTCAGTTACGTGGCCGCGTGCAACTCGCTCTCTTAACAGCAGGGTGGGTGTGGCCCAACAAGATGCTGACATGGAAAGATCCCAAGATACGATGGAAGATCTCTTTGAAGATACCGGGGCGTTGAAATTCCCTCCAATGCCGGAACCCAAAGACCCCAATGTATTTAGTGCCGCGTCTTACCTGCCAGGCTTTAGCCCTGCAAACACCGATTCTACTGGGCCCCATGAAATCGAGAGCCCAATACAACTTCGTTCCGCAGATCGAGTTGGGGAAACTCTCTCGTACATTCCGTTCTTTGATTCCCCTGCCTCGAGCAACTTGAGCAGCGATCACCCAGTTGGCGGGACACCACGTCTCCCCGGCAGTGCCCAACAGATGTCCACCCCCCAGCCAGGCCAAATATGGCCTTTTCACGGGATTCAATCCATGCCTGCCGCTTACTCAGGTGGAATGCCACTCACTCCGGGAGCTTCCTCAGGCTCTGTGTCGCAACCCATCGGGACACCACCATCCTCTCCGAATCTCCCCATACCTCCATTGGAATCCCCAGAATCACCACTCCATCGCTTCTCAACACAAAGGAGGCAGTCGCAGATAACTAATCATGTTAGCGCAATCGGCATCCTTGTGAGAGACCAGGAGCAGTCCTCTGGTACTGGACGTCAAGATCAACCTGAAGAGGACCAAGTTCCTCAAGGTGGCGCTAGTTGGAACTCGAGCTATGCTGCTAATGCGCCTAGAACACCTGAACCAATCGGCCGACGCACCATAACGGACTGGCACGCCATGTCGCCTTCACATGCGCCTTCAACCAGCAGTCAACCACGTAGCTTCCCGACACCTAACATTGCTTCGCACAGCTCGCGGTTCCTTCACGCATCTGAACAAAATGTCGCCAATGGCAGCCCCGATACGCCGAATATTAGACGAAATGTTGGACTAGCGAGTTTATCGCTCAGTCCCGTTGTACGTGAACTAGAATAGATTAGAAAGTAATCACCTAGCGAGTTTATCGCTGGTGGACTAATGTTTAATACATGATTTAAAACATGATATAACCAACATACCTCAGTCCCGTTGTACGTGAACTGAGGGAAAGTTGGGTTGTCCAAAAAATTGGGGTTTTATAGTCAGGCGCTATGAATGCGCACTGACTTTGGCACGGACGCCACCAAGAAAGGCAATAGGTGTAAATCTAAACGCCACACGACTCAACATCACCAAACGTGAGTTGGTCATAGCGAACACCATAAAACCAAGAATTCTAACACCGAACCCCTCAACCATTACAAGTCGGAGGAATGATCAGGGCAGGCGAAGCGATGCCCAACCAAACCACCCCGATTTCCGTGGAAGATAGGTCGCATCATGCGTAGCAAGGGGGTTAGTGTCATCACACGATTGCTGAACACGATTGCTTGTAGATCCAACAAGCGCACGAGCTCGCAGCATAATCATCTCTTTGTGCAATGGGGCCAAAAGGTCCTGATGTCTTACTATGTCCATGAGCATTGTGTTCTCTCTTGTATTGTTGTTTAGAGGACCCAAGCAGGGATCGTGTTTAGTTGGGTCTCCTGCGCGTTACGCACAGAAAATGAATGATAGACACGTGTTCCGTGTTCCACAGTCAGATCCCTGCAAATGCGCAAGTCCTGGACACCAAACACACATAAAGAAGGGTCGACAACACCCTTTGAAGGTGAATCAGCCATCTGAGCCACACCAGACTATTTCCTCTCCCCATCAGCTTCCACATAAATCAGCATTCCGATATTTAACGGCGAACGCAACGATACACTGTCTCGGCGTGCAGTCGAATCCAACCCCCAACCTCTTTGTCTGTCAGGGCCTCGGAATCTTGCAATGATCAGCAAGCCAGTACATGTTCGTCATGTCATTGTTTGTTCTCTCGTTAGGGTCAACAAAAACAAGGTGGTCCGAAAGTGGTTTGGTGCATGATACCTTCAACACGACGCGGACGCCCCACACAAGGCCTGAAAATCAACTTTCGACTCCAGACAACTGGATCGTAATGGTTAGATAAGGTACCAAGGTTGGACAGTGACAGAACCTTGACTCTCAGGCCTAAGATGAATAAGTAGCTTTCGAATCGTCAGCATATGTCCATTAGCATACGTTAGTATTGTGATCGCTCACTATACTACATAAATGACTTTGCACCTGGCTCAACGGGGATAGAACCAACATGGGAATATGTCGCAGGAAAGCTGACAAGTTCAATATCGGGCGCGTCTGGCCCTGACGTTGCATCTGGTACTGGGGCATCAGAGACTCGATAGGTTGGACTTCCATAGCTCCCTGGATGAGGCCAATTGAGAGGTCTTAAGAAAAGCCGCGTGCTGAGCCAATACGTTAGCCACATCAAAGAAAAGTTAACAAGTGGCGGAGAACAAACATTACATTGCTCCATTACAATTTATTAAAATCTATACTTGATATATATATATTTTTAGTGTGCCGAAAGGGCGTCTTGGAGAAGATACAGCAGCACACAAGCGTGGAATGATTGAGATAATCGACTGAGTCCCTAGAGCGGAAAATGGCGGAAACCATGATGCTGAATGACAGGTGGCAAAACAAAACATGGAATATTCACAGTCCATGAAAAGGCGATGAGCTTATCCGTCAGACGAGGGTAGAAATCAAAACTTTTCATTTAGAACGCAGCCAGCAGTCCCCAGTCAGCTTTATGTGTCTCCCCTGGTCCCACTCCAACAACGATGTAATCCCATTCGTATAGGATCGGTGACAAAGTGTGATTGGCTGCCGCCCATACTGTGCTAAAGAAGCTGCAAGTTGAACGCCGCCTTCCACAGCAAATTTCGATACCGCCGCGGCCAACCTATATACTGGCCAGGCTAAATTACCCTGGCCACAAGCTGATGAGAGCCGCAGTCTGCCGACATGGCTTCGCACGACAAAAGTCAGTATGTGGTCCATATATTATATGAATCAGCTCAGAGGACGAACACCAATGCGTAATTATACATCGGAATAGTTAGGCCCTTAATTTCCATTCCACGTTGAAAGGAGACTCATTGGGACCTGCCACATCCCCGCAAAATGAGGCGTGGAATAATCAGGAATCGGCGAAGATCCGTCACTTATCGTGGTAACAATAATGATCTGCTGCCTGGCTCTGGAAGCTTACTGATCACTCAATTTGTGTTCCATTCGCAGTATCTCCGGCGAATACATATGTTGAAAACTGGGCCGAAATTCCGTCAGCTAGGCTACAAAATTAGCAACCTAGTCATTATTCAACGCTGTCGCATGTCGTGGCACTGAAGATCGTCCTGCATCTAGCTCAGTGTCACAATAAGCTGTCACTCCAACCACATGAAACCTATTAACGAAGATGCATACCTGAGGGTATCCAGAGAACCGCCAAAAGACAGTCTTGGGGCGGCAACCTGGGGGGGCTCAGAACGAGGTCCCGCTGGTCCAGCCTGCGTACAATGAATATTTCCGCCAGTTTGGAGGCTCTGCGAGCCAGAAGAATAGGATTGAAACGATGCATCCAGCCGAGGATCGCTATAAGGTGGCCCAGCCAAGGTCGCGAAATTTCCTTTGGACCCCAAGAATCGGCAGAAGATCCCAAAGTGGATGCGGCGCTAGGATACTTGAGATAAGCTCCCACCGACCCACTGCGCTGATTACGGGGAATTCCCTCAGAAATTTGGAGAGTCTGCCACGGGTTGGTGGGGTAAGGTTGGGACGATGCCGAGCTATACAGGACTGTAAGACGGGTCGGACCGCGCATTCGCAAATTCTATCTAGCTCTTCAGATCCTGAAGATTGCTCGAAGACCTCGAAGTGGATGCAGTTCTGGGGGGTTGGGGATGGGTTCACCATGCCAATTATAGTAAGGTGAGCAGCCCCCCAGGTCGCATGATTTGCTGCTGTGTACCCATGGTTGTGTTGGTGTTCGATTACACGGTTCTTGCGGGTGGATTGAGGCAAACGGTGCTTTCGCGGATGTGTATCACGGTTAGCTGATAGATGGATAAAGTGGCCGCGCTGACTGTTGGTATCCTGCTCATGCATAGAGGCATGTGGCAGAGAGGCCATTGGTAGAAGGGGCAGTGGAGAGAAATGAAATTGTTGGGGTGACGGCAGGACATTCCTTTCGGCCCGGGCTCACGGGGCTACCGTTGGCGGTGCCACTATCGCGCTTCGTCACGGTAAGGGGTAGTGGAGAAGATGAGTAGAAGAGGGTTGGGGTGATAGCGGGACTTGGACCCGCACCCCTCCGGCCAGTGCCCTCTGGGCTTATGGGGGGCACCATTGGCGCCACCACCGTCGCACCTCACAATCCCAAGAAGTAGTGGAGGAGAGAGAGAGAAGGGCTGGGGCAATGGCAGGACTCGAACCCGCGCTCCTCTGCCAGCCCCCTCTGGACTTACGGAGGCCACACTATCGCGCCTCATCGTCCCAAAAGGTAGTGGCGCAAAGAAAAGGAGGGTTGGGTTTACAGCGGGATAATAACCCACAGTTTTCGCATTAGTTTTAAACAGGGGCACCGCATGAAGGTTAGGTTCGTGCCGGGGTTTGCTGTAACAGCAGAACTCCCCCTCAACTTACATGCATCATCGAGGCTCGTATGTATCGCGAGCGAAAGCATCAGTTCCTGATCTCAAGGTGGTCATAGAGCAAAGCAACGCATAGACAACGAACAAGCAATAATGTCGTCCTACTATTTGGGAATTGGTGGTGCCCCTGTTCCTGGAACACCGGTTCTCAGCACCAGATACTAAATCCTGATGATCATTATCACAGGACCCCACCGCAATAGGATCAGTACCTGAACTTTTGCGTGCCATCATTGGATGATGAGGATCGCGGACACGACCTCAAGATTTATTTGACAAGGCCCGCGGTTGGAATTACCATTTGATTATTGGTAATACCATACTGGCGGTGGCAATCATACCCACCTGAGATGGAGGACCACATACAGTGCGAGCCAGGTGAGACGAGAATTGCGTTGTGGGTGCCAAGGGATAGGAAAAGTGAGAAGGATGGGCATATCCCAGTGAGGCCCGAATCAAGAATGGCTGCTTCTTGCTCGTGTGCATCTATTCTGGCGTGGTGGGGGGCCTGGACTTTGAGGAAATGCTTTTTGTCCAAGTCCTCAAGTACCACGAATCAGGTGAAACGAGGTACAGAAGGGGAGAACGAGGAGGAACAGGAAAAGGCTGGGTCTCAACAAAGGGCAAAGCAGGATGATTGATGATAGCGTGATAAGCGGTAGGGTAAGGTCCAGAGGGTGTTTTCGTGTCCGATCATCGTGGCATTCGTATGGGAGGCCCAATGGTACGTATGACCAAAATGTTAACCCGAGCACTTTCTCCACTTTATTGTCACCGTATGTTGTCTGGCAATGGCGCGGGACGAGTTAGAGAGGGTAGATTAGTATAACGACATCTATTCCAAGACGACATTCAGCTCTCTACTAGATTTCTGGATGGATTTGTTCACTGCGGGAATACATACAGAGCGACTGTACCGCGTGATTCTGGTTATTATTGCACCAGGTTGTCTAAATTGCGGCTCGGGATAAATTTCCGTCGGGATGACGATATCTTTCCCAAGACGACGTCCGACTTGCAACACAGTTTCCATCTCAACTTTCCACTTCGCCATCGCCGTCCTCGAGGTATGCTGCAGCTCGATAAGCTTCAGATTTCGACTCGATGGAGAGTGCAGGAAGCGCATGAATTCACGCGGTCCAAAATAACTCCGCCAAATCAGGGTGCGCAATATGCGAAGTGTTTCAGGCGGTTTGGAGAATGAAGAGAGTGGAATTGGACTGAGGAGCGAGAGCTCTTCTAAATGTGGGGAGCTTTGGAAAAGTGCACAAGGGAGTTCGGAAAAATCATGCCACTCCCATGTTTTGGTGATATGGAACTGGTCTGAGCCGACCGGACGACAGGTGAGAATCAACGTCCTGAGATTGGAAAATGCTTTTGTCGTCTGTATCATCCATAGGAAATCTTTGGGCGTTAACCAGTGTGGCCGCTGCACTTCTAGCACACGTAAACGGGAAGTAACACTCTCACCATCCCCGACACATTCTGTACTTTTAAGAAGCTCAAGCATATGGGGCAATTTGGGGCCTGACGTTTTCTTGAGACGAATTTCTGAAAGCCGCGGAAAAGAAGGGAGGCGCGAGATGGGAGTAAAAGGCCGGCGGAATGTAGACATAGGAGTGATTGGATCCCATTCATAAATAATCAAGGTTTCTAATGTTCGAGAAAGGTGCTGGAGAGCACAGCGCAGCCCATGTGAATAACACCCAATGGTCCACGTAAAATGTTTTATGGAGGTTGAAGGAGCGACGACAGTCTCAAAATCGTCATTGAACTGGGCGAGTTCGGCAAAGGCATCATTGTACCAGCCAAAACTTTCCAAGCCCATCAGGTGCGGACATGATGCGATAATTTCGTTTATCAGTATAGCCCTCTGATTGAACCGAGTCAGCTGATCGGGAAACTCGTCAATGAGAGATGGTCGGTCCTTCAAATGACGAGTTCGGGAGTCGAGAATGATGGTTCGAACGAGGTTCCCGTGGGACCTGAGTGACTCGCGGAGAGAATATACGGATGCTTCGGTGCAGATGAATATTGTGATTTTACGATAGAGACCACGCATCACAGGGTCGACCCAATTACAAGAGACGAGAGCGAGAGATGCCAAAGCAGCACGTTTCTGGATGTAACTCGTCACAAATTTGGGGGAAGGTGAGTAGTCATCATCCCCAGGATACAAGTGGCACGGGATGAGGTAGTGAACAATTTCGTGTATAATATCCGAAGGGAGTGTGTTCCAGGATCTGGATGCACGCACTGGACCCTTCGCGTGGGTGGGATGTTCCAATCCTCGTCGCAGCTCCTCGATCATGACGAGTTAAACCCCTAATGCCGACACTGTGAACCAGATCAGCCCAACTCCAGCCTCTGTGAGTCTGTAAATATGATGCAGAAAAACCAATCCGGTTTCTCGTCAATTGCCGTACGGGAAGGGCAAGTGCCGACGTAACCATACCCAAGGCCATTGCGCCCGTGCCATCTTCAAAGGACACGGTTTGCTGCCAGTTTGACGCAACGGGCCTTGTTTAGATCGAGAGGACGGGACGGCGTCATAGGTTCAGAACTCTTATACGAGTCCTAGATCTTACGCGACATAGCCTTTATCTTTGAAATCCTCCAGCCTGACGATTTCTGTGTATTCCTCAACCTCAAATACTCCATTTCCGCCGTGCACTTATATCAGCTTGGCCTTTATTAACACGCCTTATACTTATACATGATTGTTCATGAAAGAAGAGAACTGTCCATAATGCAGGCAATGCTACAGAGGCAGCTTCTGAAAGCTGCCGCATGCTGCTCCACGAAAGAAAACATCTCTTCTGTGTGATATGCTTCTGATTTGATGATCGAACATGAGCCCAGGCATTGAAGTGGGGCGCATACGGGCACTTCATGATCGAAACCCCCTGCAACATTTCTTGCTGCCATCTTCACTATGTCGTCCCAAGCACAGCCCTCATCATTTCTCAATAGCCCAACTCAAATATTTCAGACCCGATTACCCGCTGTGGACCAAGGTCGCCTCGCAGGCGACCTGGAGAGACAAAGGAAACAGCATTCTAGGTATTTCGGAATCGGGAGGCCTGCCAACGAGACAATACTTTATGGCCCTGTCAATGCCATTGTGAATGCTGTATTCCCGGAAGATAGTTTATACAGGCCTATGCAGCAGTATACACTAGAAGATGGGAAGCGGGATCAACGCGAACTGCTGCGACCTGACATTACCGTAGTAACTGACACAGGACTTTTCGATCAAGACTCGGATTCCCTCACTTGTTTGGTGATAGAGGTGAAGAATAAGCCACTTTCTGCTAAAGATAGGAAGGAGGACACAAGGAAAGCGGTGGATCAACTCTATCGGTACATGATCGATGCCTATCAAAAGAGAAATTGTCCGGGTGTGCTATACGGCATTGCCATCGTAGGCTTTCGAATGTACCTGTACCAGATGATGGGCATAGGTGCACCGATGATTCACGTCGACTTGGGATTCGCCCCGAATTTTCTAGACAACAGTGCAACCGAGCTTTGGATGAAAATTCGCAAATTGGTTGACCACGAAGTGCATGAGAAGTCACTTACATGGCCGCGTGCAACTCGCTCTCTCAACAGCAGTGTGGGTGTGGACCAACAAGATCCTGACATGGAGAGGCCCCAAGATACAATGGGTGGTCTCTTTGAAGACGTCGTGGCACTGAGACTCCCTCCAATGCCCGAACCCAAAGACCCCAATGTATTCGGTGCCGCATCTTACCTACCAGGCTTTAGCCCTGCAAACACCGATTCTACTGGGCCCCATGAAATCGAGAGCCCAATACAACTTCGTTCAGCGGATCGGGTTGGGGAAACTCTCTCGTACATTCCATTCTTTGATTCCCCTGCCTCGAGCAACTTGAGCAGCGATCACCCAGTTGGCGGGACACCACGTCTCTCCGGCAGTGCCCAACAGATGTCCACCCCCCAGCCAGGCCAAATATGGCCTTTTCACGGGATTCAATCCATGCCTGCCGCTTACTCAGGTGGAATGCCACTCACTCCGGGAGCTTCCTCAGGCTCTGTGTCGCAACCCATCGGAACACCACCATCCTCTCCGAGTCTTCCCATACCTCCATTGGAATCCCCAGAATCACCACTCCATCGCTTCTCAACACAAAGGAGGCAGTCGCAGATAACTAATCATGTTAGCGCAATCGGCATCCTTGTGAGAGACCAGGAGCAGTCCTCTGGTACTGGACGTCAAGATCAGCCTGAAGAGGGCCAAGTTCCTCAAGGTGGCGCTAGTTGGAACCCGACCTATGCTGCTAATGCGCCTAGAACACCTGAACCAATCGGCCGACGCACCGTAACGGACTGGCACGCCATGTCGCCTTCACATGCGCCTTCAACCAGCAGTCAACCACGTAACTTCCCGACTCCTAACATTGCTTCGCACAGCTCGCGGTTCCTTCACGCATCTGAACAAAATGTCGCCAATGGCAGCCCCGATACGCCGAACCCCTCAACCATTACAAGTCGGAGGAATGATCAGGGCAGGCGAAGCGATGCCCAACCAAACCACCCCGATTTCCGTGGAAGATAGGTCGCGTCATGCGTAGCAAGGGGGTTAATGTCATCACACGATTGCTGAACACGATTGCTTGTAGATCCAACAAGCGCACGAGCTCGCAGCATAATCATCTCTTTGTGCAATGGGGCCAAAAGGTCCTGATGTCTTACTATGTCCATGAGCATTGTGTTCTCTCTTGTATTGTTGTTTAGAGGAGGACCCAAGCAGGGATCGTGTTTAGTTGGGCCTCCTGCGCGTTACGCACAGAAAATGAATGATAGACACGTGTTCCGTGTTCCACAGTCAGATCCCTGCAAATGAGCAAGTCCTGGACACCAAACACACATAAAGAAGGGTCGACAACACCCTTTGAAGGTGAATCAGCCATCTGAGCCACACTAGACTATTTCCTCTCCCCATCAGCTTCCACATAAATCAGCATTCCGATATTTAACGGCGAACGCAACGAATGATACACTGTCTCGGCGTGCAGTCGAATCCAACCCCCAACCTCTTTGTCTGTCAGGGCCTCGGAATCTTGCAATGATCAGCAAGCCAGTACATGTTCATCATGTCATTGTTTGGTCTCTCCTTAGGGTCAACAAAAACAAGGTGGTCCGAAAGTGGTTTGGTGCGTGACACCTTCAACACGACGCGGACGCCCCACACAAAGCCTGAGAATCAACTTTCGACACCAGATAACTGGATCGTAACGGTTAGATAAGGTACCAAGGTTGACCCGGATTGGACGGTGACAGAACCTTGACTCTCAGGCCTAAGATGAATAAGTGGCTTTCGAATCGTCAGCATATGTCCGTTAGTATTGTGATCGCTCACTATACTACATAAATGACTTTGCACCTGGCTCAACCTAACATGGGAATATGTCGCAGGAAAGCTGACAAGTTCAATATCGGGCGCGCCTGGCCCTGACGTTGCATCTGGTACTGGAGCATCAGAGATTCGATAGGTTGGACTTCCACAGCTCCCGGGATGAGAGGTCTTAAGAAAAGTGACACAATCCGCGTGCTGAGCCAATACGTTAGCCACATCATGCAAAGAAAACAAGGGGCGGAGAACACACATCAGTGCAAAATGGACCTACATTGCTCCATATTAATTTATTAAAATCTATACCTGTGTGCCGAAAGGGCGTCTTGAAGATACAGCAGCACACAAGCGTGGAATGATTGAGATAATCGACTGAGTCCCTAGAGCGGAAAATGGCGGAAACCATGATGCTGAATGACAGGTGGCAAAAAAAAAATATGGAATATTCACACTCCATGAAAAGGCGTCAGACGAGGGTAGAACTCAAAACTTTTCATTTAGAACGCAGCCAGCAGTCCCCAGTCAGCTTTATGTGTCTCCCCTGGTCCCACTCCAACAACGATGTAATCCCATTCGTATAGGATCGGTGACAAAGTGTGATTGGCTGCCGCCCATACTGTGCTAAAGAAGCTGCAAGTTGAACGCCGCCTTCCACAGCAAATTTCGATACCGCCGCGGCCAACCTATATACTGGCCAGGCTAAATTACCCTGGCCACAAGCTGATGAGAGCCGCAGTCTGCCGACATGGCTTCGCAGGACAAACGTCAGTATGTGGTCCATATATAACTGGTGGACACCGCCTGACGCGGCAGGTCCCGCCACTCTTCTGTCCTCCTCTTGTGTGAGCGAATGCGACAAGAATAGCGTGGCGACGGCCATTTAATCTCGTTCCTCCATTAAATTTACATAAAACGAACGAGACACAACAGACATCAACGCAAAATGATCAGTGCGTCAGATGAACCAATGATATTCAATTTCCATGACCCACACTGAATTAATTGTTGAGGTCATTGGCCCTTCCAATCTCGGACGTCTCAATGCGCGACCAAAATCGGGTGAACAACAATGATATTCAAACGGGCATACAGAGGAGAGCAAAAAGGTAAGTACATCATGAAGATATCTGTCATAATTCGGAAATCGGATGGAAAGATGGACGCACGCGGGGGCAGGCCCGATGGGAATTTGGCAACAGTCGCCAAACAGAATATGCGAGGCACTGGAAAGTAGCGGCGGTCCGGAAAGCATGAGAGAAGCAGCACAGTGAGGTGGTGCGGTATAAGAGAAATTGCTTAGTGAGTTGGGAGAACCCTGGGTTATCTAGAATTGGCAATAATAGAGGACCTTGTCATCAAACGCATTCAATCAGGGTCGAAAAATTTACAAGACCCGCTACAGAGTAGCGGGAATTATATGAATCAGCTCAGAGGACGAACACCAATGCGTAATTATACATCGGAATACTTAGGCCCTTGATTTCCATTCCACGTTGGAAGGAGACTCATTGGGACCTGCCACATCCCCGCAAAACGGGGCGTGGAATAATCAGGAATCGGCGAAGATCTCTATGTAATATAGAGGCTGGGTCCTGCCTACGAAGATCCGTCACTTGTCCTGGTATCAATAATGATCTGCTGCCTGGCTCTGGAAGCTTACTGATCACTCAATTTGTGTTCCATTCGCAGTATCTCCGGCGAATACATATGTTGAAACCTGGGCCGAAATTCCGTCAGCTAGGCTACAAACTTAGCAACCTATTATTCAACGCTGTCGCATGTCGTGGCACTGGAGGTCGTCCTGCATCTGGCTCAGTGTCACAATAAGCTGTCACTCCAACCACATAAAACCTATTAACGAGGATGCATACCTGAGGGTATCCAGAGAACCGCCAAAAGACAGTCTTGGGGCGGCAACCTGGGGAGGCTCAGAACTCGGAGGTCCCGCTGGTCCAGCCTGCGTACAATGAATATTTCCGCCAGTTTGGAGGCTCTGCGAGCCAGAAGAATAGGATTGAAACGATGCATCCAGCTGGGGATCGCTATAAGGTGGCCCAGCCAAGGTCGCGAAATTTCGGGACGCTTGCTTTGGACCCCAAGAATCGGCAGAAGATCCCAAAGTGGGTGCGGCGCTGAGATACTTGAGATAAGCCCCCACCGACCCACTGTGCTGATTACGGGTAATTCCCTCAGAAATTTGGAGAGTCTGCCACAGGTTGGTGGGGTAAGGTTGGGACGATGCCGAGCAAGACGGGTCGGACCGCGCATTCGCAGCTCTTCAGATCCTGAAGATTGCTCGAAGACGTCGAAGTGGATGCAGTCCTGGGGGGCTCGGGATGGGATGCTGCCGGTCCACCATGCCAATTATAGTAAGGTGAGCATGGTAACCGGTGAGGTTCTGGGGAAGAAGTCGGAGTATACGATGGCTGGACGTTACTGAAGGATTCGGAGGTTGCGAGTAAAATGTGTGTTTTCTTTTAGCAGACATTGGGGGAAGTATGAATGTAAGGGTGAAAGAGTAAAGGCAAACGCGCGGACCCCGTATTTGCGGGAACGCCTTGTTTGGAAGTTGGAGCTTCAAAACCCCATTTGGTAAGTCGTTCCCACCCTGCACGCCAATCGAACAACCGGGTGGATGCCATTGCTTATTTACATTACAAAATCATATCGTAGCCATCAATTGCACCATGGAGGTGCCTCTGGAAAAGCATAACATATGGTGAGGCCGAATTGGGCGAAACGATTGAGAACAAGGGCACCGCAATTGTACGAGGGACACGATGGCGGTAGTTAAAGCAGGGTGTATGATGGAAACACACTCCAAGTTGAGGCTTGAGACCCATTTTCAGGAGCGTCAAGATCCAGACGGCATTCCCAAGACAGTCACAGAAATTGGTCGACATTGACGGCACACACTTCCAAGATCGAGCATCCTAGTTGGAAGCGCAGCTATCCAATCGGTTCCATCGTGGCGCTACATGCGCAGTTTCTGTGAATCAAACGCGCGGAACCGAGCGAGCGCTTACTCCTTTCCCCTGGTTAATGTTCGGTAGTGCCCGAACATTCATTCCTATGGACTAAGGTCACGGCCGTGAACCACCTTAGATTCCCCTTCCGACCCCGTCGTCTAGACTGGCTGTGCTAATACAGGCCTTTGGTGCCAGGACACTCCCTGCAACTGCTTTCAGACCGCCGCTCTTTTTCTGTTTGTATCAGCAGTGGTGGACGAATGCCTACCCTGGAGTTCGACATTATTCCCTTCGAAGTGAGCCACTGTTGACCCGATACGAAGGGAACTCACCACAAATACCCTTTAGGACATCAAGGGGAAGTGGAAGAAGCTCGGATCGGGCTCCTTTGGTAATGTGTACAAAGGTAAGTCTCCTATGGTCTGTGCGCCCTTGATGTAATGTCTAGGCGCGATATTCTCGCCTTGAAACAAACCCTCTAACACTCTTATTGCACGTAGGAACCTACCTGGGAATCGATGTCGCGATTAAGGAGGTTCTACCGTCCAATGAGTACGACGTGTCAAAGTACTTCGATCGCGAATGGAGGATAATGAAGTAATGCATCTTCTCGGCGTTCAACGATGTTCACGACTTTGAACTTGGCATTCATCCTATCTTAGGGAAGCTCGACATCCTAATGTCGTCCTCTACATCGCTCTTTCTCGTGCGCCCCCACCCGATAATCGGATATTTATCATCTCTGAATTCATTGAGAATGGCTCGTATCCCTTCATTTATCAATGGCGCATCTCGGCACTTACTCCACATTTAGGAAATCTGCGGCAGTATATCTGGGATAAAGCCAAACCATTCCCGTGGAAGCTCCGTCTATCATTTGCGACTGATATTGTGCGAGCAATGGCTTACCTCCACGCCCGGCAATGCATTCATCGTGATCTGAAGCCAGAAAATCTCCTCATCACTGCTAATGGTCGAATCAAGGTGACTGATTTCGGGTTCGCACGAATTGTGGAGCAGACTGAGGTGGAGGCAAGGAAGTTGACATTCTGTGGAACGGACGCGTACATGAGCCCGGAGATACAACAAAGCGAGAAGTTTGGATTGGATACCGACGTCTTTTCCTTAGGGATTATCTTCTGCGAAATTCTTGCTCGCAAACTGGCGGACGAACAGACATTCTGTGTGAGTGCCATTGCCAATTCCTCGACCTTCCCACTCATTCTCGTCGTCACTTAGCGAACGGCACCAGATTTTGCTATCGATCCTCACGAGGTCCGCTCACGGGCCTCGCCAGACACCCCTCCAGCATTCCTAGACCTTGCCCTCGCGTGTTGTGCAACTAACCGGAAAAAACGACCTACAATGGCACAAGTTCTCACCCGCCTTGGAGAAATCGAAGTTGAACTCCTTTCCCGTGGCACAACAGTCGAGGAGCCACATATCGGGTCTATCAAATTCCTGCTTGCTCCAGAGAAGAAAAGTCCATTCCTTAACCGCGCGACCAAACGCCCGCACATTGATCGGCGTATACCCAGTTTTGGTATGGGAATACATGTAGGGCGGAAGCCAGAAACGGGTCCAGCGGTTGAGACAAAGGTACCCGAGTCGGTTCGTGCTGAAGACCCCTCAGAAGATGAAGAAGATGCAGAATTGGAAGCTATACTCGCTCAAAATGGAGTTGCCCTTCAAAGCACTGTTGATGATTCCGGGAGCGACATGTCTTGGAGGCTCACAGGGTGGATGGCGGAATACGCTGATCGCCAGGCACCAAACCCTTCAGCACCGCCTGTGAACGAGATCACCCAGCAAGATTTATCAGACAGTGTGGAATCTATCATAGCTCATGCCCCTCTTCTTCCTGCTCACGGACCCATTAACGAGTCCACTATCTCAAGTTCTCACTATTCGTCTGAGGGTTCGTCCATTATGACAGTCCGCCCTCAAGCTCTTTCTGCAACCCAACAGCCTGCGCCTAAGAATCACCACCCACGTGAACCAAATACAGCTCCTACACCTGAACCTTTCCTTGACGACAAGACGTCATATTTTACTGCAGGCACTCCTTCGCTGTTACCTGATTCGCAGTGTGACCAGATGGAGATTGACATCCTCCCCGATTCCGCACCTGCCCCTATTTCAACTGGCAAGGAAGCCACCACGCCAATCGGTGGGGAAGCGGTAACTACACCAAATCCCGCACTAACTACTATGCCGGTCCAGACCACCAAACCAAGGACGCCCCGAATTCGGGAGGTCCCCCCCGGTTGCACCGCTTTTCTCTTGTGAAGTCGGGGAAGAAAGCTGACAGCATTTCGGCAATCGGTTCTCGATCCCATGCCGTAGTTGCAGGGCACAGTCACTCATTATGGAGCCCTTTTGACTTGATTTTTGGAAAAGGAATGTGCGGTAGATGTGATTTGTGCGGCAAACGTTTGGGATGGAAACCTGTCCTTGAATGCGATGACTGCGGCTTGAAGTGAGCATCTTTCACAACCTCTTTTCCTTCATCCTTGAATGTAACTTGTCTCTTTTACAGAGTGCATATGAAATGCGGGGAAGTCGCACCGATGGATTGTCAGGAGCGCGAAGTTGCCTTGCGGACGAGAGCACTCCAAACACCTCCGCCCAAATCTCCGAAGCCCCACAAGTCCCCAAAGTCCAATCCCCCTTCCCCAAAGAAGAAAGAGGCGAAGAACAAGTGACGATCTAAGTTATTAGCATTCTAGGACAATTCCTCGACATCTCAATTCTGCACAACGCGCCTACTCCTCATTTGTGTTTGCAACATACTCCACTCTCATCACCAGCCCAGACTTCTCATCTTGGACTTTGTTAATTTTTGTAGTAATCATAGTGTTGTGAAACCATTAGTCTTGATAATTCCATGCGCATTTGTTGTTTGTTACAGTAAGAATTGATGAAATCTCACATTTAAGCGCAGATACACAGGAATTCCGGTACATGTTAGGCGCTATTTGACGGGGCTTAGAGATGACCTAGAGGAGATATTGCATCCACTTCTTTCCTCAATTGGTCACCCAACTTCACATACTCTTCCAGCGACTCAGGGTTGCGAAGCGTGTTCAGATTCAGCGACGTTATGGGAGCGCCACGAATGAGCTGAAGTGTACCTCTGAGTGCTGAATGTGGCCATGGCGGAGTGAAGCTGACCTTTTTAACAGGCACCTCTACTTTCTTTCCATTCAGTGTATGGGGAATATCGTGCACCTGAAGAATCTGACGGATTGAGCAACAAAAATTGTCACTAAAGATGAACTTCTTACTCTAGCAGGCACATGTCGAGGACTTCTTCTAATCCGTATCTCGGTCTTGACACGATTGAGTAGGTTTTCAGACAAATTCTGTCCTTCAGCAAGTTGCAAAAACAGAATGACACGTTCGTCTGCGCCTCCTCGCACTGGCTGTGCTACGACAAGTGAATCGAGAATAATCTCGTCGGGGGATTTCGCGGTTAAAGGACTGAAACAGGACTCGAGCACCTGATATATCTCGGCAGAACCGAAGCGAATACCTCCCGGGTTGCTTATTTTCATGTTCGACCTTCGATTACCAATCGCCGGCTGACGAAAATAAAAAAGATTGCTCACAGCACACCATCGCTTCTACCCAACATCAGGACGCCACCGCCATTCCCATCACGAGATTTGGTGATCAGAATGTGATCTCCGTGGTCTACCAAGGGGGTTTAGAGAAGTTCACACAGGATCGGTGCTTGCATCGTTGAAACTTACGCCAAACCCCCTTGAATTTCTCATAGTAAGCTTCCATATATCTATCCTGCGCTTTCTTGGTGTCGGCATCGGCACCGTATCCAGGAAGCGGCCAGAAGCCCAGGGGCTGACATGGGAAGTGTTTATCGCATATCAAGTCACCAGGTGTTCCAGCTGGCAGGGGCACCCCTTCGTCGTTACAGGTACGAATAGACATACCGAGCATACGACATTGGATCTCCCCTCGGTACACTGGTAGCGAAGTATTCATGCCGCAGAAAAGGGAGCAGATGTCTGTTCCCCCTATGTAGCGGTTTAGTATTATTATTTCAGTCCCGAGTCTGAAACCGGGCGAACCTGTGATCGAACCAAGGCATACGGATCTAGAAATGTGGTTGTATACATAGTCAAACTGGGATGGGGCCAGAGGGGACCCAGTCGACAGCACCAGTCGTAGGGATTTCAGGGAGTGATGATCTTTCGGTTTGTATTGTTTCTAGGGATAGGCTTAGGGTTAAGGGTAATCCTTTCGATCCTGCAGACAGCGACAAACCTCAAGTTGCTCAAGATACTTTGCGCTTTTTCATTAGGTGAGCTAAAAGTTTATCGGAGAGTGCGAATCCCAATTACGTACCTCGTCCCGAAGACGGTGATGCCGATCTTGTCTGTGAGCTGCCACAAGAATGAGGGATCTCTAAGAGGGCTTCCATCGTACAGCACCAAGGTCAACCCGATCGATAGACCACCGACGAGGAAATTCCACATCATCCTGTCGAACGTGTCTATCAGCTTTGCAATTACGTCGCAGGGTGGATCGGGTGGGCCTAATACCATCCTGTGGTCGTATAGTAAAAATATACGTCCTCTGGTACAAAATCACCGCAGATGATAAGCTCCTTAGCGGACTGAAGCAGCATGCCACCCGCACGATGTACGATAGGCTTCGGTTTTCCTTAAAAACAGACAAAGACATGAATGTGCCAACATCGTCAATTCGAATTGAGTAGTGATACCCGTTGTGCCCGAACTAAACAAAACCCACAGCGGGTGATCGAATGGACCTCTCCAGAACGGAATGCCCTTCCTTACGTCCTCATCCGACAGAGTGGAACTGAGGATGTCAGTCCACGAAAGCCAGTTAGACTCCCAACCTGCGCGTGAGGAATTTGGCTCGTGTGGAACGACCACGACCTTTTGGGGCGTAAGCGATAACGCTCGAAGTCCATCTAGTACACTGCTAAGTTTAGGTATTTGCTCATGAGATTTGGCGTTGTAACTAGAGGAGGGGTTCGCAAAGCATTAACGCCCCGCGAAAGAGACAGAAGCTGGATTCATTTACACGACTGAGTCGATGCCGAAGAGGACTTTAGGTTTGACCTGCTCAAACCTCTCCAGAACCCCTTGAGGAGCAAAATCTGCTGCTGCTGAAACCCATATTGCTCCAAGAGCTGTTGCAGCCAAACAAGCAACCACGGTTTCCTACAAGTCGATTACGAGACTGGAAACCAAGCACAGCACCACGAGGTTTGCGTACAATAGAGTTGGACGAGTAGGAGGCAACACGGTCCCCAGGCTGAATTCCTATAAACAAGAACCAATTTACGACTTTATGAACCGCGACATATAATTCGGAATATGTCAAGGTTCGTAATTGAGGGTCTGGGTTCTGAGGAGTAGGCTCGGCTGGTTTGGCGCGAGTATTAATGCCCCCCGCTTGCAAGTGTTCAGTTAAGTGGAGCACTCACTTACTTGGATCAATGCTGCTTTGGTAGGCGATCTGTTCCTGAGCATATTCTCAGCCCAATTGAGAGTGGTTGCAGGAAACCAGGATGGAATGGAGTCCATAGATTTTGTTTCATCCACAACCTGATTGTCGTCTTCGGTAAGAGTGACAGCCGGATTTGGTGCATGGGTTGCTAGCTGCTCACAATATTTCCCTTCTCGCCAATGATCTGCGTCTCATCCCACACGAGACTCCAGAAAGCGCTTGGACAAGCGATTGACCATTCGTATAGATCGACATATGTCTTCAAATCGAGGTCGAATATTCTATTCACTATCCTCATGAACTGTTGAGTTCTAGTTTTAGACGGATCCTTGGGTGACCATAGTGGGATACATGACAAATCATCCCCCAGCGCCGACATTATGCAGCAGATCTGTACCGGGTCAATTACTTGATATGGGGCCGATTTGATCTAGAACTGCGTTTGAGTCCTAAATGCACGTAGGGACCAGAATCACACAGACGTTTCGTGACCATTCCAGGTGCACCCCGAAGGTTCCCTCGATTTCCCGAATCAGTAAAAAACTGAATACATACGTCCCCTGGGAATAACTTGTGACCGATCACCCATTCTATATAAGCGCCTTTGTTGTCACAGCACGGAGGCCAGTTTCTTTTCCAACCAATCATGTCTTTCTCGCCTGATAGCCTCACAGATGCGTCGAATGTTGCACTTGCAGCTTCACTAGAACTTGCTAAAGAAAATGGCAACGTTGGGGGTGAGTACTTCAAGGCTTCCGCATAACATGCCATCGGCGATCCGTTGACACTTACACTCCTTCCAGTCTATCCTGTTCATATCGCCGCCGTCCTCCTGGACCCAGGAAAGGATGCAAGTTCCAGCCCGTCTATGTTCAGCAATATCATAAATCGCGCTGGCGGCGATCCGCTTTCAGTCAAGCGCGGGATCCAGAAAGCGCTGGTCCGACTCCCCAGTCAAGATCCTCCACCCGCGGATATCAGCTTCAGTCATCCTAGCATCCAGGTCCTTGAAGATGCTCGGAAAATCCAAAAGTCGATGAAAGATGACTATATTGCTGTCGACCACATCATCCTGGCCCTGATCAAGGACTCGACGATGGTAGGCCTTCTTAAAGAAGCCGCCGTTTCTGCCGCTGCCATACAGAAGGAAGTGGAACAAGCTAGGGGAAATAAGCGAATCACCAGCCGCACGGCTGAGGCTGGGTTCGATGCCCTGGCCAAGTATGCAATTGACATGACGAAACTAGCAGAAGAGGTGAGGATTTAGACGCACTCACGCGTGTTTGACTCAGGTTGACACGATTTTCAGGGGAAATTGGATCCTGTCATCGGAAGAGATAACGAAGTTCGCCGAATGATCAGGATTCTTTGTCGGAGAACAAAAAATAATCCAGTTTTAATTGGGGAACCTGGAGGTCAGTTCGCAGAACTTCTGTTTTTGCATGTGAATGGGAACTCACGTCGCTTCCCAGTTGGAAAGACCGCTCTCGTAGAATCTCTTGCCCAACGTATCATCAAACGCGATGTCCCGGCATCTCTTGATGCGCGTTTATTCAGTCTTGATATGGGTTCCTTGATGGCCGGTGCCAAATATAAGGGTGAATACGAAGAGCGGGTGAAGTCAGTGTTGGATGGTACGTGAACCGTCAAGGCATCATTACTCAAGACCAATCTTAATTGTTTATGCCACAGAAATCGAGAAGAATTCCGAAAATGGCATTGGTATTATCCTTTTTATTGATGAGCTTCATCTCATTATGGCCGGAAAGGGTGACGGTGAGGGTGGTATGGATGGTGAGTCCCACGACCTTCAATCAATCGAATCATCAACTCATACTCCATCGTAAAGCTGCCAACTTGCTCAAGCCCATGCTTGCTCGAGGCAAGCTTCGGTGCATTGGAGCCACAACACTCGCGGAATATCGGCGATACATAGAGAAGGATGCCGCCTTCGAGCGTCGTTTCGCCCAAGTCTTAGTCAATGAGCCTTCCGTGCAAGAAACGATTTCTATTCTCCGTGGTATCAGCGAGAAGTACGAGGTCCATCACGGCGTGCGCATTTTGGATCAGGCGCTGTGCCAAGCTGCATCGCTTGCACATCGGTATTTGACCAGTCGACGGCTTCCGGATTCCGCCATCGACTTGGTAGACGAGGCGTGTGCTGCTGTAAGGGTCGCTCGAGAGACGGCCCCTGAGGAGGTTGATGCCTTGGAACGTCAAAAAATACAGCTCGAGGTCGAGGTTCATGCCCTGACTGTAAGCCATTCAAATCTTTGACGGCTTTTCAGTATACTTATTATTTCCCTTATTAGCGAGAAAAAGATGCTACCAGCAAGGAACGTTTGCAAGCGGCAAAGAAGGCCATCGCTGATGTTGATGAAAAACTTCGCCCGTTGCGTGCCCGTTACGAAGTTGAACACAAAGGTGCAGAAGAAATTGCAAAACTCCGTCGACGATTGGACGAACTCAAGGCGAAGGCCGACGACGCCGAACGTCGCCACGATATCGCCACTACCTCTGATATTCGCTTCTATGCCATCCCGAACGTTCAAGAGAACATCAACACGCTCGAGGCTGCTCGGGCTGGTAATCAAACGCAAATAGACACGGTCACCCCTGAAGCGATCGCCGAAATCGTTGGCCGTTGGACTGGGATCCCTGTTTCAAGACTTCTCGCCACGGAACGCGAGAAATTGATGAACATGGAGAAGATGTTGTCGGAGAGCGTAGTGGGTCAGCCTGAGGCAGTCAAAGCTGTGGCGAATGCGATTCGGTTATCGAGGAGTGGACTTTCGAATGAGAATAGACCTATTGCGTCGTTCTTGTTTGCAGGGCCATCTGGGACGGGTAAGACGTTGATGGCGAAGACACTCGCTACGATCTTGTTCGACTCTCCCGATGCAATGATTCGTATCGACTCCAGCGAGTACACTGATAAGCATACATTATCACGATTGGTGAGTTGCTGCTTGACGGTTTGGATTACTTGGTTGACACCTTTTCTTTATTCAGATTGGTGCACCGCCTGGATATGTTGGTTATGAAGAGGCGGGCACGCTCACCGAGTACGTTCGTCGCAAACCATATTCTATCGTGCTAAGTATGATCTTCTTCTTCTACGCATTGTCAGTTGCTGACTTGGTCCCCCTTTTCACAGTCGACGAGATCGAGAAAGCCTGTCGCGAATTCGTTACCCTCTTCCTACAAGTGCTTGACGATGGTCGACTTACCGATGGACATGGTCGAGTCGTCGACTTCCGCAACACGGTCATCATTATGACGTCTAATCTGGGAGCGATGTACCTCAACGCTCTTGAAAGAGCTGGTGCCATCCCGGCCGCTACACATAGCCTCGTAATGGATGCGATCGAATCTCACTTCCCTCCCGAATTCCGCAATCGTATCGATGATATCATCATCTATCGTCCTCTATCCCGATCCAACATTCGTAAGATCGTCGATATACGTTTAAGAGAATTCGAAAAACGTCTTGAGCCTCGGAAGCTTAAACTCAATTTAGAAGAGGCGTCGAAAGATTACCTCGGGTTGATCGGGTATTCGACGACGTATGGTGCTAGGCCACTGAATCGGGCGATGCAAGATCAGATATTGAACCCTCTTGCGATGATGTTGCTTCAGGAGAAGGTGTTAGATGGGGAGATGGTCTATGTAGCGTTCGATAAAGGGCGGAACCGACTGGTTATCGTACCGAATCATCGGGGGATTGTGGGTGCTGAGTCGATGGAGGTGGATGAGGATGGAGAAGATGAGGATTTCGATGATTATATTGTGGAGGAAGTTGGCTGAAGAGGATTCGGTTGAACATTGCTTTTTTCACGAAAAACGTTTTACTCTCGGACACTGTTATTTTTGGGTCTTTGTTTTTGTAAACTTGTGCAATGCTGTTGTTGTATTGAAATTGTCTTGTAATGTACATCTCGATCTCTACTAACTCCTTTTTTTAAAAAAAATGTGATCGTTCAAAGATCCAGACTCAAGGGGCAGTTGAGTTGGGCATCACGCACAGCTGAACCAGTGAGCCAGTTGAAGGGGGTCGATCATGATGATCCGGACCGAAACTGGCGTGGATGGAAAGCCATGGTGATAGCCCAACTACTCTGTCCCCCCCCGGAGTAGACAAGCGCCCAAGGAAGGACGTAAGCTTAAGCGGCGCAACAATCTTACGATATTACATCTTCAGATACACCTTTTCAGAAACGTGCGAGTAGTGTATATATTATTCGGCACTTGGAGGCTGGTACTGACCAAGCAAGAGAGCGACATGGAACGGAACATCCTTGATCATGAGTGAGCATCGATCGAGTAGCCGAAGTGGCTCTCCTAGGATCCTATGATCATTAGGGGGGGGGGGGGAAGCTGTTAGTTATCCGGGACCAACCGATGGCGTTTTGAGTTGATGGGCCAATGTGACATGGATAGGGTCCTATAGGGTGAGTTCTTGGTCAAGGGCTTCTTCGATCCCTCTGGTAGTGATATACATTGACACTTCGTCCAGGACGGAGATGCATATGCTCCTTTTATTTATATGACAAGGGGTAGCACATGAGTGAATCCAGCCACATGTACATTTGCGCATGAACAATATTGTTGTTGTTGAACCCGGAGAGAAGGAGAGGAAGCTTGCATGGGAGATGTCGTTGTCATATGCAGCTAGTTGTTATTCAAGAAGTTCTGGTCTTGAACCCTAAACTTCTGAACTCCATTTGGGCCCGGGCTCCTAGCTTTGTCAGACAAAGTGGTCTCACACGGCAACGAAGGGATCGACCATGCGAGCCCGAGACATCCACGCAAGTCATCAGCCATGCGCGCTAGTACATAACCCCGTGCCGCCCATGCGGCAAAAGGGCCGTGTTTGGATCAAGTTCACCTCCCCCATGGCAAAGTACGTCATGGAAGACAAAAGTGGGTTCGGGTTGTGTGAGGCAGAGAGCGGGCGGAGAATGCCGATATGAGTCCGGAAACTGCCCTGATTACATAGGGGCTCTTGCGTGTGTTCAGAAAATTTGGTTTCGGAAACATTATTGGTAGTGATCGGCAAAGTGTGTATGTTCCGGCAACCCTCGTCGAGATCGCTTTGATATAGTACGAGTTATTTGTTCTGGATTCCATTTTGTACCCATTGCGGCTTGAGGAAGCCCGGAATGGGAATTCTCCCTCATTTCCCTCGTATGTACGTAAATGGGATGATTTGCCTCCGGCGAGCCCAGTCGGGCTGGTTCGGTGATTGAATTACTCGGCAGTTGGCTCTCAAAAAGTTATATAACGGGGGGTCACAGTCCAGGGATGCGCCAATTATGTAGGGAAATCGAACACGGTAACGGGCACGATTTTCGCTCGACGCAAGAATATTGTTTGTTCACTCAGGGGAGCCGGATATGATCGCGTTTTGCGCTCGCTGAAGAACTAAGAAGATGTACAATATATATATATATATAAATTCGGCCAATTCCGATTGACGTGTTGACAGCCGAAAAGGGATCCAATCGAATGAATATAAACGCGCCATGGGTTTATGCCCAAAACGGGTGATTTGGATCCGACGATCCCAAAAGGGGTTGAGAGCGAGTTTTTTACGTCTTTGTAAAAAAAAAAAAAGTGCGCTTTCCTCATCTTCACACCTTCCGCACGAGTTAAACTCACACCTCACTCCACACTCGTTTATAAAACCAAAAAAACCAGCCCATTCCTTTTCCCTACACTTTCCTCAAACAACGCCCCTTCCCCGACAAATCACTTACTGCTCATGATGTACGCTGCTTACTTGCTCTCGCTCGCGGCACTCGCCTCTTCCGTTGTCGCCGTACCCAATATCTATGCGTTCAAGTATTCTGTAGGCACATCCCCCCACCTCCCCCCCCCTTTCCCCAGTTCGTTGTCTCATCTTATACACACTGCCAGCCCAGTAACATCGTCTCTGTCTTTGGTCTCGACAACTTCTGCGCGATTGTCCCCAAGGATCCTCACACCGATATTGGCGTTGCCGAAGGCTCAGGCACCAAGACTTACTGTGAGGAACCGCGTCAGATTCTACAACTTTTTTTTCCCATTTGACTAACAACAACAACATCAACAACACGTTGATCGCGTGCGCACGTTGATCGTCAATGTCAACAAGGCACTGACAAGGCTCGCTACGACAAGGTCAACCAAGGTCGCCTTCCTATCGATTTCATTCAGCCTGGTCAGGCAAAGTTTGCCGTTTGGGGAATCCCTGGAAAGAACCAAACTCGTCAGATCACTGGTTGCATCAATGCATCCCATCTCAGTCGCCTTAACCCTAGGGACCAAGGTGGCCAGTTTGAGTGAGCCATCGTACTCTTCTTGAAAAAATAAAATAAAACTGACGACTTTCAGTTCGTCCGGTCAAGGGTAAGAAATATCATTACACGACGATGACTCCCCTCATCACAACCCCTTACCGTATCCCTTTCCACTACTCTGTAGAAATGATGGCGTTCCTTCCCAGTCCTTCTGTATTCTACCTGGCAAGAAGTACGTGCACTGTTCAACTCCTCGGCCCCCTTCCCCTATCATTGATGTACCCCTCCCCAAAAAACTGACATGTGCCCTGGTATTTCCTAACAGCAAGCGTGGTTTCTACGTTCAGCAAATAGAGCCTGCTAACAATCGCTTCTGCCTCCGTTGCTGTGAGGTATGTATTTGCGTGTTCTCTCGTTGCCTCTCTCTCTCTTGTTCTGCTTTTTTACCCTTTACTACACACACACACACACACACACACCCGGCTCCTCTTCGGATCAGCGAACCAGTTATAAAATATGGCTTCACCATTCCATCATTTCCTGAGTTCTTTGAGAGCCCCTGACTGTTTCGTTGGCATTGATGGATTGATTTGACTGACTGACTGAAAATACTCTTCGTAGAATAACGCCGACTGTGACCACACGAAGGACACGAAAGGCTGTGAAGTCGCGATTCCTGGTGCGTTGTTCACTTTCCAGTTTCCCCATCTTTCTTAAGCTATATATACTCACGGATATAAAAATCTCTTTTGTAGGCTATTACGGTCCTAACTGCATCTGAGGGTTCGACCGTCGTTCTCTTCACCGTGCCCATACCTTTGGGGCTTGCACACACTATTAATAATATCAATCAAATATTTAAAAAGGACTGCTCTTGGCCTTCCTCATCGATATTCTTTTTTTTTTTCAAGCCCATCGGACTTAGTTTTCCCTCCATATTTTCTTCTGGAAGCCGTTCACTCTTTTCGGTTTTCGTTTTCGTTTTTTTTTTTCCGTTCACACTGGGATAATGATAGTTATGTATTCCCTTTCTCGCCTCGCCCCCCCTCGCCTCGCCTCACCTCTCAATATCAGTCCATTTTATGCACCACTGGTCGTGCCATCGGTGCCGATTATCATGAAATCTTCAGATGATCGATGAAAACGTGTCATATCAGTTACTTAATTGTGTGAAAGATAGGTAAGTAATATATATGTGCGCCATCCTCGGCTCAGTGGGTGGTTATCAATGTGGCTTTCCGGCGGTATATGCGGAGAAGTTGAGATGACCCCATTTGCTGCTGTTTTGGTTTTTTGTTGTTGTTGTTGTAGTATTGAAGGAGCAACGCCGCACGGACAGGGATCCAGGGGTGCAGGTGTGAAGCTGAGGGGGGGCTGCCTCGTAAAGGTCTTTGAGGCGGTGGTGTTGGTTGTCACGGTGATGCATGTACCTGAGGGTGTTGTAATGTTAATATTATTAGAGTGGATGGATAGGAAACACCCCCGAAATTTGACATCAGCATGTATCATCACGGATTGGTTGTGAAAATGCAGCGAGGAGGTGACGAAGACTGATCCCGATGTACTGTTGAGATCGAGCATTGGGCCGGTTCAACCTTATGTACGTGAACTGCAAACACTGGGATGATGGTTCAGGCTGTTAGGCGAGTGTGAATCGTCAGGTGGACTGGCCCTTGTAGCCCGGATTCCCCCTGGGAGAAGAGGACATCTATACATAACTATAGCATTGTTTAACTGTGGTCCTTCCAAGTCATCAGGGCCCCGGGAGGTAGCTTGTGTGGATCACGCCCACACCCATGCACTGTTGATGCAACTGGGCTGAAGAGAACTCCATTTGGGGAGTAGAGGCAATGTGGCTATTGGATCGATGGCTGGTCAATGTGATATATGATCATAAGATTTTCCATGCGCAGAAGGTCCACGAATGCTAGGTTCGGATTGCGGAACGCCGGGCGCCTTTCCAGCTGCAGCACATCAACAATATCACGTGAATGTGGTCATCGATAATTTAGTTGGTGACATAAGAGGAACACAAGGGCGTTCGCACCGTTCGCAATATCCGCATCGAAAACTCTAGTCGCTCTTTACGTCCTCCTATAACTCTGAAGGCTTCCCTCGTCGCGAATCTCGCTGTGGGTTCTGGCGGCACGTGTCTACCACATCCCCAAGACTCTTACTCAAACAGCCGTTCTCGGGGTCTCACCATTTTTTTTTTTGCTACATTCGTAAAGACAGATGATCATCTTGCGAGTTCCTGGACCGCCAAATGATAATCCTCAGGTGATCATCGTAGCTGGAATCGTTGTTGGGCTACTAGCGTCCTGCATTCAATCACTGGGTGAGCTTGGCCGATGATTCTATGCCGTATTTTATTCGCTCAAGGCAATCACAGGTCTTACGATACAACGGAAGAGTCATATCCAGAATCAAGCACGTCCAGAAGATGAGAGGACCTCTGATTACAGGCGGCCGTGAGTGAGCTCAACAGGACTTTTCAAGTGGGAATGAACACTAACGTCTCTCTCTCTCGCCGTGAAAGGTTGTGGGTTATAGGATTCGGTACGTCCTAGTTCCAAGCCCGGTTGGCCTCTAGGAGGTTAACCCTTTGGTATTGGTCCCAAAAAAACAGCTATTTTTATCACTTCAAACGTCCTTGGGTCGATATTTCAAATTGCTTCGCTCCCAGTCGTCCTTTTGGCTCCACTCGGTGCCGTATCGTTACTATGGAATGCGTTCTTTGCACGAATGATCCTGGGGGACATCTTTTCCAAATTTATGGTAGCTGGTACAGCACTAATCGTAGTGGGAGCTGTCATGATCGGCATCTACGGCATCGTACCGGAGCCCACACATTCTTTGGACGACCTCCTACTCCTATTCGGTCGTAGCACATTTCTGGTGTACTTCTCATTGCTAGGAGTCGTCGTTTTCGCAATCCTTACTATTGTGAGAGCTACTGATCTTTACGATTCAATGTGGCCTGGCTTAAGATTTCACCTCCTACTAGACTCATTTTACGGAATGGCGATATAATCGAATTCACATGGTAATAATGTCTCCACCACGGACTCCACCCCTTCGTCCATTTCCTCTCACTGACGATCATGGTCGGGTTGAAGCAACGGAGACAGCCCCTCTCTTGGACCCAAAGCTTAGCCGGTCGACTTCGCCAGTATCGCTGAGGTCGAGAATCCCCACCTTGTTAGCTATCTCATACTCATCCATGTCGGGAATATTGTCTGGGATGTGTCTGATATTTGCCAAGTCCGGAGTGGAGCTGCTCGTTCTAACAGCCGCGGGTCACAACCAATTCAACCGCTGGGAGAGTTGGGCACTGGTTCTTGGACTCATTGTTTTTGCGCTCTTACAGGTCCGTTGTCAAGTTGAAGATCGTGTATCCCTGCAGCTCATCCTATCGTAGTTATGGTATCTTCACAAGTCGCTCGTACTGGAAGATCCTACACTCGTTTGTCCTCGTATGTCAACCTCTTACTCTTCACATTGGAGCTCCGTTCATTTCTGTCCAGTTGCATTCTGTTTCTACAATCTATCATCTATCATGAATGGCCTCATATACTTCGATCAGTTCGATCGCCTTAGCTACAGAAGCTTGGGTCTTGTCACTCTTGGAATTTTCTTACTTTTGGGTGGCGTGTGGGCAGTAAGCCACCAGCAAGTTGGAGAAGAAGGTGGTGTTCTGGAAGGAGACTGGAGTTTTGCCGCGGATGTTATTGAGTCTTCAGTCCCGAGCCCAGTGTTTACCACATTCACTCGATCAGATAGCTCTGGTTATGGCTTCTCGCAAGATCAGCAGACATTATCCCCGTCATATCCACATCGCAGGGTTGTTTCATCTCCTTCAATCCCCTCTCGAGCACCATCACCAGCGCTAAATAACCCACCCGACTCATTTCCTAGCACCAGTGGGGCATCGACAACACCACGACCGAGGGCGGTTAGCGCAACGCATCCCACGACGACGCTGCCGCGAGGACCCATCTCTCCGCCTCGCCGACGGTCCACACGCCGCGCTACTTTGCGCTTATCGGAAGAGGCCGTGGTTCCTCCAATTGGCGGGCCTCCAATCGGTGGCTTCACGATAGGGCTGTCGCCGTTAAGCCCAGGTTTTGCACTGGTACCAAGGCAGCGAGACAGCAGCTACCCTATGACCAACTGTGGTACTGATGATGGAGCAACCGTTGCGGGAGAAAATCCTCCAAACCGTGCAAGCTCGAGACTGGCCAGGTTACGCGCCAAGCTAAGATGGAAGAGCCATTGAATATACCCTTTCGCATTGTATGACGATTTTGGCACGACATCATTTCATTCGATTCATCACCGTCGCATGAGCAAATACACATTTTCACCTATTACGATATTTTGCATATGTCGATATGAACCTGTGAGCGCCATTAAGAGACCCCCGAACGATGCATACGCCGTTCTGTGGGAAGGATTAGAGGTAGAAAAATGAGGGGAAACCTTCTACTTACACCATCTCATGTGAACCCTCGTCGAATTTATACACCTGAAATAAAACTATTTGGTAATATCATGGATGGCGAGAGACCAGCGATGCTCACCTTTCCATACATAACACACTCATAATCTTCTTCAATGCCGACACTTCCTTTCCTGTCCGGTCTCCAGACATCACGACCAGTGCTTTCTTCGTCTGCGCCAACAACTTCTCGCGACAGTGAAGAGGCGAGAGCAAGAGTAAAAGTTTCGCCCTTCCGCAAAGGATAAAGCTCGACGTTGTAGTCTAGTGCGAGGTGCATAGCATGACTTTGTGACTTGGCCATGAGCCGAGAAACTTGTGTTGGAAAGTTAGTAGGGGTGTAAGCTAAGATCGAGAGAAAATTCTTACCTCGGTCGAATCTTTTCCCCTCTGCATTGATATCAGTGATAGTGAAAATGTCGTCAAAAAGGATATTGGATTCTCTTGACATCTTGCAGAAACAGGGCGCTTTCACGGCATTTCCCAAGGTTCTCACGCTTCCAAATTGAAAGGGGGATCAAATCGGCTCCATCATGCGCGAGGATATCCCATTTGACGTATGGCTCCCTGTTTTCCAGGACGTCTATGAGGACCCTCGTCTCCTCTCTGATGATGGGGGTTCCGAATTCGTCTTGTCACCCTTGCATCGCCGATTACTCGTCCACCTCAACTTGTCCAGAGTTTCGAAGCGCTTTCACGGTCTCTCGAAGGTTGTATTCTACCAAAAGTTGCAACTTTACACATACGAGGCTTTGCATCACGTTGCTACTGTGGTGAAAAAAGACGCTCAGATGGCTAGACTGCCTCGATCTCTCGGATTCAATTTCTACGAGTATAGATGTAGCGCTAGTTCCCCCCGGCGCCCCAGGAAGATGAAGACTTGGGTGGCGCAGGAAGTCCCCCACGATGCCGATCCTGCTACTCGCTCAGCTGCTCTTATCCGTCAGGATAGGCTTAACATGTCGTACAGCCAGTTTCGAAATTATGCCCCATCCATGACGAAGCAGTCCACACAATGGGCCGCCTGGGGAGGATATATAAGGGCTATATTGGTGGCCTGTCCAAGCATTTCGGAAGTGAGGATCGACGCTACATCTGATCAATCCTACCGTTCTATGCCGCGGCATTCACACCACTATCGAACCCTGTTTGATGCACCCGACTTGGAGAATCGCTCTGTCCTCGATGGACTCATAGCGGCCGGAAACCTTCGGAAATTACGTTTTGTGAATCCATCCCCTCTTCTAGATCTAGGTCCCGCGCTAAAGAGGTGGAGATTTCTGCAAGATCTGCACGTTGAACTTTCCCCCCGTTTCCCTGAAAATGACAAATTTGACAAAATCACATTCCTGCCCCCTTCTTCACTAGAGAATTTAACGCTACTCGTCGATCGCCAGACATCGGGGTGGCCATTATCATCGGATTTGCTCAATTGCAAGGGTCTGCGACGCGTTCGCCTTGGATCGTCAAACCTTGCAGTTCCACAGAACGTTATGGCACTGAAATACCTTCTTCATACGTATAGAAACACTCTCGAAACTATCATGCTGGACTTGCGGTCCGGTTCCTTATCAGCAGACATTGCACTTATTTTCAACACGGGGGATATCGAATTCCCCAAGTTGGAGAGGCTTCACATTTCTGGTGGGATGTCTTCCATGGACTTCTGGAGGAAGATATACACGCCAGCCCTGCGTGAACTTTCCCTTCGACACCTAGATATCGAAGACCAGGATATGAGCCGATGTAACGATGAATCCTTCTGGGAGGCCTTCTTCGAGCAATTGAGCTTGAAGAACTTGAGGACGCTCCGTCTTGTTGAACATGGTAGTGGTTGGGAAGCGCTTGAACGTGTGGCAGCCTCCCGCGGAATAAGCACTCCCCCTTGCATGCTTGGATGGTGGAGCAGCGTGGCCCGAGAAATTGAGGAAGGAGGTGTAGAGGAAACGGAAGCATTACCAACCACTTTTTTTTCCGTGAGTCGCTCAAACATCCGCGTTCAGAATATATGCATATTCATTCATCACTTGGAAGACCCATCCATTGGCCCCCTGACCGCCAGCCCTCTGTTCCGAGGCTGAATACTTTGTCCCATTTCGACCCAAAGTTCTTTGTCTGTCTTTGAATTCTTAGCCCTCGATATCGGGGCACCGATTGAGTTTCCGCGCCACTGGCGCGACCATCGTTGGTTCAGTTGTTTCTTCTTCTATTCTGTTCTCCTACTTCTGTTATTGTCGTTGTTACTTTTTTTTAACGGCGATTTGGGGTCTCTTTTGTATTCACGCATGCCTTCGCGAACTTAGCTAGTCAATGCCGTTCCAAATCTCGGCGCGAAACCCCAATTTTCTTACGTATCACATCACCGTTTGTCCAGGACCTCGTCCTCCTTCATAATGCAGGTTCGCACCACGCTCAACCTCAGCTGTTCGAGCAGTCTCCCCGCCTGGAGCATTCCATCGGGCTTTCAGCCCCCCTGTCTCCAACACCCAGTTAAAGCCTCATCCGCCGTGCCAAGAAACATTGAGCCAACAAGGAACCAGACGGCGGACTGAAGCGAGATTTATTCAACAGTTGGCGAATCCTGTGTTGTTATGACTGGCCCGATACGGACGTAGCGCTTGGCGGCTACTACACTCGCATTATATGTAGCGAGGGACAACTTGATATACATGTTTGCAACCCAAAGCCGGGTGCAAAGGGTATTCTGTTGGGCTCGCATCATCCAAGCAACTCAGTACATGCAAGGGCCGGGATATTGAAGTGCTCCTCACAAAATTGGCAACTAGAATCTACTCAGAATATAGCAATGAAAGCCCAAATTCTTGCTGCAGGAGTGGAACGTTCCGGCCCTACTATGGAGAACGACGAGAGACGGGCCCCAGATGGAGTCACGGCAAAACTGCGGCTCTTGTGGCACTAATTCATATATTCAGCGCGGTCTGACTGTAACGATATCAAGATTTGCTGCGGAACGACGACGCTGAACTTGCACCATTCACTATCACAGTATGGGCAGCAGTCAATCACACTTCGTCACCGATCCAAGCTCGTTGATTGACTTAAAAGAATGGGATTACATCGTTGTTGGCGCGGGTGCGTTTCTCACCAAGTGAGACTCATGAAGCTGACAGGCATGTCCTAGGGACCGCTGGCTGCGTTCTAGGTGAAAGGCTCTGAGGCTTGAATTCCTATCCTCGTCTGACGAACCCATACAGCTCACCGCCTTTCTGTGGACCCTCAGATCAGAGGTATGCCCTCTCCGCCTGCTTGACCCGTGCCTTACACTCCTTGTTGCTGTTCAGTGCTGCTCATTGAGGCTGGTCACAAGTTGGTCGAACGCTGATCAATAGATGGCAATCTTGCTTATTTGATCGTCCAACCTTTAGCAGCGAGGATGAAATGTTCTCTCGTATACCTGCGGGGATGACGAGGCTTTTCCACACCAAATCTGACTGGGAATATTACACCTCGTGCGTCCACTATCCCCATACAGTGATGACATATCCCACATACCCTTTGAAGGCCTCAATCTGCACTAAATATGAGATCAGTGTACTGGCCTCGTGGAAAGTTGTTGGGAGGTTGTAGTTCAATTAATGCCATGATGTATCAAGTGAGTCGTTGGTTGCTCTCTCCTTATATTAGTTGCCAAATTCTCTCGCTTTTACGAAGCGTGCACCTTCTCAAGATCTCGACGAATGGGAAGGGTTAGGATGTTCTGGGTGGAATGCAATGAATCTCGCTCCGTTCGTATTCCATCAATGTAGGGCAACATCATTATCACATCTTCTCGCAGATATTACCGGAAAGCGGAGAAATTCACGCCTAACCTTCTTCATCCTCATACCACCCACGAGCACCATGGGGATTCAGGGTTGTGGCAGACTGGGTACAGGGAGCCGCATGTACGTAACTAGAAGCCCTGTCTCTTAAGCCACACCTGACGCCACTGTTGATAGCCTAATGCTGATAGGTTCATTGCCTCATGCGTGAATGCAGGAATCCCAAGCAAGAAGTAGGTTCGGCTGCATTCATCGGCTCCCCTTAGTGAACCCCTGTCCAGTGACTTCAATACCCCCGAGGGACCTATCGGAACCACCCACATGATTTCGTTTATTGATCAAAATGGGCGAAGTGGGAGGCGTTTTGCTACAAAACGAGACATCTATTCTGACTAATGCGACAGGAAGTTCCGCTTCCACTGCTTATCTTTCCCCCGCTGTCATTGCACGCCCGAATCTAACCATCCTCCTGAAGACTTATACCTTGAAGCTCCTTTTCTCGTCCGCTGGTGCACATGATGACCCAAATCCCAAATGCATAGGGGTTGAGGTTGCATCAGCCGAAGTTCCCCCACACGAAAATGAGACTCCACGGTACAAATTATTTGCCAAAAAGGAACTTATTCTGTGCGCAGGAGCAATCAACACACCGCAGATACTGATGGCGTCCGGGATCGGACCCGACGACGTGCTACTGAAGGCGGGTATCCCCCGCTTAGTCCCTGATGCAGAAGGCCTCGGCACACACGTTGGAAGGAACCTGAGCGATGTGAGTCCGATTGATACACCAAAAATCTGGCTAACTGTGAATATCTTTTTTTTTCACGCCTTTCAGCATCTCATGGCTTCCGCCGTTTTCCGTTCAAAGGATTCAGTCGATTATCTCAATCATTCAAAGCTTGTGCTGCTGTATCTTCTGCAACACGCCCTTTTCGGCACAGGTCCATTTTGCACTAATGTTTGTTCTCCGCCACTTGTTTTCTTTGAAGTCGCTGACGTAGTCGCCAGTACACGGATGGTGTCGCTTTTCTCCGCCTTGATGCGACTAGGTGTGCCGAATGCTTTTTTTTCTGAAACTTGTCGATTCACCTCATTCAGGGAGCTGTGGAGGTCCAACCTATCGAGCCTCTCTGACGCCCCAGTACCAGATGCAACGTCAGGGCCAGACGCGCCCGATATCGAGCTTATCAGCATTCCTACGACATATTTCCGTGCCGGTTCTATCCCCATTGAGCCAGGTGGAAAGTCATTTAGTATAGTGAGTGATCATAGTACTAACGTATGCTAATGAACATATGCCGACGATTCTTTCCGAAAGCTACTTATTCACCTCAGGCCTGAGAGCCAAGGTTCTATCACTGTTCAGTCCGGGAATGTATTCGATAAGGCGATTTGCGAACCGAAGTATGTCCACCAACCCTGCAAGGTATCCAATCTAACCATTACAATCCAGTTATCTGGAGTCGAAAGTTGATTTGCAGGCCCTTGTGCGGGGTGTCCGCATTGTGTTGAAGATAGCACGCACCAAGCCACTTTCGGACCACCTTGTTTTTGTTGACCCTAAGGAGAAACCGAACAATGACATGATGAACATGTACTGGCTTGCTGATCAAGATCCCGAGACCCTGACAGACAAAGATATTGAAAACTGGATCCGATTGCACGCCGAGACACTGTATCATCCGGTGCGTCCAGTCTGCATCGGAATGCGGAGTTATGTGAAAGCTGATGGGGAGAGGAAATAGACGAGTACGGCTCGGATGGCTGGCTCGCCTTCAAAAGGCGTTGTCGACCCTTCTTTACGTGTGTTTGGTGTCCAGAACTTGCGCATTTGCGATGCTTCAGTCTTCCCGAACCAGATTGCGGCCCACCCTACAGCAACGATCATTGCAATGGCAGAGCGACTAGCGGATTTAATCTTAACATGAATCGCCGGACTCCAACAAGCGCTGCGTGTGGCCCCGAAGGTTATAATTCAGTGGCATAGGAATCTAAAGATCCAGTACACGTGTCTATCATTCACTTTTTGTATGTAACGTGCAGGAACTAAACATGGTCCCTGCTTGGGGGGGCACAACGTCCATGGACATAGTAAGATGTCGGGATCAGCTCCATTCCATGAAGAGATGATCATGCTACGAGTTCATGCGCTTGTTGGATCTACAAGCAATTGTGTTCAGCATTACTGGTAGGATGACAAGAACCCCCTTGCTACGTACGATGTGACCTATCTTCCGCGGAAATTGGGGTGATTTGGTTCGGCATCGCTTTGCCTGCCCTGATCGTTCCTCCTACTTGCAATGGTTGAGGGGGTCAGCGTATCGGGGCTGCTATCGTCGACACTTCGCTCGGATGCGCGGAGGTGCCGTGAGTTGTACAAAGTAATGTTGGGAGTCGGAAAGTTACGTGGTTGACTGCTGGTTGAAGGTGTATGTGAAGCCGAAATCGCATGCCAGTCCAGGTCCGTTATGGTGCGTCGGCCGATTGGTTCAGGTGTTCTAGGCGCATTAGCAGCATCGCTCGGGTTCCAACTAGTGCCGCCTCGAGGAACTTGACCCTCTTCAGGCTGACCTTGACTTCCAGTGCCAGAGGACTGATCCTGGTCTCTTGCAAGGATGCCGATTGTACTAACATTGTTAGTTATCTGCAACTGCCTCGTTTGTGTTGAGAAGCGATGGAGTGGTGATTCAGGGGATTCCAATGGAGGCATGAGAAGACTCGGAGAGGATGGTGTTCCAACAGGTTGTGGCGCTGAGTCTGAGGGAGCTCCCGGAGTGAGTGGCATCCCACCTGAGTGAGCAGCAGGCATGGATTGAATCCCATGAAAAGGTCGTGTTTGGCCTGGCTGGGGGGTGGACATCCATTGGGCACTACGGGGAGATGCGGTGTCCTGCCAACTCGATGATCGCTGCTCAAGTTGCTTGGGGCAGGGGAATCGAAGAACGGGGTGTACGAGAGTGTTTCCCCAACCCGATCAGCTGAACGGAGCTGTATTGGACTATCGACTTCACGGGGCCCAGTAGAATCGGTGTTTGCAGGGCTAAGGCCTGGTAGGTAAGATGTGGCACCGAATACATTGGGGTCTTTGGGTTCGGGCATTGGAGGGAATCTCAATGCCACGACGTCTCCAAAGAGACCAACCATCGTATCTTGGGGTCTCTCCATGTCAGCATCTTGTTGGGCCACACCCACACTGCTGTTGAAAGAGCGAGTTGCACGCGGCCACGTAAGTGACTCCCGATGCACTTCATGGTCATGCATAGGCCGGTATAAACTATTTTCAGGGAATACGGCGTTCACAATGGCATTGACAGGGCCATCAAGTATTGTCTCGTTGGCAGGCCTCCCGATGCCGAAATACCTAGAATGCTGTTTCCTTTGTCTCTCCAGGACGCCTGCAAGGCGACCTTGGTCCACAGCGGGTAATCGAGTCTGAAATATTTGAGTTGGGCTATTGAGCTGTACTTGCGACGACATGGAAGACACGGAAGATGGCAGCAAGAAATGTTGCAGGAATTGGGTTTCGATCATGAAGTGCCCGTATGCACCCCATTTAAAAGCCTGAGCTCATGAAGTTCGATCATCAAATCAGAAGCATATCATACGGAAGAGCCATTTTCTTTCATGGAGTAGCATGCGGCAGCTTTCAGAAGCTGCCTTTGTAGTATTGCCGGCATTGTGGACGGTTCTTCTTTTTCATGTATAAGTAGAAGACATGTTAATAGTGGTCGGGCTAATATAAGTACACCACGAAATGGAGTATTTGAGGTTGAGGAATATGGCGCCCGATAGTCAATGCAATGGCCCCCGCCATCTCGATCTAAACAAGGCCCCCTGCGTCAAACTGGCAGCAAACCATCTCCTTCGAAGATGGCACGGGCGATCGGGAACGTTGGGTATCGTTACGTCGGCACTTGCCCTTCCCCGTACGGCAATTGACGACACAGTTGGCCTTTCTGCATCCTATTTACGCAATCACAGAAGCTGGAGTCCTACTTGGCCTGATCCGATTCCCAGCATTGGCGTTAGGGGTTTGACTCGCCATGGTCAAGGAGCTGCGACGAGGATCGAAACATCGCACCCACGCGAAGGGGTCAGTGCGTGCATCTAGGTCCTGGAACATACTCCCTTCGGATATTATACACGAAATTGTTCACTACCTCGTCCCGTGTCACTTGTACCCTGGGGATGATGGCTACTCACCTTCCCCCAAATTTGTGACGAGTTACATCCAGAAACGTGCCGCTTTGGCATCTCTCGCTCTCGTCTCCTGTAATTGGGTCGACCCTGTGATGCGTGGCCTCTATCGTGAAATCGCAATATTCATCTGCACCGAAGCATCCGTATATTCTCTCCCCGAATCACTCAAGTCTCATGGGAACCTCGTTCGAACCATCATTCTCGACTCTAGAACTCGTCATTTGAAGGACCGACCATCTCTCATTGACCACTTTCCCGATCAGCTGGCTCGGTTCAATCAGAGGGTTATATTGATAAACGAAATTATTGCATCATGTTCGCACCTGACGGGGATGGAGAGTTTTGGTTGGTACGATGATGCCTTCGCCGAACTCGCCCAGTTCAATGACAACTTTGAGACTGTCGTCGCTCCTTCAAGCTCCATGAAACATTTTACGTGGACGAGTGGGTGTTATTCACATGGGCTGCGCTGTGCTCTCCAGCACCTTTCTCGGACATTAGAAACCTTGATTATTTATGAGTGGGATCCAGTCACTCCTATGTCCACATTCGGCCGGCCTTTCACTCCCATCTCGCGCCTCCCTTCTCTTCCACGACTTTCAGAAATTCGTCTTAAGAAAACCTCAGGCCCTGAATTACTCCATATGCTCGAGCTTCTTAAAAGTACAGAATGTGTCGGGGAAGATGAGAATGTTACTTCCCGTTTACGTGTGCTAGAAGTGCAGCGGCCAGACTGGTTGACGCCCAAGGATTTCCTATGTATGGTACAGACGACAAAAGCATTTTCCAATCTCAGGACGCTGATTCTTACCTGTCGTCCGGTCGGCTCAGACCAGTTCCCTATCACCAAAACATGGGAGTGGCATGACTATTCCGAACTCCCTTGTGCACTTTTCCAAAGCTCCCCACATTTAGAAGAGCTCTCGCTCCTCAGTCCAATTCCACTCTCTTCATTCTCCAAACCGCCTGAAACACTTCGCATATTGCGCACCCTGATTTGGCGGAGTTATTTTGGGCCGCATGAATTCATGCGCTTCCTGAACTCTCCATCGAGTCGAAATCTGAAGCTTATCGAGCTACAGCACGTCTCGAGGACGGCGATGGCGAAGTGGAAAGTTGAGATGGAAACTGTGTTGCAAGTCGGACGTCGTCTTGGGAAAGATATCATCATCCCGACTGAAATTTATCCCGAGCCCCAATTTAGACAACCTGGTGCGATAATAACCAGAATCACGCGGTACAGTCGCTCTGTATGTATTCCCGCAGTAGACAAAGCCATCCAGAAACCTCGCAGAGCTGATTATGGTCTTGGAACAGGTGTCGTTATACTAATATACCCTCTCTAACTCGTCCCGCGCCATTGCCAGACAACCTACGGTGACAATAAAATGGGAGAAAGTGCTCGGGTTAACATTGGGCCCCCCATTCGAATGCCACGATGATCGGACTCGAAATCACCCTCTGGATCTTACCCTACGTTTATCACGTCAACTTGCTTTGCCCTTTGTTGAGACCCAGTCTGTTCCTGTTTCTCCTCGTTCTCACCTTCTGATCCCACCTGTGCCTCATTTCATCTGATTTGTGGTACTCGAGAGCTTGGACAAAAAATATTTCCTTAGTACAGACCCCCACCACGCCGGAACAGGTGCACGCGAACAAGAAGTAGCCATTCTCGATGTCGAGGGTCACTGGGATACGGGCCCCATCCTTCTCACTTCCCTATTCCTTGGTACCCTCAACGCAATTCCCGTCTCACCTGACTTCGTCTGATCCTCCATCTCAGGTGGGTATGATTGCTACCACCGGTATGGTATTACCAATAACCGAAGGGTAATTCTGACTGCGGGCCTTTTCAAACAAATCTTGAGGTCGTGTCCGCGATCCTAGCCCGCAGTATCATCCAATGATGGCGCGTAAAAGCTCAGGTACTGACGCTATTGCGGTGGGGTTCCGCGATAATGATCATCATTTGATAAGGCGATTTGCGAACCGAAGTATGTTCACCAACATTGCATGGGATCTTATCTAACCATCACGATTCAGTTATCTGGAGTCGAAAGTTGATTTGCAGGCGCATGTGTGGGGCGTCCGCATCGTGTTGAAGGTAGCACGCACCAGGTTACTTTCACCTTGTTGTTGTTGACCCTAAGGAGAAACTGAGCAATGACGAACATGTGCTGGCTTGCTGATCAAGATCTCGAGACCCTGATAAAGAGATTGAAGACTGCACGCCGAGACAGTGTATCATCCGCTGCGTCCAGCCTGCGGAGTCATGTGGGGGTTGATGGGGAGTGGAAATAGACTAGTACGGCTCAGATGGCTGAGTCACCTTCAAAAGGCGTCCTCGACCCTTCTTTGCATGTCCAGAACTTGTGCATTTGAGACGCTCCAGTCTTCCCGAACCAGATTGCGGCCTACAGCAACAATCATTGCAATGGCGGAGCGACTAGCGGATCTAATCTTGGAAAGAATCGCCGGACTCCAAATGGGGGTAGGTCATAATTCAGTGGTGTAGGGATCTAAAGATCCGATACTCAGTCATCCTGTGGAACACAGTACACGTGTCTATCATTCACTTTCTGTATGTAACGTGCAGGAGGCCAACTAAACACAGTCCCTCCTTGGGTCCTCTAAACAACAATACAAGAGAGAGCACAATACCCATGGACATAGTAGGAGATCTGGACCTTTGGCCCCATTCCATAAAGAGATGAGCATGCCACAAGCTCATGCGCTTGTTGGATCTACAAACAATTGTGTTCAGTAATACTGTGATGGCAAGAACCCCCTTGCTACGTACGACCCAACCTATCTTCCACCGAAATTGGGGTGATTTGGTTGGGCATCGCTTCGCCTGCCCTGATCGCTCCGGTTTGTAATGGTTGAGGGCGTGGGCGTGTCGGGGCTACCATCATCGACATTTCTCTCGGACGCGCGAAGGTGCCGCGAGCTGTGCGGAGCAATGTTGGGAGCCGTGCTGGTTGAAGGTAAAGCCGAAATGGAGTACCAGTCCGTTATGGTGCGTCGGCTGATCGGTTCAGGTGTTCTAGGCGCATCAGCAGCATAGCTCGGGTTGCAACTAGCGCCACCTCGAGGAACTTGACCCTCTTCAGGTTCACCTTGACCTGCAGTGCCAGAGGACCGATCCTGGTCTCTCACAAGGATACCGATTGCGCTAACGTTATTAGTTATCTGCAGTTGCCTCCTTTGTGTTGAGAAGCGATGGAGTGGTGATTCAGGTGATTCCAATGGAGGCATGAGAAGACTCGGAGAAGATGGTGTTCCGACAGGTTGCAGTGGTGAGTCTGAGGGAGCCCTCGGAGTGAGTGGCATTCCACCTGAGTGAGCGGCAGGCATGGATTGAAACCCGTGAAAAGGCCGTGTTTGGCCTGGCTGGGGGGTGGGCATCCATTGGGCACTACCGGGGAGATGCGGTGTCCCGCCGACTCGATGATCGCTGCTCAAGTTGCTTGGGGCAGGGGAATCGAAGAACGGGGTGTACGAGAGAGTTCCCCCAACCCGATCAGCTGAACGGAGTTGTATTGGGCTCTCGATTTCATGGGGCCCAGTAGAATCGGTGTTTGCAGGGCTAAGGCCTGGTAGGTAAGATGTGGCACCGAATACATTGGGGTCTTTGGGTTCGGGCATTGGAGGGAATTTCAATGCCTCGGCGTCTTCAAAGAGACCACCCATCGTATCTTGGGATCTCTCCATGTCAGCATCTTGTTGGGCCACACCCACACTGTTGTTGAGAGAGCGAGTTGCACGTGGCCACGTAGGTGGCTTCTCACGCACTTGATCGTCAACCAATTTGCGAATTTCCGTCCAAAGTGTGGTTGCACTGTTGGCTAGAAAATTTGGGGCAAAACCCGACTCGACGTGAATCATCGGTGCACCTATGCCCCTCATCTCGTACAGGTACATTCGAAAGCCTACAATGGCAATGCCGTATAGCACATTCGGACAATGTCGCTTTTGATAGGCATCGATCAAGTACCGATAGAGTTGATCCACCGCTTTCCTTGTGTCCTCCTTCCTATCTTTAGCAGATAGTGGCTTATTCTTCACCTCTATCACCAAACAGGTGAGGGAATCCGAGTCTTGATCGAAAAGTTCTGTGTCAGTTACTACGGTAATGTCAGGTCGCAGCAGTTCGCGTTGATCCCGCTTCTCATCTTCTAGTGTGTACTGCTGCATAGGCCTGTATAAACTATTTTCTGGGAATACAGCATTCACAATGGCATTGACAGGGCCATAAAGTATTGTCTCGTTGGCGGGCCTCCCGATGCCGAAATACCTAGAATGCTGTTTCCTTTGTCTCTCCAGGACGCCTGCAAGTCGACCTTGGTCCACAGCGGGTAATCGAGTTTGAAATATTTGAGTTGGGCTATTGAGCTGTACTTGCGACGACATGGAAGACACGGAAGATGGCAGCAAGAAATGTTGCAGGGGTTGGGTTTCGATCATGAAGTGCCCGTATGTGCCCCACTCAAAAGCCTGGGCTCATGTTCGATCATCAAATCAGAAGCAAATAAAAAGAGATAGTTTTTTTCACGAAATAGCATGCGGCAGCTTTCAGAAGCTACCTCTGTAGTATTGTGGCATTATGGAAGGCTCCCTTCCTTCATATATATATAAGTAGAAGACATGTTGATATATAATGGCCAGACGGATATACACCATGGATAATGAAGTATTTGAGGTTGAGTACACAGAAACCCTCAGGCTAGAATCAATGCAATGGTCCCATCCCCTCGATCTAAACAAGGCCCGTTGCGTCAAACTGGCAGCAAACCGTGGCCTTCGAAGGTGGCACGGGGCGATCGAAGTTGTAACGAAACACAATATCAATAGCTGGTTGCGTCGGCACTTGCCGTATGGCAATTGATGGGAGACTAACAGCACAGTTGGATCATATTACGCAGTCACAGAAGCTGGAGTCCTACTTGGTCTAATCCAGTTCCAAGTGTTGGCATTAGGGGTTTGACTCGTCATGGTCAAGGAGCTGCGACGAGGATTGGAACATCCCACCCACGCGAAGGGTCCAGTGCGTACATCCAAATCCTGGAACACACTCCCTTCGGATATTATACACGAAATTGTTCACTACCTCATCCCGTGTCACTTGTATCCTGGGGATGATGGCTACACATCTTCTTTCCGTCAATTTGTGACGAGTTACATCCAGAAACGTGCCGCTTTGGCATCTCTCGCTCTCGTCTCCTGCAATTGGGTCGACCCTGTGATGCGTGGCCTCTATCGTAAAATCGCAATATTCATTTGCACTGAAGCCTCCGTATATTCTCTCCGCGAATCACTCAAGTCCCATGGGAACCTCGTTCGAACCATCATTCTCGACTCTCGAATTCGTCATTTGAAGGACCGACCATCTCTCATTGACCACTTTCCCGATCAGCTGGCTCGGTTCAATCAGAGGGCTATACTGGTGAACGGGATTATCGCATCATGTTCGCACCTGGTGGGCTTGGAGAGTTTTGGCTGGTACCATGATGCCTTTGCCGAACTCGCCCAGTTCAATGACAACTTTGAGACTGTCGTCGCTCCTTCAACCTCCATGAAACATTTTACGTGGACGAGTAGGTGTTATTCACACGGGTTGCGCTGTGCTCTCCAGCACCTTTCTCGGACATTAGAAACCTTGATTATTTATGAATGGGATCCAATCACTCCTATGTCCATATTCGGTCGGCCTTTCACTCCCATCTCGCGCCTCCCTTCTCTTCCACGACTTTCAGAAATCCGTCTTAAGAAAACCTCAGGCCCCAAATTGCTCCATATGCTTGAGCTTCTTAAAAGTACAGAATGTGTCGGGAACGATGAGAGTGTTACTTCCCGTTTACGTGTGCTAGAAGTGCAGCGGCCAGACTATTTAACGCCCAAGGATTTCTTATGGATGATACAGACGACAAAAGCATTTTCCAATCTCAGGACGTTGATCCTCACCTGTCGTCCGGTCGGCTCAGACCAGTTCCCTATCACCAAAACATGGGAGTGGCATGACTATTCCGAACTCCCTTGTGCACTTTTCCAAAGCTCCCCACATTTAGAAGAGCTCTCGCTCCTCAGTCCAATTCCACTCTCTTCATTCTCCAAACCGCCTGAAACACTTCGCGTATTGCGCACCCTGATTTGGCGGAGTTATTTTGGGCCGCATGAATTCATGCGCTTCCTGAACTCTCCATCGAGTCGAAATCTGAAGCTTATCGAGCTACAGCACACCTCGAGGACGGCGATGGCGAAGTGGAAAGTTGAGATGGAAACTGTGTTGCAAGTCGGACGTCGTCTTGGGAAAGATATCATCATCCCGACTGAAATTTATCCCGAGCCCCAATTTAGACAACCTGGTGCGATAATAACCAGAATCACGCGGTACAGTCGTTCTGTATGTATTCCCGCAGTGGACAAAGCCATCCAGAAACCTCGCAGAGAGCTGATTATTGTCTTGGAACAGGTGTCGTTATACTAATATACCCTCTCTACCTCGTCCCGCGCCATTGATAGACAACCTACGGTGACAATAAAATGGGAGAAAGTGCTGGGGTTAACATTGGGCCCCCCATTCGAATGCCACGATGATCGGACTCGAAATCACCCTCTGGATCTTACCCGTTTATCACGTCAACTTGCTTTGCCCTTTGTTGAGACTCAGCCTGTTCCTGTTTCTCCTCGTTCTCACCTTCTGATCCCACCTGTGCCTCTCGTTTCATCTGATTTGTGGTACTCGAGAGCTTGGACAAAAAACATTTCCTTAGTACAGACCCCCCACCACGCCGGAACAGGTGCACGCGAACAAGAAGTAGCCATTCTTGATGTCGAGGGTCACTGGGATACGGGCCCCATCCTTCTCACTTCCCTATTCCTTGGTACCCTCAACGCAATTCCCGTCTCACCTGACTTCGTCTGATCCTCCATCTCAGGTGGGTATGATTGCTACCACCGGTATGGTATTACCAATAACCGAAGGGTAATTCTGACTGTGGGCCTTTTCAAACAAATCTTGAGGTTGTGTCCGCGATCCTAGCCCGCAGTATCATCCAATGATGGCTTGCAAAAGTTCAGGTACTGATGCTATTGCGGCGGGGTTCCGCGATAATGATCATCAGGATTTAATGAATATCCGGTGCAGAGAACCGCTGTCGCCACTGAATGATGCATGTTGTCGTCCACTATTGTGAGCAGGTTATTATTGATACTACGATAACTGATGGACCTTCACCGATTCCTGATTAATTACGCGCTCCGTTCTGCGGGGATGCGGGTTCCAATGAGTCTCCTTTCGTTGTGGAATGGAAATTACCAGGCATCTTCTTGTAGATGTCACCGGAAAGCGGGGAAGTTCCCGCCTTCTTCATCCTCATACCACCCACGACCACCATCGGGATCGAGGGTTATGGCATGTGCGTGACTAGAGGCCCTGTCTATCAAGCTACACCTGACGCCGCCGGGACCGGACCCGACGGCGTGCTACTGAAGGCCGAAATCCCCCGACGCAGAAGGCCTCGGCACACATGATGTTTATACACCAAAGATCTGGCGAACTGCGAATATTCTATGTTTTTTTTTTTCACCACCCGTCATTCAGCATCGTCATTTTCCGCTCTAAGGACTCAGTTGATTATCTCAATCATCCAAAGCTTGTGCGATGCTGTATCATCTCCAACACGCCTTTTCGGTACAGGTCCATTTTGCACTTTCTCTGCCACTTGCTTTCTTTGAAGTTGCTAACGTATTGGCTCAGCACGCGGACTGTGTCACTTTCTCCGCCTTGATGTGACTAGGTTTTATTTCTTCTCAATGGACCTCATCCAGTGAGCCGTAGAGGTCCAACCTATCGAGTCTCTCTGATGCCCCAGTACCAGATACAACGTCAGAGCCAGACGCGCCCGATATTGAACATGTGCAAAGTCATCTAGTATAGTGAGCGACCACAGTACTAACGTATGCAAATGAACATACGCTGACAATTCGGAAGTAATTTATTCATCTCAGGCCCGAGAGCCAAGGTTCTGTCACTGTCCAATCCGGGAATGCATTTGATAAGGCGATTTGCGAACCGAAGTATGTTCGCATGGGATCTTATCTTACCATCACGATTCAATTATCTGGAGTCGAAAGTTGATTTGCAGGCGCATGTGTGGGGCGTCCGCATCGTGTTGAAGGTAACACGCACCAAGCTACTTTCACCTTGTTTTTGTTGACCCTAAGGAGAAACCGAGCAATGACATGACGAACATGTGCTGGCTTGCTGATCAAGATCTCGAGACCCTGATAAAGAGATTGAAGACTGCACGCCGAGACAGTGTATCATCCGCTGCATCCAGCCTGCATCGGAACGTGGAGTCATGTGGGAGCTGATGAGATGTGGAAATAGACTAGTACGGCTCAGATGGGGTCACCTTCGAAAGGCGTCATCGACCCTTTTTTGCATGTCCAGAACCTGTCCACTTGCGAAGCTCCAGTCTTCCCAAACCAGATTGTGGCTCACCCTACAGCAATAATCATTGCAATGGCGAAGCAACTAGCGGACCTAATCTTGGAAAGAATCGCCGGACTCCAATAAGCTGCATATGGGGGTAGGCCATAATTCAGTGACATAGGAATCTAAAGATCCGATACCCAGTCATCCTGTGGAACACAGTACACGTGTCTATCATTCACTTTCTGTATGTAACGTTTTGTTTGTTTGTTTTATTCTGGATATTTAACCTGCAGAGCTTACACGAGCGCCAAGGGCAGGGGTCTCGAGAAAAATACATGCAAATAAAGTAAGAAGTCCGATCTGAGAACACTCGTCCTTCTTCGTCCGAATGAAACCCAAACCATATTCCCCTGGTGAGTCGTCACTTACAGATGTTCGGATATTGCGTTACTGGTGCCAAGATGGGAGGGGTTCCGCTTCACAAGCGGACGTTATCTCTCGGGTTTACTCCGTTGTCTCCTAAGTAGTGTTTTTCTTTTCATATGCCCCGCTCTCATTTAAGAATTCTGCCACTCGCTTGATCCCCTCTTCCTTCCCCAGGAGGTCTGCAAGGTTCAGAATCCCGTCTTTGTCTCGTAGGACGTCTCGGTGGTCGGTGTATGTAACGTGCAGGAGGCGCAACTAAACACAGTCTCCTTGGGTCCTCTAAACAACAATACAAGAGAGAGCACAATACCCATGGACATAGTAGGAGATTTGGACCTTTGGCCCCATTCCATAAAGAGATGATCATGCCACAAGCTCATGCGCTTGTTGGATCTACAATCGTGTTCAGTAATACTGTGATGGCAAGAACGTACGACCCAACCTATCCTCCACCGAAATTGGGGTGATTTGGTTGAGCATCACTTCGCCTGCCCTGATCGCTCCGATTTGTGATGGTTGAGGGCGTGGGCGTATCGGGGTTATCATTGTCGACATTTCGCTCGGACGCGCAGCTAACCTAAATGCCCCACCCAGCACGTTCCTCAAAAAGCACGTGAATGACCACGTGCTTCTTTTTTTTCGGAGGAGAAATTGTTTATTTTTTGTATGGAACTGATTCCGGTTTCTCACAATTTGTATTCTGTATAATAATACATATTTATGATTTCAACGGCAGCCGATATCGGTGGTTCTTTACCCTAGTGGTTAAAACCGGCTTCTGGGTGGTCATCCTGCTTTGGGGATTCCTGTTTGATTCAGAGTTGTTGTCCCTTTTTCGTTGTTGTTGATGATGTTGTTTTTTTTTTCTTTGGCACCTACCATGGGTTGAGTATTTGGGTTAGGGGTTGAGTGTTGGGCCGGGGGGTTGTGTGTTTGTGTCTATGTGTCTATTCAATTTTGAATCGGTTGGGCATTGGGTAAGGGGTTGGGTGTTGGGTGGGTTGGGGGGCTGGGTTAGGGGTTGGGAAGGGTCGTGGGCAGTTGTGTGTTTATGTGTCTATACAATTTTGAATTGGTTGGGTGTTGGGTCAGGGGGTGGGAGGCTTGGGTTGGGTCGTTGGGGGGGTTGGGAAGGTTGGGTCATAGTTACGAAGTACGATAGCTGGACACATTGCTTAGACTTACATCTCACATGTTTACAATTTAAATACTCTGGTTGCTTTTGGAATCGTATTTTACATTTTCTTTTCGCATGCATGTGAGCGTTGTGGAATGTGCTGGGTGGGGCATTTAGGTTTAGTCGGACGTGCAAAGGTGCTGCGAGCTGTGCAGAGCAATGTTGGGAGCCGGAAAGTTACACGGTTGACTGCTGGTTGAAGGTGAAGCTGAAATGGAGTACCAGTCCGTTATGGTGCATCGGCTGATTGGTTCAGGTGTTCTAGGCACATTAGCAGCATGCATACCTCGGGCTCCAACTAGCGCCACCTCGAGGAACTTGACCCTCTTCAGGTTCAGCTTGACCTGCAGTACCAGAGGACCGATCTTGGTCTCTCACAAGGATACCCATTGTGCTGACATTATTAGTTATCTGCAGCTGCCTCCTTTGTATTGAGAAGCGATGGAGTGGTGATTCAGGTGATTCCAATGGAGGCATGAGAAGACTCGGAGAAGATGGTGTTCTGATAGGTTGCAGTGGTGAGTCTGAGGGAGCTCCCGGAGTGAGTGGCATTCCACCTGAGTGAGTGGCAGGCATGGATTGAAACCCGTGAAAAGGCTGTGTTTGGCCTGGCTGGGGGGTGGACATCCATTGGGCACTACTGGGGAGATGCAGTGTCCCGCTGACTCGATGATCGCTGCTCAAGTTGCTTGGGGCAGGGGAATTGAAGAACGGGGTGTACGAGAGTGTTTCCCCAACCCAATCAGCTGAACGGAGTTGTATTGGACTCTCGATTCCACGGGGCCCAGTAGAATCGGTGTTTGTAGGGCTAAGGCCTGGTAGGTAAGATGCGGCACCGAATACATTGGGGTCTTTGGGTTTGGGCATTGGAGGGAATTCCAATGCCTCGGTGTCTTCAAAGAGACCACCCATCGTATCTTGGGGACTGTCATATCCATACAATCCCAACCTCCGCTCCGGGCTCCTGGAACTCCAAACTCCGACTTCTGGAGCCCTACTTCCCTTCTGTCACCTTCTCCTTGCTGACTCCCAAGAGGTTATCCCACCTCCGGCTTGGACACCACCTTTGGTCCGACTCTGGAACATTCTGGGTCCGACCCCAACCTCGACACCTTCCAGACAAGTACGCAAAACCTATGCTCCCGACTCTGGACCTCCGCTCCGGAATCCCGTTCACGTCTCCGTCTCCGGAACCTCCGGTCTTAGCTCCGACCTCAGACTTTGACCCCACCTCCGCTTATACCCATTGTATTGGTTAGCTCATTCCATTTAATTACGTTTGCCAATATTCCGGAGTTTAACTTCCGAGTTCGGACTTTCTGGACTTACCTCGGACCTTGCAACTATTGCATTGTCCTACTCAGTTCCGCTATTCTCCCTCATTCCTATTTGGGCTGCTGCTTCCTTTCTATTCAGTCAGCTAGCCATTCCCCACTCCCAACCTCCTTCCTTCCTCCTTGGGCCTTGGCCCTTCATTCCTCCTTTGAGAAACACCATTGAGTCAAACCCTTGACCCTCGGTGTTGTTCCTCTTTCCATCTCCCTTTGTCTCCTTTCTTCCTACCCTCGCTCCTTTTGATTCCGGACCCCTCCTTATATACAATGTACATAGTAACTTGTAACCTCAGTCCGAAATCGACATGAATTCCCCCCAAGAGACTTTCCCTCTGCTAGATCTGAAATTAGGGACCCCTAGGACAACCAGCAATGGCACAGCGCTCCGCCTGAGTCGCTGAGGCTGAGGTCCTTCCACGCTAAGTCTCCGATTCCATTCCAGAGTCGTCCGAATCCGCCCGGTTCTAACAGGGACTCTCCATGTCAGCATCTTGTTGGGCCACACCCATACTGCTGTTGAGAGAGCAGGTTGCACGCAGCCATGTATGCGACTTTCGATGCACTTCATTGTCAACCAATTTGCGAATTTCCATCCAAAGCGTGGTTGCACTATTGTCTAGAAAATTTGGGGCAAAACCCGACTCGACGTGAATCATTGGTGCACCTATGCCTATCATCTGGTACAGGTACATTCGAAAGCCTACAATGGCAATGCCGTATAGCACACCCGGACAATGTCTCTTTTGATAGGCATCGATCATGTACCGATAGAGTTGATCCACCGCTTTCTTTGTGTCCTCCTTCCTATCTTTAGCAGAAAGTGGCTTATTCTTCACCTCTATCACCAAACAGGTGAGGGAATCCGAGTCTTGATCGAAAAGTGTTGGAATACGAGTCACATGATGAAACTGAACCGGAATATCCGGGAATATTCTAGGGGTTACTAGGCGCCTGCGTAAGTGCTGGGCATAGAAGAACCTGGAATATTGTTGAGAAGTATAAATATGGGTGCTGGAGCGCCGTGTGTATTTTAGTTATATTTCTTTCTATATTACATCTGGGTTGCGAGTGAACCGCTGAAGCGGGTTACCATATTTGGAATGCCGCGTTTACAACAGGTTATGAGCCCAGCCTGGGTCTAACCGGATTACTCTATTCACTCGACATTGCCTCATCTGATCGCTACGCTTACATAATATGGTGGAAACCGAGGACACAACTCCGAACTATAACTCCCTGGTGGGACAAGTGCCGAAATTGACCAAGGATAATTACTATGATTGGAAATTCGGTGTCTCCCTTGTACTCCGGAGGGCTGGCTGTTGGGACATAATTCAGAAAGGGAAAAACAAAAGCGAAGACTGGAAAATCCCGAAGAATGCCCAAAACAAGGCCGACGAAGCTCTTACCATAATTGGGCTGACCATAGACCCGTCACAATACAAGTTGATCAGCCATTGCAAAAATGGTGTCGAGGCCTGGTACAAATTGGCAGGACACTATGAGAAGAACTCCAGGGCCAATAGAATTCGATTGACGCGGGCATTTTATAACTTCAAACACGATCCTGAAAAGCCGATTGACAATTATATTAATGGGCTCGAATCGATCTGGAACCAGATGCGCGGAATCGGAATGAATGTTGATGATTTGGATCTGGCCGATGCATTGATCATGTGCTTGAACCCGAAGTTCAATGCCATTTCGGCTTCTTTGACTTCCCACAAGACCGAGCCATCTTCGGAAGCAGTGATGGGTATTCTCAGGGATGAGGAGGCAAGGATGAGGACATATGGAGAAGAGGGTGCCCCCCCAGGGGCATTTATTGCAGGGGGAAAACAGGCTAGAGCAGAGCCGGTTTGTTGGAATTGCCAAAAGAAGGGGCATTACCGGCGTAATTGCCAAGAGAATAAGGAAACCCAAAATAGAAACGAGGCCATCTCGATGATGAATTACTCTTACTAAATTGGGAACGGAAGGATCCGAACGCTGTCAGGACTGTATAGGATGGGAAAATATCGGAGGACGAGAACGTGATCGATTCCGGGCGCTTCGAATTTGTCGTACAGGGCAGGTTTTTGGATCAAGGACCGAGGGAAAATTAGAAATTTGCCGTACAGGGCTGAATTTCTGGATCAAGAAAATTGTCGGAAGGGGTATGTGACTCGAGGGGGAATGTTGGAATACGAGTCACATGATGAAACTGAACCGGAATATCCGGGAATATTCTAGGGGTTACTAGGCGCCTGCGTAAGCGCTGGGCATAGAAGAACCTGGAATATTGTTGAGAAGTATAAATATGGGCGCTGGAGCGCTGTGTGTATTTTAGTTATATTTCTTTCTATATTACATCTGGGTTGCGAGTGAACTGCTGAAGTGGGTTACCATATTTGGAACGCCGCGTTTACAACAAAAAGTTCTGTGTCAGTTACTATGGTAATGTCAGGTCGCAGCAGTTCACATTGATCCCGCTTCCCATCTTCTAGTGTGTACTGCTGCATAGGCCTGTATAAACTCTTTTCTGGGAATACAGCATTCACAATGGCATTGACAGGGCCATAAAGTATTGTCTTGTTGGTGGGCCTCCTGATTCTGAAATACCTAGCATGCTGTTTCCTTTGTCTCTCCAGGATGCCTGCAAGGCGACCTTGGTCCACAGAGGGTAATCGAGTTTGAATTATTTGCATTGGGCTATTAAGAGATGAGGGCTGTGCTTGAGACAACATGGCAGACAGGGAAGATGGCAGCAAGAAATGTTGCAGGGGTTGGGTTTCGATCATGAAGTGCCCATATGCACCCCACTTAAAAGTCTGGGCTCATGTTCGATCGATCATCAAATCAGAAGCACACCCTAAGGCGGTAGCTTTCAGAAGCTGCCTCTGTAGTATTTCCGGCAGTTTTTCATGAAAAAGTAGAAGACATCTTAATAGTGGTCGGCGTGATATAAGACACCATGGAAATGGAGTATTTGAGATTGACAAATACACAGAGTGACAGAAATTCTCAGGCTGGGGGAATGATAATCAATGCAACGGCCCCCGTCGTCTCGATCTGAACAAGGCCTGTTGCAGCAAACCACATCCTCTGAAGATGGTGCGGGCGATCGAAGTTACAATGGAACACAATCTAACTAATAAATAATCGCTGAGGGTCATCTACAGGTTCTGATTGGCTCGGTTCTCCCCAAACCCAGGTTTCGAACCACTCTGATTGGCTCTTTCATCTTACCTCATCCCTGTTGAATGTAGTGACTTACGTCGCTACTTTCACCCTCTGTGCATTCCCTTCTTATGACCTCCTCTTTTATACGCCCACCTGTATCTTACCTCATTGTTTAACTTCATCCGATTCCATATTCATACATGACATGTTCCCATCGCATCATAGTCCATCACATGTTTTCATTGGATCTGCATCAAGGTATTGCTCCAGCTCACTCCTCCAGTCACCGTTGAGGTGCGTTGCTGGCACTTGGGGGTCTTCAGCTGATTCCTTTCTTCATCACATGCTTGATTTATATATCCATGTCCAGATCACATGAATGATCAACGCAAACCTGAGTTACTGGCTCTGTCATCAATATTGCTCTCCTAGGGCATGTACTTGCAGGCATTTTGATCTTTTTGGAAGGCAGGGAGTTTTTGGGACTCGCTGCTATTACAAAGATTTCAAATCTCCTTACACACTGTAACCATTCTGGGTGTTTCTGCACAGCGGAGGGTTCCACGAACTCGCTGCTATGGCGGAGACATGAATCGGGCCCTCCCATTCTATTCACTCATTCATCGCCAACTTTCATCCAAGCGTATTATCTCACCATTGTGTGTTCTCATCTAATCGGACTTTTCAATTGGACTTTGAGCTTCCAAACATTCACTCTTTTCCGATGGCGAGCGCAACTGCCCTTCTTCCTCCAGTTCGACGTCCAATGGCCAGAAAACCTCATTCTACTGCTCTTTCTTCCTGATCAATGTACATACTTCTTAATGCGCCTTCACCCCTTTCTAACACTCTAACACAATTTCCCAAGTGCGATACTTTCCAACCACCAATATTGGGTTTATTTTGCCCAATTGTCCGCTATGTCTGACCACTTCCGATGGCGATCCGCCCTGTGTGGATGGTGTGGCACTCTACTTTTGGAATCCGAAAGTGTGGATTGGTGTTGCTGTCATGGCACTAAACGTCTTCCACGCCTTCCACCGCTACCCCCCTGTCTAGCTTCTTTCATCAGCACCTCACCCACCAATGTGGGCAATGCGTCCCAAGCGTTGAACTATTTGTTCAATCTGAGTGCACAAGCTGTATCCAGAGAATTTCACTCCTTTCAAGGTATGAGAGTCCTTCTCTTTCACACTCTGACCTCAAATGTTCTGGGTAGGTCCTTATTCTCTGTGTATCACCGGTCGCACATATCATCATATCTTTCCAAGTCAAAGATCAGGTTATCCCATCAATTGGTTTCTGTATGATCCGTTGGGAGCTACTCCTGCCATTTTACAATCCAATGTCCCTCCTTGCACTGTGGATGCTATCCGTCAAGAATTGATGGCAAACAATCCTCTATTTCGAAACTTCCAAGATTTTGCACAGTTCCAACCCCATCTGCAAGACATCTCCATGCAAATTCAAGATCCGGGAGCGTCCAATGAAATTGCTGCCATCTATCATGTCGGTTCAGGTGCAACTCATGATCCGCGCTGCATCTTTGTACAGCGTCGAAGGGACGCCACTCCTTCCCCTGTCAACATTCTGAATACATTATATGAACCCCTACAATATCCCATTCTCTTTCCCCACGGAGTGGGCGGTTGGGGAGAAATCCATCGTCACGTCCAGTACGGCCATTGGACTCAAATCGCATGGTATAAACATCGACTCTTGACAGAAGAGTGTTTCCATCAATTCTGGCATTTAGGATGTGAATGGATAATCGACATGTTCTCCCGAGTGGAGGATCAACGACTATTCCTCATTAAACAAGGAAAACAACATGAATACGATTGTATATTAATAAGATATCTAAAAGAGCGACTCAGTCTCTACAGCAAGAACTGAGATAGATTATTCTGACCTAAAAGAGCGACTAATTACAAAGTAAGATAAGAGCTAAATATGAAGTTGAATGAAACAGACCTCAGTCTCTACAGTGAGAACTGAGGAAAAAAGAAAAGAATTCAAAAAATAAACGTGACTATACTATAATCAGAAGTCACATGCAAATCACGCGACAATAGAGATCGGTTAATGCGTGGTGGTTCTCCAACATGCCCACTCAACACGCATCAACCTTCACCAGACCCAAAACATCTCTAAACTTCTTAAACTTCTCCCCATTCAATGGCTTCGTGAAAATGTCTGCCGCTTGGTCAGCTGTTGGAATGTATTCGAGTTCTAGCTGGCCACTCTCGATCTTCTCCCGGATCCAATGATGCCGGACATCGATATGCTTGGTGCGCGCATGGAAGATGGGATTTTCCGCCAAAGCAATTGCTGATTGATTGTCAACTAGGAGAGGAGTAGGAAGGGCAATGGGGATACCAACTTCCCCATAGATGTTCTGGAGGAAGGTTGCCTCTTTCCCCGCGTGAGTCATTGCCATATATTCCGCCTCTGTGCTCGATAACGCGATTGTTTGTTGCTTCTTAGACGACCAGGAAGTGGCAGCCCCACAGAAGGTGAAACAGTACCCTGATACGGATCTCCGAGTGTTTGGCTCTCCAGCCCAGTCTGAATCAGAGAATCCACTTAGGCCCTCACCAAATTGCTTCCCATCATACACGAGCCCGAGATCCTGAGTTCCCTTAAGGTAACGAAATACTCTCTTGAGTGCCTCAAGGTGCTTCTTCCCAGGACTAATGGTGTGTTGCGCTAGGTAATGCGTGGCAAAAGCAATATCAGGCCGGGTACCCACAGCTGCGTACATGAGGGATCCAAGCATGGACTGGAACAAGTGTCGGTCGATGGTAGCGACTTCCAATTTTGGCAGTTTGAGGTTAGCGGCCATGGGAGTGGACATCGGGTGAGCCTTTTCCATCCTAAATCTCTTCAGGATCTTGCTGATGTACTGACGCTGGTTGATTGTGATTGTTTTAGCTGCACGATCGTGTGTGATTTCCATAGCCAAGAACCAGTGGACTTCTCCCATGTCGCGCATTTCGTACCTTCCGGCAAGTTCCGATTTCGCCATAGCCAATGTGCCCCTCAGTGCAAAGAGAAGTAGATCGTCAACATAGACAAGTATAAAGTGGTTTTTGTCTCGTACATAGAGACATGGGTCATACCCAGACTGCTGATACCCAAGAGACTTGATGTGCGCATGTAAGGTACGGTACCACTCCAGTCCGGCCTGTTTTAGACCATACAAGGCCTTCTTGAGTAACCAAATTTTTCCAGGAGCAGATGGGACACCAGGAGGGGGCTGAAGATAGATCTCCTCAGTGAGATCGCTGTTGAGATAAGCGGCCACCGCGTCTAATTGGTGGATTTCGAGGTCTTGAGATGCTGCATATGCCAGGGATGAGAGAAGTGTGTCGCGGCCCAAAGTAGGCGAGTATGTGTGGAAGTAATCTTCCCCAAATACTTCTGTGTAACCCTTTGCGACGATTCTAACCTTCTTCCTTGTTACTTTTTCCTCAGCATCTGTCTTTCCCCCAAAAACCATCCGGCCATCATGTACGCGCGCTCCATCTGGAGCTTCCACTTCAACAAACACTCCCTTCCGCTTGAGGTTGTTGTACTCCTCAGTGATAGCGGCAACCCACTCGTCCGCATTGTTTCTGGCCATCGCCTCCCAGTAATTCCGGGGAGAATCAGTGGCTACAAATGCCAGCTCACCAAACTCAACTCCCATCAACCCGGTGTCCACCTCCATATTTCCCCCTCGATTTTCGCCCACTGAATCGCTACTTGTCCTTGGATGTTCTCCAAGGGTCTGTAGCTTCTTCCTCGGGTGTGATCCCAGTTCCATTTTGGGGTCTTGGTCCGGTCGGATAGGGGGTTTACCCTTTGTCGCGCGTGAGGATCTTTGGATTTGTGTGGATTTTAGAGTTGGATCTGGACTCTTAGGATGAGTTGGTGGGTCTATGGTACTCTCAGAGTAGGATGGAGTCGAATCTGGGTGATTCCTTGATGCCGAGGTTTCAGGTGTGTCGCCAGTATCGTTTGACAGTCCGGTTCCCCTGTCGGCATTTTCATCCCCCTCTGAATCACCATTCTGACTTCCATTTCTCCCTCTAGTCTCCATCTCCCTTTCCCCCTCTCCATCTATTTCCACCAACACTCTCTCCCTTTCATCCTCCTCTTCGAATTCGACATCTCGCGATTCAAACAACCGTCGCTTCTCCCGGCTGTACAACATATACGCCTTTTTGTCCTCAGCAAAACCGACATGAATGCACTCAATGCTGCGCTCTGCAAGCTTCGAGTGTCGTTGCCTTTCGGGTATATGAGCATAGGCTTTACAGCCGAAGAGATGTAGTGATACCAGGGTTGGTTTCCGTCCAAAATACGCTTGGTAGGGAGTTAAGTTGTCGCTCAGGGCACTGGTAAGTGTCCTATTCTTGATCCACGCTGCATGTCTGACAGCAAGGTGCCACAGATTTGCCGGTAGTGATTTGAGTCGGAGTACTTTGTTTGCATCGGCTACCATTGAGCGTGCAAGATTATTCAGTGTCCGATTTGCCCTCTCGGATACTCCATTTTCCTGTGGTGTATACGCATTTGTGATCTCGTGTTTGATCCCTTGCT